TGTCGCAGAGCAAAGTGGCACAGTTATACTTAGTTGCTAGCGTAACAGCGACGAACACTCTTTCGAAAGATAGTTCTTGAATATCTCTTGGCGTAGCGCCTGAGTATTCAAGGTATTCAGTGAATACCCTGAGGTTTCTCAGAAAATATATTAATACGACGTATAATTGTAATAAGTAAAAAATGTTTTGGGGCTATTGATTCTGGTTTATTTCGTTACCTTCGATATTCTTCATTTTGTACAAGTATGTGAAATCCCAAAGTTTCTGAAACTCAATCCCAAATCAATCTCAATTTTTTCAAAAGTAGATTCCTTCGCACAGGTTATAGAAAGGGATAGATATCCCTCTGCAGCTTTGCCTTCTATATTTCCTGGGCAATGAATTACGCATTATTCACTGTTACGGTTGCTTAAGTTGACATAAATAGTCGAGTTAGTTGCTATAAGTATTGAAATATAAGTATGAAGGCTTGAACTTGGGCATTGTGTATGAAGTATTATGAACCAGAACAACAGCAGATAACTTTCAAATTTAAAGTAAGTGTAGCAGGCGATGTGAAAACTCATATGAAATCAAATAAAATTTACACTCCCCTCCCGAAAATATTTGAAGGGCAGCAAATAACAAAAGGAAAAGTATATGGCTTATATTTATAGAATGACAAAAGGAAGCACTTTACAATTTCAACAGATCATAAAACAAACTATAAATTTCACAAAATTTCACATTCAAGTCAATCATTCTTCATTTTGTGGCTCACTCCATGGACCAATTATAACAAATTATCCATTCTTGCCTGATAATCCAAATGAAATCCCAATTTTTACTTTGAATACCAGATAACAATTTCTGATTCCAACGGCTTTTCCACAGTCCCAGTTTCGTGAAATCTGGGATTATATAATCCCAAATGGCAGCCCTGATCGGTGCGAGGAATAAGATTGAAGCAAACGCTAATACGCTTGCGCAGAAGTAGGGTTTTTTAATCGACCTAGGCTCCTGGTTACGCGGCCCAAGAATTTCCTTGTTCGTCTCTCCAACAAGGTCTTTTTGTCAATAAACTTAACATTGTCAACTTTGATGATGCACTAACCAAAGCTGTATGAGAGGGGGTGTCCGGGAGTGCTCGGCCTCCTTCTACCTCTCGAAGAAGTGCTGGGCCCTCTCTTTTTCTGAGTAATTTGAAGTTAATATGACTAATTTTTGCCTAAATGACCATATTTGATTAAACCAATAATAGTTTTTACTTAGCCAGCACTTAAGTCCTTACAAGCCATAGAAGTGAAAGCGTGAAAAACCAAACTAACGCAAACATTTTTTACAAATAAAATATAGAGAAAATTATATGCCCTCCCCCCAGGCACAGCGCACCAGCCTAAAAGTGAGGGGGCTTGAAAGAGCGTGACTGAAGTTTTAAGGTCACGCCCTTTAGAACTTCGGGAAACGCCCTTTTAGAAGATACTTGCTTCTGTCCAATTATTACTTATACACAGTCCGATTCATATATTTAGCTTGAGGACCATTAAACAATAAGCCAACAAAGTTAGAAAATACAGCATATCATTATACAAAATCAAAAACAAAGAAAATGTACAGAAAAGGGTTCCCAGTCAAATAGACCTGCTACTCTGCGCTTCAGTAAACTTTCTAAATATTTTCTAACCTATAATATCAAAAAAGTGGAGGGGCTATAGCCCCTGCTAGCCCTATGGCAGCGCGGTACCGGCCCTACCTCTTTACACTATTTGGCTCTACACCACTGACACCAACCCCAAAAATAGAAATATGGTCCCTAGAAAGAGGCATCACGATTGACTTTGGTGAAAGGGGCCCTAAGAGAGATCTCCCCGGCTCTTCTTTGACAGCTAATCCGCGCTTGTAAACAATAGTTAAAAACCTGAAGCATAATATTAAAGTGAAACAAGTAAAACGAAAGATTTTTAGACCAAAGTTATAAATTTTCTAAGAGATGTTACCTTCTTAGCTTCAGAATCTAGCTTATCTCCCACGTTAATCAGGCTATCAATAATGAACGTAGGGATTTTAATATTTGGCTATGAGGTTGTTTTGAGCAGACTTAAAGTGGAAAATAAAATTCTAAAGCCTGACTGTCCATTAGAAAGAAAAAAGCTGATTTTTGTCTAAATATTTGTACAGCTGGTTGGAAACAAGCAAACAACCTTGAAATAACAGGCAGCACAGAAATTGGCAGGAAATTCGTTTGGATGGACTTGTCTCTACCTTTAAATATTGGAGCAACTCTCGCAGATTTCCAAGGCTCGGAGAATTTGCTAGTTTCCAAAGAAGTGTTGAATATCGCTAAGGGAGACTTTGCTACATAAGGGAATGCAAGTTTTAAAAAGAAACTTGAGACGTTATCATCAAAAAGTGTTTTGTATTTTTTGTCTCCCAACTGCATCTTTGAGCTCCTGTTTCCGGATAGGGAAAAACTTGAACCTCTTTTTCTGGACGTTAATTGTGTAGTCCCCCGATAGGAGAGGATTGGGATTATTATCAATTCCACTTGCTAGGTCCTTACCCACAGAGCAGAAAAATTGATTCATACTTTTAGCAACTTCTTTTTTGCCAAAAAATACTCTTGTCCTGTTATTTAAGACATTCTATGTTAGTACTAGGATGTTAGACTTCTGGGATTCTTTTATTCAAAAGCAGGTTTAATATTCTTCAAGATTCTTTCATTCTACCTTCCTGAGAGATAATTTTGTTCGAGAAACAGTTCTTTTTTAACTTGACATTGAGGTTGTTTACCTTATTGCGAATATGCATAAATGAATCCATTAGAATTTTCTGACTTCGCTTTAATTGCAGGTTTCTTCAAACTACCTCTAAATCGTGTTAGTTTTTCTAAGTTCTTCGTTAATCCAAGGGCAGAAGAGAAAGAGGAGAAGGGGGCGGGTGATTTTGGCAAAAGAAAAAAGGATTTTGGCTACACTTTTTCAAAATGCCATGCCATACACTAAACATTGAGGTCAATAAGAAAACAACACAATACACCATCTCTGAGTCTGCGACGCCATGACACAAACCGCAATAAATACAGTATCGCCATATATCATCAAGATTTATTAATTTCTTTGTAACGCAAACAAGGTCAACTTTTAATCAACGAAATTCAGATTTTCATTCTAATTCTTAAAGTATTTATTCTATTCTAAAGAAAGTTCACGACCAAGAAGGGGAAGAACAGTCTCTATCTACCATGAATTTAGTTATATACTATCGAGCAAAAGAATTTTATCATGGCGTCGCAAATTCTGAAATTTTCTATAGCCTTTGCCTTCTGTAATGAAATGAAATACTAAAGCGTGAGTTAAACCCGTTTCCCGTAATGAAAAATTTTCGTAACCGAGTTCTGTGCGCCATTACACCGGCATTGGGTCTTTGCAGCGGTTCGAAAATCGATACGGTGATTCAGAAATGTTTGTGCACCAAGGCCTTTTCAACAAACTAACAAGGGGCAATTGCACACTAGCCCCAGTGATTTCCATTGTTTAAGAAATTGAATTTTGTCCACTTTATCATAAAAACAAAGGTTTGTCTCCTAGTTGATTTCCCTGCAAAAAGACTATGAGATTGAAAAAATCTATTACTTCTTTTTTCATGCAAGGACTTTTAGCAAGTTATTTTTTACTCCTTAACCATTTAAGTTAAAAAATTTATTGGAAAAGTTTGGATCTAGCCCTGAATTGTCCTATCTGAAGATTCGCCTGCTTCACAAAACTCCCGGCACTTCTGGGTCCTGTTGATACAGTGAAGTCTCAAAAAGGACTGTGTCTGCTTCAAATCAAAGATGTTCAGTGTTTAAAACGTCAAATTCGAAATGTCTTTGGTCATATGTTCAATTCAACTATATTCTATCTGCATTCTCTAATCAATTCGGGCTGCACAAAAGTCTCAAAATCAAAGAGAATGAAGAATGACTGTCTAAATCTTTCGAGTTTTGTCTGCTTTCTGGTCATTTTCCCAGCAACAGAAACTCTAAATAGGTAAAGCATCTATGAATAATATGCTATCCACTTCAGAATTTTTCTCACATTTTTACCAAATGTTCGCTATTTTGACCAATGCAACAACCTCTGTTTTACCTGTTAAGAGGACAAAGCTAGTCTATCTGATAGTATAGAAGACTACTTGTCTAAATGTGAATACCTGAAAATTGTTGACCATGTTGGTGCAATTTTTGTTAATGTGATAGCACAGAACATTTCTTTGCTTAGTTTTAACACAGGAAAGATTTTTGTAGTACAAGGCAGAGGACGAATCTTAGGTGCTCCTGGTCAGCAAATATGATGTTCTCTTCGTTTGCAAGTTCTTGAATAGCTACTAATTATAAAAACAGGGCAAGCTTTGTTTGGTAAAAAACCGAAGACTTTATACAGAACAACTTTGTTCAGGCAAAAACGATGAAATTTTTAGTCTGAATAAAAACATGGGGCATTTCTTCGAGAGGTGAAAACACAGGACACTTTATGACAAAGTGTAAGTTTCTTAATTGTATCTTGATATTCTGTGTTAAAACACAGGTTGATATTCTTGTGTTGTCGACAATACAGAATTATTGTGTTATCAACAATAGAGAGCCATTTTGTCCCTGTGAAAACTCTTGTTTTTTGTCTCAGTGGAAACATCGGAAAGTGCCTGTCCAAATTAAAACACAGGAGAATTCTTATTTTCGTAAATAAAAACAAGAGAAATTTTTGTCCAAGTAAAAAAAAATATTCTTTTTCTTGTCTTAGTGAAACACAGGACAATTCTTTCCTGTATAGAAACACAAAAAGCCTCTTTTTCTGATGAAAACAAAGGACATATCTTGTCTTGGTGACAGTGATAGCAGAGCAATTGAAGTAATGCACAGGGCAATTATTGGAGCTTTAAGCATTTTGAACACGAATACGTCTGATAAAAAACCAAATTTCTTCTAGGAAATCAACAACTGTCTTCAACAACGCAGAAACAATTATATGAAAGAACAAATCAATTTGGATACTAAGTTGATAATGAACAAAATGATGAAATCTGCATCATTTTTACTATCAATTAACATGTTATCACAGCATTCCTTTATTCAAATCTTAACTCAATCGTTTTCAGAGTAGATCTTTAAATAGCTTTATATCATTAGTACATTTGTCATATTACTATCATAAACTATATATTAATATGATTAAAAGCGTTACTAAAACGCACCAAAAATAAAACTGTCAAATTTTCAATACAGCAAAATTTTGTACAGTTAAAACAAGCCCCAATGTTAAAATCCTCGTAGTTAAAACCAGGACAGCACCTACAAGTTACAATGAAAATTTATAAAAAGGACTAATTACAAATTCAAATGGAATTTACAAGGAAAATCTTGAAATTGTAAACGGGAAAAAATCTGCAGTTTGCTTATTTCAGCCTTAGATTTCCTTTATTTGTTTTGTATATTATCAAGATAATTAATATTTACACATAAGTATTCATATTAACTGCATACACCTACGGCATAAGAGCGAGAGGACGCCAAAGAACCACCTTCACAGCCTGCTTGGCAGTGGAATTCTCCAACAGGAGTGTTGCAGAACTATTCAAGTTAACGAAAAATAGAACGGAGTGCCGCGACCGTGTAGCCGTCAACGTCAAATAAAGACACGAAACTCAGAGAAGAAGAAGAAGAAATATGGAAAATGGAAACATTTTCGCCAGACATTCCTATGTTAATAAAACCTCGGTACATAGTGAAACACTTTCCGTGCGTCCGTCCGAGTATAAGATGTAAGATAATGTCCTGAAGTAAAAGTTATTAACGATGTGCCGATCGAAAGTAACACATAAGTGAAAATGGTGCGTTTGATTGGTTCGTTGTTTGCCACCAATTTGTAAACGCTTACATTTCACAACGTAGAAAATGAGAGAAAACAAAATCTTTTGCTACTAATCTGAGTTCCGAACTTGGTAAAATCAGGCTTATTTTTCTAGAAAATGAATAGACCAAAAGGGTCATTTCAGCCTATTTTGGAGATGAATATTATCAGAGGCCTATCTGAAAATGCATTTAGAAGTGTGGGCGATAATCTCGTGAATTGACAAAAAGTTTTAGCATGTGACACAAAGCAACTAGGTGGGCGTCCTTTACCAACTGTTTGTAGTCAAATTTGCCACATGAACACAGTCACAAGTCAATAAAACATCTACAACAAACAAGCTAAACTTATTGTCAAGATGGTGAAAGAAAGCTGCTTCAAAACAACACAATAGTGAATATAGCGTGAAAGGAGCGCTGTTTTAAAACTAGTACTCTTTATTCTCGGGCCCTGCTCCCATTAATCCATTTGCTTATATCGCCTTTTTAGATTATTTCCAGGTCATTTTAAAATACTCCGTTTTCGAATGACTCCACTTTGAATATCGTTTTCAAGTGACTGTGGATTAATATCAAAATTACTCTGTTTCCGAGCGTATTAATGCAAACGCGAATTCCAAAATTGATTCATCCAGCACCGTAAAAGTACGAAAACAGATCAGTGAGGGCAGGGCTTTGTATATTATTTTCAAAAGACATGTTATGCAACTTTGATAATTGCTTTGAAAAATTGGAAAAATTGAGATATACAAAATTGTTGTTTCAGTACTTTAATCTCAACAAAACGATGGGGACAAATATTTTGATAAATATACAGAAACAAAAAGAATCATACCCTTTTGGATCCAGTCTGGTCAGTTTGGAATACTTTTCAAGCGGTACCTAGGGAAAAATACAATCGTAGGTGATCCGACAAGTGTGACGTCATATTGAAACTCCAAAATCATCAAGGAGCTTCCGCAGAATCTTTAAATTGCCACTAAAAGTTTGAACATTTAAAAGTTCCACCAATAAAAGCATTGTAGCATACAAAAGAGAACTTGAATTACTTTGGCGTTGATAGCGAAGGAAAAGGAATGGATGATGAGCTGGCCCTTCCTCTCGATGAGAACCCGTCTCGTGATTCCTACGCCTGGTGTAACAGAGAGCTGGTGACTCTCCTCACTTAAGTGAAAATTTGGCCATGCAGTTTCTAAAACACTGGAACAGTAGTTCTCAACTCAAAGTACTGAGCCATCCCCACATCTTACGAATCATTCCCGCATTCACAGAATGACTTTCTTGTAAAAATGAACTGCATTTTCTTTCCTTAACAATAACAAACGTAGAAATCCAGCAGCTTAGTCTTGACAAGCTGATTCTCATCTTTACTTATATTTACTGAGATTTTAAAAAACCCAAGGATTCAAAAAAATTTAAGCATCCTCCTTCTTGACTATGTTGATCATGATTTTTAGCGGATTCAAAGAATTAATCATGATATTGGAACCATAGAAATAAATTCTTATTAACTTTTTTTTATTTTGTTACAAAGTAAAAGTTCACTCACCAAATTTTCTCGCCTTTAAGAATGCCCATGTCTTGCAACCCCAATGTAATCTATGGCAAAAATGCAAAAGACGATAAAAGGCAGAGTGACAGACTGAGCAAGTATCAACAGTCAAACGTAGTGCATTTAGATCTACAACACTAGAGCATTTTTCTCCAAGGAATTAAAGGAATCATAAATGATAATGTCTCCAATATAAATGAAAAAAAAATTGAAATCTTTAGATTGTTGCACATTATGCAGTGATGACAATCCATGATAAAGCTTGGCACACTATTTTCCTTTGGCAATTATCTATTTGGACTAAATTCTTCTTAGATCAATATAAAAAAGCATAAAATGACAGCAAGTAAAACTTTTGCCTCTCCAATTGTTGTTTCTTCTTCCTTTTTCCCATTCTTTAGCTTGACCACGGTAACCTGAAGCGAACGAGCTTTAGCTTCATCGTATCCAATGAAGAAATCAAACCTGGAAAACAGTTTGTCATTCTTTGATTCTCATTTCGCTGCATTTTATTGCAAACCATACATTCTTTATGTCTGTTTGATTATAGGCAAATAATCACAAAAATTAACAGCGGCAAAGCTGCAAGGCTGTAGTGTCTACAACATATCTTTTTGTATAACTGGTAAAGTATAACCGGGAATCTTGCCAATTAATCAAATTTTTCGTATAATGTCTTCAAATCTTTAGCCAGGTTAGCCTTTCAAAGTGAAACTTTTGTTACCTATTTTACTAAATGAAATGCTTATCCTATCATGTATTTCTTGCATTCAATTTGGATTTCAAATCTGACTTTACATATGTTTTGGGTTACATGGTTGAAGTCATTTACAGTACCCTCAAAAGCATTTTGCTATCCAATACTTGGAAAGACTTAAGAGAATTACTTTCCTCTGTCTTCTGCACAGAGAAAAACTTTAGAGTAACCTTACAGGGTAAATGAAACAATAGAAGATATCCATATGCTTAGTCAGTAAGAATTGCAGTTGCAAGCATACACATTTTTAGAGTGTCATTGTGGAGGCACTCTTTTCTGCGCAGTGGCAAACTGACACGCTCATCTTTGGTAGTCCAGCTTCGCCAATTTAAAAAGGAAAGCCAGAAATGGCGAGAATAACTTACTCTTGATCAAATCGCGGATCCTTCTCTTTAACAGGTTTTGTTTCTCGTACCCCCGCCTCACTTTTGTCCGGAAGAAACATTACTCTAACATAGGTCTCCAAAGCACCATCGTCATCATGGACTAAATCACTAAAATAAAGAGCATTAAATATTGGTTTTCAAGTAGTAGATGAAAGCTGTATATTCAATTTGCACATGTTAAATTGTTGTCGATTTACCAAAGAGGTCCCTTGGTGTTAATTTGAGCCGGGGCTTTAGGATTGAGCATATCATTGTCATGATAATTATTTTAATCATTACATTTTTGCCAACACAGTAAATCGTCGAGCTGTCTCCTATAAGCCTGCCTCGAAAAACCCCCAACCTGGAAGAGAAAATTGCTAATCAGCCCTCCACTTCGAATAAGCCCTATCCCTACATGTCAATTTTTTTTCTAGTAAACCCAATGGAGATAGACAAAACAGTGAATAAACATTTTTTTCCATTGACGAAGGGACAGTCGTAGATTTAAATATATACATCTATCAATATTTATGGACAAAAATACCTTTTTGTGCTTTTATTCATACTTTGGTTTGACATTTCGGAAACGTATTAAACAAAACTACAAATGAAATGAACTTCAAAATTGTGAAAAACTACAGAACGAATTTTCGTATGGCAACTTGGAGTTGATTTTAAAAATCCCCTTCGAATAAGCCTCATTCCAATGCATATTTAATTCATAAGCCCCAAAAGGCTATTCCGAGATTTTCAGGTATAGGCACATTAAGCTAGTAGAAAACAAGCCAACATGTCAGTACTAACCAGGGGTGTAATGCTAGGGGGTCCAGGGGGCTGAGCCCTCCTTGTTATTGCCAAAATACCATCAATTTCTTCATTTGCCATTGTTTTTAGCAGCATTATGTGCAAGAGCACCCCTTGTTCTTTTGATAGCACTACAGCACTGGAACTAAGCAATACAGAAACTTTTTCTGTACTTGAACATTAAGATGAAATGAGAAGGTCAGCTGACACGATAAGCAGTACCAGGATTTCGTACGAAAAGCAAAACTAAAAGTACATTGCAGCAGCACTTCAAGTATTACAATGTGAGTTATTCTTACAATTAGGATAAGAAAGGTTAGAAAAAGAAGCTTTAAATGCCTAATATAATGGATTTGATGTTGCTTTGACCTGGTTGTTGTGCAGAACCTGTCTATAGGTCGTTGCTAGTCATGCAGAGAGCAGATGTTTCGTTTCACATACGAATAGCTCAAAGGAGGCATGGAACAGCGTCGGGTTGCGTTTCAATACGTAAATGCGAAATGACAGGAGAATATCATGGTAGACTGTCAGGACTCTTTTGCATGGAAGATTAGCAAACTACGCTGGCAAGTTGGCATTAGGGCAGAAAATAAATTGACTTAAAGATAATTATATCTTTTTAGCGCAAACTGTTTTCCCAAGGAAATACAGTTGCAAAATGCGACATGAGATTGCCAAATTGAAAAATTTTAGCTGCTGATAAGGCTAATTTGGGCATGTTTGTGTAGCCTCAGTGGAGAAGGCAGCTGCACCGATTCTGTAATTGCTGGGATATAAGTATGATTTATGGTGGAAAACACATCAATATTTTAAAGAGAGCACAGCAGTGAGATGCAAGCAGCTGCCTTTTCTCAAAAAAAATCAGCAGTGAGTTTTAAAGATTCAAGAAAGTAAATTGACCAACTTCCTATGACAATTTTTAAGGTTAAATGGAAAACCTATTTTACTGCTTAGTGCTTGAAAGCGCTTTCCGAATCTGTAGTGTCACAAAGAAGAAAGCAGTCACAAAAGGTAAAATTGATCGACCAGGGTTCCGATAATGACAATTTTGTTTACATTTTACCTACTGTAGAGCCTCTACATCAATCCCTACAGCCCCATCTGATATGGGGTAATAAATATACCATATTTCGAGACAATCATGGCATTGATTTTCATGACCCTCTAATATTTTCTGTCTTCAGCAGCATGCAGTGATTTACGAGTATTTCACTCCATCTTCTCTGCTATATTCTTTGGAAGCATTTTCTTTGTCCTAATTTGCTTTTTGTCTATTTAACTTCACCGTCGTCATCGCACGTCATCTTATCAAATTACAAGAATTTCCTTGTTCGTGTCAAATGCAACAGTAGAAGTTTGCGCATATTTGCTGGACTACCGTATTTATTTAAGGCTTCGTCGCCATTAGCCGTTGTTCCTTTTCTGACCAATGTAACAAAAATTGGAAACACGTGACACTGCATAATATCTAGCTGACAGCTTCTTGCAACTCACTATACAATTAGATACTTGCAATGCAATTTTAGCTAATCTTATTCTTCACTTGATAATTTTTTTGTATCTATGGCATGATGTTATTGCCTCCCAAACTAAATCTAATGCTGGTAAGTCGGCAAATTCTCTGAATAGTATATCGCCCTAGTTATAATAAATCTAGGTTGGACTTGCACACCACTATCTTACGCACCACACCCTTTCCATTCTGTAGAACTTGTCATTTAGTCATGAACTTTTACTTCTGCGTTTGCAGAATATCAAACAGTTGCTCATGGCTCCTCTTTTAGAAGCTTTTTGACAGTATACGAAACGAAACATATGCATCATCACTTTCGTTCTTCCAACAGATGTAGAATTTTATCTTTATTTAGTTCATCCTATACATTTCTAGCTTTTAAAAACTTACATTTGAAATTGCGATGACGAAATCCTTTCGAGGGGTTAACGTACGCTCTTGAGCTCATTTAAGCACCCTTAAACCCTCTCTTTATATTCTTCTGAACATTCTTCGATTCAAGCATATGCTTCAATTAAGGTGATATCGAAGAACATCACATAAATCTTCCGAGCAAAAGATCACCTGATAATATCACACTAAACATGTTTTTTCCTCACTATATTTGGTGCCAGTGTTGCCTCAAAAATATTATTGAGTTACAATAATTATAAAACCTTCCGTATTGCCAAATTTTGAATGAAAAAGAAATTTAGTATAAAGATTTACGTTTTCGTCTATTTCGTGTAATTTTGATGATTTGAATATGCTCTCTCGCAGTAATAGCTCTAAAAGTAGAGTGTTAGATAACTGGAAGCAAATATAGACCCCGATACTCTTTTTTCATCACATTTACACTGAAGCAAAAAGGAACGGATTTAAGTTTGAGCCCGTTTACATTTGAGTAAAAAGAACGTAACATTCATGTGAATCATGCGCAGGGGCGTGGCAATGACGTCTAGCATTTGCAGAAAGCCTTGCCCAAACACTTGATTAAGCCCCGTTTTATATCGTTACCAAAGAGTTCCGTTCCTGACCGTCTACACTAGAAAAAACAAAAACGAGCTCGCAACGGAACTAAAGAGTTTCGCATTTAGCGAAACAAAGGAAGAACGGAACGCTTTCAAAACTAGCACGGAACCAAGATGCCTAGTATTAACGCAAGGCCTATCTATCGTCGCTTTATCTATCAGACACGGAACCAAAGAGATCCGTTCTTTTTTCTGCAGTGTAAACGGGAACATAGAATCACTTACCGCACGCGGTGTATCTTTATGAACAGTTTGTTGCTATCAGAATCCCATCGTATTGATAGCTCGATCTCTCCTTTTACAGAGCTACAACAGAGTAATACCTTATATAAGAAGATTATGGAAACCTGCTTTATTAAGATACATACGATGTGTTCTGTTGTTGTGGTACCCTGGAGCTGTATCCTTCTTATACACCAAACCGAAAAATTGCCGCCCAGAGGGTTAAGAAAGGCCGTCGAAAAGAAAAACATAAGAGAACTACGTAAATAGCAAAGGAAAATTTATCTTATTATCGAGAAAGGTTTTCGAATTTGTGTCTCATTGTCAGTAGGAAAGATTGAAACTTTTTGGTACTCTTCATCGTAGAGGATAGGCAGGAAAAAATGATTATAGAAGTCAAAGAATAACGATTATTTTTACGGATACAGGGAGCAAGGTTTTTCTGCCTAGAAAATACGCCCTTTTTGAAGGCTTAAAAATGCATCAAGGGTCAGGAAGGGAAATTGTGCATTAATGATGCTCATGTGTAGGAAAAATAAAAGGTGCGATATACCCACAAGTATGTTTAACGCTTTAAATATACATTACAAGAAAACTCCGAATGGATTAGGATGCAACGCCTTTTCGGCTGGATTTGATAAATCTAATAAAAGTCAAAGGCGCATTAACTATTAATCAAACAGTACGTGTTCCTGAAAAATATGACGTTTATTCGGTGCTTCATGGGGACACAATGGACTCAGAAATTATTGCAAAACAAAAGAGCTGTCTACAAAACTAATTGCTGTGAGTCTTTAATTTGCTTTTGGAACCCCCTCACTTGCGTCGAAGCCCATAATCAAATGCCCAATAGCCCTACAAACCCCTCGGGGGGATAGGTATTAATGCAGAAAGACAAAACGATGTAATAAAGAAATTTAAATGTATGTTATAAAAGTCAAAAGTAAAAGCACTTAAATGCCATACCTGTCCCATTTACCGATGCCGGTTGTCCTAGAGAAAGGGGAGGACAATGTGAAGAGTACTTTTGTTAATGGTTTCAGACAGTCACACTACAGACTACAACTAAAGACAATGGCAGTGTATATAGCTGCAAACCAGGATAAACAGCTATATACCATCACAACTAGAGACTGATGACTATAAATAATTGCAACATATATCTAGAACATGACCATCGCACCTACAGACAGTAGAGGAACTATTCGCAATTATGTGTCATAAAAAATGTGACTATAGTTAAAGATCAATGATACAGGAGTCTTCTGAAGATTCGAAAGGAAATCTGAATATGTTACTTTCTCAAATTTAAAACTTTTTAAGCCTGAAGCTTTTGAATCAAGTGCAATGGAAAGTAATCTGTCTTTTGCTTTTTAATTCCAACACGTACCAGAGGACTAAAATTCCTTAAGATTTAATTTTAGTTTAGAAACTATGATTAAGATGAATGCATTCCTATGGTGTAAATTGACCAGTTGAAGAACTCACCCTGCAGTCTGCTTTTGAGATAATACCAAAGCCTGGGGAATAATGAAACAATCTATAGATGTAGAAAAGTCAATGCCACTCTACGGAATACTGGACGTTTTGCTAATAGCATGGGCTCGATTTGCAGATCTAAATGTATTCTGGGAAATTTAGATAGGGGAAGGTTTAAGAATAAATGTAAAAATATATGACAATGTACATTTGGTCTAAATCCTTAGGGTCGTTTGGCAGATCTAAATTAATTCTGGGATTGGCGTGCCTTGAAAGTATTCGTTGCACTGGTTGAAATACATCGTAAGGAGTTTTTCCTATGCGAGTTGACACTGAGCTTTGTAGACGTAGGTCACTTTACAGCAGCTTTTCAAGTTTTTGATAAATTGCCATAAATGCAAAACAACGAGAATAATGAGAATAAAAATCATGAGAAAGCAGAATCCCGATAAATACATTGATGGAGTTCATATCAGGGTGAAGACATGGGTTTCATGAAGTAGGCCTATTCATTAGAAGTTTGAAAGAGTTTGAAAACATGGAGATACAGATAGAGTAAACGAGATAACAATAAAAATCATTTATTGCAGCCAGCTCTTTGCATTCATGCAGGATTCGACATGTCTTCGCCAGAACTTAACATATTTCTAGATCACACTGCAATTCATCTGAGCGCCTCATAGGCCCTGTCATTCGAATAAAAATTGGCACTGGAAGCTGCAATTGGCAAAAATAAGTAAGAATTCATGAAGTTAAGGTCACAATCACTGTGAGATTTATATCATGAGAATACCTTGAGTTCGACAATCATATTCAACGTGCTGTTATCCTTAGCTGCAGTCAAAGTGAAAGGCTGCTTGAATCTCATCTCACGGTTCTTTAACAAGCGGTCAATTGGAAAGTCTAAACGGCCAATCGATTTATCATGCTTCCAGTCAAACACCTAGCAATAAAAAAGGGACTCTAAGGTAAATACACAGAAAGCAAAACTTATATTAGAAAAGAAAATTTCTTTAGGCTAGATTGCCAAGCTAAATGGAATGATTATGGCAAAAATCTTTCTTGTATCGTAGTTGCTGCTACCTAGCTCAAAAAGTTAGTGTTTATGACGCTGAGAAGCTGTGCTTATCGATCAGAACCCTGGTCCTGGTTCTAGGTGTGAGCATGAAGAGCCCCCCCCCCCTTCCTCTAAGCGAAAGTTTAGTCATGTCAGTGACTCAAAGCACAGAGACTTGGACCTGTAACCCGCGAACCTAGACACTGAGCCATCCTCACACATACCGTGGTGGTAGACTTTAGAATTTTCTGAAAAGGGAAGCAAAACTTTGAGCCTCCCTACAAATTTTACCGGTATAACAAATATTGTGACGGGTTGACAAATTTTTAGCAGGTCAGCATGGATAGCATATACTGAGTTTTATGTGTACTGATATCGGCTAGGTTGCCTATAGACTATTGTGTTTCTAGTCTATGATTATAAAAGAAAAAGCAAATCGATGAACCTTTTCGGTGCAAAAAAGATTACTGGCAAGGTAAAAGCACTACTAACTTCGATGTTGAGCTCTTGCATTTTTGGGTCTTTAATAAGGAATTGAAACATTTCTTCCCAAACTGGTTTTGCGGTATCTTCGAGTTTCTATAAAAAAAAACAATATTTTCAGCAAATTCTTCTGTTGCATAACCTATCCAGCACAAAAACAATGACAGATGGAAAAAAAACATAAACACAGCATATTGGCAAAAACAGGACATGCAACGGGCAAAAAGCTAGCAAAAATAATTGCAAACAGTGTTGTCTCAGTATCGAGACATCTGAAGCATATGTCCCAATTAAAAGAACGAAATATAGCGCTATGTTGAAATTAGACTTGCGATGGTTTTGAAGAATTGCTTTCATTAGGATATGAATTGATCATCATCTAATACTTATCGATTCACAAGTTGATTGATTGACCAACGAACCAATAAAATACAAATAACTGGTCACGTGGTGAAAAATGATTCCTGTATTTCAGTCATCCTTCAGAAGATAAGTTTGGTCGTAGATTTTTGTCTCTTTTCAGAAAGATCGTAATTTAAAAAGTCGATTTTCTGCCTATGTTTAAAGCAGTGCTTTTGATAGTCGTTAGAAAGTAATCATAACAAGTACCCGAACAGACCTTAGTGAAGAAAGCAGAAATAAGAAGAATAGAGAAAGCTGTAAAGCGTAGCAAGAAAGCTAAATCACCTTCGATGCTTCAACCTGATTTCCAACTGTTACGGTGCAAAAGGGAGAGCTTGTGTCATCTTCTTTGTTAGTAACCTATGAAAAGCCAAAAAAACCACAGACGAAATACAAAAATGTTATTAATCTGATTTTGCATAAACAAATTCCAACCATATAGGCTATGACAAACAATGTACAATTAAAATGAGTTCTTAGTAACCCATAGCAAACATAAAGCCATAATTTTCAGATGCTTCGTTTGATCATAGTAATGGTTTGATCTAGTTGTGTATAAACCAGAGTGAACCTACTAGTAGCGGAGCTTGGGTTGCAGCTCCCGCAACTTGGCAATTGCCTAAATTTACATAATACAGGCTAATTAAATTGCAAAAGTTGGTCTAACTCTGCCAAAAATTTGTCAGCCTGTTTTATTTTCTAGCGCCCTTACACGTTAATTTAGTAGCTCTCGGTATAAACCAAAGACTGATTGGTTTAATTGATGGACCTACAAATTGCACCTGTCATCATCTCGACCCATGCCTGAATGTTAACTAGATACGGTTAATCTCTTTGGTTGTACTTTACACACCACACACAATGAATTTTTCAAATCCCTGTGGACACCCATCCCGATTAATTTCATCAATCTCCATTTAAAGTAAGCTAAACACGTCAAAAGAATTCCATCTTCAGAAACATTGCTACATCTTATACAAACCAAAAGTAGGTGTCTTGTTATGTAAACACTAGCCTGATTTTAACAGAAATTCTATCAAGATTTGCTTTTAAAAAGACCCTACCGGTAAATTCTTGGCTGAGTCAAGCTTCACAAACAAAGCAGCAGTTGCCAGCTCTCCATCTTTATCAGCCTTTGAAAATTAGTACTCTGATTAGAATCTAGAGCAGCCAATATTTACAAAATTGAAACATTTAGAAGCAGTGCCTTGAGAGCGAAATTTATATTGGAGAAGGGGGGGGGTGCCCGTTGTACTGCTTCCCATTTATTCCACTGCTATAATGGGAAATATAACAAAGTTTTAGAATTATTTGGGGACTCCGACGGCCCTGAGAAAACTGAGCTTACATTTGAAATTTGGGTATGCAGTTAGAAAAATATCATTAGAGGGGACAGAGAGTTTTGCTATATCTGCACCAAAGTAGAGGGACTGAAATGGGGGGCTGCTAATGGTAGTACCACTGTGGTACAGCTACTGACCGGAGATAGATTGTAAGAATATGAATTAAATTGTAAAAAGACATTATTTTTACTTCTTGTTACAGATAACGATAATTATGGAAAAAACTGAATAAACTTTTTGAGTACTTTTTGCAATTCGGCTGCCTTGCTACTCAGATTAAACCAGTGACATCTGAGGTGTATTCTTCCAGATTTAACACCCTCTAATGGCAACCACTTGAAAAGAAAAGTAACATAATACAAAAAAGAAGAAAGTTTGTTTTTGTCTGCCATAAAAGTTCTATTTTCTATCATTTTATCAAAGTATTGGTTCCCTCTGGTCCTGTGATAGCTAATCTCAAGGTTTCCAAGCATGCTTTAAAAAAGCTTATCTTGTCAATGTCAGTGTTATACTTCACTGCCTTACTTGTGTTGGAAAGAAAAAAGTTTGTTTTCTTTTATAAATTGCTAGGATATAAGTAAATGAGATCATCTCAAGCAATTCCTCTTCTATGATTAGGTCGAGCTTGCAACAATCGTTCATTTAATAATTTTTTAAGACTTACAAAGTCTGATGACCCAAGCTTTGCAATCTTCTCCACACCAATTTCAGTCCTACGTAAAAGATAAAATTAAACCAAAATTTTATGGCCAAATAGATATTTTAATCCAATTTCTATAACACTAATTCTAGTTCAGATAGCCCCTTGAATTATAATACCCGCTATTCACTGGTTTGACAGTGACCTCTTTATGATAAGGAGGCTATGCGAGAGTATTATAAAAAACCAATGCTGGCACACGATGGCAATAATACAGATGGCCTCGCCCTTATCGCCTCAAAAGAGTGGATACTAAAGATGCAATTTTTCCTTTTAATTTGAAAAGCAGCAACGATACGCAACAGTTTCAGCTGCAACCAAATCCGGTGTGATACGCAACAGTTTCAGCTGCAACCAATAATTAATTCCTCAAACGGGACCGTCAAAATATAAATACCTATGGAACATACTAAATAATTTAGCCATGGGAAAGATGAAAGACAAACAGACATAGCTGACTCATTACCTATGCTGTCTTTAAAAATAAATACCCTGATTGACTTCAGCAGGACGGTCAATTGCATGGTAATTCCATTTTAAAAGACTTGCCGCTAGCCTTCATTTATACCTTGTTTTATTAAAGATTTCAGTCAAACATGATTTTCTCAATGCAATTGAAAAACGATGCTTTTTGAATGTACATCTAACGATTACTCTAAAGATTTGGGAAAGTCGATATGAAATGAAACTGATAGAGAGTAGACCATGTTTCTAAATATGCAGATTCTAAACCATTATTAATTATCATGGAAACTATTCGGGGTTCAAGTAGTCTACCACGGAAATTAATTTAGAAAAGTCACATACTGGCCGAGGCTTTCATCAGATGAACCAACGTCATGGTCAAAAAGTTGAAGTTTCAGCTTCCTTCCATGAATGCTCTCAACAAAGATCTAGGAAGAGCAAATATTGCAAATTGACAAAATGACTAAAACAGAGAATAGGGGGCCAAAGACTGCTAATGACCTAAACATACAGGATAAAAAAATGTAAAATGTCAAGTTCTACATATCAATAAGTTCTATTTTTTTAAACCAAATAGAGTTAAAATAAAATAACTACTTCAAAAGCGGATTCATTCTTTGATAAGTTTAGAACTTGAGCGCTGTTACACACTAACAAGTTGCGGATCAAGCTAAAATTTGGATCAAATTCGGGGTACTTTCCTCTATTTCCTCTTAGGTTTTGATTCATATGTAACCTTTAAGGTAAATGGTACATAAACATTGCTACCATTATGTTGTCTTTGTGAGCAGTGTAAACGGACATCAAAGAATATTTTTCTACACGTTTGACACAAAAATGGAGCAATGTGAAAATTTCTTGAAAATTAGCATGAATAGTTATTTAAATTTTTCGTTTCAAACAAGAACGTTGCCTGACTTGCAAAATGCAGCAGTAAGATTCAATGATGGCACTGGATTGTGCAGATGTGGATTTACATCGATATCATAAATTAGCCAGCACAGATATTCTTAGATTCAACTCAGCAAGCTGGCTCCATTCAAAAACACATTTTCTAGAGCATTTGTTTGGCATGGCGGGATTGGATATCATTTGTTTCTATAAACCGATTTGTTTTCATCTGATGATTTTAAAACGCAGTTTCGAGTACTCCAAAGTCTTTTACCTCAAAAGTCTCATTCCAAGCAGGATTCAATGTTTCCTCCTTTGCTGCTGTCTTGAGCGTTTGAGTGCCAACTAGGATTATGAAAATGCAAAAAGTAAAAACTACAATTCCAAACAATGCAACTTTGATTGTTGAAAGGGCATGTGTCGCGTTAGCAGTTGGCTAATACAGCAAAAACATTTCGTTTTGTTTCATGAATTTTTACTGCCGTAAAAATTCAACCTCGATCCCATACTCTGTACTAAACAAACAAGATAACCGTATTACGTTAGTTCACGACACATGAACTATAAGTAATATGGTCTCTAAATTTGAATATCATATTCATAACTAAGTCTTGAGATCTGAACGCAAGGCCCACCTTACGGCTAATGATGCGCTTTGAAGATTCTGAGCCACAATGAAGAAGGCAACAAAATCTTAACTGGACATAAATTTTGAACGTTTTGTCGAGATTCTACCAATCGTTAGGGTTTGTCGAGATTCTGCAAAAAACGTATCAGTTTTCTTACTCTTTTATAAATCTAGGCCGTGATGAAGACATGAAAGAGCGGAATTTAAATGAACCTAAACAGTGCAAAGACTTGAATTCAGTTCATTCACAATTTGATTTTGTTCTGAATGAAATAAACAGAGCACGTTCGATTTGTCAAACCAAATTCGATGTCTGAAGACGTTTTTCAAGCTTCGATTTATTTAAAGACAAAATAATTCAGCCCAAATCGCTTTGCCAAATTCGACAAAGTTATACTGTATCATAAGAACTTAAATACGTACTTATGCAAGTCTTTTTCTTATTTTATCATAATCTTCGAATCCTGTATGACTAGAATTGGTTGACACTAAAAGACTTTTCTTCAGTGCAAATGCAAGATTGGCAAGAAACATACCAGTCAATATCACATAGGGATCAGACGTGTCTTTGCTGAAAACATTTGTGTCCTTCGCCACCAGGTCTTCAGCTTCCACTACTTCAATTCGAAGTATTCCCTGTAAAGATTGAAATTAACTTATTTCTTGTAAAACATGATCTCATTCCAAACATATATATCTTCAATACGGTTGCATGAAAATTTGGTATTGATGTTAAAAGGAAGAAGTTACAAATTTATTCATTGTTTAATTTGCCGTGAGTATTACCTTAGAAATCTAATGAGCCATTTACCTTAAATTACTTCTATCTCAATGAAGAATGGTCAGTTAAAAATATGAAAACGACATGTATATTCAACAAATATTGTAAAAGTAAAATGCAACAGTTTTTGAGCCATGGATTAGCTGGAAAAATGTCTCGTACACTAATAGGCAAATTTCTTTGTGAAAGGATGATATTGAGCAATATCATTGAACTAAAAATGCAGCTGAACTATCAAGTCAATTTTACTCATTTTTAAAACAAATTTTTCAAACAAAGTAATCTAACAAAAATAATTCTTTCTGAAAATTCTCCATCCTTCCTCCAGCCCATGGGTCAAAACTTTCAAAACCATCCTCAGAACACAAAACAAGAAGACCAAGATTGGGGAGAATGGAACTTTCTTCATCGACCTTTCTCATGATAGTCAGTTGTGGGACCCACATTTGTGTTTTCAAATTTTGCTAACCGAACAAATTTTTTCTCGAAATTTCACTTCTTCAACCACTTTCAACAGATTGTGATGAATTTGCTAGTTTCGTGAACAGCAACAAAAAATACTGTCACAATGAATTCATTTCCTGTAAATTAGCATAAAAATTTACTTACATCAGGTAAAGGATATTTCAAGGATTCAAGATCGACATTTTCGCCAATTGGAATCTTGATGCGATTTGGCAGAACTACAAAGCTTGAGATCGCTTGTCTTACGCAACAGTGAAGAATGTCGCTAAGAAAGAAATAGACTGATTGCTGAAAATGGATTTGAGAAAAGTGTATCCATATTTTGCTGCTAAAACTCATCGGCAATAAATGCTTGAAAACATAAGAAACAATTTAAAATTGATATGGCATAACATCTTATTGTAACCCTTTTCAGAAGCCAAACGCTCACGGAGAATTAGCTATGACATCTTTTGAAGTCTTAGGTCTTATACTCAACAGAAAATAAATGGTTATGTAAGGACCACTAAGCATTAAATCTGAAACCTCTGACTCTGAAAATTTCAATCAAAGCCTGATTATGAGATGCTGTCATTAAATTTCTCTTGATTTTTGATAGCAGTAATAATTTAGATGATAACATCAGATGAAATAATATGACAAGGTGACCTTTGAAAAAGGTCTGCTGAAAATCAAGTTTGCAAAAGTCGATCAATGTGCACCAGAAGACGCAGCTTGCGATGTCACTGCTTTATCAACGTGTATGCTTTATCAATGAAATTATCTCTGAATATCTCCAAGTCTTAAAATCTCGTGGGGGAGAGATTAAGGAACAGCTGATAAATTATCAAAGTTTTATCAGATAACATACACAACATGCTTGATCGACAAATCTATACGAAAATCCTTAGGTTATATAACAACACTCGTGATTCACTCGTGATCGTAGAGGTTAGCCAGTAGGAATTATAAAGTGATACAGAAAAGAAGAGAAAAATCTAGGGATGAACCTTAGGGCTGAACAGCCATTATTTCAATCTTGGGAGGGGGGCAATAATATCACATCTCCAGTGTAGCCAATATTACAGAGGTGTTAAAAAAGCATAATTATGAAACGCTCATCTGTAACTTTCTGTAATAGTTCAAGTAGCCGATTCGTATGCTTTCAAATAACAATAATTCACATAGCTCAACAACATAGTTCACTCTGATTACATAGCCGATCCCGACAACAAACTTCACACCAATAATACAGCTTATTTTAATTTCATTTTACTTTAGACAAGCTAAGATTCATATATATATAATATGTTTTTCAAACAGGTCTGTTAAAACAAAATTTAAATTAAAGTAATAACCTAAAAACAATATAGACGTATAACAGAAAAATGTCTTATTTAAACATCGTATGAAACAGAATGAAATAAGAAAAGAAAGGAAAAATAGATTTAATACTACACTCTTCACTCTCTTCTGAAGTGAGACCATTCCAGAATTTCGCTCCATAATAAGAAAAGGCCTTTTGGCCATTGACCATTCTTCGTAGCGATATCTTGCGATCAATTTCTGATGAGTGCAGAAACCGTTCTTTATCATCCGTACATTTTATGAATAATTTTCTCAACTAATCTGGGACAAGTTAGCATAGCTGATTCTTTCTTACAAGATTAACAATATTTGAACAGCCAAGATTGTGAATGGGCGGGCAGCAAAAAGGTCATTCGGGCTACTTGTTACAATCCTTGCAGCTCTATTTTCGATTTTTATTCAAGGCATTGATTTTTGATTCACTACAATAGTCCTCAACAGAGCAACAGTAACTCAAATGTGCCTCGACACTTCCTCTATACATTTTGTTGAGTACATTGGTTGGAAGATATTTATTGAAATACTCAACAACTCCATCTGTTCGGTCTGGTTTGTGGTCTTAATAGTACCAACATGTTTGTTCTAGTATCTTGTACATACGTAATCATTTCGATTTTTTACTATTAATTGCAAAAGATAGAAGAGCATCAGGCTGGCTTTTGATCGATGGCGTTTTGAAGACGTCCAGAAAAAGTTTGACAGCTTGATATCAATGCTGCAGATTCAAGAGATCTGAGTTTAAGTCATTTTATATGTCACCAATGGAATTTAAAGAGAGAAAGAGAGAGAGAAAGTCCTGTCATCAGCAAACATGCAAATCAGTAATGTGATCAGGAATGAAAGTGGACAAAGACAAGAGCCTTTAGAAACTCCACAACATACTTCCTTCACATCAGAGGAAGTGCCAGGTATACTGTGAAGTTCTTCACCTTAATTCAAATATGACATAAATAAGGAATATTTTATGTGAATCATTATATAAATCAATGAATCTTTATATGAATCAATGAATTCTTATGTGAATCAATGAATCAAGGTCGGTCAACTTGGCACAACTCGCAACGCAAGAGCTCCTGTGATTTTTCTAATACGATCGATTAAAAAAACACAAGAAAAATACTGCTGTGCCTATCAAGGCGGAAATGGACAATTTCGATGACCCTGTGTTCTGTCAATAGTTGCCAAACTATTAATACTAAAACTCATTCTGTTTTTGATAAATATAAGAATAAGGCGTTATTTAATTAGCTGTTATTTTAGCTATTTGAATTATAAAGCCAACTATAAACAAATAGATAATAACAATAATAATAATAATAAGAGGGTCTTCGTTTCACTCGCCCATCAACTGTGATTGTGATATTTTAAGAGGACTGTTAATGAGAACGAATAATTAGTTTAAAAGGAAGTGATTACCTGAGACCTGGGACGTCAAGTAGATTCAGGAGGTCGGTCAGGTCGAAATTTATATCCTAAAAACAAATCATGAGAATTTAGGCGTTACAATGGATAAAAATCGGCAGCATTTCTGGAGCCTGGGGCGAAAGATAAAGATGGGACTGATGATGATGTTGTAAAAGACATTTAAAACATATCCTCAAGAGACAAGCTACTATCACTGTGACAATACCTAAGTCCATACACCGCAAAAACGTCTACAAAGTAACATGCTTTACTCTTCCAATTGTCTTATACGGCATGATCCAGTCAATAACAAAGATTCGAAATCTGTAGTCTGTAATCTGTTGGTGCTTGGAGTTCCGAGCTCATAACTTGTTTCTTCATAGAATGCATTTCTTTTATTTTCTTTAGATTACGAAAGTTGCATATTATATAATTGTAAGCACCATTCGCAATGACGGAACTCAATGACGTTCTGTCTTTTTTCCCCGTGAATGGTGCATTCGACTTTATAAATGTGGTTTTAATTGAATGAAAATATCAGATCCAAGAAAATAAACCCACTTAAACAATATATTCGATAACAACTATGAAATGTTTGAAATTTCATAGAAACACCATTTTTAAAATTCTTTAAAGATATTCATGAAATATATCACTTAATACTTAAGCAACTAAACCTAAATGTTTCTTTCAAGATCTTATTTAAACTATTTCTCAAAATTCTTTTTAGCTATCATGCATACCGGTATGTCGAGGAGATACAATGACATTCCACCAATCAAAGGAGGCTGGGAAACCAGTGGATTCATTTCAAAACGAACCTTAGCACGAACCTGCAAGAAAAATAATCAACCAGAACAATAAACATATGCAACTCACAAGATTTTAACAATCAATTAAACCACTCAGTTGTATACCACGTCAAATATATACCACAACAAATATCAAACTGTAAAGTCAAGGGAAAACAAAGTGCTGTGGCTTTTCCCCAATACAAATAACAGTGTCATCCAGGGAAAGGAAGATATCACGGCCCACAGCCACATGCCAGAGGAAGATTGCAGAAACAAAAGGAAATTGAGGAAAGTGGCCGAAAATTTGGAGACTTTAGGAAAATGAAAAATCCTATTGCCTTTGGGCTTTCAAAATGCAGTCAGGCAAAAATGAAAAATAAATAATAATTGTAAACTTTTTGTTTGTTAATATTAAATTAGCTACAGAACTGCTTTGCACTGTAAAATTTAGGCGCAAACTTTCTATAACTTATATAATTAAATTATGACACGCATTCGTTATTAACTGACATAAATATGCTACTTCTTATCTGTTCCAAAAATATCCATAATTTAAAACAAACTACAATTCTTAAAAATGTTTTGGAAAAACAGAGTTGCAAGAAAAGGGGTTAAAACTAGTTGAGTTTTATAGTAAGCTTTTTTGTCCGGAGGAAGATTGAGAACTTCTCTGGACTCTGGTGTCAACTTTTTTTGCACCAAAATAACTTGGATTAAGACATATTTGTGCTAGAATTCTGAAAAAACGTTTCAAGAGAGTTTTTTGTTAATGATTTTAAAGAAAAATGGTGACAATTGTTAGAGGAAATATCTTTGCTGTTGAAACAGATTTGTATTTTATAAACGCACATATAAATTTTCACAGAATTACGATATACAAGATTGCTTCATCATAGACTTAAATAGCTTGCCAGAAAACAACTGCTCATTTATGGGTTTAATAACACTGTTTTGAAAATGATAAAAATGCGAAAAATCACCAATCAAAGCCTTGGTTCCTATCAAATTTTATTACATACATAACGTGCCATGAGAAAAGAAACTTCGTTAAAAGACTCTTGTCAACAATGATGCTCAAGGACTCACTTGAATATTCGTTATTCCAGCAGATATCCCTTTTACTTTTACTTTCACTGTTGCATCGCCAGCATATCTGTAACAAAGAACAGGCCTGAATTATCAAGGTTCATAATCAAGAAATACATAATCATTTGAAAGTACAAATGCAAAGCTCGATAGAACTGCGAAAAAATCATAAGCGTACTAAGCAAGAACGAAGGTGACTCTATATGACGAATATACCTATTTAGATTGCTTCAATTGCTTGATATTCGAGGAAATTTTATTATTATGATTTTAATGATATTATTAATCATTTGAAATTCCAAGTATCATCTGTATATTTTTAAAAGAATATATGGTAAAACATCACTAAAGTAAACATTGGTAATTTGCGATGGCATTAATGAAAAACTGATGTCAATTTTGCGAATAAATGCAGATATTTCCATTTCGAACAACAAGGCAAGCTTTATGTTCATCGATTAAATTGACATTTTGGCAACTGACATCAAATCACAGTCCAGGATGATTTCAGATCTTTCAATGTTCTTGGAGTAAACTTTGATCCCACCAAATCTAGGAGCCTGTCAAGGTAAGGTGTGACGTCATCACTAAGTAAATCTTACAAAATATCATAGTTAGCATAAGAATACACATTTTTTTGTCAAAGCAATCTAAAGAAGGAACTACATGTTCGAGATTTTGCATAAAGTTAGATTTAAAGACACAGAACAGATGAGATAAGAAGATCATTTATTCAAAACTTAAGAAGGGAAGCGACGATAAATTCTGTTGTTCAGTCGATTAGAAAATGATGAATGTGAAATAAACGATGTTATGAAAGCTGAGCTTTAAGAAAAGGACAGTTGGGTTTTAGTTTCATTTTCTCACAGAAGGTAATCATCTGTCTAGACATATGGTTAAGAGTATGATAGCTACATTAAAAGAGCTGAGACAAACGTACAATCCCTCTGTCTCATCTTTACATGGAATCAAACAGATTATAGTGGGGATGACAAGATCAAAAAAGTAATCATGACTGTTTACGGTGGTTTATAACAAGATCGGTCTTACATATGACGATCAACCTCAAGAAGGAAATGATTGAAAATAATTTTGATTTTGTACAAACAAATTCAAAAGAGACAAGCATGTGTAAGACATGAAGTTGGATTTTTACCGAATTATACTTTGAAGGATCACTGGAGAAAAACACGTCCCTAATCATGTTGTGGTCAAGCCACTTATATGTTTTCAAAATTTAATTTTGAAGATAATCAACATCACAAGCATCAAGAAAGATACACACAGAGTACATTGTGGATCTGATCATGTGTTCAGATGGCGCGAAAAAGACTTCAGAAGATTTGAAAGATTATTAAAGATGTTAAACAATTAATATATAAACATATAAACATACCACAGTTGTTGCAGCTAAAATAAAAGCTATATACTCACCTGGTCACCAAGATGTATTTTTTCAAAATAGAACGATTTGATGATACTGGGAAGCTTTTCTTGTATTTTTGGCTCAACCTTCTCCTTTAGGATCTGTCTCACCATCTTGTCAACAAAGGGCCACATTTGGGCAATGATCTAGAATAAGCATTGGCCTAATTAGATATTATTGAAAACTAATTAACTAACAGCAAAAATTTACTAAATATAATGTTTCTTTTCCATAAATAATACTCGGGTTAAAGGGCAGATGCTCGTCATCAATGTATGAAATGGTTTAAACTCATGCCTCTTGAAAACTATCCTTGACCATACGTAAGGTACACATGCAAAATTTGGAATAAAAGCTTTCCGAAGGACTAAAAGACTGAAATCATGTGGATCAAAATAGGCCAATCAGAAACACAAGCACATCACTGAGGTTGACCAATCGGTGCCGCTTGCCTATTGAGAGTGTTACCAATGGAATCCTAAGATGAAAACGAACTCCTTTTGTCTACACACTAGCGGTTTTTTCGTGCTTATGTAGATAATTCCAAAACTGCTAGGTTGAACGACGATCGGGCTTTACCAATAATCCGAAACATGTCGCCATTATAGTTTTTTGCACAATCTGGGTTTTTCCAGGAAATGCTGCCTGATAGCAGAATCGCAGGTTTTCGTTGTACTTTTAGATCTGCAAGACCGAGGTGGCTGTTCTCTTTGGGGACGAGTTTTGTTTCTAATACTAGGCGGAACATGTTGTTTTATTCTATCCTCCAATCTTTGGGTAGTGCGTCCTACGTAGCCAGAAACACACTGGCACGTAAATTCATATACAACGGAACTTTTTGTGTGGCAGGGACGCAGTCCTTTTGAATGGACGGAAGGGCCTTTTTCGTACTATAAACAACACGTGGGTTGACTGCAAAGAAACAATTTGTAATGGCCTGTTTTATTTTACATTCAAAACGTAGGGAACTGTCACCGATCCAGGGTAGTTTTAGATTGACCGGGCACTTTTGAGGACCAAATTTTACGTCAGCCAAGAAATTTCCTATCTTCTCCTTAATGTAAACTGAAATAACGTCCTCTGGATAGTCGTTCTCCAGAAAGAGCTTAGTTAGTTTTTCAAGTTCCGATGTGTTTTGATGAGGCTGATTTTTCTTTGTTTTGGGCAAAACGAACTCCATCGAGTGTATAACCCCGAAAATGTGGGTTTACGGTATACACTAGTGAGAAATCCAGTGCCAGATTTTTCAACCAAAATATCTAGAAATGGCAAGGAGTTATTTTCTTCCTTTTCAAATATAAACTGTAGGGCTGTGTGAAGGCCATTAAGGCGTTTTAGGAAAGTATCACACTCAGCCTCTGTTTTGAAAATGGTATATGTGTCATCCACATACTGAAAATAAACACCTGGCTTTTGGTCGCAGTCAAACAAACGCCCTTCATGAAAGCCAACAAAGATATTGGCCAAGGCAGGTCCCAGAGAGCTACTCATGGCGACACCATCCTTTTGTTGGTACATTTCATTGTTAAAGCTGAATTCAACTGAACGTGTTGCAGTTTCCATCAGTTCAATGAATACTTCCTCTGGGAATGGTGGGCTATTAAGCTCGCTCCGGTACAAAGCGTCGGCACATATTTTGATGGTCTCACTCAAAGGGACATTTGTGAAAAGGCTGCTAATGTCAAAAGAACACATGAAAGATGTTTCGTTTTTGATGTTCAAGTTTTGCATGAACTCAGCGAACGTAAAGAGTTATTCAAAACATTGTATCAAGGACTCTTTTACGGTATTTTTAATGGGTTTAAAATGGGCGTGGTCCGGAAGATGGGGGTACTCAACTAGTTTAAACCCCTTTTCACAGGTACATCACAGAAACTATTGTTCAATACTGAATCACTTTCAGGCTTCTCTTTGATAAAAATTGCCTATTTCACTATCTTAATGGACCACAAATCTACTACCTCATCTAAGCAACAAAAGCCAAGAAACCTCCAGGGAGTAATTTTTGTGTAGCTCCAGCCAGACAAAAATTTGATTTTGTTTTTGCATGATTTCTTACAAACAGAATGTTTTAGCTAAGGTTCTTATCATAGTTAACATATTTCCAACAGGGTGCTTCTCTGTATTATCTAAAGCACTTGGAAAAATTGTCAAAAATTACCTCATTGAGCCATTCTGCTCGTTGCATATCAGGAAAATCTACCTAAAAATAAGAAAAATTTCAATACCTTAAATTTTAAATCGACAAAAAATATACCAAAGATGTTAAAACCTTCTAAAGTAGACATTTTATTAAATTGATTGATATTGTTATATGTAGATGACTACTTACCCAGGATGGAAGGTCTCGTCTCTGTATTAAGGCATTCTGCTCATTTCTTGAAACCTCTGCCAGAGACTTCATTCTTTTTTCCTTTTCTTTCTTGTTCAGTCTCCACAAAGCAAAAATCATTAACCCAATCAAAACCCAGACATAGTGCAATCCAAGCCATCCAATGGTCCATATGGCAAGTGCTGCAGCAACAATCTTGGCATGGTGAATTACAGCATTTTTTACAGTTTGACCATCAAAACCGGCATATGTTTCTCGTTCTTTCTTGGTTTCAATTGAGCCACTTTCATCTTCTTTGTCCAACATATCCTAATTCTGTTTTGCTTAAAGCAAATTTGTATATGTTTAATCTGGAAAGCAAGGAAAAAATTAGTGGACAAATGGGATTCTAAGTCTCCAAATCCTATAAGATGGTATTTCTTATAAAACCAGAAGTGCTGATACCAGACCAGACCTGTCAAGTTTCAATTTCAAAAAATGAATGTGTTTTTGTGAAAAGGAGGTAAATGTGTCAGACAGCTATGGGATATCAAGGCCTTGGGCAGGTCTGGAATCAATCTTGACTGTCACAGGGACAAAAGGGGGCCAGTGGCATAGCCCTTAGAGAATTTTTCATTGAGATGCCTTCCAGCTCCTTGTAAACATCAACTTCGAGTAAACATCCATTACAGGCAGCCTTTTTGCAGGATGCTGTGACCCTCAGTCAAATCATTCAATCCTTTCCAATAGAGCTAAACTGTATATGTAGGCAAGAAACATGTTAAATATGTTGAAATAGCTCTATGATAAATATGACTCACTTAGACTGTCCAGATCTGTTATTCTCTAGTCATTTTACATTCTGTAGCTAGGCCTTATTAGGAAAGAAGACTTTTGCTTGGAACTGAAAACTGAAAAAACTGACTTGTGTAAATGCTCTAGGGTCATTTCTAGATATAACTGGACACAGGCCCAAGGACATATGTCTTTAGACAACTATCCTTCAAACTCAGAATGATTAACAGCTTTTAGACAAGTTTTTATCTTTTAGTGAAGTTTTTATGAGAAAGTACCAGTAAGCAACCATATCAGACTGTGTGGTTTGTTAAAAAAGCCCAGCAGTGTAGCAGAAGTCTTGAAGAGATTAAGCACAAAACTCCAGCATCTACAATAATTAACAGGTTATAAACAATAAACAATTGTGTTCTCTTCAGGTCATTAAATCTCCATATCCTTCAAACTAACTCTTAATACCTTTTGTGAAGAGGAAATCTGACAGGTGGCTGCAATCCAGCCAAGTCTCATAAAAATGGATTTCAAATTCCAATCAGGTTGCAGTAAATGCTTAATGCGCACTAAAACAAAATCTTATGATAAATTTATCTGTATTTGTGGTTTCCACATGCATCACACAGAAATCAATCAGGGGTGGACACTTGGTCAAATAGTGGGGGCTAAAGCCTATTGTTTCGATAAGATAATGTCACATTTTCCCCCATTGTTTTATATCAAAAGACCATTGTCTTACAAAATATTGAGGGCAGCCACCTTCTCCCTCACCCCCCCCCCCCAGGTGCCCGCCAGTCTTTGTATTGTTGAAAGACTTATCGAAATAGACTTTCGAGATAAAAAATGTGTACACTTGTAAACATTAAGGATCAAGGACATGTAAACATTGTAACTTTGTAAACTCCGCCATAATCTACAGATTGGAAGCCTCAAGGCAAAGATAGGAGCATCCATCACAGATCAGTTACAGAACGAACCAATCCATTTATCGCAAAAACTTGCACTATTTTGCATTGCCCCCACATCCAGCCGCTGTGCATTTCCCGGTTCATTTTCTGGAAAAGGCGGGAGAACGGAGGAGGTTTGTTTTTGTTTCCATGTTCAATCAAATCGCCTGGCTGTGGAACAAACATTGAAATGGGAAGAGAAACTAGACAGGCAGTTTTTTATTTAAATGATCGATCCCAATACAAAGCTTAGATTCTCTTGTTTCGTACAATTCATTCAATTGATCATCGTGATTCTCTCAACAAGGAAAACATCAATAAACGAACAGCAACGTAGCTTCACATCCTTTGGCCTTCGCAAACTGTTTAGCTTGCAACAGAAATACCTCATTATTTCTAACGAAAAACAGTGGAAGACAATAGCCTAAACTTCTACACTTACCGAAACAGACTTGAAATGGAGAATATTACAATTTGAAATGGAAATCTCCTTTAGCCCAGTATTTCTGCGGTGAAAAGTCTTTACGATCACAAAACTTATTTACCAGCTGCGCAAGGCCACCGGTCTTTCAGCTTTTAGCTAGACAATGCGGTTGGCAGGTTACCGCTATAAACTATGACTTGCGTTGAAAAGCGAGTGAACAAATATTTATAGTTTAATGCGGTTGAAGAGTGTTGTTTTCGGTGGATCGACACGAGGCTAGACAATGTTTTGTTTTTCATGGAAATTTCAACAGGAAGCAGCTGCTACGCCAATGTGGCTGTCTTGGCATATAGTGTTGTTTAATTGCGATAAAACTTTTTATCGAAAACTCAATGTTTCTAAATGTCAACTAATACCAACAATTCTTTGAAGAGTTAAAATTAAAATCTGTAAAAAAGTTTCTTGTCAGCTCTCTTTCAGTCGTATCAGGCTCTCTTCGTTGGATATCTAATTAGGGAGACGAAATACGTCAACAAATCAAAAATCGGTCATAACAATTTCCTTGTAGACAGCAAACATGACAATTGACAATAGATTTTAGCGAAAATATGTAATACAGAGCAGAAAACGCCAATAAAAAAACAGCTAAATCTGCAGCAAGAAAGAATTATAGCACATTTAAATGGGTGATATATGGATTCTGAAGTAGTTTTAAGGGTGAATTTCTTACTAGACGACTATTAGATGGATCCAGCTGTAATCACTGAACATCAGCAGACGATGTTAGTCTAAGCAAAGCAGTAAGTTTTAGCAATGATAATCCATTATCTTTGATTTTAGTAAGAAAAATATAAGGCCGTCAAGAAAGAAGACCTAAATTTTCCAGACAGTATTTTAAAGGCCTTTAAACGGATAAACACTGACAGGGCATAAAATAAGCGTGGATCTGACACACTTTGTGGAGTTGTAAATTAAAATTGTGGAACTGTAATTGTAGAAAGTGCGGATTTGTAAATAATGCATGTTCTTAAAAGTGCAGCATAAAATACCATTTGAAACGCCTAAGAAAGAAATGGGAACATTTTTTCAATTCGAAGTAAAGCCCAATCCAAGCTTTATGTATTGCACTCATTTTTTATAAGAAAATTGCGATAAGAAATAAGCAATGGACAATAAAAATGAATTAAGAAACTTCAGAACTCAAAGCTTCAGTATATGCGGAGAAAAATCAATTGCTCTTTCTGATATTGTTGCGTGCTATTTTGAAGTAAGATGGACTGTGTATACAGCTTTGATTTCAAGACATCATCTCAATTTAGTTTGCTTTTATGGTTTGCTTCAAAAAAGACACTGAGCTTAAAGACCAAGACCGAGATTATGATCTCCTGCCCGTAATGTATTTTGGGGTCTGTGATATCTTTCAATAGATTTTAGAAAATGTTATAAAGCAATTCAACTAAGGTGTTTTAAATTGGAGAAGCATTGGAAAGATTCCTCTCAAGGCTACAGCAACTGAACGATGATAAGCCTCTCGGTGGTAGCTGGGAGGAACATTCAGTCTCCCACTTAGTCCTCCCCAACTTTTTTGCAATAATAGATTAGAAAATGTTTTGAAAATTTATGCTAACGAACGCATTAGTAGCAGTTCTGCTGGGAACACGTTTTTGTTCTTTTTGATGGTGCTTTATCTTGTGTGATCAAAGATAAATTTGTATTTTTTCTAACTCGGTTTTGTATTTTTATGTTAATTGAAATATTCTCTAAATTGTAATTGTTTATGAATAAGGACAGATAGAAGCGAATATTTTCTGAAAGGAGTGTTTTCCGGTGTTTCTAAGGGCGTGGCCGTAAAAAAATTTAGGGGCAAGCCTTCTACGAGCTCGGCCTTCTAGTCCCGTTCCAGCCCCTCCATTATGGGCTGGTGCCAGTGTGACCTGATCTAGCGTAATATTAGCATAATATTGGGCAAAAATCGTCATTTCGCATAAAATCTAGCATAATTTGGAATCTAGCATAACTCTGGCATAATTCTGATATTATTTAAAAGAATCATTGTTTCCATTGATCCATTGTCTATCGTTACCAAATGGAAGCACTTTAAACCAGCATCTGTGGTTTCATTTAGAGGTAAATTGTGACTTTCCACCTTCAGGATTTTGTCAGTTTTGTATGGTTGGCAGCCACATATTTTGTGGTTGGCAGCCAAATGCAGCCAGCTAAACGCAGTATACAAAAAATCGTAATCAAAATTTGCTCTGTAGGTTACAAAAGTTTTCACTTGCTTTTATTAAAAACTGTCTGTTATATTTTTCTTTGTTTCAACATTCATCATTTGCAATTTTGAAATTATTTTAAAAAGTTTTAAATATTATCTGTTCAAAAAGTTTTTGCTTCTTCGGCCAAATCAATTTGTGGCGGCCAAGGGGTTTTGAGAAACTGCCAAAATGGAGAAATTTGGCCATCAAACCATAAATCTAAATTGCCTTTTTGTTTATGAAGAATGAGTACACTGGGTTGTCAAAAAGGCCAAATTGCAACTCTGGCCACTTTTGATATTCTGAGCATGCACTAACCTCTTTCTCGAGCAGGGTTGCCTTGCTTTGAAATCTAGCATAATTTTTGCAAATCTAGCACAATCGTATGAAAAATTTGGCGTACTTCCAAATATGAGATCTGGTGCGTGGTTTCTGCATTACAAACAAGATGGGTGTAAAGGTCCTGCTTTCAAGCTGGGCGAAAAGAGAAAAGAAGAAACAAGCACAATTGTACATCAGTGAGAGAAGAATTTATTTGCCATCTGTAACGAGGTTTACGTTTATAGTATCAAAACTTTTTGAAGAACAGATTTGATGGCAAAGAATTTGATGAGCTGAATGCAGTTAAGAACTTTTCATAAGTAGAAGAGACTTGAGAAAGCTTCACCCAGCTTTTGTCCCGGACAAAATATTTCATTCAATCATGCATTAAATTTTGAGAAATAAACGAACAAGATTGCAGAGATCTGACAATGGCTCAGATTCTCGCAGCAAACCCTAATCCTGTCGATGTAGAGAGACTGATTCCCACCTACAACAAGATAGAGGCAGGTGGGGAAAGCAGCAAAGCTCCAGGAAAACCTAACAAATAGATAAATATTGCAATGAATATGCTTGATCTTGCAAGTTTCGAGTTATGAGAATAGGAATGATCAAAAGGTTCGAGTTTAGTTTGTAAGAGAAAAATTCAGTTGTACAGTGCACAGCACAGCGTATATAAGCAATTATATGTGACACTGTGGTGCCTTAGTTTGTAACTAAATATTGAGCTTACTAGACTAACCATGTGCAATTGCTATAGTCCTTAAGTGCGTGGTTATACGCTACAAGAAACTGTTATAATGGGATCCACCCGTACATATTCACTGCGCTGGTATTGAACCATGAGGTCCCGTACAAACATAACAAGCAAAAATCGTTATGCAGTTAAGACTGGATTCTCCAGAACGGGTGATTCGTGTTTTGTCCTGGCTAGTCCTGGCTCTTTCCCAGCATTTAGAAAATTCTGGGTCATAAGCCTGTCATAAATTCCATGGTAAATATAACTGCTTTTATAAATGGGCTTCTAAAATACTTTGACTATCAAGGCAATTAAAATGTAAGCAAATATTGTAATGTTGTAAAAACATATAAAGTCGTTTTTGACGACCCTTAAACAAGTTGCTTGTGATTATTTACCAATTTTTCACCGGCAAAATAAATAGCAGGCTCTAAAAGTAAACAACTGGTAGTTTTCAGCAGTATTTTGTCATCCAAATCGCAGGTTAACGGTGGATGTTGAGAAAAGCAACAAGACAAAATGTGTTTCAGCTGTTGCAGGTGCAAGACTTACTTAACAAATCAACAAAAAGCTGAATTGCAATCAGGAGTGCATTTATCACATTTATCAGGAGTGCGTCAATGCAGCTGCTGTATGCGATTCACCTTAATTGGATTGACAAAAGGCACGTAAAAGCGAAGATAAAATTGTGGAAACAGCAGCTGTGTTTTTTGGTTACTTGCAACTTAACAAGATTTATACTAGATTTAGAGATGCCACAGGCTAAACGTTGTAATGACACCGATAGAATTAGGCAAATATATTTCATTACGCCTCTTTCAATGGGTTTGGAAAAGTTGTTAATGCAATTATGTTACAAAAGAATGAGTTCTTTTGATGGACGGAGTTGCGTGGCAGATCAGTTTCAATGATTATTTTCGCATACTAAATAACAAAACTAGCTGCATACACATTAAACAAAAGGAGGCTACAAAAATAATTTTGATTGCAAATTCTGAAGACACAAAGGTAAAAATGATTGCGTTAATGGGTTATATATGATGGCTAGCAAAAATCTTCAGATGGCATTAACACTTCAAAGATGCCCTTAAAAATATCGAGATATCTCAAAATACGGTTTCCTTTTAATTGCTTTGCAAAAGCAAACATTTCACAACATATTACTGAAATATTTTCGTCTGACACTCTTCAGAGTATAAAACTTCAGAATCATAGGCGTAAACTTAGGGGGGGCTCTGGGGCTTCAGCCCCTCCTGACGAAAACCTGGAAAATAAGGAAATGCTTAACCAATTTTTAGATTAGTTTGTTATATTATTGGTTTCATGCATAAGCTTTGTTGCATTAGATAATTGCATTTATAGCAAAATAAAGTATGACCTTATTCTGACGTTTCTGATGAAATGCTATGAAGACTTTTAACATATTACGTAACAATACTGTGGAATAAGCTTTTGAGGAAACATAGAAACAGTGAAAAGGACTCTTGATTATTTGGAAGTTGATAAAAATAATACTTTAGCTGTACAATTATAAGTAAAAATATAATTTTCTAATGGTATAAACAAACATGGATAACTTGAAATCATCCTCATCAAAATTTGAATTTAATTTCATAAGAAAATATACGAATTATAATTGACTAGTTAAAAAATATAGCATCATGTTCTGAAATCAAAATTTTACGACTAGTAGCATAAGAGCGTTCATAAAAAATTAACATGTGACACATTACTAACAGAGTCAACTAAAAGACATAACACATCTCAATCCGATTTGACTACTGACAAAGGCACCTTAAAATCACGCCACTGAACCTCACCTACCATGCTCCATTACAAAACTCAAGCTATAAGAGGGTGGTATCGAGATTACGATGGCCACTTAACGAATTCCGTTTTACGTTCTGTCACATCCAAACAAATATGTTTCTTTCAAACAACAGCAAAACATAAGGCTTTTTATCGAAACATTAACACACGTGTGTAAAACGATCTATGAGCTGAATGAATCAAAGGGCGTTGCCAACTAAAATAAGCTTCCATTAAGGGACATTTGCACACCTTCATATTGATTGGAACATCCAAACAAAGTGCAAATAATATTATCAGAAAATAAATTTTCTGCAAAGGGGAACCTATTATTATTACCCACGACGGGCAGTCTCTGATCCTACATGTTTTCAATATGACAGGATTTCACAAATTGCGAAGAAAATAAGTCTTATCTATGGTCAAAGTCTTTTAACAGAATCTAGATGTTGGCCTGCCATGCAAAACAATGATTCTCTACAATTATCTAGCAGTGCCGTTTAGCTATAAATTTAATTGTTAAAAAAACGAACAGAAATTCTAATTCGAACAGAAAATCATAAAAATGTACAAAATTTAATAAAAAATAGGATAAAAATGATCGTAATCTAAAACCTTATCATTACTATAAAGATGAAAACCTTCTGCTGTATGCCTGATATTAACCTTTAAAATGCCTGCTTTTGTCCTTCTTTACATAAACTGCTAGTTTTGCTGTTAGGATTTGGAGTTGGTCGTTGGGGCAGTGGTATAAAGACCTTCCACGTGAAATGCAATAAACTTCGACATTTGCTATTATCAAAAACTATAATCGAAAAAAATAAATAACACTCTATCTGTTCACACTATATCTCAATGTTAAGAACGGCTACATATCTTTTTACAAACAAAAAGTTTTTGAGTTTACTTCATTGAGCGAAATCTACAGCGACAACGTGTTTATGTACTGCAGGAAGGAATCTAGAACAAAATATTTACCATAAGGTATAAGCACCATAACGATGAAGAAAACTCACGTTTAAAAACACATATAATCTAACTTTGATTATCATCAGCAACGTTGGCAGGATCCTCTCTATAACTGCTTTTTCTATCAGGTTTAGTCATATATTCAGTTAGTTTTTGCATCTCTGTTTCATTCAACGATGCTTCATTCATTGACTTTCGAAAATTCTCATTTGAAGCGCCCTCTTTGCAATCTGAGCGGTGTTTACGTTTCCGATGTATCTCCTCGCTAATGTTCTCTAGATTTCCTAAAACTTCAGAGTATTGCTCCTTTGCAAAGCAGATACCTTCTCCAATTTTCTCAACACGTTCCCTTTGTTGCTGGAAATCATATCAAATCATTTATAGCATATCAACAGGAAAGTGATGTGTCGCAATCACAATAATTGATAGATGCCATCATGCAGTTTTTTGCAACATATTTTATACTTTTTAATATACACCAGCTACATGAATGAAGATGGCACATTCTGGCCAAAAAATTTCAAATTAGAAAAGAGTCCAGGAAACACCTCAAATAAACTTGCCTGTTCTCCAATTATGAAACTACGATGTGGGACATGGTGCATTACAAGCCCAGAAAATTACGGGCGACAAAAAATATTTAGCAATTTCGATTCTGTCAGGACATAACTTGATCATTATCAAAAATACTGATATCATTTTTGCATGTAATTTTGAAACATGAGGATGTCAGGAAACGTTTTTCATAAGATTTGAGGTGTTACAAAAAATTGGCGTTGATAAATCTTTGCATTTGATCGTTGAAATTATAAAAATAAGCCGTGAAAATAGCTTTGAAACGTCACCATTCCCAAACATTGGAATCTATTACAATTACAATAGCTTAGATTGGGCTTGGATTGGATCATCCTATATTGGCTGACTGCTTATAACTTTCTGTAAAAGCAATTGAAGTGTGATGCTTTTGATTGAAAGCCAGCAGCAAAGCTACATTACGTAATTATTTGCAATCTTCTTCAGTCATAATCTCGCCATTGTGGAAAGCAGGTTTTATCCAGGATCTGCTTATCACCACGATTTGATCTGCACTTAGAAGAAAATAAAATTACGGCTGAAAAGTTAATACCTCTAATCTGTTGTATAATGTGTCCTTTAAATCGAAGTAGGATCTGGAAAATGAATAAACATTATAAATTTTTTTGAAAGTCTTGTGAGATCCTAGAATTCGAGCATCAGCTTTTTCATCTTAAATTTGTCAAAGTTTGCAAACCAAAAGCCTACGTGTTTGAAATTAGGCCATGATTGGTTAAAAATTGAATTCAAAAACCTTATTGACTCTCGGACAACAAAACAAGAGTGCCAGCAGAAAAGAAACAAGACCTCAGAATTTTACAACCAGTACAAAATTTTAGCGGTTAAACAATTCACTATCACCTGGTCCCACAACAAAGATGGATAAAACCAGTTTTATGCAACTTTAAAAGAGAAGTGTAAACATAGCTGCAATTCATGAAAATATATGTCTACTTTTGAAGAAAGAGCATCCTAGAAACTCACAAGTTTAAGTTTTTTTGGTTATATGTCAGCCAGTTTAACAAAAAGGTAATGAGCCTCTTAACAGTAAAATACAACGTTTGCACAAGGAACAGGTGTCTCATAGGGAGCAAATTCTTTGATCGGTACAAAAGTGATCAATTTCTTAGATAAAGGAAGATTAAGCCTTTTCCGTATAACTATATCGCTTCTGTATAGCAAAGACAAGGTCAATTTACAATAAGTAAAAGTTAGGCTGATTAAATGAAAAAATGGCGAAATCAATACCATGTGTATGTACAACACAATCGCATTTTATTGTCTAATGGTAATACCTGGATTTCTTAACAGCCTTTTCAGCTTTCTTCTTGCAATTTTCTTGCTGCTTTTTTAAATCTGTATATATCTTCAAACAGTCTACTTTTCTCTTCTCGTATTCGTTTCTTCTATTTACAGCCTTGGCAAACTATAATAAAATGAGCATAAAAAGTCAAGCAAAGTCCCTTATATGCATACTTTCTGCACTTCCAGTGCTAGAATGGAATATCGACAACTTTGCTACCGATTAATTAAACCCAAATTTGAAAGGGATTTGACTATCTGTTAATGCCATCTGTAAATGTCTTTTTTACACAGTAAATCCCTCAAAGAACAACCCGCTTTCAAGATTCGGGCTGTTCAATTGCTCTGTTGTACAGGAGGAAGCTTTTTGGTCAAAGGTCCTTACATTAGCTCTGTATTTAAAAGGTATATTTTGCTGACGAACAAAGCCCGTTGTGCAGAGAAACAGTTATTTCTCTTCGTGAATACATATGGTTTGGTGTCAATGTCTTTTAAACGAAAAAGCTTTTGTTTTCTCAGACTACAAAGGCTCTTACACACACGGTTCCTAATAAAAGAAGAAATTATGTCGTTTTTAAATTTATATACATGTTTTTCTTTGCGGGAATTCGCCGCTCTTCATAACCGTCAGAAAATTTCCAATCTCGGAAATGACGCAAAAATTAACACTAAATGAAAAGAGAGAGTCAGTAACAAACACTGTAAGAATTTTCAGCAGTGATACAGGAATGGACGTCGGTAAGCAATAACCACTTCGAGAGGGAATATGATACAACTTAAATAAAGTCAAATGATGGAAAGAGATAAGGTAATCTGACAATAGGAAACGGTATTACTCAATAAAGAGCTACACTTTCAGAGAAAGTTGCATAAATTATTTGGAGCTAAATTCCTGTACAACATTGTTGATATTTCAGAAAGCAGAGCGCTTAATTTGGTTACACTCCAAGAAATGGACAGGAAAGCAATGTAAATGACATGGTATTGATACATATTTTGCGGTGTTAAAGCAGATCACAATAAACAGAGCGGGAGACCTGCCACTGAATGCCAACTCGATAACAATGCATGAAACGTCGTCGATGCCGAAGTCTATAAGAATACCAAGTTTACAAAGAGATAAGGAAAACAGTTCTACCAGCGCAAAATCAAGATGAAGAAGAATGTATGGTTTTGTCGCATATGCTGAAGTGTCGGAAATAATACTGAAAGGTTCTTTAGATGGTAGGGGCAATAGAAGTTGAAAAAGGCCTAAACTGCCTTAAGTTTTTGTATTTATGTATCCTTGGTTGTTTATCCCCTATTTTATATGATGAAAACACCACATGTGGTTAAGCAAAACCATAATCTCATATCAAAATGAAAATGATGGATGTTTAGGAAAATATAGAAAGAGACGCCAACAACTTCAATATGTAATGCCTCCAGGAGTGTAGGTGTTGCACCGATTAAGCCAAAAAGTCAGAGTGACAAACCATTGTTTAAGTTTGAAACAGAAGCAAGCCGCAAACAGGAAGCGCTTGGCAGCCATTTGAACAAGCAGAAATTTTATTGGTATGTCGGAACAATATTGCTAGATGCAATTATGCAAGTGAAGTTACAAGATTGGACGATGGAGATGTAAAAGCTTTCGTGACAAACAGTCTTAGCAAGCTACCGAGCATTTTCTTCAAGAGGAAGAGAAAAATATTTAAATATGTTTATTCGAGAAATTAACAACAGTTGGGCAAAACCGATAACTTAGTAATAAAGATTATAATAAGTGTTTAGACAAAGATTATTGCACCTCTAAGAATTAGAAAATAAATCGTTATTCGTTATCCAATAGACCATTACACAGATTATGGCTACATAATTTCAGTAAATACAGCTGTCCTCGTAGATTTTGAAAGACTGCGCTATCTCTTAAAATCTTTTAATTAAAAAGGTCTGCCAATGAAGTAAAAATAAATCTTAACCAAAAGATCAGGGAATTAAGTAAAAAATATTCTATACAATCCTCACAACCTCAATATTTGCTTGATTAATTTCTTCCTGGACTAATGGATCGATAGCTTTGCTTTCAGAAGACAAAGCAACTTTTTCGATTTCACGGACTCGACTTTTGGCTTCTGAAACACATCTCTCCATATCTTCACACCAGTTTTGAGCCTCGCGTAGTTCATCTTCAGCCTACAAAAGAAAACAACCTTTCGTATGCAAAAATGAAACTTTTGATATTGCTCTATTTCTTTCTCTTCTATGCAGCTTTATTTTACAGCAGATATAACTCAGTCGGTGACCTATTGTTTTTGCTGCTTGCACTATTCACACAAGATAACTAATATATCAAATATGAAATAATATTGTTTTTAAATCTATGAAGCTAAAAATAATATATGTGCCAGTATAATTACCTTTCATCTTAAACAGGATTTATAAACACATGGTCGATAAACACAACCCCAAGCTCTACGACGATTCCTATGTCAGAAATCATCACCATTAGGAACCGTCTTCTATCATGACACGCCACCTACACGTATCCTCAGACACCCCTCTCATGTCGCCCAATTCTATAACACCCATTCCACACCTTAATATATCCCTCAAGTTTTTTTATGTCTTCCTCAGTCTCGCTACTCCTCTACAATACCCCCTTTTTCTGTCTAACTTATTCATTATCCGTCTATAACACCACATCTCAAGAGCATGAAGATTTTCAATAAACGCTGTATTGCAAGTCCAAATAGCAGCCTTAAAATCAAGTTGAGGTTGTTTTAAGCCAAAAACTCTCTAAACTACCAGAAGTTACTTTTTGCATTTCAAATGCTTCCACTTACTTCTTCGTTCATTTTCCATCCTAAGTAATCCAGCTTTTCAGTTGTCTAAATTATGTTATATGTTCTAGTTTTTTGTTACCTACATTATAATGTCTTATATTTAACTTATACACATATATTACATATTTAATTCTTTCTCGGTCGACAATTTACCCTTTTCTATTGGTTAATGCTTCTTCTATTAGGTATTCACTTTATACAAATTGCACAGAACAGGGGAATATTTTACAGCCTTGCCTCTTTTAATTGCAATATCTACAGAATCTCATTTGTAGTTCTTAACATAGCCATCTGTTTAAGAGACAATTCTTCTAATTTTTATGATGTCGTATCCTACTCTGCCAAATGCCTTGGTGTAACCGACAAAACAAAGATAAATTTATTTATAGCTTATAAAGAAATTTATTTTATGATGTTGTACCCTATAAAGCTATTTTAATTAAAATTTTTGCAATAGTTTATGTTGTTTATATTCTTTTGAGCAAAGTTCATTTTCACTATTTCTAATTTAAAATAATGATGGAACCTATTTTCCATAATTGTTAGAAGAATTTTCACTGCACAAGAAAGGAGGATAATTGTTCTGTATTTGTCACTTAGTAGCTCTTAGCTATAATGCTCAAGATCTCATTCACAAGCTCAGGTCAGAAATCCAAAATTTTGCAATGTCCAAAACCCAAAAAGAAATCAGACAAATGGCTATTCATTAGGGATGCCTATTTGTGTTTTTTTCCTCCAAAATAGATACTTAAAACACTCCTTCACATAATAAAACACTCCTTCACATAATATTTAATTTTCCAACATCTTTTCAGTGTGCTTCAGAGAGAACCCAAATATATTAAATTCTATTCATTTCTTGTATCCCATAAAGGTGTTAATAATACTCAGACAAGTTCCAATATTGTATGGATTGTTGGATCATAGTGCAGGGTTACCTGATGTCTGACATCCCATCCACTGGTCCTAGGATTACCCTTGAGTGTTTTTGAAGGGCCAACGACCCTCCTTTTAAGGAGCTCTTTTAATCTAATCTGTTGACTCCAGAAGCCACAGTACTCAACAGCTTTTTTCATAAGTACTTACCAAGTCAGCCTTTGATCATAGTAAACAACACTGAGTTAGTGGACCCCAACGCAGGTGGTATAAGCCAGGTAACTGAAACTGCAAGCTAATGAAGGGAAGGGTTAATTTTCCATTGTTATCCTGTTCAGAACATGGCACTGCTCACAATATCATTATGACAAGAATACATTGGCAACTAAACAACATAAGACTGGGATGATTTGATGTCCAAAACTTAATATTTTAAAAGAGCCTCAAATTTATAATATGCGATCAAAAGGAAAATGCAGCCTAACATGGTATGGCTATTAAAGTGAGAGGCAAGTCCTGCAATATGAGAGTTAAAAATATGATAAAATGAATCACCTTAAGAATATTTTCTTGCAGCTCAAAGTAAACTCTTGCTTTTCTAAGATTGGAGTCACCAACTTTTTTTGCACTGACACTCAAAAGGTCTAAGGCTTCGGTCACCATTCTTTGCATCAAAGCTTTTGCTTCCTAGAAATTTAATTCAAGTGACAAGATTATTGGCTAAAAACCACACAATTTTTACAAAAAACATTGACATTTGCTGAGCCTCAATATTTTTAAAAACTTATGACTCTGAGCCTTATTATTCCTAAAAAAATTTAAAAAGAATATTTCTGCAACGTCTTTCTTTGCCAATAAAAATTGTAGAAACTGGAACAAACTTTAACAAATACACCTGGTGAGTATTTCTCAGACTTTAAATTTATGCTTTTCTTGTCATGAAAGTCTTCTTTCAAAGCAAATCAGATAGATAAAAATCAAACTTTTGAATATGACTAATATTCTCAATTAATTAATTTTAACAACTAAAGCCTCGATTTTTTTATAAAATTTATGATTCATTCTGACAGAATTAGTGGGTACTAATAATTATCAGGTTTTTCTACAATGCTTACATCATATTCTGTCTCCAAATGATTGATTCCATCTGTTGCAGCATTTAGTTTTTCAAGTTCAAACTGAGAAGAAATAAATATGTGTTTCAGTACTAAACTAATTTATGAATGAGAGGGAGTGGTATAAATTATTCAAACTTATGCATGAATACCTCAGAATTCAAATTCATACCTCACAATATTCAACTATAGTCAAAAATTTATTGTGTGAAAGTGAAGTAAAAAAATATTTTGTTAATCCTTTTGAAGAAGTTGCAACACCAGCAAGGTTTGTAGGTCTTGATAATGATAGCTAGATTTTATAAAGTGCCGAATATTATACAATACTCTGTGGTGCATACAATAAGTAAGAGTAACAAAAGTAAGAAAATAACAACAGATTAAAAAGACTTACGATTACAATAAATTGTCTAAAAATTACAGTATTTACAATAAAAAGATACTTAAGAATTAAATGCTTGTTTTTTTTTACTGCCTTCTTGAAAACAGTTATGTTCTTAGATTGTCTGATGTGGAGAGACAAAGAGTTCCATGTATAAGGTCAGCATATCCAATTGCTCTCTTGGCAAAAGTATCTGTCCTAACTTTTGGGATTTTAAGTAGTGATAGCTCTGCTGATTGAAGTGCCCTGGGAGCTTTTTTACTGATAAATAACTCCTATAAACAACGCCCACTATTGATCATGCACTTAAATACCAGTAATGAAAGTTTGTACAAGATCCTATGCCTGATAGGTAACTAATTATTTCAACATTTCTGTGCCACTATCTCTCAAGCTCCTCTTTAAAACAATCTAGCTGTAACATGTTGGAGTCTCTCCAATTTTTAACTGTGACATCAGGTAGTCCAAATAACATCATGGCAGTAGTTCTGAGGGAGGTGGCAGGACTAGGAAAATTTTTCAATGTCTAGCTATCTCTGAAATGTTCAAATTGTTCATTTCGTTAAAAATATTTCAGCTTTTATAAGGTTTTCCAAATTATCCAGCAAATCCAGCTTGCAGTTGAAAATATCTTGAGATCAAGAAGTGTACACCCCCTGTGCATCTCTTCCATATTAATAAGGGAATTAGAATTCTTCTTCACGACTTCCAACCTCATTTACTTTCTTCCTTTGCCAGCAGTTGTGTGGCACAGTAATCTAACATTGTGTTGACAGACTTTTTGTGTCACACAAATATGTGAAAACTTGAACCTTGATTGGTGAGAATTGATAAATGATTTGCATCACAAAGAGCCCTGCATATTTGTCATGCTTGGAAATTATCTTGTTCATGGTCTAGAGGGTCTTTTAAATTATTACATTGTAGCATTGGGTGTACGATCGACCAAGGTCGGTCCTGTGTAGATTGGGTAAAGAGAGCTAAATGAAGTACCGGTAAGGAGGAAAATTAAGGGTTACGTTAAAAGTGGTTGCCTGATTTCAAGACTGAAGATGAAAACTCAATTCTGAAAATCTGATGGTCTTCCGTGCGACCTGTGTGACACCCTGTATCCATCTTGAGCTGCACAAGAAACATATATAGAATAAATGCAAACCTATATCGCTTAAGACATTTTAGCATTTGACATCGAATGATCCAACAATAAAATTTTCAAGCCTTGCTAACTGTACTGGGCTAAAAGCTAATATCTGTGATAATATTATCAGACATTTCTTGTTAGTCTTAATAACATGATGAAAATGGTGGAATCTATGCATTAATAAGTTCTGAAGAACCGCGAAGAAAGACTCGATTTGAATTAACTCAGTAACTCGTCGCCGCACCCTTACCTTAACATTTGGGTTAACTTCTGAGTTTGACCTCAGTTTTTCTTGGCTATCGATATGATCGACTGCAGTTGCCATTGATGGCAAAAAATCCGGGATGAAGTTGGTTGATTAAAGCAACAAATTACCACAATACGATCGAACCGAGAAGTAAATAATATTTTGGAGGGAATTTGCCCTAACTGCGTGTTGAATTGAATGGTACAGCCTCAGTCAGACACAAATCTCCCTATCGCTTTCTTGCACCAATCCCCACCCCCACCTCAACCAGTTATATTTATAGTTTATAGTATATACCTATATATTTGTCGCTCCCCTTTGAATAGGGAAATCAAAGTTCAATATGAGCACAAGATATCATAAGCCTAATCATAAAGGCGTAGAAACATGGGGCTTGAGGGGGCTGTAGCCCCCAGTTATCACTATCAGACAAAATTAATCACACTGCAGGCTCCATTTGGATATTTCTATGTATCTCAATGAAGCAATAACATTCGGGCAAGCCCCTCCCCCTAAATTAAGCATCCGTTAAATATTGATTTGATATGCATATGATTTTATTTATTTACTTTTAATCTATATTTGCATAGCATTGTTAACGTTTTCCAGTAAATAATGATTTGTAATAGCCATTTCATTAAGAGTCATAATTTAACAGGGCCCCGCTTTGCTTACGGCCCCAAGGGCAATTGTCCCTCTTGCTCTCCCCTCTCGGTGGGCCTGAAGGTTCATGATTTACACTGGCGTGACCAAGGTTGTGAGGTTGGGGGCAAAGTCGAGTGGGTGTTTCTAGAATGTGGGATCCGAACAATTTATGAGACCACGCCCATCATAATGCTTGAAATTTTGACCGCCAAGAGTTTGGGCGTGCCAATAGTTGGTTAACCAAACAAAACAACAGTTATCAATTATAGTTTTTGACTGTGGCTGGTCCTATTCATTACACAACTGGGATTTTGCTCCTTGGTTGTCCTGATAAAAAGAGGATCAATAATTATGATATTACCGTAGACTTTCAAGAATTAGCTGGACTGTTTTGACGTTAGAATGAAGGTAAATTTAATAAGCCAAGAGTTGAAAGTTTAGAAGACGACTAATAAAAACTCAATGCAGCCGAAATCAATTAATGAAAAGTCAATTTAAATGAAAATATATAGAGAATTCGTTTTATTTTTTACATCATGCTAAAGTGCCTATGAAATGAAATTTCACATATTATAGTTTTATTGATAGAAATTGAAACTTTTACATGCTGTTGCAATATAAAACGAAAATTCACTTGAAAATTTGCACGGGAAAGTTTGTTTTGGGGTGTTTAAAAACAATCGGTGCAAGTGACAAGCAAGAGAATCAATGATGTCACAAGGTTTGCAGTTGGTTCAGTCTTCACAACAAACACACTTACCACTTAGTCAGGACTGTTAGTCAAACAATAGTGCAAATTGGGATACCAGCATGAAATTTTGCAAAAAGGGGTAGCTTGATACGCTGGAAAAGATAGGATATGGAACCCAACTTAAAAAGCCCCTAACCGCGTAATTACAATATCTCTTTTGAAAGTAGGTACAATAGCACGAAACTTTACAACAGGGAGCAGCTTGATACGGTACAAAATATAGGATATAAAACCTAACTGAAAATTGTCCCCTTTTTCTATTTTTAGACTGGGGCACTTTGCTCCAGAACCTTTAAAGACAGTGTTATCGCATCTCAGTCGTACTTTAGTACTACGGCACAAAACTTTTCAATATAGGACAGTTTGATACGTTGATAAAGATAGGATATAGACCCCGACTAAAAATTGCCCCCTTGGCAATTTTTATATCTCTGCTGAAAGTAGGTACAATAGCAGGGAACTTTGCAATAGGTGGCAATCTAATACGCAGAAAATAATAGGAAGTAAACCCCATACATTTTTAGCCGATTCCGCAAGAAAATTATCACATCAATATATATCATTGAAATCAGCAAATTTTGCTTATAAAAAGTGTGCTTTTATCTAACCTTGTCAAATTTTATTTCATATGCACTTTAAGATTGTGTAGTTTGCTTGTTATATTAGCAAGACAGTGAAGAAAGGGGGAGGAGGGAGGCAGAAATTGCTGAGTTTTGGTCAATAATGTTGACGGTTCCAGCATATGATAAGTTGGTTGAGTTCATGCTTGAATCTACTGTCTCTTCTCAGAGCATATGCATTTGAGAGAACCTTATATTATAATAATCTTATACAATTGAATAGAATTAACTCTTTGTCAACACTCCACAATGTATGTTAAGAACATGCAAACATTTCCCTACCATATTTACGGTTGATGCAAAAGGTTGATTGCCCTACAAACAGACGCAAGATTAAGCAACATGTTATATTTTGTTGAAGAAGAACCTAGAGTTTTGTAAATCAAGGAGGACTTTCAGAAATTTTCTCTTGTTGTCTGTTTTATGGCCTTTGATTACCATTTAATTTTTTTCGTTGTTTTGTTATCATATTCTCCATTTCTGCTGCTAAATTTAAACTGTTTTATTTTAAATGAACAGTTGTTGCAATCCCTCTACATTCCCCAAGGTTTCCCCTAATTTTTCAACTTTCCCCCGTAGGTTTCCCCTACCCCATACAAATTGCTTATTTCGCCTGAACACAGGGAAATAAGGGGCAGAAATCCATTAATCAGTGTGAACTCTACACCCGCTGCGCAGCACACCAACTGCTGTCGCTTAGAGTTTGTCTGGGCGTGGAAGAGAAACTGTGACTTGCTTTCCTTGTCGGGCTAGGAGATTGGGTAACGTCACTGATGAGCATTTCAGTCCCGATTTCATAAGAGGGAAGATTGAAACAATCACGGAAGTTCCAGACTAAAAAACTGCAACATGCCTCCGAAAGAGAAAGCCGGTGGCGTTCACAAAATCATCATGGTTGGAAGTGGCGGTGTTGGAAAGTCAGCCCTCACTCTCCAATTTATGTACGATGAGGTCAGTTATGTTTTTCTTACGAGTAAACATAGAAATGGTACATTTTATCACCCAGGTCGGTCTTTTTATTGTTTAATTACTTATAAGCCTGGTTGGAATTTCAAATGGACGCAGATTTCTATAACATATGCTTAGCCTATCAAAATACGAAGGCGACGCAGATACCTACTAGGCCGCTTTTCGTAACTATATGATGCATGACAACTTGATTCCACCGAAATTCTAGATTTCTACCGACTCTATACCTTACGGCAAAATATAGATTTATAAGGAACCATGTAAAAAATTATCCTCAACATTTGTTGCCCTGGAGACGACAAGTATTACTCAAGTTAATGAGTCATAAATCTTTCGACGAAAGGCAGACGAGTTTTCCGACAATTCTCTAAATGTGATGGTAAAATTTCAATTTACCATTTTCTATCATTAATTATACCAAATTCTAGATAAGATGAATGCTTTTTCGTTCCCCAGGAGAGGTTTTTTCATCTAAACTCAATTTAATACCCCCAAAAGGAAGTCTCCATTTCCTTTACAAACAGCCCCTGCATAAAATATTCTGGTACAAAAATTTTACTAGGTACCTTGCCATGTCTAACAAAAAACATAAGTATCCTGGGTTAAACAAACTTTATACTATTTTGGTAATTTATAATTAATAATTCAGTCCTCTGGAATAAATGTTGTTATGGAACAAAACTAGGAAGTAGATATAGATAAGGCCATATTCATTTACTTCACATTTGTACACAGAATTTTGCCTTATCAGATTTCCTTCCTTTCAATGCCCACTGATTTACCCTTTTTGTAGTTTGTGGAAGATTATGAACCAACAAAAGCAGATAGCTACAGGAAGACAGTAACCTTAGATGGTGCTGAGTGCCAAGTTGACATTCTTGATACTGCTGGACAAGAAGATTATGCTGCAATCCGTGACAATTACATTAGAAGTGGTGAGGGGTTTCTTTGTGTGTTCTCCATTTGTGAACCTGAGTCTTTCAGCTCCACCTCAGAATTAAGGGAGCAAATCTTAAGAGTAAAAACAGAGGACAGTATACCTTTTATTTTAATTGGAAACAAAGTTGATCTTGAAGAGAAAAGGCAGGTAACACATGATGAAGCTGAATCAACTGCAAAAGAATGGAATGTCCCATACATTGAAACATCGGCAAAGACCAAAGTAAATGTTGAAAAGGTCTTTTTTGATCTTATGAGAATGATCAAGTCCCGAAAAACAGACGAAAGCTCAAAACCTGGAGCTAAAAAGAAAGGAAAAACAAAGAAAAGGAAATGTACAATTCTATGAAAGCTCATATGTGACTTCTTTACAAAGGACAGCATTAGTTTTTCATCATCAAGTGTGGTGGTGACATTTAATTTTGATTTTCAATATATGCACTAAGGCCAAGTCTGTGGTTGTAATTTTCTTACCATATATAAATAAAATACATGTGAGTTTTGCTCAGAAACCCCATTTTGTAAAAATATAGTAATTCTTTATTATGTGGCATTGGCCCCTTTCATGTTGATTTATGTTTTAGATTTTTGAAATAAGACTATTGGTCATAAAAATTCACTCCAAAAAGTGATTTTGATATATAAGGTTTTTTCATCAAAGAAGCCATATATTGGCTATAACAAATTTCACCTATGGAATGGGATTGTAATTTTCTTACTGCTTTGGTGTTTATTACTGATTCAATTATAAAATTTTGCAACTTGAGAGTGCTATGCATAAGCAGACACTTGATTATTTGAAGAGATAAAATGCTGTGCTACCATAGAAGTAAATTGTGGCATGCATTTAGTTGCCTGAAGCAAAAACAGTATTTCCTATTTATCTTTGAAAAAGTTTGCAGTCTTTTTTAAAATTATCCTCACTACATGGTCATTTTGTACCTTCATTACAGTCTACACCGAAATTACTTAAGGTTTAGAGGATGGTGAGGTTTCAATATCAAAAGCTGTCTTTTAGCTGTCTTGCTCATGCTCTCTGTAGTTACATACTGATAAATATTTATTTGAATCTTATGTAATTACTTTAGTTTAGATCATAGATACCTCATTAAAGAGAAGAGTCTCATTTATCTTGTAATCTTTTTATACTCTCTATCTTGTTTTTTTTCAAACAACATTGTTTACAAAAATAAATGAGTCTTCTCGTGGTCCTCAAATATCTGTGTGCTTTCCCTGTCCTATTTTCTAATTGCGATGCAGTTTATTTACAGCTCTTGATAACAAGCTTTAAAGATGCTAGCCAAGTCTAGTGAAAATTGATCCTACCAAGAGACAAACATGTTTTGAATTGGTACTTTGCCACTTTCTTATTTGTAAACATTTACCTTTTGACTCCTGATGTTGTTTAATTTGACAAAAAAATTATTTGTTTACATTTACATATACACTTCAAAAATATTAGCAATGGTTTATGGAGCTGGACAGTATCAAGTGATAGAATGACAAACACAGTTTACCATAAACCCTGTGTATATGTTTATTAAATAAATTTTAAATATTGTGTTGTGTGTATTGTTAGTCATTTACTACAGCATACTAAATATTTGTTTATAGAAGAGTCCAAAATCTTTGATCTTCTAATGATCAGATACTTTCAAATGGCTTCTTGCTAAAAGTTTTTACCCTAGCAGCAAGAATTGAAGTTTGAACAACACTGTAAATGGTCAGAAGAAACCAAGGACTTTAAACATCACAAGCACTAACATCATCAACTACACCAATTCTCATGTAATGTAACATAGTGTAATGTCCTGTAATTTTCTTGTTACTGCCTTTTTTTCTGGTTTTTACACTCAGAATTTGCCAAAACAATTTCTTTATCATTCTATTCATTTTCCCTTTCCCTTCATAGAGCCTATCGTTACATTAACTTGACGTTTAAAACTCCCAATGGAAGCTAGGCTCTTGGATCTACCCCAACCAAAAGAGGCAATTTAAAACAGATTCAAGTTGTGTATAGACGTGTAGGGATGCTCCTGACAAACTCTGCCTAAACTCTGACTTGAAACAGTTCTTATATAGAAGGCAAAGGTCCTGCTAGCTTAGCCAGATGATTAACTGCTAGTATCAGTGCTTTCTTTTGCTGCTGGTAGCTTGCCTCAGCATTCTTGTCTGCATTCATGATTATATCAGCAACCTTTCCCTCTTGCTTTTTGTATTCTTTTTTTCTCAAAGAATGGCAGCGTTTTAAGATTATTTCCAGAGTATCTTTACGGGCATCCATAAGGCTCTTTGGGCATTTAGGCACAAACTTTGTCTTTCTAATCTTTCCAATAGTTGCCTTGGCAGTTTTTGCTGGAAGTAGGAAATTGATTAAATCTAATTGTATATAATTTGTACCCTTTTGGACCAGTTAGCTGTTCATTATACAAAATAAAGTAGAAACAGACTGCAAGAACTGTAAAAGAAAAATTAATGTTCATTTGACTTTTTTGTAGCTGTTGAGTATTGGTTCCGTCCATATTGTTGAAAACATAGAATGCTTCTTATTTCATTTGCAGGGTTATGCTTAGCGAAAAAGCATTGCTGGGGAGTTATTTCAAAATTCTTATTTAGACTTCAAATTGGAAAATTAAACGAGCACTTACCGAAGGAAGTGTGAAGTTTGATTGGAATTCTACGTCATCTTCAATGGAGGAGCATGGAATTACATGAGATATGCGGTGCATGCGCGTAGAGGTCAGTCTTTGAAGCAGAGTAGCTTTACCGATAGTGCAACAAGGCATATTTGTTATGCAAATAACAAAATAATTATGGAATTACAAATTAAAAATAGCTCGGGTGAGGTTGTAATCTGGGAGGGCATGTAATTCCATGCTCCTCCATTGAAGATGACGTAGAATTCCAATCAAACTTCACACTTCCTTCGGTAAGTGCTCGTTTAATTTTCCAATTCTACGTCATCTCCAATTACGTCACCAGTAATTACATGAGACTTTAAAGACAGGAAAAGCTACTCTGTCATGTTGCATAACATATAATAAAATATATGTTCAGAGATCTAAACACAATGGTTACATACCAACACAATATACACTTTTTTTTTTTTTTTTTTTTTTTTTTTTTTTTTTTTTTTTTTTTTGTGATAGCTTAAGTCAATATCATCTCAGAATAAGTTAATGTTTCTACAACATTTTTTGAGTAGAATTTTTTAAATGTCCCAGCATTACTCCATCCTGCAGCTGTCATAATAGTGGCTAATGGCACACCTTTGTTTCTTGCTGAGGATGCAGATGCAGCTCTTATACTATGAGGTCCAAATCTTTTTACATCAATGCCTGCATCAGACATGACCTGTTTGCACCATCTTGCTATTGTTGATTTTGAAATTGCTTTATGTGGTTTTTGAAAACTAATAAATAGCTTTTGTTCTTCTTTTCGGATATCCTTTGTCATTTCAATATACTGTCTCATATTTTCAACTACACACAGTTTGCAGTTGAGACTGTAAGATTTGAATTCCATTGGTTTCAAATGGTGTCCAGGTCTAGATTGCTTGAGTAATGAAGGTACCTCAATTCTGCACGTGTCTCCAAATGTTATTCCACTAAGTTCAATTGCATGAATTGTCTGACATCGTTGCCCTGACAAAATACACAAGAGCATAACTAGACGTAAGGTAAGTTTCTTCAAATTGAGTTTTATTGCTTTACCTAGGGAATCTAGGTATGTCAAGACACTTGAAATATCCCATACATCAGTGTATTTTGGTAATGCAGGTCTGGATTCAAAAACCCCTTTCATGAATCGCTTTACTAAATGAGTCTCTCCAAATGTTTGTTTATCTGATACAACTATTACTGCAGATAATGCAGATCTAGCAGTGTTGATGGCACTGTATCCTAACCCTTGCTTAAATAAATGGGTTAAAAATTCAATACCATCATATAAAGACACTTTGCTTGAATCAAGTCTATGCTTCTTGCAGAACTCTCTAAATTTCTTTACATAAACATTGTATTGTTTTAGTGTACCTGGCCTCCAAGAAGCCATTATGATTTCTGTTGCTTCTTCTGATAGGTTGATTGTAATCTTTTGTTCCCTGATAAAAGTCCCGCCATCAGGTTCAATTTCTTTTGAAATGGATGAATCTCCTCCTGCCTCCCTGGCATCTCCAACAATCCTTTGAAATGATCCAGCATAACTGGCCTCATAAGCAGAAGGGACATGAATTTTGGATACCAAACTTGGGTTGGCCAATCCGGTGCTATGACAATGCCTGTTGCTTCCTCCTTTATGATCTTCTGCATCACTTTGTTTATCAAACTAAAAGGAGGGAAAGCATAGAAATTAAATAAACTCCAATCTAATGAGAAAGCATCTATTGCAAAGGCTTCTGGATCTGGTTTATATGATACATATTTTGAAATTTGGAAATTCAGCCTTGATGCAAATAAGTCAATATTTGGGTCAAATTTCAGACATTTTGTAACTTGCATATATTTTTCCCTATTCAACATCCACTCAGCTGATGAAACCTTTCTTCTAGATTCAGTATCCGCTATTATATTTTGGCTACCAGGTATATGGGCAGCTGATAACCAAATTTCTTGTTTAATTGCCCAGTTCCAAATATCTTTCACTAAGTCATTACAAATTTGCGACTTAATGGTGCCCATGTTGTTAATATTATGAACTGCAGCTGTGTTGTCAATCATAAGCCTGACATGTTTGTGTTTGCATTTTTCACAAAGTGACTTTAATCCAAAATAAACTGCTTTCAATTCTAGATAGTTGATATGTTGTTTTGTTTCACTTTCATTCCAACCTCCAAATGTTTTCCTATCTTCCAGCACAGCCCCCCAACCTGTTTTGGAAGCATCTGTATACAATGTAGCACCAATCTTATTGCAAGAAATATTACTAAATGATAAGGTGACATTTTTGACCCACCATTTTACATCAGCAATGGCTAAGTCTGATAAAACCATTGAAGCTTCATAGTTTCCTTTGGAATTTTTGAGAGCCAAAATCTTATCATATTCTAAAGATCTATAAAATAGTGGTCCATATTGAGTTCCTGGAAAACTAGAAACCATCATGCCAAGGACTCTGGCAACCTCCCTTATCTTAGGAGTTTTCCTTGTCAACAGATCTCTACATGCCTGCAAGAGTTTTAGAGCTTTTTCATTTGTCAACTTTACTGTCATATTTTTAGAGTTCAGATGAAAACCCAGAAAAACAATTTCTTGTTTTGGCAGCAACTGTGACTTATCAGGATGTGCAACAAATCCCAATTTGTCCATTAACTTCACTGTCTCAAGGACATTTTGAAAACATTTATCAAATTTGGAGCCTTGCAAATATATGTCATCAATGTATGGAGAGTTTAAAAAACCACTGCTTCTCAACTTTGCTAATGGTGGCTTCAATAATTTTGTGAAAATTCTTGGTGCACTTGCTAAGCCATTAGGAACACAGCAAAAGGCAAATAATTGGTTATTCTTTTTAAATTTCAAAAATTGTTGATAGAACTCATCAATACTGACAGTATAATATGCATCTTTCAAATCAATAGATGCCATATAACAATCTGGTTCCATGAGACTGATAACTGTAGCTAGTGTATCCATTTTAAAATGATGGTAACAAACATACTGGTTTAGATTTTTCAGATTAAGAATTAGTCTGAGAGAGCCATCACTTTTAGGCCTAGTGAAAATTCTAGAAATATATTCTGGTTCACTATTTTCACATTTTTTGATTATACCCTTTGTAAGCATCGATTCAATTTGTTTATCAATCTGCTTACTTTGAGTTTCGTTAAAAATTGCTTCAGTGAAAACTGAGCCTGAATGAGGTATTCCTATAAATTCAATTTGAACACCAGATACATATGAAAGGATTTCTGGATCTGAGGTAATTGTTTCCCACTTTCTAATATAATTCCTCAAAGAACCAGCCTCAAAATTTTCAACTCTATTTTTAAGATACAATTTAATATCATGAATAATTTGAGATACGTTTCTCACCTCGTTCAATGGATTAGCAGTCAACATGTTCACTGCTTTCCCCGTCTGTTGTAGTCTCTGTAATTTGTTTTCTTCTTGAAGTTTGTGTTCTGGCCTCTGGACAAAAAAGACTGGTTTTGGTTGTGATAGTTGTTGTTATGATTTCTACTGTAATTTGAGTAGCTTCGTTTGTATTCATAATTTCTACCTCTGTATAGATATCTACTGTCATTGCTTCTCATAGGATTGTTAGTGATACTGCTAGACTTTTTCAAATCTGCTATTTGCTGATTGAATTCATCACCAAATATAAGCTTTGTTATCTGAGTTTCCTCAGAGCAAAGATCTTTGTATTCCTGCTTAAGATACGGCTTTATCATGGCCCTTCTTCTTTCACTTAACTCTCTGTTTACATGCCCAAGCAGTGCTGAGCTGTCTACCAATTTCTTGGCTATTTGTTTCATATCATCTTCTTTGATATTTGAATTCAAGACAAGCTCAGTTCCCTGAACTAATGCACTTGTGGCTGCAATTACATTTTCTTGTATGTGTGCTATTCTCCTGTCACTATCTTTCTGTTCTTTTCTCATTCTCATCCAAACTGGCCTATTCACTCTAGGCACAATGAGTTGAGAACAGTTTGATGGTCTCTTGTATGAAGAATGCAATGTCTTCAATTTTTCACCAGGAATTAATTTTTTCCAGCGTTTTTCTATAATATTTGCCAACTTCTCCGACACTGGGTCATCAACTTCTTCATCTTTTTCATTGAGTTCCTCATTTAAATTATCGAGAAACTCACCTCCATGTTTGTTTGCAACTTTCCCTGCATCCTCGCCGTTTGGCGCTTGCAGATTGTCATGGTCACTTTTTTGTGACAAATGCGAAGAAGACGAATTTTTACGACGTCTCTTGCTGTGAGAACATTTACTTCCTTCTTCAGAAGAGGAAGACACGCTGCTGCTGGAATTTGTGTCATTCCATGAGCGTTTCTTTCTGGTACTACCTGACTTCGGCCTAGGGACGTGGGCTTCGTTGCCCCTCCTGTTTAATTTTATGAATTCTTTAAACATATTTGCCATTGTGGCCATGGAATCCTTTAATTCATTCATATTTTGCAGTTCGTTCTGCGGTAGTTGACTACACTGTGGTCCGTTCCACTCATTCATTGATATTGTCTTCGGTAGATTTGAAGTTGACCTTTTGGATTCTTCTTCGCACGAAGTCGAGGAGGCAAACCCTTCTTGCTTCTGAGTTTCCTCTTCGTCCATTATCTTCATTCACACAAATTCTTGACCAGCAAAATATAATAAAAACCAAGAGCTCGAAGCTGGTCGACTGACACCAAGACGCACGTTTCGCAACTGACCTCTACGCGCATGCACCGCATATCTCATGTAATTACTGGTGACGTAATTGGAGATGACGTAGAATTAACAATTTAATCTACTATTGATTAACTGCATACCCTCTCAAAACAACTAGCGAAAGTTCTGTCATCTCAGAAGACCTTGCATCCTATTTCGTTCTTTTTCTAGTTTCATGTGCTGTTTCAGCGAGATTCTCTCTGATTTTGTTTTGTTACAATTTTGTCATGTTATAGTTGTGTACACCGAGTCCAATCCAAACAATGGTCGATTGTGCCATCCATTTCCTGAATTACTATGTCTGGAATTCCTTTTTTATTTTTGCAAGGTATGAATATGACAGGGATGTCATATTAATAGGAATAAATTATGAGGATGTGCAGAAATAGTTCTAAACTGAATATTGAATCGAGTAGGGGCAGAAACTGACTCATGAATGAATGATATTAAAAAAGCAACTTCTTACCATCTCCTATTGGCCTTCCAAGAAGGTCTCTTAATTTTCCTGTGAAAGAAAAGCCTTTAGGTCAAACTCAGAGTAAAGTTGAATTAGAGGAGGAAGAATTTTCTCTGCAAATAAAAAAGAGAAATAACGATTTTACATTCTCACACAATTTTGGGCGCCAATCATGTTCCATGGATGCAAATCAGAATATCTGTCTTCTGTGGCGAATGAATTAATATGAAGGGACGGATCAAGAATATTACGAATGATAAACTATACAGTAGATAGAAAATTGAGTGAACTTACTAAATTCTCTAACATTGTTCTCTTGAACCAAAAAAGAACTCTCTTTTTTCTCCACTGCGACACATGATAACATTTTCACTATAAAGCAGAATTCATTGATTTTAGTATTTAGATCTGACTTGCTGGCACTGACTTCTGTTGCAATATTTTTCCTGCATTGATATTAACAAAAGGTTTGTATAGCGGAATGTTTATCTTTTAGAGGAGACCCATTATCGTTGCACATTTTGCAAAAAAATTCTGTTGGTAGTTGTAGAGTAGATAGTCTTTGACAATGCATGTAAGAGTTTTATTTTTCAAAAAAGGCACAATCAAAACTAGAGCCAATGAAGACGTCAACCCTAGAATGAAATTGGGATGAAATTTTAAAGAAAGAAGCATAGTTAGGAAATATGAAAAACTTTGACTGAATACCACTTAACGTCTTTATTGCATATTTTTCAATGACAGAAGAATTTGAAAAAAGCTACTCAAAATTTATTCAAACGAAGATTAAACTGTAAAGCTAAAGGAGGTTTTACAGCCTCCTGTCACGGACGTCAAAAACATTACACACAAGACAATTTTTCTAGTTTCCTGTAATGCAAGCTGCATAAAGCAAGAATATGGTTTGATTCGCAATATGGGCATATCATTGTCTACCGTACCATTTTATCTTAAGAATTAAATTGAGGATTTCGAAAGGGCCTTTGTCGTGAGTGTGTGAGTGTGAGTGTGTAAGTGTGTGAGTGTGTGAGTGTGTGAGTGAGTGAGTGAGTGAGTGAGTGAGTGAGTGAGTGAGTGAGTGAGTGAGTGAGTGAGTGAGTGAGTGAGTGAGTGAGTGAGTGAGTGAGTGAGTGAGTGAGTGAGTGAATTGGTAAGCGATGATGAGGCAGTGTGTTTTTTACAGAAAACTTATCATCTCCTTACCTAAGCCACCCACTATAAGCAGAAGAATACTGATTTTTGTCATATCACAGCGCTGATTCACATCACTGTTTGTTCATCACCATCTGCATTGGAAGCTATCTGCAACCAAAAAATGATTATATCGAATATTTTTCTAAATCAAACAGTCATTTGGAATTCAAATCATCAAACAGTGATTTAAGTTGTATGAATTATCATGCTCCGGGGCCTAGCTATAAGAAAACACTGAAATAAATGCACATTATTATCCTTATCAACAGAGGCGGATGCCATGGGATGTTGGGTTGTGAAAGCATCTCCGACCAACCTTTTCACTTTCATTCAGGGGCTCTTTATCCTACTCTAAGCTTATTGATCATCCTGTACGCCGTACGAGCCCCTATAATCTCATTGTTGCCTGTCCGTCTCTGTCAGTCAGTCAATAGCTTGTGTCCACTGGCCAGTTTTGAGGCACATTCTAGATTTGGCTTCAAGGCATGACCTGCCTCAGATTTTTATGGGGCTTTCCCTGGGGTGGTCACCGCGAGCTTCACCACCATACCACTGTTATCGGCAGAATACCTTGCGTACCAGAAACTCAGAGAGTCAGAATAAGTAAGAACTAAGGGGGATATTGCAAAGGAATGTTTTAAATTAGAATAAGTTGGCAATGATATGCTTTTTGCAAAACGGTTTTCAGTGAGAGTCACCATGCTGCCCTTAAAAGCCAATAAGGGAAAAGATTTTTCAGAAAATGTTACAACCCGTGAAAATGTCTTCAGACTTGCTTTACTCATCAACAAAAATCCATAATTTTCCTTATAAATATGAGCCAGCTATTTTAGCTATACCCTTAGAAAGAAAATACCAAATGGGTGTAATTTCTAAGCTTTATGGATAATTCAAAGCCACGTTACTAAATTGTTCATAAAAGAAAGGGAGAAAATTTCTGACAGTCCAATATATGGTAAAATTAAAGAGGTATCGTTGCGAGAAAGTCATCTACATATAAAGTATACAAGACAAAAACTACTGTAAAAGCTGTAAAATACATACCGATTCTCTAAACTTGAAATATCGTCTTTGGTGTGTCTGGATCTCAGATGAACATGATCAATGTTATTGACTCCGTTTAATGAACCATAAGATGTTGAAATATGATCCGAAGGTAGCTCTAGCCAATTCAAATTGACATCACGTATGTAAAAAACATTTCATTGTTTTTGAAATATAAAATCTTTGCAAAAAATAATTTTCAAAACATAAATTTTTATTGTAGATCTATGGTAACGACCCGTTTGTTTTTCATGCCCATTCTCCTACGGGTAGTCGGTCAAAGATCAAGGTGGATAGAAACTGCCCCGTATCATTCCTTACCAATAGCAAGAAATAAACTGTCTTTGCATACAATTACGGTTACATGGATATGATTATTAAATTAATCTGAGAACTTTTAAACTCATAACCTCGATGACCTGGTGATTCTTGTGCTGTTTATTCAGTTATAGGGGAAGCATATAAAATGCTTTTATTCCAACATTATTTTTCCTTGCTGGGTACAACAACAACATATATTGATCAGAAATTGAGCGGTCTTAACTAAAAGAGTATAAGCTTGTTTGTGAAGCTAGAATCAATCAAGAGTACTTTCCAGTACAGCAGACAAAATTGTAATAAATGTTTTGCAGTGACACACGCAAAGATGAAGGCCATATACCAAATAACTGTTCATACTTTCTCAAGGAAACACACTCAAGCTCTGAAAACTTCATTACAAAAACGATGTAACTAAGGCAGGGTTGGGGCATATTAATTTTCTTTCAATAGCCTTTCATAGCCTTTTTTGCTTCATTACTCTTCCTTGTAGAGCTGAAATGTTTGAGTGTCAAGCTTTCTTGGCTTCTACGGCGACATTCCTTTCAACCCAATGGTGATATTATGGCCATGGAAGGATGCCCCCCCCCCAATCACGTTCTTGACGAAAAATTCGGGTTCATGTGGGATACTTGACAAACGTTTAACGTGCCGAAAGCCCATGAAATGCTGTCTTGTCGGAAAAACTGTGAGCCTGGTCCACCCTCCCTAACTTAAAAACTGAATTTTTACCACTGTTTTAACGCATGCTAGTGTTATAGTGTTAACCCCACTATGTCTGTGTCAAAGTAACGGTATCATTCTCAAACTGATAAATGTTTTAGCTGATAGATAACGCAAAAACGCAGGCAAAGCGTAGTATTTTCGGCATTGTTATTAGAATTGACAGGAAATTTATACGCTTTGCTTTCAAAGACGAAATGGATGAAAGGGAAAACGTGACGTTTTGATATATTGTCTGAGCATTTTACGTTGTTCTTGGAGGAAAAGGGGGTTGGTATATGTAATTGGGAAAATAAATACTCCCATTGGCGGTTCTTCTGTCCGCAACACCCAGTAAAGTTGCTGAGTTGGTAAGAAATTTTTCCCCAGTTTTGATGCATATGCCCTTAGCTTTGCCCTGAAATAAGGACTCCATTCAAACTGCAAAGAAAAACGAAAGTTACTGTGATGTAACATCTACAACCAAATCGTCAGACTTAGTCTAACATAACAAGAACACACTATCTTGATCCAACGTATCCTATCTTTAACATCATCGGGACAGGGTGTGACCGTGATACAACGAGACAGTGATACAATAGCATCGAAGACATAACATTTTACCTAAAGGTGATGTGCCGTCTTTTAATTGTATTAAAACAACAATGTTAGTTTTTCATTGCCGTTCTCGATACGAAATAAATAGTTTGCTCAAAATAATAAAGCCATTCATGGTTGTGACCTCAACTCAAGTCTGTGCAACCAAGCGCATAAGGCGTTTGGTATCGTCACTGCATCTGCACAAAGTTGCTGTAATTTTTTAAAATATTATTCTCCTAAAATTTTGAAGTATTCATCTTTTCAAATCTAATTTTTTTCAAAATGATGACGTGAAAAGAAGAATAAGATCTTGTTCATTCAAACTGGACCAACGCAGTGATTTTATTTTCATGGAAACTTGCTTAGTACAGCTCTCTGGATAACACAATGGCAAGGGAGAAATGTCTGGTTATTTTTGTTTTCATAGTAATATCACAATTAGGTGAGTTACGTTTTTATTCAATATTATAAAAAATGCACGCATTTTTATAGGATTAAGAAGATTTCGAATCGATTATCTTTTTGCTGCAGTAGAGTGTTATACGAACGTCCTGTTACAATACACTCTCCCCTTGTGCAAGAAGCATCCATCACAATATGAGGCAAACTAAGAAAAAGGCGCTGGTCTGCTAGCACTTACAATTAGAAAAATTAACATAGATTTTACAAGCTTATTTTCCGCTAGCAGAGTATCTTATCGCTCAACCAGGCATCTTAAAATGGTGTTTTCAATCCCTTTAAAACCACCGTCTTTGAAAGTATATGATGTTATATGAAGTTACACATAAATCTTAACGTGATATGCAAATTAGGTAATAAATTAAGATAACAGATAAATTAATAAATTTATGATAAATTGAGCTATTCCCCTGATTTTGCAATCACCCGAAATCCAGGTTGGGCAACCTTTTCGATAGTTTGTGTCAGGAGAAAATTTATTTCATTCCTGACATTTGCTGTAAAGAAGGACCAGTTGCTGTTAGTGGCATAAAAGCCAATCCAGCCTACTGTTAACAACAAACAAAAATAAAATGTTGGATAAAGAGGCTAGCTACCAGTTCCAATGAAGATGTCTAACCTAGTCTGACAACCATTTTAATAATATCACCGCGACACAATGTACAATTTTACATATGGACACGTTACGTATGGACATGTGTGACAAATGACTTTCATGCCAGCAAGTTCCTCGTAAATGGAACGACTTTAGTCCCCTTCCCCTCTTTTCTTTATTGTAAGGCTTGCTTAGTAATTGCTTCAGAGACCATTTTGAAAGAGAGCTATTTCCACAGCTTTGTTAGTAGCCTCTCTTCTTACGTACGTAAAAGAAGGAACATTGAGTTCCTATAGAAATAGGTGCTCTTACAATTTGTAAAAATGCTTTATCCGCTATGAATATAATAATTATATATAATTATATAATAATTGAATATAAAAATATAATAATTAGCAGGGACTTCTGAGTAAGAAGGCGGGAGAACTTCCAATTTCAAGCCGAAAGTTGTCTTCAAGGTACTTAAGAGCACGCAGATGGAAAGGTAACAGGATAATGTTTTGCAATACCCCCTCATTGCTAGCAGTTAAAGAAAAAAGTATTCATCAGTTTCTCGTGTAAAAGGGTCTCGGAATAATTTGTGTTCTGTTAGCTACATGCTATTTCAGAACATTTACATTGTCACAGGATTATGATTTCTAATCTCGAAAGGAAGTAAATATTGCTACAAAAATGTAATTTTTCATGCATTTTACAAGCTGCTTTTTACTTTTCATAGTATTATCGACACCGCTGACCGTTGTGTCAGACAAATCTGGTGAACAGCAAGTGAAAGAAGCGTTGCGAAAAGCCGAACAGGAGGCCGAGAAGGCAGCCAAGGAGGGCAAAACGACAGAGAAACCAAAGGATCAAGGGACTAAGGAATCAAATATCCAAGGTCATAAAAATGAGATGCTCGAAGGAATTAATAACGATAGAGACGAGCAAGCAAATAAACGCATGAAGGCTATGGCAGCCAAACTGAACAATTTAGTGATGAAATTCCAGAGAAAAGTGATGGCAAGTAAGAAACATTCAAAGGAAAAAGTTTTGTGTCCTTTAAGTCCTTTAAAGTTTTAGCTCATATTTGGAATTTTAGCTTAAATTTCGACCAACCAGCAATTTTTCAAAAACCTGTCGCTAACTATCAGGCATTGCTTCCAGATCCCCTACAGTCTTTTAAACTAATCACCTTTCAATTGACTCTCTAAAACTTTAGCAAGGACTAACGGATGAAGAAAATTAATCAGAGTTTGAAAACCATCCCTGCTCCAAAAGATCCATCAGCACTTAGGTTGTTATTGTAAGCGTGCGGAGACTCGTTGAATCAGTAGATTTTGGTTGATTGTCTTTATCGTGATTCTTTATAATGATACTGTGATTTAAGTATCTAAATGAACCTCTCCTATTCTAGATAAATTGCACCGTGCCCTTGAACGAAGAGTTGCCTTAGCAAACGTGGGCAAAAAGAGAGGTCAAGCATCTAAATCTTCAAGTGTATCGCAAAAAAATTCTGCCTTGGATCTCAGTGGACTGGGTACGAATTTCACCTTCTTCATTGTTTGCAATTCAAATCAAAGTATGAGAGCTTCTTTTGGTATCTTTTTAGATGACAGAACATGCTCTTGACATATTGCTGTTGGCCTAGCGGCCTAGCTTTAACCTCTCCAATTTCGGGAATGCCATCTAGCATATATAACATTTCTTTGGCGAAGAAATCTCTGTAACAAAAAACCTCTGCCTTGTATACATAATATTTTACAACAAGTTGACAAATCATTTTTGTTTGACGGTAGCAGATCCTTTGTCATCACCCAACAACCCCATGGCAACAGCGTACAAAGAGGATACAAGACTAGAAGATCGCTTAGCACTTGAGGCAGAAGAAGAAAAGAAAGTTAAAGATGGAGAAACATATGATGAAGATGCTGGATATGGTGACTCAATGAAGAACTACGCTGGAACGACCAGTCTATCCCCCAAGGAGCAGGCATCACAAGAAATGCAGGTACGGTATCACCAAGATGGCATGAAATAAAATTTATCGATATTTTCAATGTTTTGGAAGCATTTACTTCACGTTACTGTCTGTTGTAGCGAGCTGTCCATTTTTATGAAGTTACTAGAAGCTATGATCGCAGTAAATAATTTTTTCTATTGTTTGGGGGTCTGATAATGGAGCTTTTGCTGTATTTCGCTCTACAAAAGGAGAAATCTGCACAAGAGATCAACTGTATACTGTTATTAAAAAGATTTTTGATTGACATTTAGGTTATTACCTAATGATTCAGTGACGTTCGCAATTTAATCAAGAATACAAAATGATGCCCTATGTTAGAATATTTTAATCGGGGAAAAATCCAAAAGATTTAAGCAAATGGGATGCTTGTGTTTCTTTTTGTTTATTGCAAGATTCCTGATTGCTTGAATATATATCTACTTCAGCAATACAGTGCCCTGATATCGTCAGAGAGTAGCAGAGAACTATCTCAAATCCAAGACGAAATCTCAAAAGCGACACAAAGCAGCATGGGGAAAGTTTCTGTACAGGGAGAGAACTTGAATGCACCCTTAGAATCCACATCACCTGCAAAAGGCCTCGATTTAGGAGGGCTAGGAAGTCTGGGTGGTTCAAGTTTTGCTGGGTTTGGAAACAATCTTGGAGGGCTTGGATCTTTGGATAGTGGAGCAGCGCTAGGTTCACAATCACTCAGTCCACAGTCTCTCACAGGAGATTCTGGCTTACCAGGTAAGAAGCCTGGGATTCACTGGCATCTATACTATATTGTTGGTGTATACTTGCATTATGATCAAGCACCGTGTTTCATAATATAATAAAACCGCAATAACTCGAAGTCCCGATAACTCGAATCACTGATAACTCGAAGTCCCGATAACTCGAAGTCCTGATAACTCGAACACCTGATATCTTGGAACTCCGATAACTCGAAAATTCATTAACTCGAACATTTCATCGTTCCCTTGGATGCTTCTGTTTTTGGGAACACACTGTATCGTCTCAATACTTCAATATCATACCTCACTAGGTTTAAACCTTGGCGGACAATCTGATGCAGCAAGTGTCTTGGGTGGATCGTCGCAAGACCAAAGTCTCGCAGGTGCAATCGACATAAATCCAATGTCTGGATCTCAAAATGCAGAACAACTGCCTGGTTTGTTAGGCGGAGGAGCAGGGCTTCAGGGTGCAAGTCAAGATGCGGGACAGAGTCTTGGAGGAATGCCTGTGCAAGGAACGTTTAGCAAAAAGGTGAGCTGGAATCAAACATTATTTGACAGAAATGAGTAAATTAATTTTATACGTGAAGATGTCTGAGCGCAAAATCGAATTATGAGGATGTCTGGAGGAGAATTCTAATGATACCTGCAAACATTGCTGGTAATCCCCAAAAGCTTGAGTTCCCCTGTTATATTTTCAATTTTTTCCCAAATGATACTTTTGATCTCTCCCTCAAAACAACGTTGATAGTTTAGGCAAATTTAACACAAATGACAATGAAAAAACATACTTCATAATCTCCTACGTCATTTTGTAGTAAACCAACATTGTTTGAAGGTGATGGCTGAATTCCACTTGACGTAAGTGCTCCAAGATATTTGGCAATGATAGTACTTGGAGATTCTATGTGACGTCACAGAAAAGAGAAAGTGTAGAAAGGAAACTCCTTGTGGCACAGTTGTTGTGTTTTGTTTTATGGAAAGGGCGATAGACGATAAAAAACAATTCAAACATTGTGAGGAAAGGCACCCTTCGCTATTCACAACACAAACTTGCCTTGAGTGAGCTTCCTCAACGAAGGCAAACTAGGCAAGGTTGAATACATTCGAGCATGAGTTAGCAAAAGGCGTCGAGTAATTTAAATGGAGTTTCCTTTCTGCTTTTTCCCTGCTCTTTGGTAAAGCGTATCCATGAAATAATTCCCTGCAGAAGAAAAATAATTTGCAATACTATAAGAATAAAAAAAGAAGCAATGTGTACACTTTTATGTGCTATGCGTACAAACTTGTTTAGGCATGTTTCCCATGTTGTTTAAATATTAAACCAAAGCAAATTTTGTTACATGATCTTAAAGATAACGAGCAAAAATAAAAATTGGATCTAATTTCTTTTGCAGTCGAAAATCACAAAACAAAAAGCGAAGGTGAGTGTTTCCTGCAAAATTCTTTTACACAAGCCAGAATCGTTTTCATTTATTCCAAGGGTTAACGAAAAATAGTTAATGAAAACAAACTCGGTAAAAAGGGACGATACTCTTCTGCTATTAATATCTTCTTTAGTCACGCATATAGCCCACTCCATATCCAATGAAGAATAGATATTGTCGACATACGAACAAAAATACCGTAAATCCTTGAATAAGCCCCCCTTCGAATAAGCCCCCACCCTAGAACCATAAATTGTCAAAAAGCCCCCCTCCTCGAATAAGCCCCCACTGCTACCATAAATTCTCGAATCGGTCCCTTCCATTTGATAATTTTTGCGATCTGAGGTTGCCTATGGTGTTTTATTGAATTACCATAACAAATTCATACTTTTGGTAGTAATTAATTAAATTGTCATAAAGAAATTCCTACTAAAATAAACGAGGTCTTTTAAAAATGTCTTCTTTATGTCTACAATAATTTTACAAGCCCCCCTCGTATAAACTCCCCTCGAATAAGCCTCCATCCAAAAATATCAAAAATAAACAAGAGGCTAATTCGAGGATTTCAATATGGTTCTTTCATTTAAGAGAAATCACTGAGCATATCTGAATCATTCACAGGCATCCAAGTCAAAGAGACGCAACACACATAAAGCAAGAAAGGGAAGAAAGAATTGAGCAAGATTTATTCCCAGAAAGCAGAAAACAAGGCAGTGAACTAAACACTATAAACTTCTTTGTATGCAGCCCTATACTTCTTAGAAGCCGCATTTTGTAACATTTTCAAGTAAGAACTAACGATTTGTAGATTAACAACTACATTGAATTAAACACAGGGTCTAGACCATGTAAACACTGCTTCGATGAAGAATCCTGGTCTGGGCTAATTAAAACTAGAACCAAATTATTATCGATTCTTGCTTTACATTCAATTTTTTCTATCAATGTTTCTGGGGATTGGCAAACTGTGTTCTGAAGAAAACTGTTGTTTTTTAATAGATCCGTTCACGAATACAGAGAAATAGAGGTTATGAACCAAAATTCATAATTTGCTTGCACTGCAGTGTTTAGAAAATGTATTAATAAAGCTATTATTACTCGAGAATATAAATATTGGACATAATTTGTACCTTAAACCCGAGATGCAATATTCTATTTAACTACAAACTATAAACCATATTTTTCTGCTTCACGTCTCAAACAGTCTTAACATCGCGGTATGTTTGCTCTTAAAGCAGCAGAAGTTGAGATTGCTTAAGTTTTCAGGTTGCTTAAGTTTTTGGACTGCTTGGAGAAAGGAAAGAGGAAATGAAAAACTGAAACTTCTAAATATAGTTAAACAACTTCACATACTACAGAATTTTCTATAACAGCACCAAAACTACGGCGACCCATAGGCATTTGGAAACCTGTTGAGCAGTACACTTCTATTAGTGAATCACATTAAGGTATTTCAGCGATATTTGAGATCATTTTTTTTCATCATATCGACTTTGAAGGGCATTTTTCCCACACCAGAAACCCTCATAATTCCACTTCCCAATCATTCAGTTTCCGAGTGCCATTCAAAATTGGATTTTTCGTTACTTCCATTAAAAATTTACAAATATTCATAGCAAAATTCAAATTTAACACCCTGCAGCCTTATGTAACAAATATCGAGATTCTCGTGAAGGTATGAATTTAGGCCAATCGCCTCTTTAAAAATTCAGTTTGAAGATTCGTTAGGTGATGTGCAGGCTTGAAATTAGCACATAATCTTATAAAGAAAAGCATCAACAGCATTGAAACACAGCATACAGTGTCCGTGGATGTTTTAAAAAAACATGCAATACGGTTATTAACAAAATATTGTAAGACAGGTTTAAATAAACAACTAATAATGAAAGAGTTAAAAAACTTCCCCTTTGGCAATACATGCAGTCTCTACACATGCCTGTTTCTCATACTATGGCGTACTGTTGGTAAAGTAAGTCCCTTATAAGATAGTAGTCTTCGCACAGGGCTCCAGAAAGTCCTATTTTTCCAGCCTCACTCTAAAAATGAATTAATTTCATTCAAAACAAGGCTATACCGTACTTGATTGGTCATTAGAGTTAAACTAAGATTAATAATAACAAAGAGAAGGCCCATGAGCACTTATCAAAAAATTAAAGAAGAATCATAAAAAATCGTAACAAGAAACAGCACTTGGTTAACAAGAAAAACAGTAATTCATGCAATGGATTCCTAAAAACATGGAAATTTCAAAACAATTTACAGTAGGATCAAAAAAATCAGTCTGGTTATAATGCGGCTAAATAAATGCAATCAAAAATAAGACTCTCGACGAATATATCTGTTTAATAAAAATATATCTGTCTTTAAGTGACATATTGAAGAAATAAACGCAGAAGACAGTTTTCTAGAATTTCAACTTACCCGCCTGACTGCAATAATGTTATTACAAACGAGAACACCGCCGGCAAACTCAGCCTAAGAAACAAACAAGTATATTGCAGAGGAGATTCACACCTTGCAACGAAAAATACAGCAAGAAATCTCACGTCTGTGCGAGCAACTAAACTGAGGTAAAAATTGTCGTAGTTGCTTTTCTAGACTAATGCCTCGGGACTCGATGTTCTTATTAATATATAAGGCTTAAATTCTTTCAACAGGAATGTTTCCTCGTACAGGAAAAAAACGGGATAACTGATACAGTAAACATGGAATAATGGATAACTTGGAAGGCAAGCTAAATATCTTCGAAAGCTCAAAAAAATTGATCACACAAAGACAAATTTGAAGAGAAAAAAATTACATAAAATTCAAATTATCAGGAAGTCAAATTGTCGATAAAACTGGCTATTCATTTTGCTATTCCTTTTGGCATTTAAAATAACAAAACATAGAAATTGCACATTTTAAGGGAATGAGCATTTTTGGTCAGCACCTATGTATTCTCGACTCTTACATTTATGAAAGTTAAATAAATCCCATATTAGGCTGTATAATGTTCAAATGCAGTATCTTTGAGTCTAACCAAAATATTCTGAGGGTAAAACAGAGGTAGAATAGAGCTAGATCTAGTAAAAAAAGGTATTACTAGCATAAAGTACACAAAATTGTCGTATTTGACTTCTCACCTGAAATCCGGCTTTGGTTAAAACTTGCTTGAAGTCTGACAGCCTTGGCTCATCTACGAATACGCTTCGGTGTCCAGGCACCTATTAACAAAAGACTTAGATGGTAGCCCAACACACTTAACAAGGATGTTCGATTCAAGATAAGATCCGTGAAACAATCAGGCACGTGTAAAGGATAGAAGTAATGAAAAATATAGCATGAAAGAAAAAAGGCCACCTCCCCAAGAGTCTATTAAGAGACTATTCCTGGGACAGTCCATGATGCCTTGCAAAGTTTTGAATCCCATCTTATGTTTCATACTGTTTTTAAAGTAAAAAGCTTGCTGAGCCTATTCTACTTAGAGCAGGGCATGGCTTTAAGGGTTTCCAATCGAATTTTCTTAAAACTCCCTTCTTTGATAAAAAAGAAACCTTTTCTTTGCAACTAGTAAAAAGTAATAGTATGGAAGAACACAAGACATGACTCTTCAAAAGACAAAGCGAGCAATAAACCAGACCTCTTCAGACGGAAGTTGCTCCAGCACTGGAACAACATCCCTGCGATGATCATCATCCGTTTCCATTTTCTCATCCGATCTCGCGTCAATTTTAGAGCGTTCTATTACCAGTCGACCATCTACCCAAGCTAGCTCCGCTTCACGTGTCTGAGCAAATGAAAGCGAACTAACCAAGGAGTCTTTAAGCTTCACCTGCAAATGAAGAAAAGTATGAGCAATTCATGAAAGGGTGTTTGAACGAAAGGATATGGGGAAAAAAGTTATCAACAAATATATTGATATTGTGATCAGAAGTGACGAAGGATCCTGACTGTTGATGCAGGGGCCAGACATGAATCCGGATTGGAGAGCGAGTAAGACACCATTGGTATCTTTGTTAAGGCAAAGCACTTGTATAGATTCTAGTCAGCCATAACTTTGGTTACTGCAATCTCTCAAATCTTCATTGCATTCTTTGAAAGTATTGCAATAAAATATGCTGCTGACAAATTGAAATTGTTACAAAACATTTAAGGGTCGAGTGCTGCTAAACAGTTATTGTACCGTAAGCCGGAAGACGTTTTCCTTTCAGCGAATTGCTGCTGCATGTGAAATAATATTTAAATCTAGCCAAACAGCTGTCTCATTAACAACATTGATGTACAGAGACCCACTAACGAAAGCGAAAAAAAGAAGAGAGAGTATTTGCAAGATTAACAACAGGTTTCACATTTTACACCCAGAAAGTTAAGACACGATATTACTTTGTTGAGCACATGACCCAAAAATTTATGAGTCAAAAAGTCAATAATCAGTAAAAAACAAATTCTCGAAAATCTAATAAAACATAGTAAACATACTTGAGCAGCAAACAAAAGGGTGAGTTAAAAACAAGCTTTGCAGCGATATGACTAGGCTTCGAGAAAAAGGACTTTTCTAAAGAAGCCCAAAATTACCTGATAAATATGACTTTCTCTTGTAGCGTCTATCGTTTCGCCAATTCGAGGAGCAAACACCGTTCCTGACGTCATGCCTAGATTTTTCTTACAGTACTCCAAAAGATGTTCCGTCGCTTTTTCAGTTCCATGAACTAAAATCTGATTTAAAAATATGTCACTTGAATACTCTTGTACATATGGAGAATTTCAATATTCGATAAAAATGGAAGCTTAAATAATGTATGGATGGAGACAGCAACGAACATAGATCTACATACATAGATTATAAGTACTATAGCAATATCAATTGCTTTTTTATGGAAACAACCGCCTCAAACTTTGCTATTTTAATACAGAATGCAAGTAAATAAAAAAGGTAGGAAAATCAAACAGAAGTGTAAAGATTAAAAGAATCCCATTTATACGAAAAATTAAAATCAAGTAAAAAGAATAGGTGACGTCTAAGTACCAGTTGTCTTGGTTTTACCAGAGAAAGGATTCTTTTGATAGATTCACCATCAGACCTTCCTTCGAAATCTATATACTTTATTTGACATCTGAAAAATAACGGTTTTTGAAGGCAAAATAACAATATTGTCAAAAACAATGGTTGAAATGTTTGAAGAGATCTGTTTTATTTATCAGATTAATACACTGAAAAAGAACATTAAATTTGTTTTGACTAGGCTAAAATATATGTTTCGAAGGCAGTTACCACAATGTTAGTAGTTGTGATACATTTTTCTAGGAGCGCCAGAAATTCAACTGGTAGTTTGGAATTCTTTGAAAAAACTTTCTCAGAAATGCTATAAAAATCAGCAAAGCCAATAATAAAGAGTTTAGCGGAGGGAAGAGCGTCTCTTTTAGTTGAAAGTCCAATCTTTGGCCATGTTTTTTCACTGGAGAAACCAAAACCAACCCCACTCACTAATAAAAAGAGCCAGGCTTCGGTCGAAAATCAGTTGCCTAAATGATTTCCCAACTCATGTTTTGAAACATCTCTCAAGTTTTCATATTTTTCGATCACTCCTTCTTTGCGCAATACTCTCGCAAAGCCAAAAGCAACTAAATTTCAAAAATTGTGTTAGTTAAAAACGAAATAACATGAAATCTCACCTTATTTCAATCTTCTCTTTGGTAATAACACATTTTGTTGGAATCTTTGAAAGATCTGAAATTGAGGATAAATTTTTCACCTAAATTTTAGAGCAAAACAAACCAACTCCAAGTATATGTAGACAATTTTGCTGTAAGAAGTTTCCAATTTCCATTTTTTACCTATTCAATATACCAATGTGTGGATTACATTGATGTTGTATTGTACACACGATTAAGCACTCAAGGCAAATACATATTTCTCAAAATTTAGGCTTTAATATACGTACAGTGAACGTACAAAATTGAAGTTTTTTCGGGATACATTGAGTAAAAAAAGTTTCTCTTATACAATTTCAGTTCTTTTAAATAACTAAGATTACTTATTAAATTTCAACTTCTTCAATTCATACCTTTAATCGGAACTGATGTTTTTTCATCCTCTTCTTCCTACAAAAAGCGAGACTCAAAATGAAATAGCGGAGCTATGGTCACAAAGAGTCCAATAAAATTTTTCTACCAATGTAGAGATAGTGATGAGATATTCAGAGAAATTGAAAGAATGCGTGAATCATTTATAAAAAACAATAAACTGAACACATAATCCTGACTAAAAAAAGAATAAATATACACAAACAAAGTTACACGAATATCTATTTGAAAATGGCTTTGAAAAAAGGAAAAAATTTTTATATCATATAAATTTAGACGAAAAAGCTTTTAGCCAACATGATACAAAATGTTTGCTTTTTTCAAAGCCATTTTCAAATTCTGTGCCGCCAAAAAACTGTTCAAATATATGTTTCAGAGGAGTAGCAGGTACGTATTGTTCAAGGGGGACACAGTCCCTTTTTAACAAACTGATTGCAAAATAATCTTGTCATAGCTACTCCCAAGACCAAATGTTAGGAAATTATAGGGGGCGGTGACCATGCCCCAGATGCTACACATCTTTAAGTAGCTCTTCACTGTATATTGTTTGTCACACTCATTTCTTTTATTATCCTCTTTGAGCTTGATCGCCACATGCACAAGTGTTTTATCTAGTCTATTTACTCATTGAAAAGAGCGTGTTGATGGAACCTTCAACTTTCTTGAGTCAGAAAGGGGTGTGTCTAGGGCAGTGAATGGAAAATTCCATTGCAGTTAAAGACAGTCTGACTGTAGAGTTTTCTGTACTCAAAACAGCAAGGAAGTCTGTTTCTTTTTAAAAAAATCTAAATTTTGTCCAGCTTTGATTAGCTCTTATCGACAATATTTCATCATTTACGAGTAAATGATAAATCATGCAGGTATTGTTTTCAATTGAATAAAATTTGCCATACATCTTGTACAGCAGTATCCTCTTCCATTGGTGTTGAATCTTGGATTAAGAAGTAATCTTCTGGTCTGTGAAATGACGGAGAAAACTCAAGACACATAATCACGAGAACTTATGAAGTAAAAGCAACAATCCTAAAACTTCAATATGTAAATATTAAAGGAATACCCAGCATCATGTGATTTTAACCATATCCAATAGCAATTAGATTATAATTTTCCTAGATTGTGGGATTTTTGCTGTAACTATGATGATTATGCTTGCAATCTATCAAGCATTATGATAAGAATTTTAGGCCTACACTGATACAATGCAAATTGCAAACAGTAATGCATAAAAATATCCTTGCGAATAATGCATACTATTTACAACAGTCTTGTTAAATGGGCTTTGAAAGGAACTGCACATTTAATGGTGGGTGAAAAAATCTGTACTGCTTTAGATATGCTTTGAATCTCATTTCCGTACGGTCTGATTACAAATATACAAATTAGCATTATCTCAAACAACATAACACAATTGCTGCTCAAGCAAAGAAATTCAAGCCTATTTCTTTACTAAGAAGGGCTACAGTAACAAAATGCTTTCATACTTAATTATTTCACCATAATCATCCCATTTTAGTCTTTCTTCTTTGAACGGAAACATCGGAAATGTCTTAGCTTGCTTGAAAAAATTTCCTTTTGCTCTTAGCTACAAAAAATAGAATGGATCAATGTATTTGTTTTCCAATGTTGCAGATACCATATGAAGGAGTCAAGCAGAGATGCCACTTTTGTATGCCTGGCTTCTGAGTACTATATCAATTGCTGTCAATTGCGTGTCAATACCTTAGCCATACACAAATTTTCAAATCAATAACATGTTATAGCAAAAATTTATAGCGTTGAGAGTGTATTAAAAATATTTTTGTCTGTAAGGGAAAAATCTTGTCCGCACGATTTTAACAGAAGATCTTAGGAGATTTAAACAACTGTTGATCATCAGAACAATTCAAATTAAATTAGCAAATGGATCAAAATAGATAGGGAAAGAGTAACAGTTTTTTAAAATAACATAAGTCAACCCAATATAGATTACTAGAAATGAACGGCTTTACCTTGTCATCAGAAAGCATCAAATCGTATTTAGATTTCATTCCCATATTGATATTGTTTTGTGTATCCTCCTCCTCGCTTTCGCTGTCACTCTCCTCCTTATATTGGCTGGCACGTCTAAAAGCAAATAATCACGTGATTCAAAACAAGCTACCAAAAAAGGCAACGGAAAAAGGACAAAAAAGACGGTATATGTAAAAAATTGAATAAATAAAACAGACAATACATTACCTCTCAGCCTTTAGTTTCTCTTGTATTTTTTCTAATTTAGCTTTCTCTCGCTCAGCTTCTAAATATTTTTCTAATTCCTCTCCTTCAAGTTTCATCCGTGTTTTTATCTGCAAAGCATAAAGTCTTAATGGAAATTGAGGAAACAGAGTTTCAAATGAAACGTTAAGTTTGAAAAGCCTAATTACTTTCGCCAACGATTTTCAGTAACTGATGACATCTTTCTTTACCTAGCAGTTTTTAATTGCAGGTAACACCAAAAACTGAAAAATGAGGGCAGCACAGCATAGCGGGTGAAATCTTGATTGGCCGAGATGTCTCACCAACCTAGGTTTAATCTGTGAGCTAGAGCCCTGTGCGCTGATTGGCTAAATAGTATTGGTGAGATCGCTCAGCCAATCAAAATTTGGTCGCTATCACGAAATCCTTTAAAAAGCCAAATCGCTATTAGATAAAATATCGTTGATAGAGCAATTCAAGGAATATACTTAAAAGAAACAAAACAATATGCTGAAGCAGACCTGGATTTCGATAGATTCTAAATTGGGATTGTCAATAAGTTTTCTAGCCAAAGTTCCTGGAGGAGTAAGACTTGTAAAGATGATGCTATTGTTTGCAGAGTCAGCCCACTGTATAAAAAGACTTCTTGCAAAACCACAATTTAGATCCGCAGTGCTTGCTAGAACGACCTAAAGGGAAAGAACATTTCATTTTATTGCAGTACAAAGGATAGTAGCGAGATGCACATGAATGTTTAAAAACGTGAGAGGGTATGCCAGGAGATCTTTAGAGATCTTTTGAAGACTTATATAAGAACGTTAAACGTGAGGTAATACAAGAAGGAACTTATTCAAAATAATACTAGTACATGTTAAGATTTATATTCGTATCTTACATCCTTGAAATGCAACTAATTATGAATCTCTCCTACTGTGTGGGGTGATCGATGCACTAAAGTACGAGCGCAGTCAACCAAAGAGAGAGTGAAACTCAGATCGATAACTGAATCTATGTGCTGTTAAGTTGTAATAAAGTGGCTTCTTGACTAATAAATTTTCGTTGAAAGAAACGGACTAACCTTTGGTGAAGACACCTTGTTGACATCTGCAAGACTATGACAGAGTGTGATATGTCTAGAAAATAACCAAAGCAATCAGCAAGTTAATAAAAAGGTGGCCTATGCAATACTGTACGACTTGAAATTGTAACTACATACACACATAAAAACAACAGAGCATACACGATCACAGCCTCTACAACCAAGTACTGTTTTTCTTAATTGAGCTCTTCCAGAAATGGACAAGCACCTACAGTTAAATACCTTGGTTACTGGACTGGAGAAACAAGTCAGTAAAGAGGGCGGCAAAAAGGAGAAAAAGCCTAAAACACATTATATTGTAAGCTGCAGGAAGCACAGAGCTTTGAAGACTTTTCTTAAAGGGCAGAAACCCCTGGGATAAAAGGGTTTGGCAAAGAATGTGCCCGAGGTTTAGAAAAGGAGATCGAGTCACTGTCGTAACATTGATGTAACAATAGTCCTGGATAGTCAGAAAGATTAAGAAACACGAGCATTCAAGCAAAAAACTAAGAATCAATTGAATTCTGAAAAAACCGGTGCTGTGAAATTACGTGAAAATCCATCAATATGGCATGCTGGGTGAACTTCACAAACAGAGAATAAAAATACACTTCCCTCGTCTAATTACAGCCTTAATCTCCGTCTAAGGCAGCAAAACTCGACAGAAATGTATCGAATATTTAAAAACAAAAGAGACATTGACGATTATCGCCGTTTGCATCTGCAAAAACACTTTTAAGAAACTAGAGCATTCAACGTCAACCTTGAGGGCAAGTTTCTTATAAAAAATAAGGGCAAAAGTATAAATGCTTACTTAAACTGGAAAGGATTATTTCGCCCTGCTTCAAAGGTTTTCATCATACGATCACTCATCCATTCAACCTGAAAGAAGATGCAAAAGGACAAATTTAAAAAACCTTGAACATCAAATGACAAATAATGGAAAGATCTCAACAAAGGATTGGTGGCAGATCGGTTAATTGAAAGCTTACAAAAGTGTTCACATGCAAAATGCACATTTCAAACTCTTCATTGATCGAAGATCCAGAATTCCAAAAAGCTATTACGATCTGAAAGCTAACAAGAAGTATAAAGAGCCAATCTTGTGTGGACAGGCGTCTGCCGTCTTCTCAATCCGAATTGTGTGAATCGTCAGTACTTAAACATAGCAAACTGATATATTAAACATAGCAAATTTCCTATGCTATCATTTTGTTTCACATAGGTATAACAAATTATATAACCTCTTCTTTCAAGTATAGATAGAAATAACACTGCTTTTGTGCAAGCTATTTTCATATTTTCAGTGCAAACACCTACTATTACGATTAGTTATGATTTCGATTTGAAAAATAACAATATAAATTACTGAAAACTCAATTTGAATAATTTACGGAAAAAAATATTTAAGGGAAGCACCTGAGATTTTGCGAATTCCACTACGTTATAACTAACATTGTTGAGAAGACAAAGAGAATAGGCAAAAAGACCAGATTCTTGGGTTCTCCAAAGCTGATCCTGAAAACAAAGTTACAAGTGTTGTAATGAAAAAATAGTATAAAATGCGGTTGACCAGAGGTTGTGAAAACATTATGAAACATTATGAATATGAAAACATTAAAATATGAATTTAAAAATCTTCCTTTGTTCCAAAGTCGACCTACTCGGGCTTTATCACGGTGTTCACATATAATCTATTTGTTTCAAAGACCAATTTCACGATTTAAAGTATGGAAAGACATTTTTGAATCTGATAAAAATATTGCGACATTTTTAATATAACTCAGTTGAATAGGTTATTAATATTTAGCAGTGGCGGACACTTGGTCAAATATTGAGAGGGGGGGGGAGTAAGTCTATTGTTTTTATAAGATGATGTCACAGTTTACCTTTCTTTTAGAACAAAAGACCACTCCCCCCTCTCTCGCCCCCAGGAACCCGCCACTGCTATCCAGATATTAACACAGATATAAAAGTTTTAATTTGTTCTGTCTTTTCTTTAATGAAAGGAATCTACCTTTAAAACGAGGGTCTAAGATTTCCTGCAAGAAATGATGTTAATTGCCTATATGACAACAATTAGAACCATTCTCTATATCATCATAAACCTTCCTCCTGAATGCCTAATGACCCCTACAAGGTACAATTAGTCAGTTTGTGGCATGTGAGCAAGAAATCCACTCACAAGTAGCTGTGCTAGCTCCAGTACCCGCCCAGCTGTATCAACTGCTAACAGTACGTTTCCATTTCTTCTCACAGCTGTGTGAATATTGTCTAAAGAGTAAAAATTAATAAGAAATTACATTCACCATTTCAAATAGATGAATGGACATAAGTATGGGGAAAGTAGAAGGGAAAACGGGAAGAGGGTAGAATCAAATTACATTGATTCACTGAAATGTACAAAGTTTTCAACAAATATAAGTTCTTTCAAATTATATGGTTGCCTGATGATTGTAATTAATGTGAAATTGGGACACATAAATCGTAAATTGACACATTTTTAAAATGTTATAAAAGGGTTGAAAATATATAACAATATTATAAGAATAAATATGAAGAGCATCATCTACCCATTAGCTGAATGTCCCTCTCTTTCCTCCGTGCTTGTATGTTTAAAGCAGTAAAAGAGTCTGTTATCAGAAGTGATGGTCGACTTAAGGTTTCTAAAACTGCTCCATTGAGATGGCTAGAAATATCAATGGTTAAAAACAAACTAATTTCACGTAAAATGAGACCAGAGGAAGGGTTGAATTCATTTTCTACAAGGTTTTTAAATGTGATGTTGAAGAGTGAAAATTAGCAAAAAGAGGAAATGAGACCAGAGGAAGGGTTGAATTCATTTTCTACAAGGTTTTTAAATGTGATGTTGAAGAGTGAAAATTAGCAATGTTAAAAAATACTTTCAAAGAGTTTTCTGACACAAATACTTTCCTGTCATAAAATTTTCAAGCATTTATCAGACAATTTATACTCAGAAAAGTGTCAGACAAAAAGCTTAAGTTTGCTTTGAAGCACATTTGTTTTCTTCAAAGCAATTTTTAAAATCTATATTGCCATAAAGTTTTTTGTAAACTAAAGCCCTACATTTCTTTTTTGTGATTGTAGTCAACTGCATAGATGATGTCTTCTTCTCCTTCCTTCATAATTTTCCACATGGTTCCTCCAATCATGTGACCAGCAGCATATGGTGTGATACTGAGTCCATGGCCTCTTCCTACCAAAAACCATTGCATATAAAAGACTTGTGAACTGAATATTACATTTTTTCTAAGTTAAAGAAACATATCTAGGGCAGAATTTTCTTGTTAAAAAATGTCACAAAATGGTAGTGAAAAGTATCCAAATATTCAAACCTTTTAAGCTAACATGCTGTGAATACTTCAACTGGATGATTTTTTCAAAAGCAGTATCGACATCATCAAGTGAAAAAAGTTCAAAGTCTTCTTCATTCTGATGTGACTAGCAAAAGATAATATGAAAAATAATGGTAGCTGCAGTAAAAATGATACACATACCCTGGCAGTTTGTAAAATAATTAAAAAGTTAATCACTCTTCTTTACTGGAAAAAGTTGTGATTCAGTCTTAATTGCCACACATGCTACTGATAAGATATCCTGTGGGCTCCTTTAGTTGCTCTTTCTTGCTTCCATACATGTTGTCCTATATAATGGACTTGAAAAATGTATAAAAAATGGCTTTCTTATTCTTTGCAAACTATGTTTTCTGCATTTTAAACAATGCACCTATATACAAATTTAAGCAAAAAACTTAACATGGTAGTTTCTATCCTACACAGGCAGACCTATATAAAAGAAAACACCAGAGTGTGAATACCTGGAAAAAATCATACAAAAACATCTGACCCATTTTATAAACTGGAATGGTTGCATAAATGGGACAATTGAGACCACATTTTCCAAAGACGTATGGGATAGCACCTAGATGATACAAGTCTGGCTGGGACAGTAAAACAGCATCTATTTGACCAATGTGCCTGAAAATATAGAAAGAACAAAACATCTAATACACAAAATTTAACCTTGGCATTAAGATAACATTAAGATAACAGTGTAAAGAAAACACAACTTGTATCTGAAGGTAACATGAAGAAGCAATCGAAAACAATACAAATTCTAAAAGTAGATAAATCGCAGTGCAAGTGTGAGGATCACAAGACCAGAACTATGCAATAGGCATAATATAACAGAACAATAGTAAAAAGCATAATTAGCCATAAATATATAGTGGTGATCATAATAGATAATAATGAGTTCTTAAAAGGCATAACATTGAACACATATGTAATGTAAACATGTTCAGCTCTTAATTATGTTGTCAAAAATGACAACAATTATTTGATGCTCAAACTCTAACATGCCAGCAAATACCACCAAAGTTCATATTTTCAATATCAGCTAGAAGTGGGCAGTCTGTGAATGCATAAAACAAATACACAAAAGTGTAGATCTTACCATTTTATATTCTCAATAGAATCCATACTTAGAAGTTCATTCCATCCACAATCAAGTAAAAACCTGAATTCATCTACTTGCAGCAAATAGCAAAGTGGAGATTCATCTTGAGCACCAGACAGAGCGGTGAAGCGTATAATTGATGTCATGTTCTTATATTTCCCTTTGCCTCAACTAACAGATGTCAGTCTGAATAAAACCCATATATCGCTGAAAAAGATAAAAAATGCTTTTGAAATAATGCTACCAATTTCAGAAGACAGCAATGTTCTTTTAGTGTAACAAATGTCCACACATTTGTCAGGGACGAAAATAAGTTGCTAATTTTGGAGGGGCGTGGAAGGATGAAAATTCCAACTTTAAGTGAGAAATTTTTGATGCGACCAGTAAATATACTGTACCCACCAAATTGATATTTGTAAATAGCCCGAACACCATAGTTCTATTTTCTTTATAATTACCAAAACCTTACTCAACAAATAGCCTAAAGCATAAAAGCCTAAATCTCTAAATTTTGATTACCATGAAACAAAAATTTAAACTTGCTGTAAGAAGTAAAGCAACATTCAAGCAAAACCAGTATTAGATATACTTAATGATTAGTAGTATTCTTTCAGATCAATTGATCAATTTTATCTAAATTGATCAATTGATCAATTGATGCAGATCTATATATCTAAAATACATTTTTTTCACGATATAGAAGCACCCAGAATTCGAGCCTTTTATTTTTGTTCTTGATCGAAGAAAACTACTAACACTTTTCAGAGGACCAAATGCCTTTTCGTTCTTTACAATTGAAATGATGATTTGAGAGCAAACTTGTGCATATGCCTGATTCGAAAGATGAAACACTCTTCTTTGATCAAATACTTCTACTGCAATTTTGCAATGTGTTCTTGCTTCACAGCAGTTTTGTCATAGGAATTTATGATAATGAGTCAAGGACGTTAACAAATAACAGGGGGAGTTTAGCATAAACTCCTTTTTTATAAGAAGCGTTAAGAATTTCTAGTACTGAAAGTGTTTCTTAATCTTTTATTGAATTAACTACTCGTAGTTTCTTAAAAAACTCCCACTCTATAATTTTCTGATCAATGCGGGTATTATTATTCCAAACTGTAAAGTTTCAAGTTTCTTATCCGGAAATTCACCTTGCCTGTTCGTAATTTGATTCAACTCCCATCAGAAAGAAAGCAAACGGGGCAATTGTGCAATTTGGATCCAGTGGAGACGGGATTCACAATAGAAAATGATTAATGGATGAGTCAGATTCAGCCTGTGAATTTTGATGTTTAGAATTTTTACATTTAAAATAAAAAAACTTCTTAAAATATAAAATTCATAAGTTTGGACTTAAGAAAAAAATTCCAAGTCAACCGTTAAGTTTTCCAACTGTAACTGGATTTTCCAAACTTTGGGGGGGCGTTACGCCCCCCACGCCCCCCTATTATTTACGTGCCTGACATTTGTCATCACAAGCTTGCAGACATTTCATTTATCTGAAATTACTTAAAAAATATTATTCCAGGAAAGTATCTTTTAGATGAAAAAAGAATGATATTTTTCCTGAAGAAACCTTTGCCTAAAATATTTGAAACAAATAAAAGGAGAAAATCAGAAAAGCTAAATAATTTTAAGTGATGGTTTTTTCCATTCAATTTGTATAATTTTCTTTATCTTTGGTTGAAGGGGATATAGAAATATATCTCAAGTGGAAAATCATTGGAGTAAGATTCCTTTTACTTAGGTTTTTTAAAAAAGTTATTGGAAAACTGAAAGGGATGGTTCAGAAACCATACATATTTTGTCTAGGTTAAGGAACTTTTGTTTTACTTTGAGTTTTTATTTTTCTATAAAAATATTAAAAAAACAGTAAAAAAATTGGATCTATTGTTTTATAAACTTCACATAGGCCCTTTAGATAAATTTGATGCAAAATAATGAAGTGAAGCAGGAAAGTAGTTTGCATTAAAATGAGAAGAGCCAATTTTCTGAATTGCATTTTGCAAGGTCTGTATGTTATGCTTGACAAATTTTGTACGTATAAGCACTTTCCATACAGGCCAAGAGCAAAAACTATAAGATTATTTGTGTCAAAATTGTATGATATATTTAATCATCAAGATTTCATGAACACTTTGAGGCATATTTTTGACACAATATAATCGTAAACAGGCACCGCGGAGTAAGGGGGCTGGGAGGCTTTAGCGCCCCCTCCACTTTTTGCAAGAAATGCCAAATATTAAGTACTAACCTACCGGTAAAGCCTTTTTTAAACAGTTTTAGCCCCCCTACTTTTGTCAACGATCCGCGGTGCCTGGTAAATTGATTTAAATTTGCTGCAGTGCAGTTTTTCTTGAAAATGCCAGCTTCAACTCACGGCTATATCCATTGCTTATTGAGATGTGATGACCGATATTTTTGCTCTAGCAAAACCTATTGCTTGAATTGTGCTCTATAAAAGTAGCTTTTCTGGTCTTACACTTTTTGAAAATTTTCACTTTATTGGCAATTACATTCCCTTCTTCAGTCAATTCGCCAGCCTTTGACTTTCTTTTAACTTTCTTCTTTCATCGTAGTAGCATGTTCTTGAAATCACCACCGAGGCGCCATTACTGATAGCCTCGTTTCGGTGCTGATCTTTAACTCAATCAACTTAATCTCCCAAAACTGCAACAACGGGATTTGAAAAGAAGAAGACTTTGCTGATTGATGTGTTGATGTATGATTTCTGTTAACATTCTGGATTGGTCTCTAAAAATGCTATCTAAAGAACAAATTGACGAGGTATGTTTGAATAATCATGAATTTAATGCCTATTGATTATGTGAGACTTTAAGAAATATGCTGCAAAGAATTCGAAAAGTAACACCCTCTTGTCTTGCAAAAATATGGAATGATCTTTCCGGAAGAAATATGAAATTCTCCATATACATTTTCATTTCAAAATTATATTCAACCTTCCTTGTTACAACTATTCAGTTACAACTATTTTGTTATGGAAATGTACAATACATCCTCTGAGTTCAATAAATATGTTCTTACTCCCTGTTTTACTTTGTTCTTTAACTATAGGCTAGGGGGAGTTCCTCCTTTATTTTAAGAAATTGTGGTATGTTCAAATTAGACAAAACTTCTCTGTATATATTCTAGTTAACATTTAATACTTTTATATTAGATTTATATATTATAATCAAGATTAAAACCTTAAATTTTTAATTGCCCCATTTTTGAAAAGAGGTGTATAGAGGTCCGGATCCACCCTCTTGCCTTTTCTTGAAAATTCAAAACATCAACAAAACTCTAATTCAATTTGAGTAATATTTTCAAAAGTTTTTATATCTTCAAGTCAAAACTTCAATTAAAAATTTTAAAAACAGAAATTAAAGCTATTTTTTCTACAAATAGGCGATTACCTTTCTTATTAAGCAAAATTTTTAAAATTCAAAATGAATATCACTACCATCGCATTGATGAAAATTTTTAAAAAAAAGTGAATGCAGCATGGATGTGCATATAGTCTCATGCATGGTAGATGTTGCTATCTTGAATTAATTTGTTTTGGATATCAGAGGAGACTCCTCCAATACAGCATTCCTTCCCTCCTGACCTGCTTACCATCCTTTGTGTCTATGAAGACTGAGTTACAGTCACAGAAAACAAAATCTCCCAGATGTTATCATGCCTGCTCTGTCTCCACTGTCTTGGCATGAGAAAAAACATAAACTCTCTCTATCTGCAGCATCAAATTTTTTTCTACCATTTATATAGGTCTTTAAACATGACTTCCCTTGCTTTTTGCACATATCATGTTTCTGTCTGTAATATTATCAAGTGACAACGGTTTAGGCCTTTCTTGTTGAACAAAAATATTTTCAGTGGAATCAGTAATAAATCACATATTGTTACGGTTAGTTTGATCTTTGATATCAAAATAATTCTTTCCCGAAAAAAAACTTGGCTATTGTCTGTGATAAAAAAGTTTGTTGTGATCACAACACAGAAAATCAACAAATTATACCAAAACATGGGCTCCCAAAGTTTAAGTCTTGCCTTAATGAAAGAGCAGGACTTGAGATTCTGCCATTTCTGAAGGGTAGGAGTGTTATTGTTTTCTTCTATTGTGAATAAGGACCAAACACATGGCTACAAAATTGTTGCCCGCTTAGTCCTGCCTACAAAAGTTGGGCAGGACTTGCTACTTGGCTACATTTCAACAATATGCAATTGAATATAGGATACTCAAAATTATGTTAGAGTTGCAAAGTGACACCCTGTGTCTCCAAAGTGGAAAATGGGCACAACCTTGAAGAATATGGGTAAAAAATCATAAAATAAGATAAGAGAAGCCTAGGAATCTGGTATAAAATGATTTCAGAACACGATTCAACTTTTTTCCTTTTTTGATAATTGCTACCTTTGAAAAAATGACCATCCTGCTGGCAGGACAAGCAGGACTTTTGGCTTTGCCACTGACCACACTTCCTATGTTATGTAAGGAAGAGGGTGTCATATTTATATATTTGCAGAAAAATATGACAATTTCTTTTTGCATCCCATAGCTAACTTGCATTTTGCCGTTTGGATCAATAAAATAAAAAATCATCAGATATCAATGAAAGTTGGTTGTCCAAGAAAGATCAATTCAAAAAGCAAAAATTTCATTTAATTGTCTTATTTCCATTTCACAAGTTCCCTGTGTATGAGATTTTTGTTGTTGCTTACCCCCATTTAGTTGTTTATCATCATTTATCTGATCCAGACAATACGAAGTTGAAGTAAAACTTTGACTCATAGAGCCTCTGCAGCTATTTCAACATCCTGGATTGTATCTTTTTGATAAGTAGCTTCATCTTTTTTTATTCAATGAAACATTCCTTCAAGACAGGGGCAGACACTTGATCAAATATTGGGGGGCAAGCCTATTGTTTTGATAAGGTGACATCATATTTCCCCATTGTTTTAGAAAAAAAGACAACTGTCCTCCAAAATATTGAGGGGTGACTGCACCCCTTGCCCCCCCCCCTCCAGGTGTCCACTACTGCTTCAAGAATGTAACTAATTGAAGTTAATTTCTTATTGTCTTCTTTTAATACTTTCTGTTTTCTACCTCTTTCTTTGTTTCTTTTTTAAAAAATTATAGAGATATTTTTAACCTTTAAATTTAAAGCTTATTTCTTTTTACAAAAATGTTATGCTTTCCTTTATCAGTTTCACTCAAAAGGCTATTTGGTGCTGAAGGACCTGTTCACCCCTGCTGAATGTGATGCACTGATGAAAAGATGTGGCGAGTTTGTTGATGATTTTGATTTCAGTACACATCCAAAATCAGTTTTTTCAACAGTATCACCAGTATGTATGCAAACCATTTTCAACTAATCTCTTGTGTCTTTTAGAGCTTATATTGCAAAACTTTTCCTTTGCATCTTCCCTTTTAGAATTTGAATTCCTGAGTGCCACACCCCCACCATGTAAATGTATGTTGCTGTAGCACGTAAAACTTGGCTATCGATATGAGAAAATATTTGCAAAACAACCTTTCTTGGTCATTGAGCATATTATGTCTCTGTTATATTATGGTGCCTGAATATAGTTATGTTTTGTGCAAAAGGTAGAGTTTTTTAGTAATGGGCTAATTATACTGTAGTAAGCATGTTCAGATATCTAGACTATAACAAAAGTGCAGCTATGCATTTCCACCAGAGCTATAAAATTGATGATATGTGAATATCGATAATCCAAGGTAGAAATATCTAAATATTACTACAAAATGGTCATTCCTCTTTGTCCTGAAAATGGTAGGGTAACTTTCTCCATATGGGCAGCTCCTTTCAATAAGGCAATGAGGAAATTGGTGTAAGTTTTTCAAAATACTGACATTTCTGTTTTAATGAATATTAAACATTTTAAAGTCTATAAGATTGCTATTTTAGTGTGTTTTATTAAGTATCTTTTAATATCATATTTGTTGTATTCTATTCATTATATGAAAGACAGGGTATTATAATATATCCTGCAAATAATTATATTTGTTATAAAAATTCATTCTAGAAAAATGATGATTATTTTATGGCCAGTGTAGACAAAATAAGATTCTTCCTTGAGGATGGAGTTTTGGATGAAAAAGGTCAGTTGGAGAATACTGACAAAGTTTTTTATTTTATTTTGCAGTGGTAGCATATTAAATATTTGGTGCAGCAAGATATTTAAATTTATCTAAAAATTAGATTTTTTGTCTGAATGAAGTAGACAAAAAAGGAGGCTCAGAAAATTCACTGTCTTCATTCAAGTTGCATTGCTATTAAAATTCATCCTAGAAACGTGATGATTATTTTATGGCCAGTGGAGACAAAATAAGATTCTTCCTTGAGGATGGAGTTTTGGATGAAAAAGGTCAGTTGGAGAATACTGACAAAGTTTTTTATTTTATTGTGCAGTAGTAGCATATTAAATTTTTGGTGCGGCAAGATATTTAAATTTATCTAAAAATTAGATTTTTGTCTGAATGAAGTAGACAAAAAAGGAGGCTCAGAAAATTCACTGTCTTCATTCAAGTTACATTGCATAATGATGTTTTTTGTCCATAAATCAAGACAATTGATGATTTTTCAACTTTGAGATATGTTTGCTTTGCTTTGATAGAATATCTAACTTTTTGGTTCCTAAGTCTATGACATCTCAAAGTATGATATGATATGTTTCTGCTTTTCAATGCTTTTTTCAAAGTTTGTGGTACAGAAGGCTTATTTGACTCTTCAACAGAAATTACAGCTTTTAAAATTTAAAAAATACATGGCTGCTCATTTGAGTGAAGTTAATTTTCCTATTTTAAATGATGCAAATTTTTCATTGAAGTTGTCTATACTTGAAATTAAATTTATATGCATTGCTAGCATGACCAGCACATTAATCCTCCTGCTGTGGCCAACAAATTGTTTTTAAGTATTATAACAATTGTAATATTGAATAAGTCATGTTTTTGTACTGAAGAAGTAGTCAAAATCATTGAAATAGGGATTATATAAAACTTCTCCTGATCTATATTCTCTGTTTGGGATTGTCTCTTTGGCAAAAAAGAATAATAGAGTTACAAAAAAATGTCTATGCCTGGTGATACCTTTTAAGATAGTAATACCAGTTCATCAGAGAGTAAGTTGCAGGTTGACATACTTTCGACATAGGACCATGTCTTGGCACAAATACCTCTGCAGCCAAAGATTTAAACTTTTTTGCAAGATAAAGCAAGGTGATAAATATTTTCCAAATTGGGACCAATATGAACCCCTCCATAGGAAAAAGTCACAAGTGATCTTGAAGGCCTTTGGCCTTGATCTATTCCTGCCTAAAAAGATGTCAGAAAAGTGTCAGAATCAATTAGAATACATACAGCACCTTTCAAAATATAGTGTCTGGTGTTCCCCAAGGTTCTATACTAGGCCTAATTCTTTTTAACTCTACCTAAACGACCTTTTCTATTTATTAAGATAACAGAAGTGTATAATTATGCAGATGACAGTATGTTAGTGCATTTCTCAAATGAAATCCTTTGCTAGATCTTGTAAAAATCTTAGAGGAAGAATCAAATGTCACTTTACATTGGCTTGAAAGCAAAAAGATTATAGAAAACCCTGAAAATTTAATACTTTGATTGTAAAGAGAGACCGATCCGACACAAATGGCATACCAATCAATTTGAAAGACCACACGATAAGAACTTTATGCATATCTCTCGTTCATGAAGCTGGCAATATTGAAATTCATAAGACTTTGAAAAAACAAAATCCTACTTTTAGACCTAATCAAGTTAGTTACATTTGGTACAAACAGTCTCAGATCTTTAGATCCCAAGGTGTGGAATAGTTTACCAAACAAGATCAAATCCTTGAAAACTGTAAACATATTCAAACAATTGATAAAGCAATGGTCTGGCATTCAATGATATTGTAATGTATGTAGATATGAAGACTCTTGAAACCAATAATTCAAACGATTGCAGCATCATAAAAATCAGTTCTGTCAGCATAATCGAATGGGGGGGGGGGGGAGTTTTGGAATTTAGTAGTTTTATGAAATGTATTATAATCTTCATAAATTTTGTGTTTTAGAATTTTTCGTAAATTTGTTATTACATTTTTGTAAAAGTTAGAAAATAAGAAATTTCCGGAAATTTGCTAAATTTGTTTCAAGTTTTTGGGTGGAGTTTGAAATGTAGTAGTTTTATGACTTTGTTATCACTTTGTTATTCGAATTAGATTAGTTTCTTTTCATTTTGTAATTAGAAACTAGAATTATTTGTATTTGAATTATAATAAGATTACAACAGCAACAAAGACCTGCATCTATACTAATCATTGTACTCAATGTGGCTAAATGTAATTATTATTTACGATAGATCACTTTGATTGATTCTTCACATTCATAGGTAACTTAAACAGAAGCAAGCATCTGGCAATAAATAAAATGGGTCACGGTAAGCCATATAGCATGAAATACTTTAGATGTCATGTCAATGTTTGCAGCATTTATTTAAAGTTATGAAATACATGTGTATATGCTAAGAGAATTTTGGAAAAAAAATATTGTTATTGTTAAAAACTGTATATTGAAAAATGTTATCTAAGTTCTTTACTTTGCTGAAACTAGTTATTTTTCAACATTTCTTTCCAGGCTTCCACTATCTTGATCCCATTTTCAAAAATATGACTTTTGACAAGAGAATACAGGTGACATTTCAAGCTTGGTACCTGTTAAATTGAGAAAGCGCTTCTCGAATTTTTGATTCAATCAGAAGTTAATAGCTATCGGGAAACAAAATTTCTAGCGCCTAAGGATAGCACATTTCAAGATGTTCTCACACATTGTAACTTGTAAATATTCTTGATGAAAAATGAAATTTATTTGAGATCTAGTATCCCCAACAGTATCACACCTAGAAATTTTAAAATATCCTTGTACAGCAACACATTTTCGTCTAATCAAATATAGCCAATCATATTATCTATATTGAGTTGCTGCTTTGAAGTGACCAGTGTCTTTAAAGTACATCCTTGATTTCTTGTTCAGTAACTTTACAAGCTAGAAGAGTACTGAGTATTTTGACAGTTTTCAAAGTGTAGTTGTAGCCATTTCTTGAAGGTATTGCACCCTATTGCAAAAAATTGGTCAATGTGCTAACTTTTGTTGTCCCTCAAATCCTTTCTTGTGTGGTCTGATTTCTCCAATTTATAGTAGCTTCAATGCATTTGAGAGAGAAAGAAAAAAGCCTAAGAAGAAAAACATGTCTGTACTCTTCTGCAGTTGGCAAGGTCAAAAATAGTGATGAAAACTGTCTGATGATTCAATTTATTTTTTATTTCGTCTGTCATTTAACTTAATCTTATCAAGTTCTTTTTAAGGTTTCAAGTATCAATGGTATTAAGAAATGGACGACACAACTGCCCCAGTGTCAGAATTATGTTACCCTAATTTTGTCTAAAGCACAGCTCCAAAAGTCTGTCTAGGTTAAAAACTGTTTGGTTTGCAATTTGTTTGCTATATATCAAATCTCACTATTGTGCTGTTAAATAATTTTTAGATTATTTGATAAATAAGTAATGTAATATCCTTATGTATCTTTTTCCAGAATATAATCAAGTCCCTAGAATTTAAGAAGCCAAAGATCCCACAAAGTATGTACATCTTCAAGGTACGGGCACTTCTGTAATTAGGAATCTTTGTTTAGACAAATTAATGTCATATCCAAATGAATAAAATTGTCTTTAGCTATGAGATTTCTGAAGGCAGTGAAGGTGAAAAAGTAGATTGTTCTGGTATTGTGACATCCGAAAGTTTGGAGCTGTTTTGACTGCATTTGGAGATTCCAAGCAGTTTCTTAGAATTAAGTTTACAATCCCTGCTAAAAGTTTGTTGCTAAGAGTGAATGGCCTGGGTTACAGGCCGTTGCTAAAATAATTGACACTTCACTTCCATTCAGGCATGCTCCGATACGCTGGTGACAATTTTAATCAAAGAGAAGCTTGCAAGAAATCGAAACAAAGAAATTATTTTTTGATAATAATCAAATATATTTTTGTCACAATAGGAAACGCTCAGAGATTTAAATTTTTGACTATTTTTTTTGCTCAAGCTATTCACTTGAAATTCAGGCTATGCATTTTTTTGAAAATATTTATTTAACTGTCTCCGATAGGAAGACAAACACTGCACCCCCTCTCCCTTAAAACGATGTTTGTTGCAGAGTTAAATATCTTAAATTAATTTATCTTTTTCCGATATCGTAGCTATCAGAAAAGATTCCATTGAACTACACCGAACCTCGTCTCGTTGCATATAAGTGTTTCTAAGACGTTGGTGTATAAATATAACGACTATTATTTGTATAGTAGGTACATAAATACCTACTTTTTATTTCCTAGCCATAAAATTTTGAGCACTTAAAAACTCATTAAAAAGATCACGATCTTTCTGTTGCAAAGATGATTTTTTCAGTTGCAAAGAACGTGGACATGTTTTTAATTCGTCACAAATATCCACAGAGCATGAAATACTTTAGGCAGGGCCATGAATTCCAAAGTAACTTTGTCATCCAAGTATTGATTTCCTTGTCATCAATGACATGACACTAGCATATTTCATTGTCATACATTCAGATATTTTCGTATTTTTTCTAGCAACCTAAAATTGGCGGAGTCGGTGAGAAATTTATTTAATTGTAAGCTTTATTTAGATGCAAAATTCTGTTGTTTGATATACCATATTCGTAAAAAAATTTATTTTCTCAATATTATGACAAACATTATCTGTTGCAAAAGTTCATATAAACTGTTTTTCTATGCTTTTCAGAGCAGTATAATAGGAGGAGGAAATCCAGGGGCAGGGCAGGGGGGAGGGCTGGGGGCAGGGGACAGGGCAGTGGGGCCGCACTTTTCAATGAGATATGATGTTGATTATGCGTATTGATATAAAAAACAACTTTGAAGGCACAAATCCTGCTGTGTGGTTTCACCTCAGAGCTATACAGATACGTCTTGTAGCTCATGAATCACGAGTTAGAAAGTCATTATATGTTATAAAGCGTTGTGTCCTTATGAGCCTGGATATGAAATCGGCAGCTTTATCAAAAGATTGAAAGATGTCCTTTAGTAATGCATTGTTTTCTTCTAGTCACCCCGCACCAAGATGCGACGTTTTTGATGACAAAACCCTCGAAGGTGGTCGGGGTATGGATAGCCTTAGAGGATGCAACGCTTGAAAATGGATGCTTGTGGTTTATACCTGGCTCTCACACAAGTAAATTTCTTTCAATCTTAGCTTGCTTTAATTAAACGCAGGGTGCAGTTTTGCTTTGCATTTAGTCTTGAGGATTTCTCTTTTTCCAAAGTGCACATGTATGTGGCCAGGGAGGGGATAGTAAATTTGAATCAATATAATAAACCAATCTGGTGAGTTATAAAAGGAGATACCAATCCAGTAAAGGCAAGCTAAAATTCAGGTCTTCAATTCAAGGGGCCCATTACGCGAGAATGCGCGGGAAACGATCACCAGGCACAATTACACGTCCCGCGCAGCTTTCCATTAAATTTCCCCTTCACGGCAGGATCATTATGGGCTAGCATCATCTTGCGCAGGCACCTTTCATTAAATCGTTATTTACAAATTGCTAGTTGTAATATAAAATTGTCTAAGAAAGTTTTCTTTTGTCGTCTTAAAATTTGTTAGGTCTCTATATCAGGGGCCATTTTCAGGGATTGAGTTTTACGGGCCATCCTCTGAGCTGCCTTGCATTCAATTAAGGTCTTCCAACGTTTATTACCATATCCCAATCCAGTCATTGTTTTCGTTTGGAATATATGTCTATGAAAATTGGAATAATTTCTTTTACAGAGCAGGTCACACGAAAGATGATAAGAAACCCGGAAGGTACATCTCCACCCACTATATATGTTGGGAAAGAAGAGGATTACGACATGTCAAAGTTTATTCCTGCTGAAGTCACCAGAGGTATTTGTTCTCTTGTGTTTACGACTCAGTGTCGTGTTTTAAGAATGGTGATTTCGTAGTGTTCTAACTTCGCTGCACAAGCAATGACTGTTCTATCTCTGTCACAAAAGCAATTACTTTGATTATCGCATATGTTGTCACTATTATTCACTTTAAAATATGAATGTAAATATTTTTCTGGAAAGAAATTACTCAAAATTTCACCAAAACCGTCAATTAACTAACATCATCTTATGATTTACTTTTTACGTCCTTGTGATAAAAGACCAATCCTGTAGTAACAAATTATCAGTTTTAAAATTCAGTGGTTAGCTTCGTAGATTTTCATTAAAGCCTAACGTTAGTCAAGTTTTAAGCTGCTGCACAAAAAATATTTGATGGAAAATGAGAGCAATTTTGTAAATTTTAGGTTCATGTGTTCTTATTCACGGAGAAGTTGTTCATAAAAGCGAGCAAAACACGTCAGATCGGTCTCGACAGATTTACACGTTTCATATCTACGAAAGCGATCAAACAGAGTGGACAAAAGAGAATTGGTTTGTATAGAATCCTCTTCAATGTTACAATACATAGTCCAGTGATTTACCATACTCAACCAGGCCTAAGGGGAGTGGACCGTAGTGGTTTGTGTCCCATATTACACTTGCGTATATTGCCATTATTTGATTTATCAACAATTATTTTATTCTCAGAAGTTGACCGTAAATATGGCATGACACCCCTCCTCTTTTCCATGCCAGGAAACATACTTTGTAACCAACTTCGTAACCAAACTATCTAAAACGCTAAGCAGCCATGGGCAGATTCATAATTTAATATTTCAAATATATCACCCTGATTGGCTTGCTTTACGTTCCATGGCTGCATCGAATCACATTCGAAATCATTGCTAAATGTTCTTCGCTTTTACACAAATTTTTAACAATTTTCATCCTGTGGTGGAAATTAGTTTATCTGTAATCTTCATAAAATTTATAACAACATGCTGATATCTTAAAGTTGCTATTGTTTTATGTGTTGTGTTTCTCTAAATATCTTCTAAATTTTTCTTACAGGCTTCAACCCACAGACGAGCATCCTTTTCCATTATTATACACAAATGAAGACTAAGGACAAACTTTCTCCAAACAAGGACCCATTGATTCGCAAATTTTCACAATCTATAATAAAGCTTTTAACAAATTAAAAAATTTTTTGCAAAAATTTTCCCTTTTATCTACTTTTTAAAGTACCATTGTCTAGGCTTTGTTTCAGCTATTGCTTAACTTAATCACACAAAATTTTTATCGGTAATAAAATTGAACAGAATTTAGATCAGCTTCTAAATAACTGAATATCATATTTTCGCTTGTGGCTAGTTTCGTAGATTATTATATAGGTTTTTCATATAGTTTTTTTTCTGTTTTCGGAACAACTTATCTTGCGTTTGTACATAAGGTGAAAAAAGAGGATAGACACTCGCTCGGCCCTAGCAATTGTCGTCAGAGTGTAATAATAACTCAAGTAAGATTGCAATGATGTCATCACTGCAGAGGCGATCTAGAGATCATTGATTCTTGTCTACACCAACCTGACCAAGTTAGGTGGAAAGTTCAGCTCGCTTAGCGGCCATTATGAGTGGCGAATCTGTCTACTATACCCAAATGGAATAAGCGTCATGAAAAGAAAGTGCTAACAGCAGCTAGCGGTGAATTATGTTACTGCAAATTTAATCAAGAAAACGTAGACTAAAAGCTTCACTGAAAGGCCAAATGTATAAATTTGCAATTAATAAATTCGACAAACCATTCAGTATTTATTGTCGCAATCTAGACTCTGCAGAAACACCAGAGGTACACTTTTTAAAATTAAAGTCGGCAATGCTTATCCGGTGAAGGAATTGCTCACTACAAACAATTTTTAAAAATCATTACACATATTAGTTTAAATTGAGCATGCACATTCATCCATATTATGTACTCCATTCCTACTTAGAAACTGGCTGTGTACTCTTGATTGGCTCAAGATTTCATTGGAGGCAGTTTGGCAAAGCTGTATTATTGCCAACATTCACACCTTAGCTATGCCATTTCTGTCGGCAATTGGGTAACTGTAACCCCCCCCCCCCCCGCATCCCCACAAAAACTTTCTTCAGCTTTGCCTCTTTTCTCTACCTTCTCAGTAAGTATCCCATCACTTCTAAATATTCTTATTACTAATCACAGTTTATTTTTATGGATATATGTAAGAGAAAGTAAAACGATATACAAAGGATTTATTCAAGTTATTCAAATTGTTTCTCTCAAGTTTTTACTAAGCTTGTAACAACCAACTAGTCTGACCATTCGTCATCGAAATCGTCCTCTTCCTCATCGTCATCTTCATCTATGGTAAAATATAATGATGATTAAATCAGAGTTAATTTAACGAGGGGCTTTTTGGCTTTAACTAATTCGCTTGGGATTGTTATTATTTCTTCTTCGTTATGGTCTCTTGTACCACGACTCCTCGCGTTTTTCTTGTATCTTCTCTACTAGTTTATGGGCAATGCGGGGAGTCTTTCGGCCCCCTGGGAATTTGATTTGTAAAACTTGGGTAAGATGTGTGTCTCGTGGCGTTTTTACATTCCCTAGGTTAATCTAGGGGCATTTCAGGTTTTGGCATAGCCTGGGCCTCACCTTGCTGGGTAAAGCCACAATACAAGTAGGTTGTTTTATTTTCCCAACCCCTTCTTCCCTCATTTTGTTTCTTTATATGAAATGCCTTTTCAGTATAGCCTTGGGTGTTGAGTTTCTTTTACGGCATTGTTAAAACGTCTCATACCTTTAGGCATCTTTTATGCTATTTAGCGTTTTTTGATGCTATTACGTGGGACTGGTGCATCGCCTATTAGTGGGGAAAAGAGGCTTTTCCTGTTTATTCCTTCCTAATTATCAATCAAATTTAGGGGTTATGGTAGGTTGAACGATTTGTGTCGATGCACCAACGGCCCAACTTGCTCTCGATGATGTGGGAACGTAGCCTCATGACTGACTTTCTGATGTCTATGGCAGTTTATGCCCTTTATTTTGCATTGATATTTCATTCCTGAGTTAGTAAATTGACGTGATTTGAAGAAAAACTCAAAACTCCACTTGAAAAAACGCACACATTGCGTATTCACTACGGCATAAATTTCGATATGATCAAAATTAAATTTTGCGATACCAAACAAACAAAAGTTGCTACTCGGTAATTCAGGCCTGATGAGAACTGGCTTGATGCGATCTGCTGGAAATCATGCCCGGACTTGCGTACCTGTAATTAACGTCGAGGCACAAAATGCTCAAGTAAAACTATTAAAGATAAAGAATACAACTAAGTACTTACGCTTGCATAGGGCTTCGCATAAAAAATAAGGAAATGGTGGGTTCCTATCCATGAAAAAGGCATATTTCGAAGGGGTTCAGAATGACTTTTCAGTTCCACTGATTTATCGAGGAAAATTTGAAGAGTGTTGAAGCAAAATAAGGAGAAGGGAGTGTAACTGTATCTCACCTGATGACTGAATATGCTTTTGCCTGTCTTGCAACGCCTTCATTAAAGCTCCTGCCATTCCAACAGGCTCTTCTGTTGAAGCATCATCATCATGGGAAACCTGAATAGAATAGTTCATTTCGTTAAGTAAAGCACTAAGTAGGAGCTAATACAAGCTAGGAGAAGGTTTTTGTTAATTCAAACTTTGTCGCATGCGTTAACAACAGGTAAAAATCCTGCTATGAGATTTTCTTGATTGGCACATTATGATAGAAACTGCCCCTATACAACGCTACCGATAAAATTCAGAGAAAAAAGATTTGAAAGCAGTTGGGTCATCTAAGATTCACTGCCGATGATCATCTATTAATCTCTCGAAGAAATCTTAATCATATAATTCAATAAGGGTATGGTATAGAAATACAATAAGGGGTATCATCCAAATGTATTGAAAAGGAAGTACCATCTTGTATAATGACTACATGAACAACGCACATACTTTGTCGCCAAAAGGATTGATTGATTCAGGGTTTATCATGCTCGAATATTCATAAATTTCATACCGCTTTAAGCTCTTTTCCTTTTCTAATTGCATCTAAAAGAGCATCTCTACCATCAACGGAAGTAGACTTTCTTTGTTCATTGTCAGTCTTCTTTAGCTTTGCCCCCAAATGAATCTGGTCCAAGAGAGCACCTCTTCCGCTTCCTCCAGAGGGAGCTGGGGCATTGCTTCTGGCACCACCCATTGCAACCGGAGGTGGCGGGGGTGGACATGGGGCTGGTGGTGCTGCAGGAGGTGGTGGTGGTGGAGGGGGGGCACCTCCACCAATTGGTGGTCCACGAGGTGGCTGTGGAACGCTTCTACCTGGTGGGGGTGGTGGAGGAGGACCACCACGAGAGGGTGGTGGTGGTGGTGGGGCACTAGAGCCTCTTGAAGGAGGTGGTGGTGGTGGAGCATTCCCTCTTGAAGGGGGTGGTGGTGGTGGTACACCGCGTCCTGGAGGTGGTCTTGGCGCCCCACGTGAAGGTGGCGGCGGTGCTACAAGACCTAAAAATAGACAGTAAACATAAAAACTGGAGTAAACATCAAATTTTTTTAATTTTAATGTGCGCAAATTTACAGTAAGTTCTAGCCATAACATGAAAAAATGCAATAAAATGCAGCCATCTGGTGTTTAGTGGCGTAGATATATTCCCAGAGCTCAAATCAAAACCTGACAGATCAACGTTTGATGCTCTTCAAATCTTAAATAGATTCAATGAATAAACTGTTATTTACAAAGTATCTTAGGGATTTTATCCTGACCTTCCTGATGCATCCTGTACAGTTATTGATGGATTAGACTGATAGTATTATTATATGACGCATTAAGAGCTCTGACGCTTACTAATTCATTGCAATTTTTGAAGATTCAGATTACAAAAACTCGAGCAAATGTCATTATATTTTACCGTATTGCTCGGTGTATAAGTCCAATTTCTAGTTCCATAAAATACTTGTGAAACGCAGTGGCATAATTTTGTGAAAAATTGCTCCGTGTTCGTAGGTGTAGTTTAAAGAAAAATTTATGCAAAAGAGATTTGAACAACTTTTGATGCAGGAGTGAAAACTGCATTTTTAGAATTAAAATTCAATGTCGTTTTTGTCAGCCAAAACTCAAAATGCAAAAACGAATGAAGTAGGAAGCGAAATACGAGACAAAAGCTGTGGAATAAATAGAGTAACTCTTTAATATAGAGCAGCACAATTTTTTTCAACCATTTCCACAATAAAATATTAAGCAGTCGCAATTATAACAGCAACGTTTGTGGGTTGACTTATACGCCGGGCATTGCTAAAAGTCGTGAATTTCTGAACAAAAATTCAAGGTCAACTTATATGCCGGTTTGACTTATACGGCGGGTCGACTTGTTCGCTGAGAAATACGGTACTGGTTTTACAGTTTTCACGATTACTCGCTTTTTTAGCTTAATATAAAGCATAAACATTAGACACTGCAGAGGCCTTCTGTTTTGTTCTATGCTTACAGATCTCCAAACAATACTTACTATCGTCACGTGATGGTGGTTGGGGAAGTGGTTTAAAACACTCCTCCATTTCTGCAGCAGCTTTCTCTATGCCTCCATGCTTTTCCACAAAATCATAAATGAATTTGGAGGTCTCTTCATCCTCCAATTCTTTTTCAGTAATACCAGCACTGTCAAAAAGTTTCTTCCACTTTGGATCTATGTTATTAACCTGCAAAGACACCATCTTTCATTAGCAAATGTTTCTCAAGCGGTCCTTTCTAAGGCAAATCCTTTTATAAGTTTTGGCTTTTTGATGCTGTAAAGAATAGTAAAGTTCAAAAATCTGTCATCAGTTAAAGGATACGCTACTGACCTTCCACAATACCCCCATTTCAAAAGCTCAGGAGCATAAAGTATGACCAAGGGCACTTATAGCTATAGAGCAGTATGCCAAATTATTCTCCTGGCTGGAGACAGGCAAAATTTGTGTCACACTTTGTCCAAGAGTGCTCTCCTTATAAATGGTAATACAAGTCACAAACTATAAAATTTGCATTCACAATTGTTTTTTCGTTTCAAAATCCTGGCTTTTCTTTTTTTTTAATTCTACTAAAATGATTGCAGGCATAATGAAATAACCATATACTTAGTTCATGCAATGTGCTTCCAAAACAATACTGTCATAAAATCACAAGGACCATTAAAGATGACATCATACAAGCTGGAGAATAGGGATTGGAAGAAATAAAATTTGCAAGATTCAGCAGAGCAAAGTTAAAAATATTACATCAAATCCTCCTTTTGGGTCCCAGCCAACATGCCCTACATGCCTGAAAAATGACAAAACGATTAAACTAATCAACAGAAAGTTAATATTTTGATAATTTAGCAAACTAAAATTGAGCTTTACAGAAAGGAACATATGTTTGGTCAAGCCAGGTTAAGGACTAAGATTCAAAAGCTCCAAACCCTACAAATAACAACAAAAACTTATTTTAATCAATTTAGTCATACATTTCCATATCTGAATAAATGACAATATCCTCAAAGATGGCACTTGAAAAAATTGTCATGATAGAGTAGAATGTTGGCTTTTGGCAAGTTAAAATGTTGGCACATAAGTTGAGAAGGCGAGACAGGCTATTTGAACAACATTTTGTAGATAGGCGATAGGCTAAAAGCATCTTTACGAAAAGAAGAAATGAATGGATCTTTTAAACTTAGCTTGAAGTAAGATCTATCTACTATCGGTACCTGAAATCAGAAGGTAGACCAATGTCTGCTTTTGAAAGTTTTGTTTTCTTCTTTTTGTCATTTTTACCCCCTTTCTTCTTGCCTCCTTGAGAAGATGTTACATTTTGGGCAGGCGAAGGACTTCTTGGTGGTGGCTCCGTATTTGCTTCAAGATTAATAAAAAATGTCTTTAAGATTGTTTTGAACATAATTTAAAAGATAATTCAAGATACAGAATCTAATTATATCAAAATACATACAAAAACAATTTGAACAATTGCCTTGTGGTACAGAACTTGAAAATGGCTAAGAAAAAGCAAACATTTCACAACATATTGCTAAAAGCTTTTTCGTCTGACACTCCTCAGAGTATAAAACGTCAGAATAAGGGTCCAAAAGACCATGATGGAAAATATAAACCCAGTTGTGGATCAAAATAGGCCAATCAGAAAAACGCAAGCACATGATTGGCATGGTTGTCCAATCAGTGCTGATTCCTATAGAAAAATTACCACTGGAGTCCAAGAAAAAAAACTTCTGTTTCTGCCATTGGGCAAAGACAACCCAGATTGTGCAAAACTCTATAATGATGACATGTTTCAAATAACTGGCAGAGTCCAGTCGTCTTTTCATCTAGAGTCGTCTTTTCATCTAGAGGTTTTGGAATCGATCTAGATACAAACCAAGAAGTTGCCATTGTGTAGACATAATGAGTTCGTTTTATCTCTTGGACTCCAGTGCTAATTTATCTATACACATGCAGCACTGATTGGATAACCATCTAAAAAGATTAAGAATTTTCAGGTACTTACAATTTATTGGCTTCAAAACATTGTCATTTCTGTCTGCCAATGATGGTGGAGCTGGAGCTTTGCGAGTCTGTTTCCTGTCTGTAAAATACAATAGTATTCTATGTTCATTACTTAGGGCTAATTTTTAGAGAATCTAGCTAAAAAAAGAAAAATGTTTTGCTCTCTCAGCAATTAAGAGTAAAATTCTTTAGATATTCAAGAAGAGGTGGGACATTCTCTTTATTTAAAACCTGACAAATTGCTTTCTTAATTTTCTGCTTAACAAAAGAACAGCAATACAATAATAAAAGGTCTTCATAAAGTTGTACTCATTTATAAGAAGCAAAAGAGATAAATCTTGTTATTTGCCTTATGTGACTGTCACTACTTTGGGGAAAAAAATCAACAAATGTAAAAATGGGGCATGCAGCATGAATTCAATGATAGTATTGGCAAGCAATATAAAACAAATATGACAACAAATCAGATCAAAATCAAAACATGTTGTACACACACGCAACAAGTCTACTTTGGTTTATCAATTTATTAAAAAAATATCAACATTACATATTTACCTGTTCTTAAACTGGGAAAGCCTGCTAACATTTAATAATTTACCTGTTAACATATTAATAACATTGTACCTATTTTCCTTTGTTCCCTTGCTTTCAATCTGTCCTCTAGCCTGGCCCTAAACCTGTCTGCTTCCCTTTCACTTGCAAAATTGAATGCTGCATTGCATGACTAAATGAAAATTATTGACTCATGTATACAAACACTACCCAAAAAATATATATTGAATAAATTAAAATACAAATGTGTGTGTATTACCATAAAATCTAGTATAAAATGTAACATGAATATATTAATGTTTTTTATGGAGCAGTTGAGCATTTAAAAGCTAGATGCTCTCTCATTGGTAAGATAAACTATGAAGACAGTTCCCTCCTGCCCTCCATACAATATAGCTTATCCCCTTGTTCCCCATTTGAATATTGTATTAAAGTCTGTATTATTGTAGAATTAGAATTTTTAATGTTGTCTTATATTCTTGTTGTTTAATCTTTTATTGTGTTATTATTTTTTATGATGAATTGTATTGTAGTAGAATTTTAAACAAAAGCTGATGTGTAAACATAAGCCCTTCCTGGTGCTTAGTTACCTCAGGTAGAGAGGACCTTCCAATCAAGAATAACTTAACTAACTGAGCTACAGCTGCTCAAATGTATTATAATAACAGATTTTTAAAAATACTCACAAGTGAACCTATCACCTTTTTTCATGACATTTGAGTTTTACTGATGTAAACAGTAAACAAAATTTTAACAGCAAATAATTAAGCAATAATTTCACTTATTGACAATACATACCCAAGAAGTTTTGCTAAGATAATGATTTGCATGAAGTTCAGGAATTCAGAAAAATCCATAGAATCAGGCCTATTTTTATCGAATCAGTAAACATGGAAGACATTGTGCTGCCTATTACAGATCAGTCTTCAAGAAAAAATACATAATTTTCAAAAGTCTAAGGAGAAGAAACAATAACAATTTACAAAATAAAATCAAAAGGAACTCACATCTGCTTCAAAAACATGAAAGTAGGGACAAGCAGCATGATAAGTAAAATTTGTGTACAGTTCTTGTTCCCATACCACCATTTTACTCTAGGGGATAAAGAATTAGCTTTATTCACCATTATTTCATGATAAAAATAGTTTCTGAAGCAATGAAACTTAACTTTCAAATTTAAATGTTAGGTTAAAAAACTTATATACAAATACACTATACAGTTTACAACTGAACACAGAAAAAAATTCTACAATAGGTAGTATATTCGTAAAGTTCACAATTCTGATAATACTAAAATATTTTTTGGTTTCATGGCAGATAAAACAGGGGAGATTAAAATAGCTTCTTTTATCAAGCTAGCAAATAAATTAAAACAGCGCATTTGATTGTCTAATAATATAAAACAATTTGCAAACTTTACCAATAAATCAACAACTCTGAGAAAGTAGGTTCTTTTTCCATTATCCTTTGATAATGTGGCAACCCCAACATGCTGCTTTGTCCACCTATCTCTATCTGTTGGGACTGCCATATAAACTTGTACAACAGCAGTAGCAAGACTCTGCAAAGATATAAACAAATGATTAAACTCAGTAAAAGGAAATGCTTAAAATTATACCCTTCTTCAATTAATCATCACAGACCCATATTTGAATACCACATTTTCATTGAATACCACATAATTTAATTCAGAACAAAGGTTTGATCCAGCATGCCTTTCACTGTAGATACCCCCTAAGATACTCAATTGACCCCATCTGTTTACTCAATGAACTAAAGAAATGAAACTTTCAAAGCAATATAATGTAAGTATCGAGCGATTTTGTGTTCGAAGCCAAAGGCACCAGCTGGAATATGCGTCTCTACCTGATCAGAGCCTTCCCAGTAGTTCATGACACACAGGACTTTGGTTTTGACTTTGCCAGTAGTTCATGACTACGCCAAAAAGAAAAATGTTTAGTTTCTTACGCTGGCCTTATATTGGAACTAGCAAACCCTTGAAGTCCCCTGCGTTTCCCCCCCTTACGCCTTCGAAACAGCTTATCACTGTGATTCACGAACAAGGAAATATTGCTGTATTGACTAGAGATCTATGTTAGAATGAAAGAACTACAAAAGCTCACAGTTTGCTAAACTAATTCAAAAAATGACAACTGACAGTTCACATTGCTTCTTCCTGTGATACAACAGTTAAACGTCGACAAAAAAAATAAAAATGTCGTCGACTCTTGTCTTATTTACTTACAAAGCATCTTTTTCCGATTATATCAAATACTTCTCTGTTCTCATTGTCATTCAGTAATTCCGAGGGTGTGTTAACATTTTCGGCCCTAGCACTCATTGTTCCACGACGATCAACCATCTTGCAATTAGAATACTCTCCTCTAAGCAACTTCTGGGCTTGGTCCTTTAATTCTTCCGGCACCTGAGTCTCAAGTTCCAAACACCACTGAATATGCAAATTGACGTTGCTGTTGTTCAATATTATGAAATTAAATTGAATTCCCAAATCACAGGGACCCGAGGCAAGCAATTTAACATAAGGAAGGCCCGCGGAAAATTAAATTCGCCATGAGTTGCTTTCTTGGCACGCCTGCTCCTCAGATTGAAAAATCGACCATCGGGGAGCAAAACGGAGAACTTTTTAATGAAGATGTGAACAAGGTGAAAGGAAAGAAGACCACCCGGGTGAGCAATTGATTTTTAATTGTACTAAAGCACAAAACTTGAGCTCTTATTCGACAAACATAGGGAAACTTAGGCCAGTTCTACATTTTTGCATAATAACACGGGACCTTTTAATGCGTTTTTAATACCCTTATAAAAATATTCAGTGTCTGAGAAACTTCTAGTAGCATCTACTGGGTAATAAATCTTAATGGTAAGTAGCTAAATAATATTGAATCCTTTTTGAAGTTCGCAAGAGTTATTATCCACGGGATGAGCTTGCAATGCTCCCCCTCCCCTGCCCTCTTCTTATTTGTATATTCTAATGATAGGTATTCTAACAAAAGCTTCACGGTTCATTTGAATTTTTCATCATCTTTTATATAAAATGGTTTTATTTGAAAGCAAAATCCCATCCTCTCCCATGTAGTTTTTACTTGTAAGCTTATGTTTGCTGAACAACTTTGTCTAGTATTTAGGCAATTAATTAACTTCTTAGTTCATACCTGATTAAAACTTGATATTGAAATAATTTGTATGATAGTTTAAGACAAAAAATAATTTTTGATTAAAAACATAGGGCAGAATATACATAGTAATGACCCTTTATGATTATAGAATGAAAATTAGCAAAAATTTCTGGTTTTTCTGTGACTTATTTGTTGTTATTTTTAACTTCTAAAGGCAAGGTTTCAAGAATATAGAAGATATGACTTAACTGGTACCGCCTTGAAATCTCCTCAAAGTTTAGCCTGTGATGTTGGGAAGCCTGCTTTTATACAGAAGGATGATGAGTTCCTGTCAAGTCTATGGAGTAGTTGGTATGACATTTCATTGAAGTTCAAATCAGATAGATTAATAGATTCTGTTTCTTGTTTTACAAAGTTAATCCCAATTAATCCCACTGTACATAGAAATCAAACAATTTATCAAAATGATCTGCTAGTAAAAACTTTGCAACAGCAAACAGCAAGGAAAAGTTAATTGAAGATCAGTTGTGCTGAATCACTTTTCCTCTTTTTTAGTGCCTCAGACTATTTATAATTTGCAATCAAGGTGATTAAAGCAATTAGGATCTTTTTGTAAGGTCAAATTAATTCAGCCTAAGAGCTAATATGAAATAAGTTTTATTTTTTAAATTATAGCTACTAGCAAGCTATGTTCTATGTATAACCCAATCAAGTAGAGAAATGTTGAGAGATTGAAGGTGATGATATATATATATGTGTTATAATGCTGAGCAGAAGAAAGCTCAACATATATTTGTAGCAAGTAAAAAAATGTATGTTAAGCTGATGGTGTACCTAGCTGATGTAATGTACCTAGCTGATGCTGTTGCTTCTTTCAGGGAAGCCTCTGGTTTTCAAGGCGTTTTTTCTCATCTGTCAGAATCTTCAAAAGGTCAGGCTTCCCCTATACTTTTAATATGGTTTTGAATTTGTATTTTGGATTTTATGATATTTGTAGGCTGCTTCTAAGAGTTATACACTGGATGTTACTATTATCTTGAGTTTTCTAACAACTGCATTAAACATGAATGCCAAAGAAGCAACCTTTTCCAGGCATTTTCAAACAATGCTAGTTTGCTTGTTTAAAAAAGGTGTACTTCTCTGGTGAGCCAAAATAATAGCCTTATTTGTAGTAGTCCGGTATAAACAATATTATACCCCTGAAAATGTATAATTGACCAACTACATTAAAGTTTGGGTGAGATGTAGCTATTGAAAGTTTTGAAACCAATTGTAATCTGTCTTATTATGCTGAAGATATTTTGAAACAATTGTACTTTACAATTTTTTCTGTTTGAAGCAAGATTTATCTTATTTTTTATTCGAATTATAGGAAGATTATCAGGTTGCTAACAGAAGAAATTTTTGGCTTTTTTGTAGTTCCAAATTCAGTAAGATTAGCTACTCAAAGAATTCATCAGCTGCTTCTGCTACTGCAAAGATCTGGGGAGAATTTGTCAGCTAAGGTTTTTGCCAATTTTATTGGAGAATTGTACTAGAGAGAAGGGAATCATGAGTGTTCACTTTTACCACTATTCAAAGTGAATTTTCACTGCCATATTTTTTTTAAAAAGCACTTTTAGGTACATAGTTGCTAAAGAACTCATGCCAACAGGATATGATGGAGTGGATTGAACCTCTAAGTGCTATTTTGCATTATTTTCTCTCAGAACTATGGAAAATAAATTATCACTTTTTAGTTTGCCATCCAAAAAGTGCTCTTCACACTTTCAAGTATTTCAAAATTATGCAGTAGAACTATAGTTTGGAGTTTATATAACAGTTTTGTTGGAAGTGGTTGGCTTTTCCAACCCATATGATGAATGCATTTTGAAATGCCTGTTTTGTTTAAAATTGGAAATGAGACAGACTGCTGTAATATATCTTGCTTCTACTCTACTGCTAGATTTCTATCATATAAGCTCTATCTCATTACACACATATACGATATTACTGCATGGTAATATAAAAGGATTGTTATGTCTATGATTTTTATTTGTTTTTTTAATAGAACAGAATATGGATGATTCTTAAAAACCAGAGTGCTTTATTTCACACACAATTAGCTAGATTTATTGTTACAAAAAGCGGAAACATAGCATACTGAATAATTTTTTTTGTGACACTCTTCAAAGTATAAATATTGGGTGATGACAGGAAAAAAATTATGTCCAGGTGTAGATTGAAAGTAGCTTGAGAGACACATTTGATTGGTGATAGAATCCAGCCATCTATTTTCAGCCATCTTCAAAACTTTTGGTACAAATAGTTTATTAGGATATAAAGAATAAAGTAGCAAAGAAAGGGCTAATGAAAACAGGAATATGAAATTTTATAAGCCATTTTATTACACTGAATTCAAATCTTTTCTCCATTGAAATTTCACTGAGCTTGCGATATTAAATCTACTTACATAAAGAGAATTTATTTGTTTCTGGCATCTATCTAACAGAAATTGCTATTGTGTTGCATTAATCAATTCTGCAACTGTTTTAGGAAGCAGGAGGCAAGGAGATAGATACCTGTAGCCTGATACCAAACAGGTAGCAGTGTTTTTCTTTTTTCCTTATTTCTGTCTTGTTACCTTTCAGATCAGCTATTTTTTGCTGTTATTTTGAAAAAATAAGGAAATTTGCTTTACATTTGTTAAGATGTGTGAAACCTTAAACATAACTGGCGGGGCCTTGTGTATCAGAAAAATATAAATTTAGGAATGTCATCTTGTACCTTTCACCAGTCAGTGGAAGGTGATGAATCTTTTGTTATTTTTTCCAGATCAACCAGTGTTATCAAAGCTTTTGGTGTACATCCACAAATAAATTCATTTGCAGTTGCTTACCAGGTGAGTCACCTTAGAATTAAAAACTTAAATGACAGTAACTTAAAATTATGGGGTAACACACATAAGAAGTATAATGTGAAGATAATGTCAAAGTAATGTCAGGAGTGGCGGTAAATTTTGTTTCGTTTCCAGCATAGCTGCAACTCTTAGATTATTTTTATGGGGCCAACTAGTAAGATCTTTGCCTATATTTTCTAAAGTGGGCATCTTAACTTTTTGTCTACACCAATTGTCCCACTCAATGGATATAATATAATACAAATGTCTTAGCTTATAGTTGATAGTTGAAATAAAGGCATAATATTTGCAGATTATGGTGACGAATTCCAGTTGGATTTAGCAAGAGTTCCAATTTGAATTTTCTGTTAATTCAAAGCAAGTCCCAACTCCAGGGATTTTTCTCGAACCGCATTATTCTGATAGCGATTTCTGTAAGCTTGTGATAAGCTTAAGGTAGATATTGCAGTGCATGTTTAGTTCAAAAAGCAAATCTTTTAGACAAAATGGTCAAGTTAATATCTATGATTCTTTGCGTCGTCGTTACGTTTTACATTACGAGGATATCAAGTCGATTTGAGTGGAATGAGAAGCATTTCGCGTTCTAAGCTAGGATTACAATATTTTCTCGTAGGATGATGTTGTGAAAATATTATCTGCAAGCAGGTGCAAAGCTTCGTTGTTTTTTTCTTTCTCGATGCACTTCTTTACTTAAATGAAATTCCTATTCTATAAACGAACTTTTTAAAGGGTACATGTTGTTGCTTGCCTCAAAACTATTGAAATACAATAACTTTGCAGAATTCAATCCAATTCACAAATTTCATGCCTTCAAGCATATAAGCAATTAGATCTCAGCACCTTAAATTTGAAGCAAATTTTGTGGTTCTTTTGCAATCTTACTATTACTATAGGCAACGAGAAAAATACTATTTCTTTCGTGTCTTACGAGAAAAATACTATTTCTTTCGTGTTTTACGAGAAAATACTATTTCTTTCGTGTTTTACGAGAAAAATACTATTTCTTTCGTGTCTTACGAGAAAAATACTATTTCTTTCGTGTTTTACGAGAAAAATACTATTTCTTTCGTGTCTTAGGAGAAAAATACTATTTCTTTCGTGTCTTAGGAGAAAAATACTATTTCTTTCGTGTCTTACGAGAAAAATACTATTTCTTTTGTGTTTACGAGAAAAATACTATTTCTTTCGTGTCTTAGGAGAAAAATACTATTTCTTTCGTGTCTTACGAGAAAAATACTATTTCTTTCGTGTTTTACGAGAAAAATACTATTTCTTTCGTGTCTTAGGAGAAAAATACTATTTCTTTCGTGTCTTAGGAGAAAAATACTATTTCTTTCGTGTCTTACGAGAAAAATACTATTTCTTTTGTGTTTACGAGAAAAATACTATTTCTTTCGTGTCTTAGGAGAAAAATACTATTTCTTTCGTGTCTTACGAGAAAAATACTATTTCTTTCGTGTTTTACGAGAAAAATACTATTTCTTTCGTGTCTTACGAGAAAAATACTATTTCTTTTGTGTTTTACGAGAAAAATACTATTTCTTTCGTGTTTTACGAGAAAAATACTATTTCTTTCGTGTCTTAGGAGAAAAATTTTATTTCTTCTTTCTGTTAGGCTGAATGATTTTGAGCCAATTTTGAAAGACAAAAAGCAAAATGATGTGACATGCCTTGCCTTCAGGTATCCTCTTATGTTTTGACTTGATAACCTTAAGTAGATGTAAACCCTTCTGCGAAGCAAGCTTTTTTTTCATGCTGTTAGAAAATGGAACTATGCAATATCACAGAATTTATATCTATTTTTCTATGGTGGATAATTTGTCTATAGTTAGAAGTCTTTACAATCAATATTCTTTTTAAGGAAGGTAAAATACGATAAATCCTTAAACAGTCATGCGATTTATATACCAGTTATGCTAATTGATGTCCAAGTAACACCTTATATTGCAACGTCTTTTCGGTTAACAGTAGATTCTATTCCTGTGCTTTCTTTTAGGCCGATGTCTTCTGCGCATATTGCAGTTGGTTGCAAATCTGGCATATTATTTTGGATACTGGATCCAAATACCAGCGGTGTTAGGTGTGTAGTCAGCACTTTGTTTCTGTTTGCCGTAACAGTATTTTATGCAATAACTGCTGATGAGGCCAGTCTAGGAGCAATTATCATTTCCAATTGTATTACTTCATTTCGAGGAAATTTTGAAGGCAGTTATGAAAAGATGGGAGTTATGAAGGCAGTTATGACTTCTAATTTGAGTTTTAAAAGTTTGTATTTAAAGACAGAACAGATAACATTTATTTTTTTCATAGATTTACTCTTTGCTGCTGGTTAAGAAATAAAATATGAAAGTTTGGAGAAATTATGATCACAAACATGCGAAAATGGGATAATTGAAACCAGGTTTTAAACTTCATTGGCGTATCGTTTTGGACACAAATTATTTTATTAAAACGAAGGGGAGGGGTTGAAAACGAAGAAAGCTTGATTAAATGAAATTTAATCACGTTTAATATGTGACAGGGTACGCCTTTTAGGTGCCCCTTGGGCTTTTGTTTTTGGGCACAGATTGCACAATTGTGGAGTTTGTGTTTATTGTAGCAGTGCTCGAGTAAGCTTTACATTGTGTTTTTTATACGGCTTAAGCAACCAGCGTGCAAGTGTGCATTGGCTTTGGGTATATATACTTTGTCTTAGCACAGTTTCATTCTCACACGTTGCACGACAACTTGAAGTTGGACTTTGGAGAGGAAAGGTTTTTCCTTTGCGACCCTGCCCACCCAACCCTTGTCTAGAAATTTTCAGGGGTTTTTATTTACATGCATGTTGACTTTCTACTTATTTTCGTGCATTAGTTAATGGCCGTATGGCTTGCGACTTTTTGCATGAACAAGGTGCTGCTAGTCGGCGGAAGAAGGCCATTGTTCTTCTTCTCAACCCCCTCAAAAACGGTTGGGGTTTTATTTATGGCCGTCTTTGCGATTGGCGCACCGACAGCCCAAAACTAAATGGTTCAAATGATGAGAGAACACCACCTTCAGTCTTATGATTGACAATGGTAAAACATTCTGAGGACCATCCTACCCTTATTTGCTAATGGTTTTTGTTTAGTAACCTGGAACAAATATTAATTGAGAAAACCCACCAATGAGGACTGCGCGTCCTGAAGCTACATCACAACCAAAATTACGACAAAACGTAACTACAGCCACAATATGTAATGTGATGTACATATAATGATTTTAAACTTTTTTTAGACCAGGGGCCAATCAACATAGATTTTTATCACATGCTGGACATCATCCAATCACCTCTCTCTCCTGGAGCGGAGATGGTCATTTGTTGGCATCAGGATCTTGCGCAGACTCCTCTGTCATAGTAAGAGCAATCTAAACTGCAATCTGTCTTAGCAATGACTCTCAGGTTGATTATTAATGATATTATTTAGCCAGATATTGTGTTAAGAAATCCAATGTAGTTACAGTAAGTACCCGCATATAAGAAAACCCTTTGTAGGAAACAGGCCTTATTTTCTTCAAAAGGGGCTCATTTTATAAGAAAAAATTTAGTCTTGAAAATAAAATGTTTCTTATTTTCAATTATTAAAAGTCATGTTTTGTATCTATGCTCTAGGGTGGTTATAGTGTGTGTATTCTATTGATATGAAAAATTATACTGTAGATTATATGTATTAAATACTACTACGAGTAATATTGAATACACATCAGTACCTATTGGTAAGGATCTTAGACCCTGATGATGAAAAGTCTCTGTTAATTAGAAAATTTCTGAGGCCTCAGTTATAAAAAAGCGGTTTCTTATATGCAGGTACTTAATGTACTTCAAATTATCTACAGAATCTCTGACCATGGCCCCAAATTCGAGTCCTATACTTAAGTATTCTTTGAAGATAGCGCGGAAAATCGGAACAATAGCATACTTTGGCACTTTTCGCCCACCTCGTCGGTATGAATCACTTTAGGTAAGCATAAATTTATATCCAGACATGGATCGAAAGTAACATGAGAGGAAGAGATGTGGGTTTGATCGGTGTCTTGTTTTTGACCAACTGACAGTCGCTAATGTCTTATCTAGTTGAAGAATCTAAGAGCGAAAACGAACTTTTTCTGTCTACTGATATCGGTTTCCTTTGTTTTGATGAAGACAGATTCCAAAACCGCACCATCAGTTTTGTAGAGTACCCTTAGGTGTCTATAGGTGTCTTATGTTTCAAAAAATAAATTATTTTTTATCTAAGAATCTTTAAATTAGGGTTTAGGTTATGGTTAGGGTTAGGAGGTTGAATGAGGACGAAAGAAGCAAACAAATTATTAGATAGATAATTTGATGCAATAAGAATCCCTTGGTACTGTGATCTTAAGCTTCGTCGGAATCAATGAGTCGCGTTGTCACTACCATGAAACTGTTTGAATTAGGTTTTGGATAAGACCTTGATTTATGTAATATCAACCGTCAGTTTTTTGTTAAGTTATAATCTGTTCATTTTGAATTGATTTTTGTTATTAGCAGATTCGCTCGTATAAGGTCTCAAACGTCTTGCGTGTAGTTCCACAAAGCCAAAACAATCGGCTTGATTTTCAAGCACATCATGACAATTTTTCATGCCTAAAAACATCCCCCATCGCATGTAATGTCAGCTGTCTCAAAGGGAAGAGACCCCCCATTACGCAATCGTTGTACTTAGAACCCAGTCCCCTACATTTACAGATGTAACAAAATTCTGTTCTGTTCTATCTAAACAATAGCCTTTGATAGTCTTGTGTATTACTTTCATATGACGATGTTATTAAACCTATATTTTTCTTATGATAGGAGACCCTTTTTGCAGTCGGAGTAACTTGCAAAATCCTTGTTTTTTTACCAAAATGTATTTTTTTATTGACCTGATATTTCCTCTGATATTACTGTTGTGTCTACTTTGAACAGATATGGGATATGTTCACTCAGAGATCAGCTGCACTGAGGAGATATGGGCCAGGAACTGGATTCATTTGTTGGTCGCCATTGCAAGATTGCCTGTTTGCTTCTACTTTGAAAGATCTATTCAGGTAGCTTGGTTTTTTGCCATTAATTTTTGAGAAAATAGTCTCTGACTTGTTTACTCCGAATAAATATTTGCTGAAATTTATGAATGATTAATTTGATCTTCATGGTATATACGAAAAATATAATATTTTTGCTGATACTAGTAACATCAGTAATTTGTTGTAATTACAATTGTACATATGTAGAGATCTTTAGAAAGAAACACTGCTTGATGATCGCGTTAAGCTTGAAACTCGAAGTAGCTTCTTAGAACCATCCTGTTCTATACACCAAATAGTACGAACAGATCTTTAGATTATTTTGTGACTCCAACTTGTTTTTACCAAAAGTCTATTTTGTGCTGCAGATATTTTGCGAAAATGAATAGGAATATTCTATCATTGAAAACTATAAATACCGACATTTATTAATGCCTATAAATTTAGTGAATCGATGACTTTGACCTTCGGCCTTTGACTTTGGGCCTTTGACCTTGAGTATTTGACCTTGTTTTTCCAAACCTAGGACTTTTCCTTATCGTGTGTAACTACTCAAATCTGTTTATAAAGCCAAGCTCCCTATACGATAGGCTACTCATTCAACCAAGCTGTCTATAAGATCAGCTAGTCATTCGTCCAAAACTCCTCCATCCTTTCTACCATTAAATCGTCTGCAAGACCGCAGTAATTCATGTCCACATGTGCACTAAACTCTTAAACATCGTCAATAAATTTTAAATAGCAAAATCAAGCTTTCTCATACCAAAGCCTACATTTAGGGAAAATTGAAAAGAACCTTGTTAATCAGAGATTTTTTATCATTAACTTCGTTTATGAATGCTCTGTGTCATCGTACATAGATACACATTCTCAGCCTGATTTTAGGGGACTTGCCTTTTGTCTGGTTACAGCTAAACAATTTTTTACCAAAGACAGTTCCGTGCTTATTAAGATTTTTTCAGTCGAAAACATTCCATATTAGTTGGTTTTGTAGCACTTTTCATGTAAGCCTATTGATAGCTAAACACATATTCGCTCCCAACTTCTACTGCAATTGGCAAAAATTGTAAAGCTTCGTATCTTGCTTAATCGCCTTATGTTGATAAGCCTTTTTGGAATAAGTTAGCATACAATGGATTTAATGCAGATAACCTTTTATCAATCAGTTTAATCTGAACTATCCTGTCTTATTTACCATTCACATAAGCCTATCAATTGTTTATCAAACATGTGAAAGCTTGCTGATATAAATTCCAAATTGTTTACTGAAATCAATGAAATGTAGTATCTATTTAAATGCTTAACCAAATCACGAATCTAAGGTTTTATGTTACAATGCTTGTTTTCAGGATTTGGGATGTCAACAACTGGACATGTGAAAGATGGTCGAATTTGAATGGCAGGTGTAGGGTATGTCTAAAAAGCAATAATTTGTGTTGTAAGAAACAAAATCTTGCACTAAAGAAGCTTCGTTTATTAAAGGCATGCAGCCTGAAAATATATGCTTTGTATATAGTAAAGAGCATTTCGTCCTGATATCGAGAATAGGTACAAAATAAACCATTTTATTCATTCATTCATTCATTCATTCATTCATTCATTCGTTCATTCATTTATTCATGTCATTTATTATGTCATTTATTATGTCATCAAATTATCATGTCTCATTTTATCATTAAATTATCATTTTATCATGTCATCAAATTATTCATGTCATATAGTCATTTATTCAATCATTCATTCATTCATTCATTCATTCATTCATTCATTCATTCATTCATTCATTCATTCATTCATTCATTCATTCATTCATTCATTCATTCATTCATGTAATGATTAATTTAATCATTGACAAGGACAGACTTGAGAGGCAAGGATTTAGGGGTGTTGGATAATGATTGGATTTTGGTGTCACATCTAAAAGAACTCTGATTCAAAAGCTAATCTTCTGCTGCATTTTCATATTTTGATACACTTTTATAAGCCAGTAGGAACTCTTTTGATAAAAATAAAGGCATTGAGCATGAATCATATCTACCATTTTGTAATGTCCATTCTTATCAAATAGAATTGTGATAGATTTTTATATTAATAATTTATCGTCAGGTTGCATGCTGGAGCCCGTGTGAAAGATACCTACTGTTTTCAGTTGAGAATGAGTCATCGTTGTATTATCTCTATTTTCAAAAGCAACAAGGTTGGTAATGTCTTTAACTAATTATACCATTTTGAAAATACAGATAGCTTTATGAATATTGCATCAGACAATGATAATAACAATATTTATGAAGAATTACCTTTTGAGAACTTTAATAAAACATTAGGTAAGCATAGGCTTTTAACCATATCCCTTTCCCGCTTCTGCTTTCGTCCCAACATTCTTATGCCAATCGTCATTTTCTTCTCATGCAAAGGAACAGAAAAAACTTTTCTGTGTCTGAACTTTTGTTTCTTGCCACTTTTTCAAACATGTTTGGTAGGCTTCAGATCCCTCTTCTCTTCGTATTGTAGTTTTCTCCCATTGTTTACTAAGTGTCCTAACTTGGCTTTTTTAGGAGCAACTGGTTTCGTATCTACATCCAGTAGCGTTGCCGTCAAATGTCTTGATTTCTCCGCATGCACTTGGGAGACCGACACGGGTGACGTAAGGTGAATTATTATTGGTTCCTTTGTTACTAGCTGTCTCATTGATTTACGAGTCCATTTTTTCTGTAGTCCGTATTTTACTCCAGCTCTTTGATGTGGCACCCTGCAAATTGATAGGAAACGTCTTAGTGAAGTTATTTTTCTTGCATTTTATCCAGCAGTAACGTGGTCATCCGTAAAGATGTTCCTTCATAGTTTTTAGACAATTGCTACCGAATTAGAAAATTTTCTTCCACGGAAATGGCTTCACCCTTTTTCTCTTTGGTTATTGGTCAAGCACATGCATTTCACAAATGGTTGAATGCCCCATATAATAGTTATTTCAATTTTTGATGCAGACCTTTCTACAAATTTTACTATTACATTTTACTATTTCGCGTTCCATATTCTGAATGGCATGAAACGAAAGAGGTTTTGTATGCTAAAGTTATCTTATGCAATACTGAAGTTTGTTTACGTAACAATTTTTTTACTTGCGTAAACCAAAGACATGTGACATTTAACTCTATTATACTAAGATATTTTCATATTAATCGTATAAAAAAATTTGCAAAGGTAGGTCTTTTCTTACTCTGTTCTTTTTGTAACTCGCAGCTAAATCTTTTGTAGTTCCAAAACATTTAGTTTAGAAGTTTAGGTTTTGTAAGTTAGCTAAAAAATGCTAAAGTTTGGGATGTAATTTAGCTTTCAAATTTTCAGTGGATGATTCTTTTTCCAGTGGAACTTTAACTACAAATCTCTCTGATACGTGTATGATTTCAGACTAGCAAGTAGAAGAAGATGAAGATAATTTTTTCATTTCTCATTAAATTAAACTATAATTATTAACCTCTCTTATACGTTGGTAATTTGCTATTGACTGGTTTTGAATGGCTATAACATTTGTTAAGTGCGAAATTTCAATCCTTGTTTCCTTCCATGGCTTATTTTTACAAAAAAGTGGACAAATTGACATGCTGGAATGTTTGCCAATAAGATGCAACAAGCTCACTTCGTCTTAGATTGATTCTTTTTCGATTATAACAGCATCGGAGGGACTCTACAGTCAATGGCCTGGGACCCAACTGGAAGTAGACTGGCAATTGTATTCAAAGGTATCAGACCTGCCCTTATTTAAATATAGGTCTTTGTTAAGTGTCTTTTGTTTTTTTAAACCCTTGCACTATCTTGAATCAACTTTCCATGTTACTAAATAAGGATCGTTGGCATGTAAGCAAAAATTTGACTGGTTTGTAAAATGACACTGATATAAGTACATCTGTATAGTTTATTTATACCTGGGTTAATTCTGTGGTTATGGGTACATACTTCCAATATTTGACATTGCAATTGTAGCTCAATTCTACCTTCTCGTACGTCTGTAACTTCCGCCGAGTCAATTCATGTCCTTGCAGCCTAGAGCACGAATTATATCCTCAATGCGCATGGTTTTTGCATAAAGAAATGTTCATCCAGACTTTCATGTTACCTCCTCGACAATCATATTGGCTAGCTCAATACACAGCTTTTTCAAAACCTTCAACTATTCAAATGTGCATCAGCCTTAGCCCTTTCATTATCTTTATTTCAAGTTTTCAAGAATTTATTTCAAGTTTGTTATTTTTTTACCTATTTTTGGTGAGGTGTAAAATTGTTCTAATTGCAGATAAACAAAATGTCAATGGCACACAAACACACATTGGTCTATTTCGCACTGCTCTAGAGCCAGTTTTTGAGATTTTACCTTGGTAAGTGCAATACATCTAAATCACCAACATCGTTGTTGGTGTATATAACAGCATGGTCCTAAGTTGCTAATCGGAGTTTCGCGCTTAGTTCGTTCATCAGGAACAGTTGCCTAAACTATGCACTTTAAGCGTTTACAGCTCTGCCTATATGACATCGAGCACATAATGACCGACTGGTAAACAGTTTTCATTACATTGCCAATAACAACACTTAAGTGTACCATGTCCCAATTTACCCAGAAGCTGATTTGCTCGCACCCATCACGGCTTTCTTTAGTAAGTCGACTTATTTATTAAGATTCTTTTCACGTAGCAAAATGCTTATCAAAATCTTCTTCATGTATCTACATAACATTCCTCCTTATCACTTATTTTAACCACATCGATTTTCTTTTGCTGATGGATGATAAAATTTGTTTACAGTGGTTTTGTCACCGGCCACCCCAGCGAGACTCCACTTGCTATTTCCTTCTTGCCGAACTTTAATAAAGGCGCTTTGTTACTTGTGGTAAGTAAAAATTTTGCCTTTTTGCAGATTTTATCATTTCTAATAACTTTCTCTTTCACAGTTTTTCATATATTTTCTTGCTCGTAGATTTTTTATATTTCGAAAAAAATTCAACAGCTTTTAAAGTACTTTTTATTGAAACAAAGTCGGAATAATCACCTACCCCAAAGTTCACAAATCATTGATGATAAAAAGACGCAAAAATCTCCCTTTTCACACTTTTTACTTTCCCTTTCCGATCATTTGATTCCCTTTTCAAACTTTTTACAAATGGACGAAAGCAATTTAAATTTTAAATTTAACTGCTTTAGAGCCTCACTAGATTGATTAAGATTATTGTTTTAGACCATGCTTAGATGAAAGATAGTCTTACATTCGTGGTTGTATCGATTGAATTCTCTTTAAAGGGCGAAACCCCTCTGATAGTAGTTCCTTATCAATAGTCATGGGCAATTTTTTGTAGCTATTTTATAATCTATTCGTGATTTCAATTATTATCTGGCCATTTTCAAATTTTGTTATGCTTTTTTATTCCTTCATGATTATTTGCATTTTCTTTAATATTTTTGTTGCTAGGTATTTATTGTTGTTAATTGTTTATAATTTTGTTTTCATTTTTCAATATATCTTCTAACAAATTAAGAAGATGACGTGACTATGGTATGGAAATTTTCCATTTAGTGAATGTCTATGTGGAGAACCCCCAATATGTCATCTAAATATTGGATCTGAAATCACACGTCTTAAAATATGTCTTAAAAATTACATAAATTAGTTTACAATTCTATCATGTATTGTTTAGATTATTTGTTTGCTATTTGTTTAATTGAATACGTCTTACCTTTTACAGTGTTGGTCATCTGGGATGGTATCACAAATACCGTTGCTATTTTACACAGAAAGTATAACTGCAATTCCTAATCGAGAGCTTGCCTCTGACCGAAAAGACTACGAGGAATTTACAGAATTTCACCAGAGTGTGGCAGAATGAACGAAAATGTCTCATTTGAAGCTCTGTTAAACTCGAGCATTTGACCTCGAGTGATAACAAATACGTAATGCTAGAAAATATTGAAGCGCCGGTAATCCCAGCAACAACCAAATTCTTCTGCGTTGAGCAAATCTTAGTTTATGCAAAGTGATAAAAATAATAATCCAGATACTTGTTCTGGAGTTATCGTTGTTCTTTTTAATTTGTGAATTTTGTAAGCGCAGGACTTGAGGTTTCTATTCAGAAAGCAATTTTTTTAAAAGCAATTTATGATAAAAAATCTCAAGCTTTCATTCAGAAGGCTTTTCTAGAACTGCCGTAAGGAAAGATGGCGGCAATGTCCAATTCTAATCCAGCTATGTATTACCCAACCCCTTTTAATAGGAAATAATTCTTGCTATTACACGTTCCCTTTCAAAGAATTTACTTTAGGTGCGGTCAATTCAAAGGATTTCCAAGGAGTTAAGAAGTCTGACTGTGAAAAAAATTCGTCAATTAAGAAACTGTTGCAAACGTTATGTCAAGCCGCTATTACAAATGTTTTAAGCTTATACTTGTGAAAACATAATGATTTATGCAAAAATATTTGTGCACAATTCAAGTGTAAAGGTATGTAGAAGATATGTAGGGGATATGTAGAAGATGTGCGTCATATCTTACTTCTGTTATTTTATAGTAATACAATATAATTTCCTTTGATCTTCTGACCTGATGACTACTTACCCTCTTTCTTCTCATTTTCTTACTCCCTGTTATGCATGGCTTCTATGTACAGCTGTTGCATATGAGGTATGTTGACTCATAAATGGTGACTACATTCACGCTTTGATTATAAAACTTGACAACATAAATTACCCATTCCACAGAATCTTGGTCAAGTTTCCATCAATTTAATCCAACAGTATAAATCCTCGGTCTAAGATTATCTAGGATTCTTCCCGATTCGTGGTTTCTTGCGATTGTGACACTCGTCACTTCTGGTCACTCAACACTGCTCTTTGACATTCATAACTAACCACAATGTTCCTTTTTCATGTTGTTGATTGAAGCATAAATTCAGCCAACGCATTTAAGATTTTGTTACGGGTCAGGCCACAATTGTTAAACTGAAAATGAAGTCTATCTAACTTCAGTTAAGATCCAGTTAATCTGTGCTTTTCTTTTGAATCAAGCCTGCGAATGACGTACCAATGACGCCCAAACACCTCGACCTTTTCGTGGTTTTCTGCTATCTACACAATGTTTTGTTCCATTTTGAAACTCCAGTCACCAGTGACTGGCAACATTTTGTTTGTTTGAGTCACCAATCCACGCCTTGCCTTTATCAAATTTGAAATAAGTCCCTTATACACTACTTTATTTGTTTAAATCTCATTGATCTAAGAGGAAGCTAGTCCGCTTTTAGATCAGCGGGCACACCCACAGCTTATTTCCCTTCAAGTTCAGGTGTCCTTGTACAAGTGGCTCAGACCTCTCTTGTACGAGGAATGTTTTTAATGTTCAATCTATGTTTCAGTCAACTTAAATCCCCCCACCCATCCCCCCTTCCCCTATCATCAGATTCCAGACATAGCTGTCTTTATGTGGCACTTTCGAATTCTGTGGGATTTGGGAATTTCGCTTACGTATCTCGAGCACTTATTTTCGGTTTTTGAAGGAATTTTTAGCTTGCGAGGAGCCTTACAGCCAGGAGTGTCACATTCTGTGGTCAAAAGACGGAGGATCGTTCGAAGGAGGCCTTGGGTTCAATGGTTTAATCGAGGAAAAAATAAGATTTCTGTGCCCCCCCCCCCTTGACCTTTTTTCCTAAGATTCTATTGGGAAAGTGCAGTGTCGCAGCATCTGTTTTAGGGTGGAGGTAGAGGGCGAATAATTAGAACAATTTTAATGAAATATATGTTTACGCATGCGCCATTTTTCTGGCAGGACTTGCGTCGTTGCTAAAAAGTGTAAAATGCAACAATGCTTGAAGACAAAATGGACTTGAAGTGCCTTGTCGTGGCTATTAAGTAAAAGAGACCTTGTTCACGGAGAATGTATGCTTACATAACAAACGAAACGTTTTTATCAAAACTCTTATCTCCATATCAAAACGAGGCTCTTGAACTAATAACCAGTGAGGTGGCTAAAAATTAGTATTCATGATTCCTGTACTGCCAACACTGATCTAAAAAAAGTATTTGTTTAGATCAGTGACTGCCAAGAATGAATTTAGTTTCTTCGTTTGCAAAAGAAACAATAGGGTCACTCAACCTAACCTTCCTTCAGCAAGCTTTTAAGGTGCCCCATTTCAACTTAAACTCCTCCCTTTCTTCATCGATTTTCTCATTCATTGGCCTTTTTTTCAGCACATTGCCCTTTCATGGTATTCGCCAAAGTTGACAATGTGCTAGCCTGCGTGCACAAAGTATACAAGAAGTTAAATGTTTTGTTCTAGGAAAATGAGATGCATCAAAGGTGATGGCACAGCTTTCATCATCATCACAGAATAAGGAAAAAGAACTTTTTCCCTATTCTGTGCCATCTTCATAGACGTTATCATCACAGACGTTACATCATCATCCTTTTCATCATCATTCGTCACCTTTACTCTATGGCCACCATTCTGAATGAATTGTGCAACACGCTGGACCTCCTTGTTTATGTCTAATCCAATCCATTCAAGACAAAGCTCTTTGGACTGGTGCGTTAAGTTCAATCTGCCCAAAATACAAGATCACGTGAGGCACCTTAAAATAACGCCAGTCCCTTTGGCAGCAACCTATTAAAACATTTCAATGAAGCTTGATCAAGTAGGAATTATTTTTTCCTTATTCATTCCGAAAGGAATTAATGGTTTGTATTTTAGCTTTAGTGGTATCTAGTGGTTCTAGGTGCCAATAGTAATCTTATTCATTTCCTCGACCGAAGAAAAACACAAACCTGCTTATTTTAACAAAGTCTAGTGTGATAATCCCTTTTTCGCAGCGACTCTTGTTCCTTATAATGCTTTTATTTGCTTGAGTCATATGAGAATCAGGCAAAAAGTCAAGCAGAATGAATAGTTTATTCTGTCGTCTTTTTATTAAAAAATTTGTCACATTTGACTTCCGAGTGCTCTTTCAAGATTTCAGAACTTATCACAAGCTCACAAATGATTTTTTCTATTAAAAAGATCAATTTCAGATATCACATGATATGTAAAGTTGAGCATACAGAAAAAACAACATGACCACGTTTTTCGAATCAGTGAACACAGACCTTTAGGTAGAATCTTTTCTTCATCAGCTTAATTATACTGTTATTATTCTATTCATAATATATATTCTACTTATTACGTTAAGTAACTTAATATCAAGGGAACATTTTTCCAAAGAGCAAATCTGAACCGTTTCAACTAATTCAATGTGAAAAGCTGAAACACAGAATAGAGAATTACTATTCTGTGGGTGAACGGTCCTTTATTTCCAGCAAAGCCTTTTTCTAGATATCTAACAAAAAAGGTTAATAATTTGGAGAATGCTGTTATATCATATGAGAGAAAAGACTGCATAAGGATTAAACCAGAAAGCTCTCCCCATCTTTTATCAACCTCGTATGTATAGTCCCCCTTTAGGTTTTCTGTACTAAGTAAGAAGCAAACGAATACACGATTTTTGTACAATCACATATAATCAGAAATTGTAAGGAACATTTGTTCTTTTAGACATGGTGCGAGTTGCTCTCAGTGGCGGCGCAAGCCCCAAAAAAGTGGGGTGGACAATGAAGAGGAGGAGCTGATCAAGGGGTCGGGGCGAGCAACTGTTGCACACCGGGTGAGAAATTGTGCTCGTTACTGATAACTATGTTTGACTTATTTTGTAATCCTCAATGAAAAATTCGATTTCATTGAGTAGAAGAGTTCAATTTCATAGGCCAAGGTTTACACACAAAAAAGCTAATATCAGTGTCATCAGAGTGGTAACTTTTAGCTAGCTGTGGTTTTAAACTTATTAACGAGGCTTGCTGTGTGCCCTTTCACACGATGAAGCTGTGACAGGTGAGGCTGCAACTTTACTATCCTTACAGCTTAAAAAATGTTTGGGTACAAGCTTTAAAGTTATTTACAACAAGGAAAGAAGGCAAAGACTACACTTTAAGTACCAACTTTTTGGCATGATAAAGCTGTGTTTTATAGATCATCTTCATTATAGTTTCTCACTATTTACGAAACTGATGATCCAAAACACCATACTCTATGTCAGCTAAGATCTTAAAAAGACCATCAAAATGAAAAGAAGTTCCAATCTCAGAGAAGAAACTTACATCCTCCCCCTAATTCCTTTGCCCAGTTTCGAAAAAATTAGAAAATCGATCTTAGAAAAGTGGAGTGAACTTGTCCATCCCAGTCCACCCCCTGGCGCCGCCCCTGGCTGTTCTATTTCTTTGATGCTTTTATTTTGCATGATAATCTGCATAGTTTAAATCATGTCTAGCCCTCTTTTGCGGGAAACTGAAACTCCTTTCATATATCAGAGCACATGGTTTCGACAACGTTTCAGCTTCCAATAATGTAGTTGACAACCAGGCTACAGGGTTCCCAAATTATATATACCCAATCCGATCCTTGGTTTTATTATTCAAGAATACATGGTCGTTGGCTATGGAGGACCTGAGGACTACAAGTCCCCTTTTTAATGCATGATTCAGGGGAAGATCTTCAGTTTCTAAAATCAAAATAAGGCTCGCTATAACACTGTATGTGAAACAAATTTCAGCCTCCTTGTCGGCGTGGTTGGCTTTATCGTAATTGCTAGCACTGCCAAATTAAAAACGTGTGTTAAGGTAAAGATACATGTGCATTTTGTTATATATCTTCCAACAATAGTTGTGAGTCCTAGCGCTATAAAGATTGTTAACCCAAATCTTAAAGTTAACAGAAATAATTATTGTCCACATTGTTTACAGGTATATTGTGCGTTTCTGCATGGACTGGGAGTTATAGGAATATGCAATTCGCGTGCCCCAGTGTAATGGTGGATGTCTAGGGCCTAGCTGTGAGTACCTTCGAAACAGCACATACAAAAATCAATAAGCCTCTAGATTTCTAAGATATAAAAGGCCTCCAGAAACAACCATTACACTGCAATTCACGAAACGCATATGCATCTCAGCCCATGGAGAAATTCATAAGACACGTGCATTTAGCAGCATACATGAAGAGATTTTTTTACATTTCCTAGAAATGCTGATTAAAGAAGACATCAGAAATATACCAATCCACCAAGCAGCCTTGAAAAATGCCCTCATTTTCGCAAAACAAAGCCTTTTGTTACATAAACCTAGGTAAGCTAGGTGTTTACCTTAATTATTTGTCACATCCTCTCTCATAAGCAGAGTTCACGATTTCTCTGCTGGATTCCTACGTATTTGATTTTTTTGAAAATCAGTTCATAGCATTTTCTATGTCTGCTTATATACAGCTCGGATTTACTCTTGACGTACTTTTTTAGCTCACAAATTTTCAAAATTCATCGTTCGTTGGATGATTGTGAAGTTTCTAATTTATATCAGTAGCTCTCCCCCACCAACCAGGTGTTCAAAATGAGAGGTTTTTACGGCTCTTGTCTCTCCGTATATTGCTTAATAACAAACTTAGAGATTCTCATTTTAGAACTGCCTATTCATAACTTTCTGGTAAGTAAAGCAATGTAGTGCTAATTATTTCACAATGAAAAAATATATTATGAAAATATTTGAAGATACAAGAACTGCAATTGCCAATGCACACATACGACTGGGCGTGGTCAGGAAGCAACAGTTTTATCACCGTGAAATCAAATTAAACATATGCTACTGCAGACGCCATTAATTAGCATTCATGAAAGGTGCTTTAGCGATTTATTGCCCGCAACTCGCGCGCGATAGCGCGCGAGTGAAGGGCTTATAGTCTGCCCCGCGTATAAGTAGCATATGGAAGCTTCAGTTCATGTTGTCAGCACTTTGTAAGCAGATTTTGTCACTTTTTTGCTGCCATGACAACTGTCAATCAATTTCATTGTCAATCAATCGGCTTTGTCGAGGAGGTCGTTAACCGCCACCTCTTTGTGCGGAAGGGAATTCTCTTCGGAGAGTTGCTCTGCCAAGACTCTGTTAAAGGCCTTCGGTTTTTTTGGCACGAAAACGGTGCTGCATCACAGCTCGGTTCTCCGCAATGGATGGAAGTTTTGATTCGAAGTTTTGGGAATCAAAACCAGTCGAATGCCACACCTTTCTCCCAAAAACTTGACACCGTACGAGCAAAAGTTATGATTGTCGTGATTATAGCCTGTACATCGCTGTACGAATCCTTTATCGCAATCGATTTTAGCTGTACCCATTCTATCACGTGTCCATTTTCATACGTCTTTGCTTCACGAAAACGCAAAATAAATGTCAAACCCTAGAAAAACTTACTGATTTTCAAAAGGGCGTTGGACTTAAATCAAAGGCAAACTGAACACCAAAAATTCTTGATAAAAAGAATAGTTTAGCATCAACTAGAGCAGCTGTTTTTATAAAATTGCGAAAACCCAAGATGGTGTCTTCTTCGAATATCCTGACCTAAATTTTCAAAACAATCATTATCAAGGAACTAATTGTTTGCGGGCAGTACTAGCAAGAGCTATTTCTAGTCTAAATTATAGCGGAGACCTGTTAGGTCTCTTTTATAATCGCAAAAAAGCTAGGATTCCTCTCTGCTTTCTTTATAAAGAAAGAAAAAGTATTACAAAGAAAAGCAAGTTCATTGCTGTATGTCCATCTGTAGCCTCTATCGCAAGCTCGCGGATTTCGATCAATGATGCGCAGCGAAGATGTAAAAGATGTCTCTATGCTAATGAAATCTTTTTGCCATGCCGTTTTATGCTGCTTTCCTAATGCGAGTAGTATATTTTGTTCTATGTTATATTCTGCGTTTTAGTGGCTTACTAAAAGTGACTGGACGTTTTGACTGCATGAAATTCCCTTGCTGTCTTATTGATATTTTGAGCTTGGTTTATTGAGAATTTCCAACGATTTTTGATCAGCTTTAGTTATATCGTCAGCTTGTGAGCCCGTGCAGAGGAAAAAACTGTCAAAAGTTAATGGTTATGTTCACCATGTTTAATGTCGGCGTTTGTTTATGATCCATTTTTAATTCTAATTACAACTAAGATCATGAATAATTCTACACAGTGCCTCAAATTTGTACTTAACCTAATTGTAAAGCTTTGTCTGGTCAACTTTAGTATTTCTTGTAATACTGCCGCCTGGATTTTGTTTTAGTTGTAAACATTAGGAAATTTTTAAAATACACATTTTTTTATCAAAGCCTAAAATTGCTTTCAAAATTGTCGCAGAGAAGTCTTTCAGCGAAGTATTATGAAAAGCACCGTAATTCTTTAGATATTGAGCTTTTTGTAAGAAAAAAATTGTTAGTTCGTTGAAATTTCTTAGGTTTTTCAATGGTTGAAGGATCTTTTGTACAAAGTTCGCTGAAATTATTAATACGGTGGCACAGGAGCCATTGATGGAGAAAAGAAGTGAAAAGAGGTCCTATGACGTCATAAAATCTATTTTATAATTTCCAAGTTTTCAAGACAAAGCCTAAAAGAACCAAAAGAATACATTGAAAGTGCAAAAATCAAAGACCAGTAGAAAAAATTGAAAAGAAACGCAATTATTTTCAAAAAATCACCATAGACATTTATATATTCATACTACATTATATATGATCATTACCTCTATAAATATATGCTTTTAAGATATCTATGATATGCACTCTATTCGAAAATTTTAATGAAATGCATTAGAACGGACTTTTAAACAAGAAGTTTTATTTTGATTTTAACTTAGTAAAATAGCAAGTTTGATACATGATTTTAGACTCGAGCACATGACTGTTGCAAAGGGGCTTAGATAAGGACAATCAAAAACTTGGGTTTTGCTAGTAGGTTACTGATTGTTACCTGGTTCATATATTTTAGAATCAAGACCAAACTACAATGACGTAATAGAGAAGAGTGTGCTCATGTTGCCATGTCTCAGCTGATTTGCTCTTTGAAATCATTTTTTTTTATCTTCGAAATACTATCTAAGATACCTGAATTTTCAAAATCTGGTCCAAGGAGCACCAAAGTATGAACGATTCCGTTGGAAACCACAATGAAAGACAAAGAAATTTTAGTTAGTCGGTTATCATTAAAATTTAACTTTGAATTATTTAAAAATGATATACTAATTATATTTCTGTAATACCGTTAAAAGTCCAAAAAGCATATATTTAAAGCTATTGGAGCATGTAAGGATGCAAATTCCATAAAGTGAAAAGCTTATTTCTGCAGACGTTTTGTTGATTTTTATCATAAATAGTTAAAGAACTTTTTAAGAGAACTATGTTGCAAATATAAGATGATAAGCATTTTTTAGCAAATATAGTCATGAATACATCATAAGCTAGAGGACCTTTAACGATACAATTTTATGATCGGATTTCAAATTCGCTTAAAAAGGCAACACTTTCTAATCTTTAGATTTCATTGATTTCAACGGAATATTTACTTCTTTGGAGCTTCTTTTTAGCAAAATTTTGATTTTACGAGCAAGTTATAGCCTTTTACATTAGTTTAGTAATGTCAAACGATTAAAGCCTGAGCCTTGTCTGATTTAAAATTCCTAATTTCATGTAAATATTTTAAAAAGAAAAATTGGAATAACGCATCCTCTAAAGCTCCAGAAGAGCTAATTCTTTTGGCAATTTGTTTCCAATTCATGTTATTATTGTTTTGAATTCTTTGAAAAGCTCATTTTGGTATTCAAACGAAGGAATACGATTTTAGATAAAAACGGCGAATCATACGATCGTTTCTTATCTGTTATTTTTTATTAGAATAACGGCATCCTTGATGGCTCTAAAGGAAATAACTCAATATTTTTCTGCTCTGACATGTCTTACTTAAACAAAATTTCCCACTCTTGTGATTTCCAATGCCGATGAATATCATGGGCTGGGTGCTTTTCGTACAGTTAAATATAACGCATTAAGTGGAATAAATCTTCCTTATGTGCTCCAATCCAAAAAAATTTGCGTCAAGATGTGGGCAACTACTTTCGTCACAAGTGTACAAAATTTCATGAAAAGAGCACTACAGGCTGAAAATTAAATCATATGGAATATTTCAATCATATCACTAGTGGAATTTGTCCATCCTTTGGGGCTCCTAATTTCAAACCTACATAGCCTACGATCAGAAACTGCTTTTGGAATCGGGGAAAAAAGCATGGAATATTAAATCCTTTGTTAATATGATGGAACTTGGGTTTTATATGGCAAGTACTTGCTTTGTCACTCAAATCGTGTCTATAAATTTGTTGAATACAAAGACACTTTTTGCCAAGTTGAAAAAAACACTTACCATTGTTCGTTGTTTTTCGATGCTATTATGCTTTTCGCGTTCTGTTATTCTGTTGCTATTCGTCTGTCCTTTCAATTTTTCCTGGTATTTTATTTCTTTAGTTTTGTTGAGTTGTTCTTAGCTTTTGGGCAATTCTCAGCCTGATCAATTTATCTATCTGGGTTGTTGGTAAAACAATCGTATATGCTATTTTTACCAAGCTAGGTTTTCCTGTCAAGGAAAATTTTAATGTTGACAAACTTAAAACTAACAATTTAAGACTTTTGTGAAGGTTAAAATAATTGATGTTTTCCCCCGTCTTTAACTCATAAAAAAGACAGCTCCCTTCGGTTGTTTCCGAGATAAGAACACAAGAGTAACTTGAGGAAAGGTATTTTATCAAAAGGAAATCAGTTGCTATGTCGGTCGTCTGGTGTGAATCCGGATTATTTTGGGTTTTAATCCAGTACTGCTTCACGTCACAATCTGCACTTTGAAGGAAGGAAGGTTGAATGAAGACATCACTGCACATGGTTGTGTGAGGAACCAGGAGAGAAAATCGCGGCACAGATTTCCTTGATACTGTGAAATAATTTGCAGAAATGTGTTGTGGATAACTCGCAGTTGTGGATATTTCTTGGCTTTAAGTGCGCACCTATTGCGAATTAGGAAATCGGTTGACACGGACGACCAATCATTATATCATGGCCTAAGCTCGCTCGAAATACCATCAAATGGCGACCACTTTCGACGGCAGCACTAAGAATAATGCAGATAAGTCCATTTTTATCAAAACTCTTAAAGACCCTCACATCCATAGGATGCAAGGGTTGCTTAAAAAGATAAAAAAATCTACTTTGTCACGGCCGAAAACGATCGTAACACAGGAGGATAAACATGTCGCTTCACCCGTAAACAGCAAGACTCCAACTGCCAAGCAAAGCACCGAAACTGACGAAGAGAAGTTGCTGCGTTATCAGAAGGATATTAAAAGTGCCTTACAATACTACAAGGTGATATTTGACAAGAAATTTCCCGAGAAACTGCCGGGCACAGCAACTGTAGTACTCGAGAGCATTGTTAGTATAGAAACCATTTTCAATGCTTGTTTGCACTACTCGAAATTGGTAAATGAAAGTTTTGACGATTTAGAGCCAACTCGCGAGACTCTACATCGAAACGTCACGAATCTCATTCGACTTTCAGATGATGTTTTGTTTGATTCAAGTTCGAATTTTCTCCCGGATAAAAACGATGCTTTCCGAGCCGTAGACTCGGTATTACAGTCATTGAATAACTTATGTGAAGCGATCCTACCGCGATTACAGAAACTGCAAGTGAACGAGGAATTGAAATCCTATTGTCGGTCAAATTCCACACATTCTAGCTCCAACTCACTCGATGATTTGCTAGACTCGCAAGATGAAGGGACACCGGGTAGAAAGTCACGTAAAACTTCGAGTAGTTCGAGCCAATTCGCTGTCAACGGTAGTGCGTCACTATCTGACAGACCAGCGTCACAAAGGAGCACTGAACGAGACTCAGGTTTTGCAAGTGAGATGAGCAATGTGAGTTTAACTGCAGAGAACAGAACAGATGATGTAGCCCCAGCTAAACCACCCCTACCACGAAAAGAAGATCGCTCTTACTATGGCAATCAGCCTTTCCCAGGGCAAAGTCATATAAGAAAGACATCAAGTAACCCTGTGACTCTTGAAACACCATTTTCACCAGTTCATTTGAGACCAAGGCCAAGCTCAGACTTCCGTTCTGGCAGTAACCACAGTGGTCAGTTCTTGGATGTAAATAAGCAATATAGTTCTTTTTCAACTTCTGTATCAAGTTTGAACAGCAGTAAATCATCTTTTAGTTCAGTGGAAGATTCAACGGCAATAAGTCCAAGAAGGAAATACCTTCTTCGGAGGTCATACCTTTCTGAAGCTTCAAGAGATTCCACTGACTCGATTGCTGAGCAAATTGACTTGGATCAAGTTGGCATGAGAGATGAGTTCTATGCTCAAATACAAAAGTGCTCTGAAAGGTACGAAGTGCTCTATGGAAGCCATTTGTCTTTGTTTCCAACTGATAATGATGAAGAAGACATTTTTGGTACTGATAAACCTGCAAGAGACTCACTGCCACCAGTTCCTCCTAAACAGAGAAACAAAAAGTCAATGAGCAACTATCTGAAGTACTTTGACATTGACAAGTATGGTAAGCCTTCAAAAGGGGACCGACCTGCTTCATACTATGATAATGTCAACTGCCCTGTACCAAGTGCATATAATATTAATGGAGAGCAGTTCATCAAGGCTCTTGGCAATAATGAGGAGCCTCCTAAACTACCACCCAAAAAGGGAACATACAGACGTAAAACCATAAATCATGGTCATAGCACCTCACCCAAGTTGCGAAGTGATAGGTTGTCAACACGTAGCTTCAAAGCAGACTCAAGGGGTAGCCACAGGGAACTGAGACGAAGGGAGTCAACAGCTACCTATGAAGAAGATAATGTACCTGCTCTGGATTGTACTGATGTACGGAAATTTTTGATTTCCAAAGATGACAGAAATGGTCCATTGCTTGTTGGAGGAACTGTGGATGGTTTACTTGTTTTTGCAACTGAAGCTGAGGTGAAAAATAATATATTTTATGAAGCTTTTATTGCAACATATAGAACATTTATGTCTCCAGTTGACCTAATATGCAAGCTGTTGTACAGAGCAAATCGCTTCAGAGACAAGGGAGAATCATATGCGTCACATGGAGCATTGTCACTTTTGATAAGAATTATTGATGAAATGTATGAAGAGCTGGACAAATCTTTATTTGACCAACTAAGGGCAGAAGTTCATCGACTGTTAAACCGAGGAGAACTCGAAGTTGCAAAATTGTTGAGGGACAAAATTGTTAATTATTGCCTCAAGTTGCAAGAGAAATTACAAACAAAAAGCATAATTACACTTGAAGTTGGAAGCAAATATTCACTGTTAGATTTTCCAAGCCTTGAACTTGCACAACAGATGACTCTAGTGGATTCAGAGTTATTCATGAAGATTGGTCTTGCAGAGATTTTAGCATGGGGCAAGGAGCAAAATGAACTTGTAAGCCCAAACCTTGCAGAATTTATTGAGCACTTCAATAAAATGTCATATTGGTGCAGAACTCTCATTTTGAAGGAGGCAAAACAGCAAGAGAGGGAAAAGCTGTACAAGAAATTTTTGAAAGTGATGAAGCATTGTCGACGGCTCAACAATTTTAGCTCTTACCTTGCCATATTATCGGCCCTTGATTGCAGTCCTTTGAGGAGGCTTGAGTTTCCTAAACCACTGACAGATTTATTGCAAGAATTCAATTTGTTAATTGATAGTGCATCAGCTTTCAAAACTTATCGCCAGGCACTGTCAGAAGCAAAGCCACCTTGCATTCCATATTTAGGTCTTATACTCCAGGACATTACTTTCATCCATTTAGGAAATCCAAATGAACTTCCTGATGGCAAAGTAAATTTTGTTAAAAGATGGCAACAGTTTAATGTCCTTGACTCTGTGCGGAGGTTGAAAGAGTGTCAATACGACTTTTCAAAAAATGACAACATCATGGATTTCTTCAGTGGCTATGATGAGTATTTATCAGAAGAAGAGTTGTGGGAAAAATCACAAGAGCTGAAGCCAAGAAAAAAAGCTTAGGTATGTTGCACTATTTTGCTTTTTTATATCAAGAGCACCTACATTTATGTGCTGTAAATCCTTTATTGCCCTCTCCCCTTTGTATAAATCTCCTGGGAATAAGCTCAACCTTAAAACCAGCCTTCATTTTAACATGCTGATAAGCATGCTTTGAAAAAGCCACTATGGGCACCACTTAATTGAGATACAACAGAAAAAAACCAATAGTGCATTATAGAGAATTAAAACTAACATAAACAATTCATTGACAAAGGGACTTCCAAAGACCTTGAACATGTCGATGTTTTCAGCCGATATTTTCTGTGTTTATTTATATTTTGCTTTGATATTTTAGGATAATGCTATTAAGTAAAATTGCAAATGAAACAGGGGTGGATCCAGAGCAAATTTGAAGGAGGGGCAGTTGGTAGTGGGGGCGCTGAAAAATTTTCAAAAATTGGCTATGAGAGTACGCTGTATACAACAATTTCAGATACCTTTTTAGAATAAACAACATAACTTTGAGGTAATCCTTGAAGCAAATTAACCTATCAGTCCAAGAACATTTTTCATTTGATTCTCATTCTTCAAAAGGGGCGCACAATTTCCAAAAAAGGGGGCCAGATTTGCTTCAATTCGTTGAGGGATAGGCAACTGCCCCTAGTTACCCCCCTTAAATCCAACACTGAAATGAAATGATATTAAAAATCATTAAATGGGCTGTTTGTATGGCAATTTGGATAATACCCCTCTCAACCCCCCCCCCCAATTAACCCCAATCTAAAACTGCCTAAATGATGAGGCTCCCAGGGGGCTTCCTCAAGGATTGTAGGTATATCAGTTGTTCATTGGCCTGATTTATAGTTTTTGATTATTTCCAAAGTACTTGCTTTATACTCGATGTTTGTAATCACTAAGCACAGCTAAAAATTCTTGTATGTTCTAGGAGGTTAGCAAGTCTGTAAAATTATTTTGGTCATATCTTAAAAGTTTGAGAAATAATTTCAGTGGGTAAAACTCTGCCCTTATGGTTTTTCTACTGGTTTCTTTTTGGTATGAATATTCTATCTAACTTTTGTTTATATACTTTCCAGTTGGCAAATACAATCGTCTGATTTGTTTTTGTCCACCTTAAGTAATGCTGATATTTAAAGTTGTATGTTGTGAATTATGAAGCTGGAAGCATATTTTGAAACTCTCTTTTTGGTGGCTGGAGATGTATTTCAAAAAGTAAATCAAATAACATGCTTTCTTTGAATACTTTTCATGATATCAGGCTCATTGATATCATTTCATGATATCAATTCCTGTTGTATTGTTTTGATAGTGAACTGTAATTTTTCAGAGTCAGTAAGCTTGTCATTTCATGATATCAATTCCTGCTGTATTGTTTTGAACTGTAATTTTTCAGAGTCAGTAAGCTTATCATTGTTGGAAAACATTATAATAACTTTGGTAAACATGCAATAATTCTAACTTTCAAGGAAAAACAGACTCTGAAGCTTGTTTTAGTTTGGCAAGTGAATCTCTGGGTGTCATCAGGCAACTGTACAATTACTGCACTGCTTTATTGTATACAGCACTTTACTGTGATATTGTATACAATACTTTACTATGATATTGTATGCAGTACTGTCCTGTACTATTTTATGCAATGTTGTACTGTAATTATATTGTTAAAAGAACTGTACTGCAATATTATATGCAGTATTGTACAGTAATGTTGATTCAAAAGTACTGAAGCCAGAGGATGACAGGATTTTTTTGTGACATCGAATTTTCTTTTGTTTTCTATTATTTCCCATCGTTTTGAGAACTGATGTATAATTTATCATGTATTATTAGACTCTGTTGCTAAACTTTAAAAGCTAGCAGTGTCGGGACTACTCGGAAGCTTGTAAGATGTTAAGAAAAGCAATAAAAAACTAAATTAGCAAGGGTGTTAATGTTTTAAGATTTTCAATAATGCCAGTTGCAAAAATTTCAATTTCCCATGAAGCTTTTTATTGATCACACCCCTAATGGTAAAAGTCTTATTCTTCAAGATTTTGTCTCAATAAAATGACCCTTAAAGTGGTAACACTCCCTCTGTATTTTTACTACTATTTTTGTTTTCTGGTTATCATTCTCCCCGTTGTTTATTGATGAGTAAAGTTAGGGCTATTCAGTTCCTCGCTTTTCCAAAGGTCCTATGCAACTGTAGCATTTCTATGTAGCATGTGCTTTGTTATGTACTTTATGCATATCTTATTCAAATACAATCAACTACAACTCGACAAAATCTTCCGACTGCCTCATGGCAATAAATTTGACATACGCCCATGCAAGCTCGCATATACGGTTCTCCGACATGTGGAAGTTAAGATAAGGACATCTTTCGATGTTCATGCTTTTCTTGTTGATTCACTGTCGTAGGAAGCCAAGCCGAGCTGTGCACAAGGAAGTCACTTGACATGGAGTGCCGACCATGTGTTCTGAACAGCTTTCTCTCTGATTAAGGGTGTTTTTGTAGTGATATTGCGCTGTTGTTTTGCAGTTATATTGTAAAGTAGAAATGTCGCTGTTATAAGCTCTTATAAGCCTGTTGCTTAAAGATGTCGAGAACAAATGCAAGGCCTTTGTCTGGACTGTTTGTTGTCTGCTCGAACGCTTTTTTCATTTGGCAACAGCGAATGTGGGAATTTTCTCTTTTGATTTTTGCTGTCATAACTTAATGGGATGTTGATAGATAATTTGTTAGTAGATCTTATAGTTATTCTGCTGAATTAGCCAATGATTATCCAGAAAAACTGGCCATCAATTCCAAGCACGTTTGGTTTTTTGTTTTAGCTGTTTATTGGTTTAAGATTCAGTGTGTGGGCTCTTGTTTTAGTCATGAATCGGCGTTTTGTGGTGTTTGTCTCTAAAATAAGTCTTGATTCGCATTCAAAACACTTTAATTATAATGTGAAGAGATGTTTTCATGTTTTCATCGTCCATAAAGTATAAATGATTTTGCATTCCTTTTTATCAGGCTACTAGATTATGACACCGCAAGATTCCTCCAACAGTCAAATTCTGCCTTTTGATCCAATGCCTCTCCCGTAAAATGTATGAGATGTTATGTTTAATGCAGTGAATAATTTAGTATCGGTATTTGAAATATTTAGTTTTGTATTTGCTTTGTACATAAAAAGACAAAAATACTGCATGACTTTATTTTCGGGAATTTCTTGCCTAACCAGAAAAAGGCAATGCTTAGCTGTTTTACTTTTCTTGTGTCTTATCCTCATTTTCCCCGTTCTTTCTATGATGAAACCCACTGCCTTAAAAGCCATTTTCAAATTTTGTAGCGCATGAGAACTGTTCAAGTTTAAGATTGATCTCTTGAATGGGCTAACTTGTTTTAACCTTTCCTTTTTTCTTTTTTTCAGAAGCATGCGATCATCCAAACGCAGTAATGGATGCCCAACAGCAAACCATTTCAGTGGCCATGTTAACGAACGCATCCACTGCGCCGGACTGGTCACACTAAATTTGCAGATGGTTCACCGTGTTCCTTGTGGTATGGCGGTTCTCAGTGCGTAACATTTCAAATGTATGATCGATATATCACCCATCGATTTAGAATAATACGCTTTGGATATTCTTTATCAAAATAAATACTGTTTCATATTTTGGGAAATAGATTACCTCTGTAAAGTTGGGTAATGTATCTTTTGTCTTTCTTAGGTTTGCTTAAGTTTTTTATCGCATGTCCCACCCAGATTTGTGTTTGTGGTATGAGAAATATCCGAAAATGAGCTGCAAATCAAGTTTTAAGATTTTCATAAACAATTCAAAGTGGATTGTGGGATGTTTATCCGTTGAAGCTTGTGAATTAGGCTTTTGATGAAGCCGTTCTAAGACATCTGTAGGTATGCTATATTTTGAAGTTGTTGTTGTAAACACATTGCGATGGACTAGACTTGACGTATCATTTTTGTAAAATAAGTCATATGTTCGTTATTGAGGTGTAAAGGCAGGGAGCAGTTTGGCTTATTTGCGAGGCCCAGATACCCACTGATTAACTTTGCATTTTATAGATCTGGACCGCTGCACGTTTATTAGGAAATCAATTTGAATTATGTAAGTAAAGCTACTTACACGGCATATTGTCATTAGATGGGCTCAGGTCTGATAAGAGGCCTTTCATACAGAAAAGTCGATTTGTCATAATCACGTAGGAATTTCGATGCATGTACTCAAATCAGCTCTCTGTACCAAGTTATATGTCATTGTTTTTTAATGAAATGACAAATTAATATTGCCTGGGAATTTTTTACACAACATAAATGTATAATGGATGATTTGTACACTGTGGTGCTAATTATTTATTTATTTGAAGCTACGGCTCGTGAAGACTGTTTCAAATTCAAGGAACCCAACCCATATTTTAGACTACCATATCTAAACTATCTTCGGAACTAAGACTACCAACGGTATCTTTGGAACGCTTCTCAATCGTGCCTACTTTCAAATCTCAAGATGGCCTAAGTTTTCAAAAGAAACAGTACTATTAAAACTTGCCGTAGCGGATCCTTTGGCCTCCTTGTTTTTCACCCAGAATGTTTTCTTCTTTACCTTCTTCTTTAACTGTCGCTTCATTCTCTTTCGACGTGGTAGCCCAGCCAGTTCTTACATTTTTACCGTTATTGTTAACAGCAGTGTAATAATCAGTCTGTATCGGTGCTCTGTAACCTTTACGCATATTTTGTCCCTTAACCCTCTTTATTCCATCAGAACTGGTGGTCAACAGAAATCATCAAATTGTTTACTTGTGCTCGACAGATATTAAAATTCTAACTAATAGGGTACTAAATGTTTTTCATACGAAGGGTCTTTACACGAATTGATTTTTCACCCAAGAGCTTGTCCCAAGAGCAAATGAAGGCATATTTATAACACCTGTATGGAACTAGAAACCAGTCTATTGTTGACATCACAAGTTACATCTTATAATAGAAGTATAAAGAAGTAATAACAGAAGTAATTCTGTTAGAAATAAAAACCTTAAATGAAGCTTATCTCGTGTACTTATGCGCATGTTTAGTGCTTAAATCGATCACCAAAAATAATCACAATGCAGATCATTTTGTATTCCCAAAACTACCAAATCTTCAAGACTGATATCCAAAGTCATCGGATAGACCTCCGAAGGTTTCCTCTCCCCTCCTGGAGTATAGTATTCTCTTTTGAAGGCAATATTAAGTTAAAATGATTATGATCACTGTATTTTTGTGTTAATATGATACAAGGAGGCTCTCTCATCCTTTGTTCTGTTAAGCCCGTAACCCATAATGCACTGTTTCAAGTAAGCATTGAAAGCAGACAGCAAACTGATTGGCTATTTCGAATATTGGCTACTACTGATTGGCCTCATTGTTGTCAGTCGGCTAGGATTTGATTGATGCCTCCTTGCAGCCATTTTCATGAGTCAGCCTACTCGCTCGTGGTGTCGAAGCAAATACAGAATTTATTTCCTGGATTGAGTGATTTTGTTTATAGACTGTCTTGAAATAGAATTTGTAAATAAAGTTTACTAGCATGTAGTTGCTTTAAATTTTGGGCATAGCATTATTTATACCTCTCCGCGGCTTCTTTTCTTGTTTTCTTAGCTTGAAATTGTACGAAAGACCAAATTAACTCATACGTTATAAATACGGAATGCACGAAGAAAACACATCTACTGAAATTGTAGAATTCACTTTATCTAAACATTCTTCATTACAATATAAATTCACAGTTAAGTTTGTAAACTAAAAAAAACAGAGCATATCGAGAACCAGGCGCTAATATTCATAATCATTGATAAACATTTTCATTATCAAATTCAAGAAACTCTTCACCCAAATAACAAGAAACATGCAGTAAATCTTGTCCCTTCAAAAAAATTGTTAGTCCAAAAGTGTTTTAGTGTTGCACAATTCTTTTGAAAAAGCAAGCCTATAGGCTTGTAAAAAAGCCAATGTTATTAAAAGTCGATGTTATTGACTCAAATTCGACACATTCTCCCTCCAAATTAGAGGAAATAGGCAATGAATATTGTGCCTTGTAATGCGTTTGGAACTAAAAATCCAAAAAACCTTCATGTAGGGCAGCTGGATTTTTGCAAATAGGTAACCCTGTATGTAGGCTTGCAAAATAATCAACATTGATTGAAAAATATATTGCCTAAAATTCTTTATATTCCTTAAATAAAACGAAAAAGGCAGAAAATTTGTGCTTTGAAATATAGCGAGAATTAAAGGTCCAACAAGCATATTTGAAGTGCTTTTAAATGTTGCTAAAATATAAGCCATTGTGCTTGCAAAAAAGTTAATATTAATGAAATAAATTTACCTTCAAATTCAAAATATTCTTCTTCCTAAGTGAAGGAGACAGGCCGGTTTACGTTCTTCGATAATTATTTAGAATTTAAAGTCGAAAAAGAAATATTTGAAATGCTGCCAATTTTGGCATCAACACAAACCTGTTAGGCTTGGTAAAGGAATCCATACTGATAGAAAATAACATTCAGATTATGCATATTCTCTCTCAAATAAAAGGAAATGGCCAGTAATTATTGGGCCTTAAAATATAGAATTGCGGTGTTGCGAAAATATTATTGTAGTGGCTCAATTTTTGTAAAAAATGAAGCCTACAGGCTTGTAAAATTTATTTACTATTGAATTAAACGAATTCTTTCTCCAAATTTAAGGAAATATGCAGCAAATCGTTTGCCTTGAAATACGAGGGGGAATGTCGTATACACCTTTCGTGAAAATCTTATTGTTTTATGTAAAAAATCCCCAGAAGTCCTTTTGTTTTAGGCAAAATCTCGTACGCTATATGCAAGAGTGAATCGCTCCCCGTTGAAATAGAGTTAGCTTGTAATATTGCTCAATTTTCGTAAAAAAGTAGCCCTTGCAATATTAATAAGCCTTCATTGATAGATCTCATACAACGCAATAAACACATTCTCCCACCACATAAAAAATAAGTAGGAAATCGAGATTTACCTACTTTGTTTGAAAAAATATCTGCAGAGCTGCTGAATCTTTGCCAATACTCTTGCCAAATTGATCATTTTTCAGGAAATTCATTCTTGTTTAATAAATTGGTAAAAATTGGTTTGCTATAGAGGGAGCTAAGAGAATAGCATCGTAATCATTCGCCCCAGATAATTTTTGCCCAGATAATTGTCCGTTTTTCCAAAGCTCGTGTTTCAATTCTGAATTTTAAGCAGTGGTAATTTTTTTAATTTTCATATATAATCGTTGACAGCAAGTAAACAGAAATAAAAGTTTTACATTATATACTATAGCAACGAAGCTATGTCATAATTTTAGAATATGAACGCTTTTTGTTGCTTGGAACATGAAATTCTGCAACAGTCTAAGTTCTTGTTTCCATTCTGCAGCTTTCGTTGAATTGTTCTTATAAGTATGGACTCTGTGAAGGTATACAGAGAAAAACGGTTGACATTTAGCCCAATTTTCATCTTTACTAAGGCGTCTTTGGTACCAAATAAAAGGGACCCCGTCCTGATACTTTGCAATGCAATGAAATACGGTCTTACTTCCTTCCTACAACTTCTTCCTTGTCTTGAGAATTTCAGAGATAGACTTGACTTACCAGAAGAAACTTTGCCGAAAATTTTTTTAGGCTTTTTTTAAAATAACTGCAACTCTGCAAGGCATTTTAAGACCATGTTTAGGTTGCGCCGAGCTAGACGAATCCTGCCCTTTTCGGGTCACGTATAACTTATTTTTCGCTATTCAATTGTTGTGTTAAATAAATACATTTATACTTGATACCGAAAATTGATAATAAGACTTTCTGAAAATCACATCCATCCGAAATACTGGTAAATAAATTATATTATATGAAACAATATACAGCAACATTATAGAGGTTTGATTTTAAGATTCTTTCAAAATATGCGTGTTTACCTTGATAAACTGTAATCAAATAATAGTTTCGCCAATTCGGGCTAGAAAAAGAACTAAACAGGGGTAACAAAATGGTACTCTGTCATCCGCTCCAAAATGCAAATTTGTTTCGGACATTAATTTCTTCAACAGTAAGTGTTTAGTTATTACAAAATCGGGATCTTCCTCTCATATTCAAATCTTCCTGGCAAATGAAACATCTTCAATTCTTCAACAACCCCTTCACAGTTGTATCCCAATTTAAAAAGTCTTAAAATAGATTCTCATTCACTTCCCACAACTCTTCTAGCAAATCTTCATTGAAAGCTTCATGGATTCTTCACCGAAATCCTTTCAGAAATCTTCAGACAAATCTTGAAATTTTAGTAGGCTTCATTATTATATCTTCACTTTCTAGCAGACCATCCCTTCAAAGGTCTTCATGCTTAATCTTCAAAACTTCGATTCTCCACTATTCATTTAGATGTTTTCATATCTTCTCAAATATCTTCATTCTTCATGCTATGAAATTTATAAAGAACGTCATGAGAACAAAACAGACCTCAAATTCATAATAACATATTACTCCTCCAAAGAAAAAACCCAAAACATTGGGCTAAAGGAATTCAACAAACTGCAAAGAAGACCACAATTTATCATAAAACAATTTTTACAGGAAAGAAAAACAATTCAAAACAGCATCCTGATAAGGTTTTGTTGGGGGAAAATGGAAGACCTTGTCTATTATGTCATTAAATTGACAGTAGGTATATATGGTAGATTTCAAATGTAAAATTCTAATAATAAATGATATTTATTGACCTGATGGTTTTGGGAATTGTTCAAAAATCTCTAGGCCTCAGCCTCAAAGAAAGTTTTTACATACTATTTATTTTAATCTAACCTGATTGAAAAATAGGAGAAAAAATATTCTGTGGTAAAATAAGAACCAAAAGAATATGTTGGGAATAAACGAACATGAAAAGGCTGATGTCCATAGAAAGACTTTCCAGTAACTACTAACTGATAAAATTTCGCTCTTAATTAGCAAACAATGCAAACTACAAAATGAATAAATGTAAAAACAAAACAAGCTGTAACAAAGAAATTGACTAAAATTGAAGTAATTACTTTGTGAACAGCAAATCTTCAAGTCCTCATCAAACTACTTGAAGATGCAATTCTCAACTTGATTTTCTTGGTTTTCAGAAAACTTCATTCATAAGTTGCTCTAAAGAATAACAGACTTCGTAAAAGTCAAGAAATATATAAAATTAAGACAACCTTTGCAATCACTAAAATTACAGAAACTTATCAGGGCTGAACTCAATGTGTCAAAAAATGAACTAAAAAGATTTATTTATAACATTGAGTTTTCAGTAAGACACTGTCTGTGTATTCCCAAACTTTTGTGGGTGTAAACTTGTTTCCAGAGCATGCGTTTTAGAAACAAACCAAACTGGAAATAAGGATGATATGATTAGATTCAGATGGCATCTTTGCCAGAATCTTCCAATGACATAATATCACTATATCAGCTGAAACTACATCCACCACTGAAGTCCCTATTTATGAGAAACTACTAATTTTATACTGGATGTTAAGTCTGAGTGTTGATAGGCAGTTCAATAGACTTAAGTGTTAAATGTCTTAATAACCATCTAGAATTGCAATCAAAGTTTCAGCAAAAAGGACAACTCTTTGAACATCTGCTACAATCAAATAGCACAATGCTTGGATGATGGCCTAGAAAGAAAGTAGAACGTTGGTAAAATTTTTGGTCTTTATTGATAATTAATCTATAACTTTAGGTATTTTAAACTAGAGTTCAGATTAAAAAAGGAGAGAAGAAAAAATGTCTCAGATGTAAGAATTTATGCTGCAGTTGACAAAAATATTCAACAACTTGAATTGTAAAATTTATTCTGACACTTCTGATTCATTTCTTCCCCTTTGCCATGTCCAAATGTGATTGTGCAGCAAAGACTCTCAAAATAACAAAATAACGGTCTTCCCATACTGTAAGCTACTTGAGAATTGTGTAAAAAATTGGCTTACATTTTATCGCGATCTTGATCTTGAGTAGGACCTTTTGCGGTGTGAAGACCTGCTATGCTTTTCTTCATCTTCTTTACGACTGCTACGAGGAACAAAAAAACAATTTTTGTTTTAATTTACACTCAAATGCTCAAAGCCATTAAAATGTATACAAGCATGATTTACAGTATTGGTTCAAAAAGGGAAAAAAACCTTTATAAGCATGGAAAAGCACAATAGATCAAAAAATATAATCAAGGGATTTAACTACTGAGACAAGAAATACATCAAGCACTTGAACAACTATGCTGGCATTTATGGCAAAACATGTGTTGCCTTGGCAAAGGCTGAAAATAGTCACAAGTATGACAAAGAATTTAATGTGACTTTGGTTTCAATGCGACAATCTTCACATACTAGGTAGGTCTTCCCATATAAACTCCAGGTGTTGGAGTGTGTGGTCTCTGGGTGATTGAAAAATCCACTCTAATTCGTCTACCATCAAGCTCTTGCCCATTAAGCCGCTCTTTGGCCTGTAGAAAGAGAAACCATGTTGAAAACAACACACAGAAAGACAACTTTGATCTTCAAACAAAAATCTTTAGGTTGAATTTAATTTGATAAAAAGAGATGCTTACTGCATAAAAACCATTGTCGTTCAGCCTAAATAGATAGGGTACAAACTCTAAAGCGAGAAATATAAATACCAACCTCAACGGCTGAGTCAACATCCTTGAAATACACAAAAGAGAAGCCTCTTGACCTTCCAGTCTGCAAACCAAAATGAAAATACAAAACTTGAGACAAAAGAAAAGCATAAAAGAATATTTCTTAAAAACAATTACACTTCTACAACAGCATTTTACAGAATGCTTTACATAAATATATATATATCTGTCTAATATTTAACTTGATATGTTTTATGTACTGATGAAGAGATACAAGTTGAAGACCATTTAAATGTAATGTAAGTTCAAAGTAAGCTTTGGATTGCTATCTAATTTTCATACACCTAAATGGCCTTACACCATTATAACAATATTGAGTAGACATAAGGCATAAGAAAGTAGCTAAAAAGTAGCTATTACCGCATGGTCATAGACAATCTGGCAGGATTCAACCTCCCCATAGCGATCACACATTTCTTTAACTTCTCTTTCGGTTGTGTAAAGGCTTAGACCAAAGATGCCAAGGCACTTTCCTTCTGGTGGTGCATCCTATAAAATTTAAAATAATTACAAACAAAGGTGAATTCCTAAGAAAAGAATTCTATAACAAGTTGAAAACCATATATTATTCAGAACAGAAGCAAGTGAGTTGTAATTTGAAGTAAATATATATATATATATCAGTCCTTTTCGTTTAGCGCGTGCGATTGCACCCACATACAACTGCACACGCGCAAGTTAAATTGCGCATGCTTTCCAACACACGCGCAAACAGGTGTTTTTGCAGTTTTCTGTTATCATCAATTTCCCATGGTCTCATGATTGTTTATCCTTTTCTCTTGTTACTTGATTAGCACTTTTGACCACAATATGAATTTTCCAATTTTAAGAAGTGATGTTTGGCTTTTGACTGAATGCTCCTTTCAACTTAGCATCTCGTCTTTCAGCTAAGTCACAATTAGCATGTTAAGTGTAATAACTGATTTCCTGTCAAAATCTAATTGTGCACTGAGAGCAAGTAGCTGTTGAAAACAATTTTTATTTGCTCTTGTAACTTTGGGAGTGACAACAACTTTTGAAAGATGGCTGCTAAGGGCAACAAAATCTGTTTGATTTATGTATTGATTGAATTGAGTTCTTTCACGTATTCGAGTGGCTTTTACCTTTCTTGTTCCTTTTACCAATTTTATCAGGTTATCACTTCAAATTTTCTTACAAGTGTGATCGCACGCACAAATTTGTTTACATGTGCGATTTGCCACACACACGTAACTTTGCTCACGAAAAGGACTGATATATGTATGTATGTAAACTGGTTCTTACTGGCAAATTAAAAGATTCATTAGCTTTAACCATTAGATTAACTCTTTGTTATAAGAACAAACTTTTCAAGAACACTGAAGCACAATTTGATAACAAAAGAACATCATAAGAACATGACCAACCTCAGATGAAAAATTAGCAGAGAAAGACATTTTGAGTTTGAGAGAGAGTTTTTAAAAATTTTCTCTATCAGCAAACCAATCTTTTAACTAAAAATATCACACAAAAATGAAATTTAGAAGTCTTGGAACAGATTGATAGTATATAGGTGTATATAAAAATCAATGTTGAAATAAGGAAAATTTAAGAACACCTTAAAAAATGTTGAGCCTGGGCAAAATTAATCTGGTTCTAATAAAAAAAGAGTGTAACTTTGGAATCATCTTTAAAAAATTCTTTGGGAATCATTTGAGTTTTTTTAAGTAAATACAAACATACCCTGTCTCCTACATGCCTCTTTCTATTTGACATTGGTGATCTGCTCCTAAAGAAAAGCAAGATGAGTTAGAACTGTATTGCAATTTCAAATGAAGAAAACTTTAACCAAAATAAAAGTACAATGATAAGAAACCCTGACAAACAGAAACAAAATCCTTACTTGTTGGAGTTAGAAATATGAACTGGCAAATAAAAAACATATCTCTTTTAACAGATAATTATATTGAGTCTAAAGTTGCACAAAAAAGAGAAAAACAAGTCGCATTATTATCACTGCCAAACAGGGAAATTTTTCTTCAAAATCTTTTAGGCTCCATCAAATTGAGATTGATCAAATTAGTCATCATATCTGAGGTGGAATAATTGAATTGAAACTGTATAAATTACTGACTGGATAATGAAAATCATGTGTCATGACTGTATCAACTCAATCAATTTGTGGACACAATCCTCCTAAATAATGATTGTTACCTTCTGCCATAGTGGCCACCAGACCTTCCTCCACCATGTCTCCTACGACTGTAAGGTGACCTGGACCTTGACCTGCGATATGGTGACCTTGACCTACGGTGTGGTGATCTTGACCTGGACCTTGAGTATGATCTAGAATATGATCTGTTTCGCTTTCCTTTATATGACCGAGACCTAGATCTGCTCCTTGATCTTGAAAGTGATCTTGAGTAGCTTTTCCCCCTTGACCTTGATCTTGAGCGTGAATAGCTTCCAGATCTTGACCTTGAGCGACTCTGAAAATAGAATAAACGTTAATAAAAAATAAACATAAAAAAAACAATCCAAACAATTGAAAGTGCTACAAATTTCAATGGTAGTCATTCATAGGCAAGCTTACAGTACTGAGGGGTAAAATATTAAGTTAGGAACCTTTTAGCATAAAAAATAGCTTGATAAAGCATGATAAAAAATCTAGACAATATCAAAAACTACCATAAATAAGAATTTAAAGAAGCTGTTAGGTAAGTCTACAACTTTGTTCCAAATTCTAAAGCTGAAATGATGCACAAATCTGGCTGCATTGCTATCTAAAGAAAAAATGTGAACACCCATCATTTTTGCAACAAGTTTTGATTTTGATTTGGATTAATTTGAACTAAAAGTATTTTTGGGAAACTGATCAACAGAGCTACAGCTCAAAGGAGCAATGTGAACATAGTCTTACATGTTCCTTAGGACCCTGAGGCATTCTTTACTTTTTTACATAGTTTGATAGGGAATTACTGGTCATAAACTTTACCATGCAGGGAAGTACACTGAGTAGAGCAGTACACTGTCCCAGTGTAAATATGGTACTCTACAGTATTAATATAGAACTCTTCTTCTGTAGAATACAAACAAGATTGAATTGAATAGATTTCTTCATGACAAGGCCTCGGTTTCAGGATGTTTTTCCAGTGTAGGCTAAACTGGAAACTTTGCTCTGTGCCCATTTAGTATGCTCTACTTAATCAAATGTGCAAACATTTTTCTCTGTTCAAATAACCATGCTAATTTCCAGGGCAACAGGCTGGGATATTTAAGGTATATATCCGTTCATACCAACTCCTTTTTGAGCAGGTGCTTTTAATATATTTCAAAATCAAAATCCAAATAAAGTTATGTACTTTAAAAACCAGTGATTTCAGTGATTTGATATTGTGTTTGTGGAAAGTATAGAGACTTCTTAATTCCTTTTTTCCAATGGGGCTATCGGCAAGCAGTCAAAAGGTATTCAGGGACCATCCTGAATACATATGCTTTGTTTTTGACTGACCTTGTTGTCAGTCACAAGAGATAACTGTGTGGCTAAATGAAGAATTTTGAAAGCGAATGTATTCAGAACATTTTTGAATACCTGGAGAGTAAGCATAGCTTCTGTTTTGGGAACCGATTACAGCTTAGACATTTGCAAGCTTCAAAGTGAGCTCAACAAAGATATTTAGAGCAAAAAGAATTCCTTTTGAAAAAGAGTACAGACTGTCTGTAAAAGAAAAAAGCATTCTTGAGGAAAGTTGAGTGAGCAAACAGTAAAGTTGAGGAAGGAAACTTGTCTATATCAAGGGGAATTTTATTGATTTGCAGGGTTATTCTAACAATTAAATCTAGATGACAAAAAACCTTTTTTCTTCTGACTTTTTTAGTAGTTTCTTCTGGCTTTTATGCAGGCATTATCTGGTTATTTTTTATTTTTATTGCATTATTCAGTCATTGCTTCAGCCTGTAAACCTTTTGGTGCTCAAATGAAAGGTGCAGATTTGTGGCCACACACTATTCAGAAACCAATCTGAATACCTTCAAAATCCATTGTGCTTCTTATAAAGGCTTTGGGCCATCCTGCTATGTTTGATATAAGCCTTTGATTTTTGATTCGCCTGCCCCATTCTTGTTTTCACTGTGCACGCTAATTTCTGAATTTGAAAGCCCTGGAGCCCTGTGAACTTTGTTATGTTAATTATAGTAGCTTCAGCCTTTTACTATCAACAGTCATCTTATTTTCTTGGCACGATGTGTTTATTTCATTTTCAAATATTCAAATTGTTCACACTAACATCTGATATTGATGTGACCTATGTGGTGATGTCATCTGCATAAAAATGCACTTCTCCACAGTTGACACTATCAGCTAAATTATGTAGATAGAGAGTAGTCTAGAACCCAATTACCCAATAACAATCCTTGTAGGCCCAATAATTGTTTTCATTTCTGACTTTACAATTACACCATTGATTTCTTCATATTTCTTTCTTCCATATCTTCCAAATAGCTTGCTCTCACAAATACCAAAGTTTTCAGATGGGGCTTGCAAGTATTGGCTTGTCAACCAAGTCCCCTGCATCAATGAGTCATTTATATTTTTCATTAGTAGGTAGAGTCCGTATTTTTTTATTTTTCCTCTGTAATATGTCCTTAATGTAATGGTCTGAGGGTAGTTGTCAATTTTTCACCAAAGTATTGTTGTGGCAAAGAGTACAAAGTGGTAGGGTTAAAATTCAAAGGGATCTTATTGGTTCATGAATTGCTTACATAAATTATTTTACCAAACAAAAATTTGCTTTTTTAAAACTTGGGCAACGTTGACGCGAAATAAGAATTAACATAGTTGAATTATTTCCATGAAAAACTTTCTGAACAAAGCAAAACTTTGAAGCACATGTGCTTAGGCCCTAGATTGTGTTGGCTAGAAGGTGTGTTTTTTTCTTTTTGAATGCCTGATTATTAAATTTTGGCTGCCTGTTTAGATTAGGCACCTTATCTTTAGTCATTGGATCTGCGATTCGTGTTTCAGGTGATCAGTTAGCTACAGCGTGGCGGCGACCTTTTCCAATGCCTAGGCCAAAGGAAAAAATGATACCAGTCTACTAAAACGGGACCGATATAATGTCCTTTCCCGCCTCAATAATCAAAGTATTTGTCAATAATAATAATACCATGTTACATATTTTATGACGTGAAATGCACTTTTGTATCCACATTTGCAGTGTCATTTGAACAACCATATCACCTGGAAACCCAACACATCAAAGAGTAGACAGCAAGTTTCAGCCTTGTTGGCAAGGATACCAGGATTTTCAAAAACTGGAAATAATAACTTAAGCATAGAATCGAATGATAATGTACAGAATACTTACATAGCTTCGTCCCATTTTCGGAAAAAAGGCACAACGCTGCGACCTCAAAGTTAAAAACACAACTCCTAGGTGAAGAAGCACGTTGCCCACAATGCCATGCGAATAGTAGACCAAGAGTCTGGAAACTAGCCAGTGATAGCACTATTTTCATGGTCGAAGATGAGCACATTTAGGTGGGTGGTTGGGGGAAGGGGGCAGTGAAACTAACTAACTAACGAATTGACAAAGGTTTCAGAAAAAGAACGTTACGCGAAGAATCCCCATTTTCCTTTGATTAGTGTCCGGCTTTCTATTGCTTGCGGTTAAGTTTCGTCGTCATATTTTTCACTAAGTTAACCAGAGTTTTGTTACATGCATGACTTCTTCGATAATGGGGGAGTAGTATTGAGCTTCCTAAGCCCTCTAACCACCATTATTTCTACTGGAAGAGAAAAAAATCCAATTTCAAAGGCTTAACACTATCCTCCAGCAATGTATAAGCGTTTAGCTCAATTTCAGGCAGTATTGCAATCGCAAAAATACATTCAAAGAATGTATAATGGAACACCCCTCTATTTTAATCCAGGCTTTTTAACCTTCGCTACTACTGTGAAATAAAGATTTTGTCCTTTGAAATATACCCCTTGTATATCGAACTTACAGTACAATGAGCTCCCGCTATTCCGAACTTCTTTTCTTGGACAACAAAAATCAACTCCTAGAGAACTGAAAACCTCTGTAAGCAGTCTATTTAAAGCAATATTACTAAAAAACTTCTTATTTCGTGCAAATTTATCAAATCAAAGTAAAATAACTTTTCTCTAAACTCGTTTTTATCCAAACAATTTTCTTTAAGCTTTGGGAGAAAATACTTCAATTCAGGAATTTCGTTTCAAACTCCACAAGCAAGAAATCAAATGATGTAACCATAAACGATCGTAATTTCGACATTGATCTTTATTGCCTTGCCTTCATTCTTGATTCTGGATTCATGGGCTGATCTTAGATTTCTAGAGTCATGTGCACAGAACCAATTTATATCCTCGACACTGGATAATCACTTCTACTCTTGTGGGCCTTCCGATGTATCAAGAAATATCAAGAACGTCCTGGAGTAAAAGGTACCGGCAGAAGCATTCAAAGCATAAACAACAATAGTCTTTTATGTAGAGGAGAAATCTTCTTTATTCCTTGTATTAGTTGCTAGAGAAGAGTGATGTGGACATTGAGCCGACTTTGGCATATTCATTGATTTCAGGTGGGGAGGGGTTAAGTCTTTGTTCTTTGGGAAAAGGAGCATTTACCCATTGCCTTAAACAAAGAAGTGCCACCAGAGCTGGAGAGGCAGCTGCCCCCTCCCTCTCTCCTGCTTATGCTAAAATTCCCCTGGACACATGTGTAACATTGATTAAGGCTGCTCACGTCAGACAGAGGCTGTTATCAAGTGTGTTCTTTATTTGTCTTTCGAGGTCGTTAAGTTATCATATTACAATGACATAAGTTCATGCTTATCCCAAACGACCACACTGTTTACTAATTATATTTGTAAATTTCAAGACTGGAACTGAGGGAAACTTGCCGTCAGTTGTAGAATTCTGCTTACGTTTGGAGCAATTCTGCAGATAGTTTAAGTGACACGAGCGTCCGCTGTTTACATCAAGTTCTCGTCATTCATATCGCACTTCTGCTCACGTAGTCAGCAGGTGCTAAGGGAATATTCTTTTTGGTGCATTGCCGTTAACAAGTTTGAAGATGCCTAACTATTCACTGGTAAGTTTCTCTTGCCTGGTTTGTTAATTGCTAATTTGCTAATTTGATGTTGCAAAGCTTTCAGATGAAGCAAATGTTTTGTAGGAAGTAAACTGGAAAACACGGGAGGGAAGCGATGACTTTTGAAACTGAATCACGCATGATTTTATTCTTCATGATTGCTAATATGCTTAAGTTACAAGATTATAAATAAATCAGCTTGGACTAAAGGATGTAGACCGTTAAGGCCTTTGAAAAGATCGATTTTAATTGTCGTTTTCGGATTCAAGGACTAACCATTATATAAATATTATGTGTATACTTTATTGACTGGCAAGGGTAAACCAAGCCAGAGTGTTTTGGGAGAGAGAGGAAAAGAGGCGTGGAAAAACCTTAGCAAAAATTTGCTAGAAAAGTGTAACTTTTCGTGGGAGATATCTTGTTTTATAAAATTTGTTTTATAAAAATCAAAAAAGACAATTCTAATAAATTTGAATACTGTCAAGGAAAAGAAGCCTGGCGTCCTCATAACAAGAATCACAAAGCTTTTTTGTCACAGGGCTCTGCTTAGCTAGCGACTTGAACAGCGCATCAGACCGTTTCTTAAAACAATTTGGCGTTTTTCTTTTTGGATTCCCAGAAAACCGAAGAGGACAAAAAATCATTATCAATTGTTTTGTAGTCTGGTTCCTTTGTGATATGCTGTGAAACCCAACGAATACCTTGCAGCTATACAAACCCATTTCCAGATCAAGTACCCTACTTCCTCCTTTTCCCAACCCATTTGACCCTCCCTTCCCATAGCCACACTTTACCACTTCTCCCAGCCCTTCGTTCCCAGAGCCACGCCGTACCATGTTTATCTCACACTCTACAGTACTTTTATAAGCACTCCGTGTCGATTGCTACTTTTTGTTAATCGTTATAACATATATATTTTTATTTGCATTTACTAACGTTGGCAACCGTGATTCTGGACGCAGGATTGCGAGGGGCGCCTACAAGAAATGGACATACCGAATTAAAGCTCCGAAATGTCCTTTCTGGTTTTCTGGCTGATGAACTGCTTTCTTATCATTTTCTGCCCATTTTCAAGCTAATTGCTCAAAACATACAAGGAACAGACACAACCACCCCCATCTGAGTTTGAGGCTGTAACCAGGTGATAACGACTCCCCCTTATCTCCTTTTTTCTCCTTTTTCCATTTTGGATTTTACACTTTTATTCACACATTTTATTTTTAGTTTTTACCTTCTATGCCTATCGAAACATGCTCTTCTGATTCAAACTAAATCTCTGAAACTACTGAAACTCGCGTGTTCAAAGTCTCCGTCATAGTGATTTAAACAAAAAAGGCGTACAAAGAATGAAGTTAGCAAACAATTTGTTACAAAATGTCTTCCCAGGTCCTAAACTCTATTAGAGGAGAATTAGAATGAATTTATGAAAGTAGTTGATAGACATCTATTTTGATAGTTATGTTTTCTTTTCTCCTATGGCCTCGTTCTTTGGTGTATTTGGCAACAAATTCGCTGCATTCCCCTTTTCAACTACATTTGATGTCCACTGTCTCGAACTTTGGCAGGAAATTTAATTTTGTTCGAGAAAGCGGGTAATCGAGATAGTGAGCAATTTTTCTATCATTAGCCCTATACTAAAACGAGAAGAAGCGAAAAAACGATTTAATTAATGAATGCTTGAGAATGCGGGTATTCGAGATAATGGATGCCGTTTGTTTCCCAGAAATGCCTTCTTATACCATGTCAAAAAATAGAAAGAAAAAATACAAGATCGATTTCTTGTTTGCCTTGACCTAGCCTAGAATGGTGTCCATATTGTAACCTATTTTTGAAATTCAAATTGCAATGGAATCTGTGTATTAAATAGGATTATAAGTGGCTGGAAGTAAACTCTGTACTTAACGTTCCATAGCCCCCTACACAGAAAATTGATCCCAGAAACCACATAACCGTAAACGTCATTTACTTGACTGTGTATTCAGGGGCCATTGCAATGTGCGTTGGCAGATTTTTGTTCTTGACACCGTAACATTCGGTGTGGGCGTTGCGATCACTCGCCAAAAGCACAGGCGGCTGCTTGGAGGAGATAAAAAGGCGTTGGAGTTGGCAGCTTTAGAAAAACGTGATACGCTATGCTGAAAAATACTTATGCATGTGTAGAGGCGCATTTACTGCCAAAATTAGTTCTTTATTATTTCACATTTGTTCTTAAGTTTAGTTTTTATATGTTAAGCATATTAAGTATGTTTAGTATTTGAATTTAGTATATTAGCTTTAATCAAATCAAAACTTCAGTTTCAAAACAATCAACTTTTAATTTACTTGTAATCATACTCTTATTGTAATCATAAAATTATGGTATGATTGATAAAATGCATGTTCTTGTAAAATATTTACATGCTTGATTTAGTTTTAATGCTATCCTTAAATTACCATGTACATTAAGATCGAAAACGTTTGGACGGAAAACTTCCTGCAAAACAACTTCGGACGAAATATTTACGGACGCATTTTCGAGAATTTCGGACAAAAAACGTTCGGGCAAACTCGTTTTGTATGATACAAAGATAAATGCCAAAATCAGCCATGGTTTTACGTTAATATGGATGTAATAGAGAAGCTAAGGAAAAACTAGACTTGAAAAGCTTAAAGCTGCATCATAGCCCATGCACACCAGTGGCAGAAATTCATTTTCAATACAACAGCCCACAAAAACAAGGACATTTGCCGACACATGACATAATTTACCGGCAAAAGCGTATCTTAACCAGCAATTTAACAAAACCGGGGGAGGGGTAATTTCCCCCCACACCCCTGAAATTTCCGCCACTGCTGCACACCGCCGCGAATAAGAAGAAAGCTGAAAAAACCTCAAGAGCTAAGTGTTTATTTCTTTAAAGAGGTGACACGTCCTCGATGAAAAATATCAAGTCCTCGTGGGGAACTGAATTTGTTAGGAGTACAGTTTTGAAGATACCAGACCATAGTCGCAAGAAAAGCTGCACAGGAGTCCTTATCTTGTAACTATCATCAAACTTAAAGAGGAGGTACCTCTGTCGACTCAAGGACACTTGTTTCTAACAACTAAGATTCGGAAACTAACATGGAATGCTGGATGCTGATAAAAACATTTAGCATTTTAAAAGCGTTACGAGAGAAATTGAAATTATGATTGATGGAGATGACAATGATCGAAGAATCGATGATCAGAACGAAGTTCTGCTAGTTACGATTTGACATGAAGGTTCAGATTCGAACCATAAAAAATCGTCGTGAAAAGCTAAAACCAGAAATTATTTGCATCGATGACTGAAATAGGTCCCTGCATCATGTGTTTTCATTCTAAATTATAATATTTTATGTACAAGAAAAAGAAAAAGATTATTATCCACTGCATTTCTTTGTGTTTTTCTCAATCTTTTGGAATTGGAAACTTTCGAACGAAAAAACTTTCAGACAAACTTAGATTTCGGACAAATATAATTTCGGACGATTGATCCTAAAGTTTAATCGTCCGAAAGTTTTCGGTTTAAATGTAACATCTAAATTCTAGTCTCAGCCTCGATTTCACACAAACTCATTAAATCAAGTTTTAATGTCAGCCTCTAATTATTAATGTCTGTTTTTTCGCGCCTTCTTTCTCTCATAGTTTTGCACTGTAGTTTTTTGATGTTTTGAAAATGCACAGTCACATTTGAAAAGGATAAGAAAAAAGGGCACACTATCACCATGAGGGGAAATTACTGTAGTCGGGAACAGCGGAACACGCACTATTACTCGCAAGGGCCGAAGAGCACATTACAGATTGAAAGGAACGACAAAACATGCTTTCGGGAAATATAACAAACGCTGGCTAATAAGTTTTTACTAACTACAACACTTTGAAATTACTGACAATGTAAAGAATCTCAGCCTACAAACTGACGCACTATAAAATGTAAAGAACTATAATAAGTAACTAATGGCAACCACAACAAAATCCTTGCAGAGTAGTAGAACAGATCCTTTCTCGCCGTCTTCTGTTTTACTGTTATTAAATTTCAATCAGTTTTAATAAGCAATGTTTAATTAATTTGGGGGCCTTAGCTCGATAGCTCTTTTTAGAGTTCTTTCTAAGGGTCTTAAACAGCAAGTAACATTATAATGTCAAGCTGTTAGCCTAGGAATTATTGTAATTAAGATAGATTTTAAAAAACTGTATTGTAGCTTTTCTTCAACACGTATTTTATATTTTAAACTTTAACATGTTTTTTTGAATGAAATTAAATTGAAATTGAATTGAAAATTGATCAAAATGTTTTTTTGGGCGGGGAGGGGGGGGTAAACATGTAAAAATGCAACAGCAGGCAATTTCTTTATGGTTTTAAGACATTTTGAAAACTGTTTGGGGGCTAAAGCCCCCGGTTCCGCGGTCCCTGATTACAAGACCCAATTAAAGTAGGCCCATTTCTTCCACTGTAAAACCACACTCGTTCCACAGTGAAAATACTCTAAAGATCTATTAACTCTGTGCTTATTACCAAAATGAAGTGCATACAGATGTGTTGACAATGCGATTAAGATCCTGTTATAGTGCTCACACTTACAATAAACATTGAAATCTATCGTTATTAGTGATCTCATAGGCTAAAAATTGCACTTTTGCAAGGCTTTTGATGAACCTGAACAGAGAAGGTTAATCAAGGACTAACAAAGGATATGCAGTAGAGCCACAGAAAAAGCAAACGGTAAAACAGGATTAAAAAACTCCAAGCTGTTGGCGTAGTGTGTGTATAGGGAGAGAGAAGGTCACGAAGAGCAAAGGACGTTGTTGCCAGGAGATAATGATAGAATTCGCTCTTTAGAATGCCAGAAAAATCCCATTTTTGACATGAATCAACAAAGAAACGTTTAAAAAAATGCTTGGGCTAACCTCTCACCTTTGTCTTTTTCTCCTGCTTTAACAATCCCTAATGTAAAACAAAAATGTCAGAAAGCATTGACTGAATAGCAAATGAACAAATCAAACAATCAAGCAAAGGTCAAGCCTTTGTAAAGTGCAGCATGTGTTTCTTGGACAAAGCTGTAAGTGAGATACAAAAGAGTTTTAAGTGTATCGTCATAAGAATTTTTTTAGTTTTGACTACAAAACCTGAGCGAAAATCATGAAACACCTCTGTAAGTGCAGAATCAGCTACATTTGTTAAAAATTGGGTGAGCTACGGGCAATGAATGATTTTAAGTTAAGTTTGCTAGTAGATTAATTTTATTTTGGCTTGGTTCTAAAAATCTAAGAAAATTCTAGAAATCTATTCATCACTAAAAAACTCTATAGAAAATTGTAGTGTGTCTTGGATCTCCTGCCCCCTTCCCATCGTACAAAACTATTAACTCATTGGAAAATGCTCATTAGGTGCCGAATAAAGCATGACACGATGCTTGTAGTTGAAACTTTTAAAGTCCATCGAAACACAAGTTTTTTCTGGTTGAGCAAATCATGAACAGTTTTAAAGTCAGAGGTCGTAGCCCAAAATATTCAGATACTCGAATTTTAAGAAATAATGACACTTGCGAGAACATTTTTGCTCCATCAAATATTCGACCATTTTCAAAAACTTGCAATAATTTTATTGAATCACCTTTGATAAAGAACTTGGAAATGCTTTGACAACATTAACTACGTTAGCATGTTGCTAAGATACGCTCTAAAGGCCTTTATCGGCGATTGGTCTTATGTTATATTGATTCATTATATAACCCTTTGCATTGAGAGTTTGTGAATTAATCATATGAAATTATCTTATTGAATTTCTGCTGTAGCCATCAACGGTTGCTAGAAACAGTTAGAGTTACACAAGCGGTATTCATTAAAGATTCTAGTCCTAAAAAGTGATGCAAATTAAAATAAGCCACAAGAACTCAAGGAAAGGATCACAGTTGTCTGAACACATTAAAGCCGGTATAGACTTGCGCTCACTTTACTGACCCTTGCAAGCAACAAGCGATATCATTGACACTTTCAAACATGAATTGTGACAAAAATAGAGGCAGTTCATATTCCATGGTGTGAAAAAGCACAGGTACTTACATTCAAATATTTAGCCGGTACTTAATTTATTAAGAAATACAGTTGAAAAGGTTGCTGGTAGAACAGGCCATGGCAAATTTGACGATAGTGGTAATATAATCTTCTTTCCCGATTATAAGAATGCTGGCGAAAATTTCTCAGGTTCTTTTGTGCATTTTCTTTCGCAGCTATGTTTTGGACAGGACACATTTACACGTCTGATGATCTTTCTGCAACGTTCACTCATGCGACATATTCTTAATAGTAAAATCAGCTTTTTGATTTCGCAGATCTACAAAAGATATCAAAGCTGCTAACTGCATATCTGAATAGAGAAAAATTATATAAAATCTTTTGATTAAAGCTTTAGCCTCGAAAGCAAAGTAAATTTATTTAAAATTGCAGTGCTTTCAAACGAAGATTTATTGACAGAAGTTTGGTGATTTTTTGCAAGCGAAGTTTTTACAATGAATATTTAAAACGAACAGACCAAAATCAAGGCCGTTCTCGCCATGAAGGGTCAGCTTAACATAAAACGTCTTCTCAAGGCTGAAACAAGAATGAACGTTATTAACTGTGACTCAAAATTAGATTGACTCACTTGTGGGGAGCAAATTTTTGTTGAATAAGAAGAATCCAAACCATAATTGTTTCAAAAATAAAAGATTCATCATTTACCATGCTAAGACACCGTATAATTAATATTTCATCATCAGCAGAACAACACTGTTAGCAAACTAATAAAAAATTTAACGTCTTTTGACAATGACCTATTTGAAAACAGGCTGTCTAAATGATAGGATCTTCGATCAATGTTCACTGCCGATATCTGGATAAAAACATAATACGCGTTCAAAGTTTTTACCAGCCACAAAACCGCTAGTTGCATTGCAAAATGAATCCAAATGATAATCCACGTAATGCTGTATCCTAGATATCAGGAGGTAGCCAGTCTAGACAAAATAATTCCAGCTTGGTTAACCTCTTTACTGCTTTCATTTGCAGTTGAAATTACTTGAGATTGCCAAGAAAGAGCCTAAAAGACAGAATATAACTTGGAAACCTTACAGGTAGTTCTTAACTGTTACTATGCATTAACAGAACTGCATTGATGGTACAATCTTATTGCCGTTTTCGTGTCTTCACATAACGTCGTTTGTCAAGAAAAGCTTTTCAAATTTCGTCATCTATTCCTATAAGCCAGAGAGTCAAGAACAAAAGCAAAGCTATACGATAAAGGTTTGCAGTTAGTATCGTTACTTGTTATAAATAGTCACTTACCATGATTATCCTAGGACAAAACTACTCTCTACTGAAACTTGAGGAAGGAATGGTACATATGAAAACGGAATAAATATATTCGTTCACTTTTTACGTCTAGGTAGTCCGTGATATTCTTTGAAAATTGGTCATCCGTGTAGTTGTAAATAAGATAGACCGTTTGCCAGACTGACCGTATCGATTCAACATAAGCACCTTCAACTCATAGTGCGACTGAAGACTTCTTCACTATTTCAACAAAGTAATGAGAGTTTAGATTCTATTATTTGAAATTTTGGTCGTTTCTACTTTAGTTGGGGTTGCTGTTGCTGCATATAAACCTAACTGTCCCCGGTTGAGCTTTAATTACATTGACGAATGACGGACAACATTAAAATCGAAAACTTTCGGACGAAAAGGTTTCGGCAAAAGAACTCAGACGAAAAACTTTTGGCAGAACAACTTCGGACGAAAAATCTTTGGACAATGTTAGATTTTGGACAAATTCTTGATCAAATGTTTCAGTTTTAATGTACATAAAAAATTTAATGCAACTTTGCTTCTGAATAATGGATTCATACAGCTGCTTCCTATATGCTCTATAAAAATTTCTCTATCAATGAAAGAAAAAACGACAAATGTTACGCAAACAATACATTGAAGGCCAGACGGTTAGCATGAGAGAAACGTTTTGTTCAAATTGCATCTTTGCTGTTGGGGAGTATTCTATAAATATTGTTTTTCTCTTCAAATATCATACGTCTATAACTGAAATGGAAATGATGAACTCTATTGTTTAGTAATGTTCTCGATATTCTTTAAGATTCGGACTGAATATACATAGAAAACCAGCCTTAATTATGTATGCAGATTTCACTCTTATATGAAATTCTAGGGATTCTGGTTTCGAAGCATGGTGAGATAAAAATAGGTTGTTTTCATTTCTTCTTAATCTTTTAGCAGCTACTCTCTCGCATTTGCAGCAGGAATTGCGATCAAGATGATGCACCAGAAGTTAGGCCCTGGTTTTCATGGTGAAATGGTGAAAACAAAGGACAAGATTTAGCGATGATATTTACGTATCAATTTTCTGGCTGTTTAGGTCAGGAATTCTAATGTCCACTCCCGGGGAAACAATAATCAATCCAATTTTCTTTCTATGCTTGGTGTAGGATAAGAGGATAAATTCAAACTGTTGCTAATTAATTATATCAAAATGTGGCAGGTAGCCATGACAACGAACAATTTAGTGTCTGGAATCAATTACTTTTCAGACACCTCTTTCATGTTTTTCTTTGGTGCGTTTCGAAGAACTTCCTTTCCTCGCCACCTTTAAACTAGCAAGACAACCTGGACAAATTTGTTAATGATATTTTATCACCTGTTGATAGAAATTCAGTAAAACCTAAATGAGGAGAACAAACGACGACTCAGTGGATGGAGAAAGTACGACGAGAAAACTTCTTTCCGCCTTTGGTTATACCAGACGCGTACAAGAGAAAGAAAGTGTGCTCGACATTGTCAAAGGAAGGGGAAAAAGTGAAGACCGAATTAGAGCAAAAGAAGATTTTCCATGAAATGTTCCGGAAACGATTCTCCCAAGAGCTTGGTTGTGGTATAAGTACAAAACAAGAGTGTTATGGGAAGGCCAATGCTGAAGACTTCTGTGTTGCCTGTGCACAAAGGGTGTCTTTGCAATCGTTTAAGAGGCCTTTAAAGGGAGGCAGAAAAGCGACTAGTCTACCAAACGATGCCATGAAAGGGTGCATTTGCATCTTATGTAAACGATCATTGCCACTCTCACCGCAAGGGGTGGGCAATCATCACATGGTCGTGGACAGAAAGACTGCTGAAGGAACTATAAACAAAACTCAAGAAGCGAAATTAGGACGAAAGGAGTATATGAAAATCTATGAGGGAGACAGGGACTTTCAAATAAGCTCGCTACATTATGATTCACGATTAGAAGCAACAAATTATAAACTGGAAGCAGAACAGTACCTGCCTCCGAGGGAAGTGATGAGAAGATCGGAGAGAAAATGTCAGCTGTGGCTGTTAAAGAATGAAGAACATTTGAAAATGGAAGCAAACAGACACAGGCCGTGATGCATTTTTGATTCGTGTAAAGTATGATTTCAAAAAGGAAATACACCTTGCATAAATTAAAAAATTTGAAAAAAGCCAGAGGGTTGAACATTTGCAAGAACGGACTAGGGATAGCAAATTAGTTGGGAAAGCTTGTCAGTTGATATTCGTTTTCCAATGTGAGTACTATGGTTATAGGTTATTGTAGTACAGCAAAGGTACGTTAATTTATAAGTGCCCTAAATTTTAATCGCATTTCAGTTCATAATGAACATTCAGGAGGGTTTAAATAGAACGGGAAGTTGGGAAATTTTTATAAGCTTGGAATTACTCATTGGATTGGATACACTTTTTAGAGAATAATTCGATATTTAAACAATAAAATTAATCACATCCTAATTAGAACGTATCACTTACAAACACGCCCATTAGATAGTGGTAGAAGATACCCTCTTTCTAATTGTGAGGAACAAATGTCCAACAAAGCTAGATTTGGTAGCGGAGGTCCCTTTTATTCGAAAAGGTGACATTATGTTGCTGTTATGCTCCTTCATTGCTACCTTATGTAGCAAAAAGCAAATAAGGTAAATTTTTAAGCACGCTAGTATGCTAACGCATAAGAATTGTAGCAATATAAATTAGCATGAACTAATGATATACACAAAGCATTTGTTTGAAACATGAACTTATTGTAAACATTACACAACGGGAGCGACAGGGAACCTTTACCTCTCATTTTGTACATGTTATGGGTCACCATGAAAAACTCCAAATAAGCAATTTGTATCAAACGAACAATTGTTAATTGTTATAAATTTTCGTGTAGTGGTTATGCTTATGTTTATCGATTTTTTAAATGTAGATAAAATGAAGCTAATACAAATATCGAAAAAATTTCAGTCAAATAATAACTTTGGAATTTTCACTAATATAATCATTTTGTTTCAGAGGATACGACAAATGTAAATGATTACTTTCCCAGGATTAATGAGGAGAAAGTTTTCAGCATGGCCAGATGATTTCTCACTTAAAGAGAGATTCTGTTACCCGGGGCTGCCTTCAGATTACGCATTTGATAAAAATTTACGTCATTGCTCAAATTTTTATACGCATGTCGTGTGCCAAAATGTAAGATATTTAGTTGTCCTTTGATGTGTAGGAAAATAAAGAGATTAAAATCAGATTGGTTTCAAAAACATATTTACAAAATTACATCAATGCATTTTAATGACAGTGTCTTTAACAGAAACATTTATTGAATACTATTGCAAAAAGGCTGTTATTCTACGATGTTAACTTATACTAGCTTTAGAATAAGAAAAGTGACATACACCCATTTCATTAATTACTAAGTGCTGGCCTGCTGACAAGGGCCGTGACTGAGAGCAGATGGGCCCAGGGCCCTTTTAAGGCTTTGAGGGGCCGAAAGCGGTTATTAGGTATGAACTCAGTTTATATTTACTGTTTTTAAATCAAATAATGAAATTTGAAATAGAATCAGAGATTTTGCAGTTTGGGAGCCCTACATAGAGTAGTTGCCATGAATAGGAGCTGTAGCTTTATTACGGATGTCCCAGGTCATTTTCCAGGCCTCATAGAGGCCGTGAACCAGCCTGCATGAAGACCTCAACAGAGGCTATTGGGAAGGGAGAAGGGGAGGGAAAAAGGATAAAAAGAACTGTGGAATAACAAGATAGTGCTTGAGCTGCAAAAGAGAAGGAGGAAGAACAAAGGTGCTATTGTTCCTTTTCTCTTCTTCTCCGCTCTCCACCTCCTATTCTCCACAGCTCCACCTCTTCTTACTAGGATAGTAACGGTTGTCTTTCCATAAATCCTTAAAACAATTTCAAATAAATTCTTTCCCTTTAAAACCTATAAATCATAATCTGTATCTAATATTAAAGGTTTACAAGCATAGTCAGGTTAAAAAAATCCCAGAGAAAGGATAGATCGTTAAAAAATTTAATTATGAACTTCATGAATAAAAGTAGCCTATAACATAAGTTTCCGAATTAAAACAATGCTGATACCAGGCCTAAAACATCGTTTCTGCCTATTAATACGAGTATTTACATTAAAAATCGACGGAAATATCACAAAATTGAATTTTAACCAGTAACTTAGCTCAACACATTGGGAGATGCTTGACTGCAAAACAAAATATAAAATCAAGATTCAGTCCATTTCGCTAGCAAATGACACGGCATACCAAGAAAAGAAACTTGAAAAATATATTTCTTTATCGCTTGCACAAGTTTTAGATGAAAATTTTTTTCATCATCTACTCTACGACCCGAAATGTCAGTTCTAAATGAGTTATTTTGTCTGTTGTTTTGTATCTAATTTAATTGCTATGGTTTTTTCTTGCTGAATAAGAACAATTTGTATCTTTAAAACTAAATTTTAAAGTTTAAAGGAGGTAGAACATGTCACTGAATCTAACACACTAATGTTCAACTAGTGACAAATTTGTCACCTATCCTTTCGGAATATACGGTTTCAAACATTTGAAGACCTCCTCCGCCATTCTGTCGTAGCCTCGTGGTGTCATGTGTAAGTGATCGTCCCAAAACAAGGCCTCTTGCTGCGGTGTTAATGAATGTCTGGGTAATCGTTTAGCTAGATCGCAGAACAAAATTTTATCTCTATTTTGATTGGCAAACTGTCGTAAAGCGTTATTAATTTTAGTCCTCATGGTCATCAATATTCTGTATTCAGGCCACACCTCGATAGCATTCTCGGGGACTGTTAGTAACATCGAGCGGGCGCCATAACTATGTGCAATGTTATGGAGTTTTTCAATGTCCTTGGTGATTCGCGGTTGCCAGACGCTTTCAAGTTGATTGAGAAACTCCTGATCATCAGCGAAATTCTTCACATGTAAAATGTCATTTGTTCCACCGAGAATGATAACCCAGTCGAAAACTGAATTATTGCCGAGTATTTCAGGCAGCCTGCTTACCATCTGTTTATGAGTCATTTCTCCAACAATGCCCTTGATTGTCGTCGATACAGGTATCCTTGTCGCATAAGAGATCAGTTGTTTCAAATGATTTCCATAGGGTGAAAATGCTTTCCCATGATTGTGGTAGCCGGCAGTCAAGCTATCACCAAAGCAAAGGATATTCATCATAAACTGATTATGAAGCTTAGCAGGCTTTGGAATTGGTGGTGGTAAGGGAGGTTGTTTAATTTTGGCTGCTTTCACAGTTGGCTTGACAGACTTTTTCTCGGCCTGGTTAGTCGGCAGTTGATCAGTCTTTGCTCCTGCTTGTGATGGCTTCCCCGTTGATGTATGTTGGCCTAGTGAAGATATGCCCAAAGCTTTAAGCCCTTTGATGATCAAAGCGAGGTTAGGTGCTGACGTGGTTTTTGGTTGAGGTTTCGAATGTTTTTTCGTTGACAGATGCTGTGCCATCGATGTATGATGTGCAGTTGTATGGTGATGGGTTGTCTGGTGAGGCGTAGGCCGCACCTTGGTAGTAGTCACGGGCTTCGTTGTTGGCGTTGTCTTAACTGTTGTTGTGGTTGTCGCGTTAGTGGTACTGGCGGATGCTTTCGCTTTTGTGGGAATCGATTTTACAGTTGTGGTCTGTTTTGTAGTATCTTGCAGCAGTTTTGAAGTTGTTTTCGTGTTTATTGGGCTTGTAGGCAACTGTAATGGTTTTGTTTGAATTTGCTTCATTATTGCTGGGACGAGCTGTGCAACCATATCTTGTATTGTCCCACTATTAATCGCATTTTTAGATGTATTTGTTTTCTCTTTAGTTTCGTTCATTTTGCTACTCAACTTCAGACCTTCTTTTCTGTTTAACGTCGTGTTTGCCGCCTCTACAGATTTGTTAGCCATAACTACAGAAGTATTTGTAGAGCTCGCAAATGTCTTATCATTTGTTAAGCCATTTTTCATCATTGTTACATTTTTTATTTCTTGTTTCATTTCTGCCATCATATCTGCAAACTCGGCATAAAGCCGAGAACTGTCCTTTCTTACTTGCCCTGAACTGTCAGCATTTCGAGTCCTGTTTTCAACATTTTTTGTCGCGTTAAGTGCTTTTTCATGACTCACATCCAATTTCTTTTTTCGCTTTCTTTCCATCTTCCTTCGGTGCCTTCTATGATGTTTTGTTTTATTACTTGTAGATGTGGATCTTTCAACCCGCTCCTCTTCGTCCCCACTAAATTTTTCGTCTGTTCCACTCCCACTTTCTCCGTCATTATCATCGTCATCATCTTTGCTTTTCGATATCTTCTTTTTGTGTTTTCTGTGTCTCTTGCTGCGTCTGTCATGATGCTTTCTATGTCTTCTCTTATGGCCCTTCTTCGACGATCTTGACTTATGGCGACTGATATGACTTTTCTTTGACAAGGTTTTCTCACTCTTTTTATGTCCTTTCCTTTTGTGCTTTCCTTTTCTTCTTTTCTTTTTACTCTTCTTGGCATCATGTTTCTTTCTGTTTGTATACTGAATATCTGTTTTCTTTGTATGCTCTAGTCCTCCTTTGAGCATTTTCTCAAGATTCTCCTTCTTGTTGCAAACAATCAGATATAACCGCCGTTTCTTACCACTCTTCGCAGGTTTTAGCCCTAAATAACCCTGCGTTCTATAGAATGTCCTCCTGCACTTGACACGGCGTTTATGCCTAGTATTTGAAGAGCATTCTGTCACAGCAAAGGTATTCTTTCCACTGCTCCTCCACAGCTTGTTCAATCCTATATAATGATGATGGTCAAACTCTCTAAGAATAGCGCACTTTTCAAGCGACAGCTGCCCCTGACGCCAATGCTTTGGTTCTTCTTTACGCAAAATTCTTTTATCGAGTAGCTTTTTATCGTGACTTGATCCAACTATACTGTCTCTTTTATTCCCTTTAACTTCTTTCTTGCCATGCTTTTGTTTACCAACATTTCTCATTTTGTCCTGCACCTTTTTGAGACGACTTGCAATCTGATTCTTTTGCTTCATGCGTAGGAGTTTGTGCTGTACTATTTTCATAAACTTATGTTTGTTACTATGTTGACGACTTGTTTTTCGTTTCTTTGCTTTCGTTTTTTTCTCTCCATGAACTTTCTTTGAGTGTTTGCTTTTACGCTGTGCTTTGTGCTTTGATTTCTTTTCATGATGGTGTTTCTTCCTTGAAATAACATCACGCGTAGTACCCTTTTCTTGGATATCTTCATCTTTCGATTTAATTTTCCTTCTGTGTCCTTTAGTGGTTTTCTTTTTCCTTAAATCCCGTAGTCTTTCGCGCAGTCCGACGTAACCATGGTTGTGGCTTTCTTCCATCGCTGCAGTTAAGTTATCAGCAATCGACGCACTTTCTCCTGATCCACTTTCTCCATGATTTAACCCACTTCCAACTCCACTGCCACTGCCGCTCCCTCCTTCATCCACGTTAAGAGAACTAGCAGCATCACTGCCCAACCCTCCAATGGTAGCCATTGGAAGATCAGAGCCTTGTAAACGATAACCTTTGCCTGACTTCTTTCTTTTCTTGTTGCTTCCATGTTTTTCAGCTGCATCACCATTTGCAGCATGATTTTTCTTTTTGCCCGAATGATGCCTTTTTCGTGAATGATGTTTGCGACTTTCGTGGTGCTTTTTCTTCGATTTCTTTTTCCTGTTACTTGTTATTGTTTCAGTTCCTTTCATAGTCGGCTTTGTCGATGTCGTTAGAGCTGTTGTTTGTTTGGTTGTTTTCATCGTCGTTGCTGTTGTCGTTTTCATCGTTGTTGCGGTTGTTGCTTTAGTTGTTGACAACGTTGTGATTTTTCTTGTGGTTGCTGTTGCTGGTATTGTTGTCGCATTTGTCACGGATGTTGTAGTTCTCTTCGGGGTTGTAGTCCCATTTGTCATTAAAGCTTTTGTAGTTGCAGCTGTCCTTTTTGTAGTGATATTTGCCAGAGTAGGCTTTTGTGTTGAAAGTCCTAAATTACTCCTTCCACCGTTGCTAGCTCCGTGGCTCCCGAATTTTTTTTGCCATGCTGAGAACAACGATGTCAAAAACGAACTATTGGTTGAATCAGAAACACGAGGACTTGACTTTGGCCTCACCGGTTTTACCGTTCCTTGCATACCTCGTAATGCAGGCAATTTACTAAACAGGTCTTCTAACAACTTGCTATAAGCACTGGGCATGGTCGTTTTTGAGCGAACCTGCTCAATTTTAGAATGTTTAAAAAATTCATTCTCACCCGGTTTCGAAATCACTACTTTCGGAATCAATTCAGTATGTTCAAACGCAGGAGGTAGTGCCTTGCTCAAATCGTCGTAGACAGGATAGATGCTATCATTCTTTTGACTTTCTCGCAAATGATTACCCAGAAATGGGCTCCGTGTCGTATACCTAGACATGTACCAAGCTTTCCAATATGGACTTTCTGTCGGGATACTAGAAGCCGTTGTTAACTGCAACCTGTTTTTTAATAAATTATATCTTATAGTCCGCCACTGCTCTAATTGATTTTCTCCACTTCCTTCAAAAACGTTATTTTTTTTCTTATTATCATTCTGACTGCGAAGGTACGAAGGACTAGGCGGTATAATGTACCTCTTGTCCCCCTGTACATCTTGCGGGTTTTGGTAGTTTTGATTCCATGGTGACGATAACCATGGCGGAAGGTGTCCTTGTTCATTTTTTGGCTCGAGGTTTGGTCCTAACAATTGTGTTTTCCATTTTTCATTGCTGGATAAGCCAGAATTTTCAGAAACGTCAGCTGTTTTAGGGCTTGTTTTCTTTAACAAATTTTCATTAAAATTTTCTTGATAGATATGATGGGCTTTTGTCTCATTTCTGTCATCTTGCATGGACTTCCAGGGACTTTGAGAAGAGTTGTTAGTTTTTCCATCATGCAGCTGTTGGGTCGGTTTGTGAAATCGTGTTGCTAAATAAACAACACTGAACTTCCAGGCGGCGTAAATAAATAACGTCACAAATATCAAAAGTACTGCGTAAAGTATTACGGAGTAAACAGTATTTTGACAACAAAAAAGACGGTACAAGCTGGTTTTCGCCCGCCATTTCAAATTAGGCGAAGGTTGCTGTGGAGCCTCTCTAGGCTCGTTTTTCTTAGGCCTGGTTTTCGTGTACTTTTTGTTCCGAGTCTTTGTGGCTGGCTCCTTTGCCTTAATTGTTTCTTCTTTCAATGTGGAGTGCTTGACCATTAACACTCGTCGGGATCCTGAAAACATAAAACATAGCCGTTAACGAAATACTTTTGCCGTTACTAAAAAGTTGTTATTCTTGAGAGAATTCACTAAGAGAGGAGCTCATGTGTGCTTTAAGATTATTGACCCATCTTGTAACACGACAAACACGAATCTACTTGACTGTTAGGCTTTTACTTCAGGGACGCCGGAGCACAGAGGCGCAATGGAATGGCTGTCTCATTGCTCTAAAAATGTAGCCATTTTCATTATTTCACTACCGTTTTGTCCTTTTTCTTGGCGCTTTTCTCCCTTGCCGTACACCCCCCCCCCCCAGCTTTAGACTTTGCTTACAAAGGACCATTTGTGTAACCAGCTTTGTTCCAAAAGTAGAAGGCTAAAAACTGCATTCACACTTAAACGACTTAGATAATATTGTTCCATTCAGAAAATTCAAACACTTCTAAAAATGAAAGAAAGGTGGAACGGTGCGGCAGTGTCCCGTTATGTTCCCTTGTCAGTAGTCTCAGCACTGAACAATTGCTTTTTCTCATTGTTTTGGTTGCTTTTTGGACTGTTGAAAAATGTTTCACGGGAAATCTGCCATAAAAGACATGCATATATGCAAACTTATTGTTCAATATTACGGGTAAAAAGTAGAATGGAACGATTTAAGTAATTGGGCTTCACCCACTTTTTCAAAATAATATTGTTTTTAAGAATATTTAGGCTCAGAATCATTGAACAGTTAACAATATTGTAAGAATAATGCAGTTGCCTGTTTTGCGATATTAATGACATGATTGGCCATTCTATTTATTTTTCCAAAGAGCCTACTTCCAAAGAGATTCTACAAAAATAAGAATACTTTTAAATATATTCAGGCGCAAACGAATTTTCCTATCGAGGCTGAACAAAAGTTTTTAACATTCTTATAAGGATGGTGTAAATTCAAAATAATTGTCAAATTAGTCTTAGAAATTCATTCCTGAAAAATGCAAAACATTATATTCTTGATACAAAAGGAAAGTGGCAAAATCTTCTTTGAATGGTCAGGAATAGCTTATCATATTTATGAAAGGTTGTTAACAAACAATATAATTTCTGTAGTAAATGTATTTCTTGTAAAGAGGCCTCAACTAACTGCTAAATTGTCCCTGAAGTTCGATAACTCAACAACAAGTAAAAAAATGATAGAGTCAGATGCTTGATTATCATGTGCAACTTACATGCCCACAGCCTTGTGGCGATGCTCCACTTTTCTCTTTTTCATCCGGTAGAGCTAATTCTGCAAGCTCTTAAAACCACATAAACACTAAAATATAATTTTAGAAAACCTAATGCAAGCTTTTGAAAGCATTTCACGTCCTCAGGTTTTCATTTTTATAAGAATTGGTTAATCTTAATTGGCAAGCCTCGATGTTCCTGGCCAGGAAAAGAACAGCGATTTTCGCGCGTCTGCAGCCGTTTTGGCAGTGTCGTCAGATCCTTTGCAGACGTTTCCATTCATGTTATTCACGATGTGGCCATGGTAACAATGAAACCTGTCGACAGAGATCATTTGCGACTTGAAATACTTTGAGCATCATTGCGAGGGTAAGTTCTCGATACGAGAAACGGATTCAGCTGCATAGCCCCGTTTTCAAATTATTCATTTCATTCTGACGAGCTGTAATGTTGTTCTATCTAGCCAACATTTTGCGGCCTAGAATTACTTAGTTAACTAATTTTTCAGAATGTACTAGAACATTGTGGAATTTTTGAGAAACAGCTCTTCCCTGTCACATTTTGTGAAATTCGCTAAATCTAAATTTTGTGCGAGAAAATATATTATTTACACTCTACAAATATCTTAAATTTTATTTGTGCGGATAATAAGGACAGCAAAAAGAAAGCAGATTAAACTTGCAAGACGATATTGAGAATAACATCTTGTTATTTCAATAAAGCAACTGTTCCAATTTGACCAGCAATTCAAGCAAAGAATATGAATAGGAAAAAGCTTCCTGTAGGTACATTGAGCCACAGCTGGTCGTATTAATGAACCATTGTTGTTGATGTTTAGGCCAACTGGTCACCTGCAGTTTATGGTCAAAGATCATAGCCGCTTATTACCTCGTTAGAGGGAGAAAGCCGAGACAGCTATGCATCGTGTTAGATAGAACTAGGTTAATGTTTTTCGGAAATTAGTAAAATCAGCCAAAACTTATTATTTGCAAGTGTATTGGAACTTTGTTTTGTGTTTAAGACACACCTCCCATCATTGCATCAAACTCATGAGAAATCAATCTCAAGTGTTGTTGATAGATAATGTTTCTTGGAATGAAATTTGAGGCACCGTCTAACGCTTCTCCTGAAATCAAACATGATCAGGTACAACGTAATTACTCCAGTGCAGAGTTTAGGTGTATTTTGTTGTCTCACGTATAGGACTAAGGAATATCAAAAGTTGGATCGTTACCACGTGACTTTTTTAAGGTTTCTATTGGCTAATTCAAATGCACTCTAAACTCGATTGGTTGACTGGGCCTCTTTAAACAAAGTAATTGAAATCCACTAAAGGCCGACAATCGTTACGGGTAATGTGCCTTTGAAACAACAGGTACTGTAGCACAACACACATTTTGCTAATTCAAAATAACAAGAAACCCATGGAAATTAACAGTTTAATATTGCCTATGGAAGTGAATGAATATAGACAACACATTTGGAGCAAGCGGAACAATTAGTGTGGAAGCTATGCTAGTGAGCAAAAATGCTGACATTTGAAGATGAAGAAAAAAGTATATACAAAATCAAAGACGTATTTTCATGGAGGGGAAAAATAACTGCTTTATTCGAGCCGGAATTTCTATCCAAAGTAAATCTCAGTGTTCAAATTGCTAGCCGTATACAAGATTGAAATCACTGGTTTTGAAAAGCTGAGCAAATACCTGTCAGTAGGATATGCTGAAATTCGCCTTAATATAACAAGTATTTCTGGAAAAACAGGAATGGCACGATTTTGCAAGTAATTACAAATCAAAGGTATGATATCTTAGAGATGATCTCTGTTTGATTGCTGCTTTAAAAGCCGCCCCAGGACGGAAAGGAAACATTCGATGACAAAATGGCCTACACATAACGGAAATCAGCATAAGGCCTACATATCAAAGTCTTAAGCATTGAAATTAGTTGATGGTAGCCTAGCTAGCAGCAAAGCGGATACGTCGTTGAAACTTACTGGCAAGAAATTCACTGTCATTCGTTGAAAGGAAAATATTTGTTGGCTGAATCTTTTCAGAACGTTTATTTTCAAAGCTTTTTGTAAATTTCAACAACGGTAGCGCTGTATTAATTGCAGGTATGTTCAAATCTACCAATTTCAGGCCGATGGATAGAGGCTCTTCAGTAAGTTTAATGGAACAAAATGAGGAAGATAGAGAATTGTCTTCTTATTCAGACGAAAATGATACTACCAATCTATCGAAGATTTATCATTATGAAACATCAGAAGACGTCGATGAAGAAGCAAATGAAGAAAAAAAGAAATGTTGTCCAGAATTAAACAGAGGGTTGATTGTATACAAAGCCTTCTATTTCTTATTCTTCGGTGCCATTGGAGCCCTTTTTCCTTACTTGGCTGTTTTCTACAAACAACTTTGGCTCTCTCCTCATCAAGTTGGAATCTTGATAGGCCTAAGGCCATTCATACAGATGTGTGCATCACCTCTATGGGGTGTTCTTGCAGATACATACAATGTCAGTAAATGGATCCTGCTCATGTCAATTGGGGCTTGGTTAGCCTCAAATTATAGTATATCATTGGTCAAGCCTTCACAGTACGAGCCGGGCTGCTCATTGAATTTGACGTATTTGCCCATGATAGATGACGTCGATGATCAAGATTTTAACTGGCCGAACATCGAGCCAGTGGTTTTAAAGAAGGACAATATTTCCAAGCCCGGATTCGGTACAGACGAAGATGAAATAGACAGGTTAAGACATTTTGGCGATAAGCAAGATGGTAAGCCTAGCTTTGATAACAAAGATTATGATGTACCCGATGAGGACTTGGAAAACAGCTTGGAAGACGAAGGAGTTAGTAGCTACAGGGACGATGGAAGACTACAAGCTGACGAAATCAAAGGCTATCTAAATGAGAAGGTGAAAACGGCAGAAGAAAGCATAAAGTCATCACTATATGAAAAACAAACAACATTAGATAAACAGCTCCTTAAGACGCAGCTAAATAAAGATAAAGATTTGCGGCTTAGCATAAATGAAACATTAAACAAGGATATCATTAACAAGCTCAGTTTAAATAGAAAGCTTAACAGCTCAAATAAGGAAAGTAAACAGAAAAGAAATGGGAAAAATTTTGTGAAACTTCTTAAGATTATGTTCCATAGAAACAGAAGACAGTCTCATCAATCAATAACAAATTCAAAATTTCATAATAAAGACAGTATAAAAACCAACAAAAATTCACACACGAAATTGAAGAAGATGGAACCCAACCAGGTATTAGGCCATTCAAACGAGAATGAAACTATGTTGCCAAAAAAGAAGAAAAGTGAAACTGGATTACTCGGTGATAAAGTTACCGATGTAAGGATGCGTCGTGCTGTGGTAGACCTCAAAGGCGACAACGATAGCCCATCTAATGATGATTTTGTTGATGAAAAATCAGATGAGTATATGCAAGATGTATTAAACACTAACAAAGGGGGAGAGTATTATGCAGAGAGCATACTGCCCAACCAACGAGTACTAGCCAAGGAGGGTTTGCGTGAAGAGTTTGATTCACTAAGAGCAGCTGGTGAAGTATTTTGGCCAGTTTTGAATAGAGCTGATCCTACAAATTCGTCAGAGATCGTAAATGGCGCGCAGAGTATCGAGACAACAAAGATATTCAACATATTATTGGCAATAACAATATGCGGAACAATCCTTTCATCTCCAGCTGCAACACTGTCAGATACAGCAACCCTCCAAGCTTTAGGTGAGTTAACGACAGTTACTAGAGAAGTTAGTTAGCATTTACCTTGCTGCTGAGCTTTTGCCTTTACGTACTGTATGTATATGCATTTTTGTAACAGTTGAACAGAAAAAGGCCCAGAATACAACCTTGTGTAACACCTAACTAAGGGTGAATTAAAATCGATGCCATCTGTTTAGAGGCACTGTGTCCCGTCAGTCAACCGTTCCGAGGTCATCGAAATTGTCATTGAATGGTTATCGAAATGCGTAAAAAAGGTGCATTTTGATGAACAATCAAAAACGATTTCTGGAAACATGTAGGTTACAATTTATCAATTTTTAGCACGTCACTATGCATAACAACGACACTGGGGACTAATCGGTCGTTTCTTTATTTACACTAGTAGTTAAGGTTCATTAAAGTGATACTTACTAGTGACGTCCTAATCATTCTTTTAACTGTCAAAAACCTTCCAAGTCACCAAAATGTTCCTATGGTAAGTGGACAGTTCTATCACGAATATGTAAGCATTATCTACATTTTTGATTATGTTAAAACATGGAAAACAAGAATTCTGTTAATTGAATTCCGCAAAATATTCTAAATTTGCTGAAAACTAACTTTAAACAAAAGTTTTCATGAAGAGAAAAATACCTAAAAAAACTCACCAATCTGACTCTTGATTTGATTATTTCATACTGTAAAAAAATTTTGTTTTCTCTTCTGCAGGAGATGATAAGTATCGGTACGGACAGCAGCGGCTTTGGGGGGCTTTTGGATGGGGTATTGGAGCATTCATTGTGGGGGCAATTGTCAGCGTCACACAAGAGATAAACTTATGCGCAGATCCAAAACACATCGATTACGTGCTTTCGTTCTATGTGTATGCAGTTGTTATGGTGCTTGCTTTTATTTGTGCCATGTTCTTCAGATTTGACCCGGTAGGGGATGCGTCATACCGCGAGTCGTTTTGGGAGGCGTTCACGTTATTTGCCGATTGCCAGCATCTTTGTTTTATACTAACACTTTTATGTTCTGGTACCGCAATGGGATTCACACATACGTTCCTTTTCTGGCATCTTCACGACATGGGAGGAAGTCAATTTCTGTTCAGTATTATCGCAGCGGTACAATGCACATCCGAGGTCTTCATGTACTTTGTCTCTGGCTATTTGATACTCAAAATAGGCTGCGACAGTGTACTTTATATAGGCATACTGGCCAATGTTCTCAGACTGTTTGCTTACTCGGTAATAACCCAGCCGTTTTACTCTGTGCCACTAGAGATTCTTCAAGGCATTAGTTCAGCATCTATTTGGACGGCAGCCGTGTGTTACGTTGGACTAAACGAAGGCGTCCAGGTAACACTTCAGGCCATTCTCCACGGAATCTATTGGGGTTTAGGCCACGGAGGAGGCGGTATGCTTGGAGGAGTGGTCGTGAGTAGCATGGGCTCTAACGCAACATTTATCATATTTGGGATATGTTGCATTGTGAACTTGGCAATGCTTCTCATAATGAAATATTGGAAGAAACTATTCGAATTCCTAAGCGGATACACAAGTGTCGAGACTATTCCCTCTGGGACATATATATTGCTGGAAAGTCAGCGAGCTGGAAAAGGATAGCAATGTCATGGAGCTAGAAAATAAAGTAAAAACATGCACCATAGTTGTCGTAAGTCTAAATGTAAATAGGTTGCTTTTCTTCAGAAAAATTTCCGCAATAAATCTTTAAGGATATGCTAGCTTTGAACAATAGAATAAAAATTTGAACAAATGTGGATTAGAATTTTATTAATGACAAAAGTTTGTTTTGCGAACTCGAATTCGAAGTCGGAAAAAGGCAAATAAAACACATGACGATAGACAAGCTTGGAGTTAACTTCGTAACAAATGTGACGTAATAATTCCACTGAGCATACCTAAACATCAAGCGAGAATAAAATGATTCTTCCTGTTGTCATCTCTTTTTCTAAAAGCCTAAATGAATTTTTAGCGACTTGCACGGTTCTTTCCCGAGAATAAAAAACACGTATACGATTACATTACTGAAATCCCTAATACTGAGAGTCAAGAAATAACAAAATTTGAAATATTAGTTGGTCGAGAATCTTCGTTAGTGTCGTTGGTTTTCAAAGAAAATTTTAAAGTGGAAGGTCGCAAAAATTCCTTCCACTGCCATTTCCAAAAGTCGAAGGCATTGGAGTGTAATTCGAATTTGATTTGTCTATTCTGACTTCCTAAAATCAAACCCTTCTACTTCGTCTTCCATATCTTCTTATGTTGATCATGTGACATCTCGCTAAATTGAGCTGGCCCGCTTGCCAGGGCTGAAAAAATCTCGCTATCCTAGTTAACTTGTCAGCCGGCTTCCTTGATTCAGCATTCTCATGTGATATAGCTCTGAATACTGTTAGAACTTTTCTCACTTTCAACTCATTTGACCAGGACAAGTACTTCAGAAAAGGGCAAGGCCGTGTATCCATGGTAAAGACATAAGGTAATCAAAATCTGAAACATTGTCGGGAAAAACGTGCGCCCATAATAATCACACTGGGTATGAGTGACATTGCAAAAAGATGAACAATCTTAAGACAAATTGCGACATAACGCAAAGCAAAAAACACGAATGCCAAAACTGTTTGCGCAAAACTACGTTTTCTTCTTTATTGCACCCGTGAATAGGGAAGTAGTTTCATTTAGAGAATGCTGCTAAGAAAAAACACTTCAATCATTCTGATAAGAAATCAAAAACTTTCATACACAGCTTTATGGCAGCTTTATCTACAACTTTTTATTCCAGAAATGAAAACAAAAAAATTAAAAAAAAATTCGGGTTTTGATAATACCGGAAACGAGTTACAAGTGCAGTGATAAAAATAAAAACTATAAATCCATAGATGCACTATTCTCATTTTTAAGAGAGACAAGCTCATCTTCTTCAATACATATCAAGTCAAAGCATAACTTTAAACTTATTTCAATGGACACAGTCTGGCCATGCCTCAGATATTTCAGGAAAGATTCCCTGTTTTATGACGAAAAACAGTCTCTCTTTCAAACCAACTAAACTATACAAAACTACAAGACAGAGGCTATTAATTACCTTTCTAAAAATTAAACACGTTTGCTGTCTGAAGCAACTTAACGTTTGTATGAAATCAAAACAAAGTTTATAACGAATATCAAATTCAGGTACCTAAATCACGTGATATTTAATGTGGAAGGGCAGAAACGAAATCATATCTCTGTGGGGGATCTCTCAGCGGTATCTTTGTTGTTTGTTAGACGTGAGGAGAATAATGTTCATTGGCTAGCCTCGTTTTCGGGAAAGGGCGACAGGCTATAAAACCGATTTGACCGTACCTTCCTCAAGTTTCATTGTGCCAAACAGTATTTGACTGACTGTGTGGGAAGGCGTTAGCACCACAAATTTGCCTGCAATGATCTTCCTCAAGGAAGACAAACTGGGTAAGATTGAAAACATTTGAGCATGGGGTAGCACAAAGCGGCAAATTCTAATGATCGGAGTTTTCCTTCTGTTTTTCTCCTATAATGTAATTCAACCAAGTTTTGCAACTCTGTACCACAGATATTTGATACGAAAACATTTCAATAATCAAAGCCTTTCATTTTTAGTCGCAAGGCACAATTCTTTTTTCGCAGGAGGAAATCAGGTAAGGTTTCCTAAAGTTATCAGATGGCATATTAGAAATACTTTGGTTTATGAAACCATGAAATTCCTTAATGAAATTCCAAATTGTGTTTTGCGTCTCAAACGACAAAGAAAAAGTTAATAATTATTATATCTTTATCTACCATCAGCTTATAATTTTATGAGATACAATTCCCAAATCGAACTTTTTCTAATATTTAATAGAATGGTTTCCATCGTGTTGATTGGGATTACTCCAGTTCCAAGTTGCGGATAAAATCTTCCACACTAGGCGAATTGCCATCACCGTTAGCCAAAATATCTTCAATGAAATGTTGAACAGCTGGTTCGTCATAAATATCGGCATTCTGGAACATGGCATCGCTGTCCCCAGATAAATTCATCATGGGGTTGAACCTGTTTATCAGTTGCGACTCGAGCATTTCACGAGAAGGAGGGGAGGGAAGCGAGTCCTATGATGGAGGGATAGCATGGTTACTAGGAGAAAAGGACGGAACGCTCTTTAGTGTGAAATAAGGCCACAAAAAAGCTACCGCAAGATAAAAAGACGGCGCCACTTGCATCTACGAGTCTGAGATCGGGTAAATGTTAAGCAACGTGAAAGTTCGTCGCTGCAAGCTGTAGGCAAGAACGCAAAAATACATGTCCTTTAACTCTCATGATGAAACAGAAGTATTAGGACCTGATAAGAAGTATTATTTTCCTATCACTTAGCATACGTTATAAGATTTTTTTGATCATTGGGATATTCTCACTTTTAATACAGGACAAAATGTATATAGAAGCAATTTTAGTCCCATGCATCTATGAAGCCGCATGGCAATTTTACAGCTATTGAATGTCTGAGGTAAAACATGGAGTTAAAGAAGTCTATCAAATGTTGGAGCTATAAGTCTATACTATTTCCTATTATCTTATCTCATGAAAACCATGTTACGTAAACTCTGCGTGTTAGGGTGCGAGTAATGATCTTCTTTAGGGGTAAAAATTTGCAAATAATACCAGGAGCTATACATGGCCATTTTCATGAAAAACAGCGAAAAGCTATAAGATTGAATACTACTCTTTGAAATAACTATGAACGGCAAAAACATGGCACAAAGACTCCACTTTTATGTATTGATTGTCTTTGGAGTGTTTGAAGACCGCAAAAGGTCATATAAGATCTGTTATAACTCTATTTTCAACACCAACTATTTTTACTTCCAACTGCGTTTTAAAAGAAAAGAAATGACTTTCCTAAAGACACTAAATTCACACCTTCTAGCGTAAATATATATTGAGTAAGTTTTTGAGTAAGAAGAAAACATCGATGTCAAATATAAGATTTAAATCAATGAGATTTAATTTATAGGTGTTGTTTACATTATTGCGATGAAAAATACAAAGTCATTTCATGACCGCATCGCTAATCATTCAACGTATGCCATTTTTAATTGGTTGGAAATTTGCTTGGTTGAAAATAACTTCTAAAACTATCCGTCTTAAATAACACTTGACTTAATCAAATTGCATTCGACAATATAGTTGATAGATCATTCATTCGCGAGATCTTTACTTCCCTCACTTCGTGCCGAAAAACAACAATAAAAGACATGTCCCTTAATAGTCTTATTTTTATGTTTGTTATATTTGTAAGATTACATTTTTGAAGCTTAAAATTGCAATACTTCTAATTAAGTTGGAGCATTGCTGTGATTCTTAATTCATTTCTAAAATGTAGCAGTTTCAAGCCTCCATAATCAAACCGTGTGTTACTTGAAAGTTCGTAGCTTGACCTGCCACAAACCCTCGCTTCTGAATCACTTTATCGATGTTCTGATCCGTTGTAGCGGTACAACACCACGGCCAGTGTCGGATTAAGCCTGAATTGGGCCTGATACTGCAGCAGAAAAGGGTCTTCTTTTAGGCCTTTTCAGCTTTAGAATAACTCTTGTCTGTTTTATCTAAGCCTATTGCGGGAAAGGGCCTAATGTTGCAGCACCAATTGCACCTTGCTTAATCCGGCCCTAACTGCGGCGAGAAGTGGGCGGCCTTGCTCACACCGGTCAGGAAAGTGACTAAGAAACGAAGCTTGTGGCGAGGGCAGTCTGTTCCCTACTTACCATTCTTGACGCTGCCGGATGCTGCTGCTGCTGATTGCAACTGAAACAGAAAAAATTCATTCAATGTATTAATTGCCCGGTTTGTGTAATGACAAGTTTGCAAGCATTGGAAGGCCTGGCATAGCCTTATATAACCAATAGCTAATCATAATGCGACACTGTAAAAGAACTGATGATCGAAACAACGTTAGCTTAGCATTTTGATGTTATGAGTATGGGAAACAAGCAGAACATCATTATAGAACAACACGCACAATTTTCATAATAAATATCATCTATTTAGAATCAATGTGGTCATTAAAATGCGTTTATGTAATGAAAATGCCTAAAGGAAAAACAAAGCGAAGTCTGAAATGGACATTAAAACTATAAAAATAACGCAAATCTAAATATGAGTGAACAAAATCCTTACTTGATTCTCGCCATAATGCTGGCCATGACATATCCATCTGGGCCAGGTTCACGCGGGTAGTCTGTTTTCAAAAGAAGGACTTTGCATTAACAAAGCTGCATCTAAACATGAAGTAACAATGAGGAGATCGCAGCTGTAACGATTAGCCTCTAAATTTCGTTAGGTTGAAGAGATACCAAATTCCTTGTCTTTGATGTTGTCAGAAATATAAACAATAGATGGTATTGACATTGATAGTGCGAGAAAAATTTCGCAGGAAAACTTTAGCAATATTTTCCTTGATATGTTTCACATCATACCATGTTTAGTTTCTTTCCTTGCAAATCACCTTTTTTCCTATTTCCTTATTGAGCTTTCCTTTAATTTTCCTCGCTAAATTTGTAACGGTTTTTGCAGGTACCTCTTAATTGCCTACTAATAGATACTATTCGTAACTGCCAATAACAAATACTGATGGCTCTGACATCAAATAATTTGATGGGAACGACTCATTACAAAGAAAGGAAGAAATTGCTTTTCAAAGCTTTTGCTTTTCAACGCAAAAAGAAACAAAGGAGATGATTTGGAAGGAGTTACAATACTCTAAAGGGATAAAAAAGGCATCATCAATGCCGCAGTACTCTTTTCCAAGCGTTTTCGTATATGTGAGTGGCGTATGTGGTGATGTAACGGTGAGCGCAGCTTATAAGAAAGGGCTTTTAGAAGCAAGGGCGTTTTTGAGAGAGGCGCTTATTTGAGTCTAGGTGTTTATTAGAGGAAATAAAGCAACATTTCACGAGTCTTTCCGCATCACGCCCCACTTACGCATGCACTACATGCTATTAAAATGTCTTTGAATAATTGAGGAAGAAAACGCTGTTAAAGTTGTACCATAATGAATAAGGAAATACAGCATTTTCAAAAGGCATAAAATTACTACCAAAAATTCGTGCCGCTAATGAACGACTTTTTAGTCCAGCACACTTCAGAAATATTCCACAAGACAATTAATGAAATGTGACACACTTTATGTTCGGGATTTGAACCCTCCTGGTGGTTTGCAGTCCAGAAAAAATCAGGCTTTCTTACAAAAGTGTCACACAAATAAGTATATTAAGAAAAGTTTCAAATTTTCAGTATGACCGATAAAGGTTGTTTATCAATGTTACTAAGTAACCGAGAAGAAGTCCTGAAACAAGTATGCAGAATACGGTGAACTTACGGGTGAAGGACTTTGAAAAAACCTTCCCAAAAATGAGAGATTCACAAAGAAATTGTCCAAAAATCAACAACAAAAAGTAAATAAAGGTTACTTTTTGGCGTTATCAAAGAGGGACTCAGCCCCTACGCAACCTAGCTCTAAATCCATGGGTAAACTACCAAGATAGCTACAAACTTCGTTGTGTTATCTACTCACAGTCTTGTGATCTGAATTTTCCAAACGCATGCTCCTTCTCAACACCAGGATAGACGTATTTCAACAGATCCAAATCAAAGATCCTTAAAAAAATAATAAACCGGCGTTAGAAACAGAGAATATAGCGAGTCATTCTTAATACTGGAGCACTGGGTGTGTGACTGGAAAAATCATAGGGATGCATGAATCATTGCTGGGATCAAGAGATTTGAATACTTGAATGAGTTTTTAGGCTAAATTCAGATTATCATATGAGGGGGAGATCTTTCTTATTTTAAGAACAAGTTCTGGAATTTCAATATAATTTTGCATAAAGAAAAAATGAGTGTTATCATGAGAGCTTTTCATACCTGTCTGCAAGAGATCTGATGTTGAAATCCTTCGTAGTCCACGGCTGCACATTCCATATATCAGCGCCTAGAATAAAAAAAAGGCGCAGATTCATTTTAAACCGAGTCCAGAAGAAGTTGAAAGAGTACGGCTGACAATCGTGAACAGAATATCAAAAGCAAAAGGATTCGTTCCGTGCATTGCTTTCAATTGGAGAACAGTTTTAAAAGTTTTGGCTCATTGACAAGAGAAGGGTTAACAGCTTTTCTACGCCGTTTTCTGATGAACAAGGTTTCGAGTAGTGGCATAGCAAGGGGGTGGCAAGAGGGGGCGGACGCCCCCCATCCAATGGCAAAAAACTTCTCTTTGAAAAAGAGCGTTTTCTGATGTTCAAAAGGGTGTGGTCCATTAATTTCCCCCTGCTCAACTCGCCTTTGCCCCCTAAGCTCACCATTCTGGCTACGTTACTGGTTTCTAGCAGTGTTCATTCAAGAATAAAATAAGCTTTTTCCACGTGAAATCCACGTGAAAAAATAAAACAGCAGAAAAAAGGGCTCACCTCCCCCTTCTTTCTCAATAACCCAAGCAATGCTGACCCCTCCAACTTCTCCGTCACTGAATCTTATTATAAACGTCCCAACACACATATCATTCAGTTTCTTGCGAGCCTCTTCTCTTGACATGAACTCCAGATATCTTGATGTGGCAAAAAACAAAGTATAAAGCAACAACTATTTTTCATCAGGAAATTTGTATTATTTTACAATAAGCCTGGGTCGAAGGTCTACATTTTCAATGGTAGCTAGGGTAGGGGGGGGGGAATCCTTCTGATCCTCCCCAAGTAATTCAGCTCATGATAACTATGGTAAAATGTGGAATTAAACTTGAAAGTATAGACAAGTCATTTTGTACAAAAAACTTGACTGTTTATCAGGAAGTCTATGAAGAATATCGATATTTGTCTCTTTGGAAAGGTTCCATGTCGTTTCATAAAATAGTCTTGTACATCTCTATGTCTTCTTGCAGACAGGATGAACTAAACTGAAAGAGACCTTCACTATGCCCTTTTATGTCATCAAGGGTCATGTAAAAAGAGATAAACACCTAGATAGGGTGTTGTTTTGCAGAGTAATCCAATTAATCCTTTTCTTTAAACTCCTGAGAACATTGAATCTTTTCGAAAGTTTTCTGTCTTCTTTACTATATAAAATGACTTGACTCAACATTCAGAAATGCAAAACAAAAATGCAAGTCACCCCTCTTTCCAATGATCTTTAAGATGCCTTTTCACCACCTCCATTCCTGAATGAAACCATTCCCAGAAAGTAAAATTGCGACCCTTCAATGGCTCCTAGCAACAAGAAGCAAACCTTTAATCACAACAAGTCTCGGATAACTAAAAACATATTTACAAAGGATTTAAAAATACCGATGTTGGTTTCTAAACAAAGTAATGGTTAATGTAGTCAGACCCCCGATAGCTTTTCTGGGGCCTAGGGCAAAATGAAAGATGAGGCCCGTGATGACGGTCGTTGAAACTGTGATTGTTATCGTTATTCTTAGAAACATTGCCATAATATTTTGAAGTCCATATAAGACTCAGCTCGAATTCCTTTATACAATACTAAAAAGTATCTTTGCTAGCAAGCAAAGGCTTGAAATAGTCTGGTTCTTACCTTATTAAATGCATGCCAAGATACCTTCTTACGGCTGCTTTGGGATTTCTCACAATCTAAGATGCGAAAACTCAAGATTCAATAGGAAAAAGGTACATGCAGAATAATTGTTTGATGAAGACCTTCTCAACTAATACTGAAATAAATGGTCCTCAGATTAAGTGCCTCTCTAAGGGGAGGGCAATTTTAGAGCACAAAACAATCTGTAGACGCAAAAATCTGTGGCCAAAAAGACTTTTGCATCAGACTGTCTTTGCAGTCAATTCCCACTTACGAATCCTACAAAATTCAAAAGCATGAAACTTTTGTCTTTAAATTTAGGAATTACGCTTGTATTCCTCTCTGCATAGGCAAATCATATGGCAGAGACAGCGATCCGCCGGAAACAACTGCCATAATCTGTTACATGGTCGAAGTCATTCGAACATTGCGTTATTCGTATGGCATCATCAAAGCTTTCCGGAATCAGTCGTTTGACAAAAATCTGAATATAAAATCGTGATCATAAGATAAACGTGTCTCACTGACTGCAAACCTGACGCCGTGAACAAACAGAAAATGTTGACATTCCTAAAGATGTCTGCTAAATTACAAAAAACAACATACTTTGAAACAATTTCGAGCCTAGATATTCCAAATGCTCTTCTTTCAAGTCACACTCTGTCGTCATTGCCCATCTTGCATTAAGAGCGAAGGACATTTCATCCCAGTCGACTTCCTCTGGCACCTCGAAAGGTTCTCGGTCCTGTTGAGTCCGGCACAAAAATCTTAATACAATCTACGATGTTGTCAAATGAAAACTGTTCACAAAAATTGCATCTTTAGAATCAAGGGCCATATTTGGCCACAAATTCTACTAACACACATATACCATTGAAAAATACCAACCGGGTTTGAAAAAAAGTTGTCCCAAAATATCGTTGCTTCAGAATTTGGGCCTTGGTTGCCATGCACAACAACCACAACTGGTACAGACATACACTAAAAGAAAAATAGAAACAGAAAATAGATAATTGCGATGGTATCTAAGAATTAGCAGAAACTATTATTCTCGCACGTATAAATAGTACTGTAGCGACAGACAGAAGGGCAATTATTGATCAAATTTGGCTAGTCGTTTTAGTAGTGTTTGAAAAATACCTAGCTATTTAAAGGCATTGAGAAGTTTGGTTGAGAAAACATTTCAAGGCAACCAGTTAAAATGAGCTCAAGTTATTGGCAAACTTGATAGCAAATACGTTTCAGCACAAAGTTGCATACATAGCTTAACTACAGAAATAAGAAATATAATACGAAATAAGCACTTTAAGTTTGCCTATACGATGTTGTTCAACATGTATTGATGTATCCGGGTATCACAGCTGATGCACTAAACAAGTTCACATAAAATTGAATGTTTTCCTACCAATTAATACCAACACAAAACAAATAGAAATTGTTCTCATGCTCAATTTTGATGGAGCTTCCTTACCATAACTGGAAGCTTTTCTCCTCCAATTGTTATCGCTGCAGAGAACACCAAACAGCTTTTCGCTTCTAGCACAGACTGAATTGAGAAAATATTCACATAAATACAGAGATGGAATCAGGCAACAATTGCAAATTTGTTCTACTCCGACCACAGCAACACATAAACGCATTCAGTAAAAATATTCTCACACCAAAATTCATAAAAAAGAAGAATAGTAGGGTGCAGTTGTACACTGAACAATTTAAACATCATCTAGTACTAAAATTTTCGAAGATTAATGATACAAAGATCTAGCCATCGATTACGTCATTATTGTGACAAACCACTCCCATTTTTAAGGAGCTGGTCGTTAGAACTTTCAGTTGGTCGACAAAACATTTGTTGTCAGTAAGATCAGTGGACAAAATAAGAGGCTTTTTTCGTCTGCTTCTTCATAAACTAACTTTTCATGAACCTCTCTCAGATACAGCCCCCTGTCTTGACAGTGAAGGTATGTCACAGATCATCATCTCATGAGGACTGGGCAATCAAATAGCTAGAAAAACAAACGGTTAAAACGGTTGAAACGGTTAAAACGGTTAAAACCTCTTGTCCTTTTCTGTCCTGACGCTTTATTTTCTTCAAGGACTAAAAGAAACAAGAAAAATTTTGTCACCCTCAAATGATTTATTCTTTAATAAATGGTCAACAAAATACATTTGAAGCTTTAAAAAAACGTTTTTCGCAAAATTTCCCTGCTTTTCCATCACAACTAAAATAAATAAAGATCATTAAAGATCCACCTAATGAAAAACGATTTAAGGAGCACACGCAAAATAGACTCAATTGTGTGCTTCTTAAAGCACTTTTTATAGATATACCATTGCAGTCAAAATTTTCCGTTTAAATATTTCTTTGTTCCTCAAAATGACGCGATTGGGAAAATTTATAGAAGAATACAGATGAAATCAGTGTCTGCAAGAAAAGGGTCAAAAAAAGAAAACAAGTATCGGTTCTTGAATTCTCATGACTTAATTTTATCAATCGTGATATCCACTGAATGCCTTTAATCACATCTCCTAAATCATAAGTTGTTGAATTTCAAATTCAGCCTGTTTGACATCATGTCAATTGTAATGCAAAATGTATTTGTTGTACTTTTTCTCCATCAGCATCCAAAGGTAGCTTTTAGGACACTGAGAAGCTTATGCTCATCGAGCAGTGTCCTGGTCCTTCTTCTCGGTGTGACCACACTTCGTGATTCCTACGCCTGGAACAACAGAGAGCTGGCAACTCTCCTCACTCTCGGCGAAGGTCTGGTCATGACAGAGACACGAACCCAGACCCTTTTATCTATAGTCCGTGACGTTAGCCTCTGAGCCGTCCTCGCACCAGTAATTGAAGGTATAGGAGAAACACGACAAAATGAATAGTTTGGAATGAGGAACTTACCAAATTTTTAAAGTCTGCATGTAGCGCATTCAATTGCTGGTCGTACTCCATTACCTAAGAACGCAACATAAAGTCAGCTCAAAGCAAACATACAATACCCGAAGCATATCCCTCTAACAATTAGTAGCATAAAAGCTCGAATCTTTCTTGTTTAACTAACAATTAGTAGCATAAAAGCTGGAATCTTTCTTGTTTAAAGTATATTGTCTGGTAATGTCACCTTGAAATGATAACGCCAACAAATGCTAGCACTTGGTGAAAAATTTCCCTACACAATATGTTCGATTGCTGATATAAAACTGCTGCAGAATATCAATAAACTAAACGTTGGCTTGGTTATAACTTGATTCGATATAATTATATTCAAGAAGGGTAGCCCATCAGCTAGTGGTGATTTTGAAGGTGCATTCAGTCTAAAATACAATACATTTCTAAAGATGATTCTGAAGAAAAAAAAAGTCAACTTTCTAGTAAAGCGCTAATTACAATATAATTGAATATGAAACATTCAAGTAATCAAAAATATTTTCCTAATTCAAATTCTTTATCTAAAATGATTAGAATCTTTGATTTAAATATGTCCTTTTAAAACATTAATCGACGATGCCTGTTTAGCTGAAGGAGAGTTAGGATTTACCATTTTGGAAGCTCAGAATAGGGTTTACCATTTTACTTTCAGTCAACGGACAGTTTTTCATATAGCATGTATTGAAGTTTGACTGTCTAAAGTTTAAAAACTAAGAAGGGACAAAAATTGTTTCAGATGAAACTTTTCACCCGCAGTCACTAGCCACAGTGAAATCCATTAAATAAATATGAACTGACATAAAATCAAGAAAACGTAAATGTAGACTAAAAATTATATTTCTTAATTCCAATTTACAGTCCAAAACTGAGTACAAAGAAGTTTCAAATATTTTTCAAAATGTAAGTTGAATAGGGGCATTTATTTATAATGTATTTCCTTTGGCTACCTAATATCTTTTCTCAGGTCTTAATCGAAAGCCAGCCTTGTGGAATTGTACTTTGTCTCTTGGCTGGTATCATCAGCATAAATTGTCATAAATTGTCATAATTTATCTTTTGTTGAAAGTTTTTAACACCCACGGGTGCAGATCTTCCGTGTCAGGCCTAGCAAAACTTTGTTCGTGTATGAGAGAAACTACTTATTACCCCACGTACCTGCATTTTTTGGGCAAGCCAATTAAATATTACCCTTGGGTTACCATCATAAACAGATAACTTATTGACGCTAGTGTTGACAATTATTGAGCGACGCTCTAACAAAGCTCGCTTGAAATGTCATAACAATTAGCAAAGTCAACTCACGCTTCTGTTGTTCAGAATTTCACCACAGCTACCAGTATCTCTATTAAAGACAAACAAATATTCATTACTGACCTGGTAAGTCTCCTGGTTTTTAATCTAAATCTCCCGGTTTTTAACAAAACTCCCCATATTCCGGTACAGGTAATGTCGCAGTAATACCAGTAAAAACTTATTTTCTGAATGATTTCAAGCGAGCAGTTTTAAAGGTCTTTCCTAAACTTAACATAATAAAAATTCTTTGATGTTTGGAAAATTATCTGTAAAGCAAAATAGTAAAAAGTGGACGTTACGACGTAAGATATAATGTTTAAAAGTTGAAAAGAAGCTTTCAATTCGTCAAGTATTTTCTAACAATTCGTCAATTCTTCTCCAAAACGTCAGGTTCTTTCTGGAAAAATTAAAGCCCTCCAAGTTATTCAGGTTGCTCGGAAATCTTGAACATAGGCTCAGTAACGATTTCAAACGACAATCTTTTATGATGCAAAATATAACTGATAACATCTTCCAATTATTTGTTTTCTTGTGTGACTTTATTTGACAAACGGTTTTTTAGCTTCTCATAAAAAGGGTTCTGGATACATTCACAGACACATGACGGAGCTATTACAAGATTTTGATAAATCAGCAAAATTATTAAAAACTAAAAACTAAACGATGAAATATAAAAATCAAGCGAATGAAGCCTTCATTTTTTTTGGGTCCAACATAGTAAAATTCATGCTTGATGGACATTGAAGAATGATTAGCGATTGCAACCAATCAGAGACAGCGTTGGATGATCAGAAACCTTATTGTTTAAATCAGCCAATCGTTGTGTAGATATATTGCCTTAAAAGGCATAGCAAACATTAATGAACAATGCAAGCATACTCTATCGTCTTTCCATGGCATAGCTCTTTGGCTTGCTTCTCACTAAAATTTAAACAAAATAGTTCAATGTTGATGTCAGTTCTGTTTATAGTAAAGAGATATCAACAACAATAGTTTCACTTCAAATCGAACAAACCCTTAAAAAATATGTTACAATACATTAAATTTTCGCACATTGTCATTAGTAGCTCTCATATAAATGATATTTCACATGGTAAGAGTTTCAATATTGTCCAATTAGATTTTTATGATAGGTAACTCTTTATATCCAATATTATTTTGAGAATAACAAGGTGTTCCAAGAAATATAAGCTAGGATAGAAGATTAAATAAAAAAAACGATCTACCTTAAAATGGTTGTAACAACTTCTGGGCAGTTAAGCTGCAAGTTGAGCTTGGTACCAACCAGCAATCTTAAAGAAAAAACATATCAATGAAAGGTGTCGTCATTGTTAGATACAAGGTATGGTGATGGAACACAAAACTTAAAGAAGAATAGAGTGCCAAATGTTACGTCTTAAATTTTTCTTTGGAATTTCTGACTTTTGATAAAAAAACTTGAAAACCAGCATTGAACACTTCTAAAAGTGCAAAATTTGTTTAATCTGTTGCAAATTAACTGAGATATGGCCAGTTAAAGAACAGGGATTCGTAAGCAAATTTTTTTATTTTGGCCTGGTTTATAAAGTTTCGAAAAAAGAAAATTAAAATGATTTGATAGGAAAGACGCTGTGCTCCATATTCCAGGAAATTTGTACACATTAAACCGGATTATTAAACCGAAAGTATTTTAAAATGCTCTTTATGGTCCAAATTCAAAAAACTATAAAATATCTTTGTGACGTCATGAATTCGGAACTCTAAAAAGAAGAAATAATATAACTAACAATAGAAATAACTTCAACGAAACGAAGTAATTAGATTAAAGGTAATTCCTGTTTTAAGGAATGAAACAACAAGCAACAAGTAGGCCGTCTTGACAAATTTTACAAAATTCAACAAGGGTGGAATTTCGCATACCTAACAGACGCTTGAAATTTTGTCTGGGTTTTCAGAACCTGTGGTGGCTGCTTGTCAACAATAAATGACCTAAAATGGGAAGGCATGACATACAGGATTACTTTAATAGATGAAACACAAAAAAACCAAGCAAAGGGAACGATACACTTACAGTGTGGATAGAAAGAGGGTGAGAAAGGTGCAAAAAATTGATATGTCCTTTACTAATTAAAAACTGATTTATGAAGGTCAAACTTACACAATTTAGTTTTTTACATTAGCAGATTGAATGGAGAGGAAATGGGAACGAAATACGAAAATTTGCTCTGAAGAAAAAATATGATTAACTGAACCAACGATAATGAAGAAAAAAGTATGCAGCAAGCCAAAAATAAACAAACTTACCAGTACTCACTATTAGCAACACTTTACCAAGAAAACATTGCTACTTTAAAGGTGGTCTCTTAGTTAGCAAGGGTAAAGACAACTCATGTTCTTTTTCATGCACGCAAAGGAATCGTATTTCAAGAAAGCATACCTCTGGATTAGCTTTGTGAGGCTTGATACTGCGTCTGCTAAGACCCTTTCGGTTTTATCCCTTTCATCGCCATTCCTTATAATTGGCAGAGCATCAAAAAGTAACTTGAACTGCAAGACAGAAATAAAGTGCTCAATGTAACGTCAACCTTTCCAAAAGTCACCGTTCTTTGCTTTCCACATTTAGGCCATTCTTATACAAAATAACCGGATTCATCTTCTATTTGATTACTTTCATACAAGAGAGGCGTTCACGTGGCAACATTCGAGATTATTACGCTTGGCTTTATTCATGCAGTGTTAATTCACAGTGGCATGGGTTGCATATCGGTGATCTTTAGGGCTCATGTGAACCCATGACTCCGAATCTTTAGGGCTCATGTGAACCCATGACTCCGAATCTTTAGGGCTCATGTGAACCCATGACTCCGATATGCTGTTGCACCAGAACCTTTTTCTGAGTGCTTTATTTAGCTCCAATAGGGAAGGAATTTGGTATAGTGTAGTCAGCGATGGATGCGTTTTAAAACTTCTCTTCTTTTAAACTTGTTTTCAACTGTCTGTGTTGGCAATATAAAAACGGAAGCTGATGTTTTAAAATGATTTGCGAGAACAAGGCTTTCGATCAAGATAAAAATGATGTTTTTGAGTAATACAATGTGGCAATGGTATGGAATACCACACGAAGTGAATACCAAGTCAAACATTAACAGACATTCTATATAAAGCCAAAAACACTCTGTCCTTTGTTACAAACACCCATCAACCAACTCATGCATGCCTCGCCTTACAAAACTAGCCATGAAACACAAACGAGTAAAATTTGTAGTGGAATACCTGCGTGCACAGTTGGTACATGGACCACAATGTGTCTGTTAAGGCTTCAAACCTAAAATTAATACAGAGATAAGAAGCATAAATAGATTCTGCCAAAAGCTGCCAATTCATCAAGCTTTAAATATGAAAAAATAACGGAAAAGTTGTAGCGTGGTTGAAGCAAAGAAGAGTTAGCAGAAGTAGACCAAAAAGCAAAATTAAGAAAGCTAATTAAAACAATTTCATAAATTAAAAATTAGTTCTCTTTTTCACTCTAAAATAGACTATATATCACACACATTTTATTAGCCAAGGTAACTTTACATCCTTCAGATTTGACAGACTCACACAACTTCTTATATCAATGCATTTGATATGTTTTTTTGCTAGAATATAATTGCAGAGGCAAGTAGGTCAGTCCTTCGACATACCAGTTTTGCAATTCGTCAAGTGGGTCTGGCTTGTCTCCTCCACTGAGTGACTTTTGCTGATTCATACGCCACAAAAACAATTCTTGGTAAACCTTTTGGGAAACCTGTTCTATCTTCAAACTAAGACTTTCCAGCTGTATAAAAATCGCCTAAATGAGAAAATAATTTAATGAAAAGCTACTTATCAAATTTAGAACAGCGTAGTACAAAGAAGATAATAAATACTGTTAGAGAGATGACACTTAAAGTGAAATGATTGTAATAAATAGTTCATTTGAATATGGGTCCAGAAATGAAAAAGGACAAATGAGCATCACAGCTGCAAACTTAATACCCAGCAATACATTCAAATGGAAAACAGCTGGTAACAACAGGCTCATAGGAAAACAATTGTATTATCTACCAGTATTTATTCCGTATATCATTACAAAACTGTAAACAATTCTGCAGTAATATAACACTTTCAGTATAACAGTACCAATTGTCGAAAGCATACCTCACGGTCATTGAGGATTTCAAGGGCTTTTTCTTTCAACATGTTTTCAATATCAGCTTTCCTCTTTTGCAGTATAATCATCTAAAATAAGTGAGAAAGATATGAAATTTTTTATTATAGCAACAGGAGGCTTAAAATTTTCTATAATTTATTTAGTTATTATTAATACTGTTCTAAGTGGCGTTTTTTGCTGACAATAATCATCTCTACCTTAAAGGAATTAAATGCTAATAAATATTTCTCTGACAAGGAACATTTTAGATTTAGTAACAACAAGGGTTGAAAAAGGTAGCAAGGATATCTAACAAGAGGCAAGTCTCACTTAAATTTAATAGGTATATTCTCAGAAAAAGAATTGAAAGACAGCCTCTATGAATAAATCAATTAGAATAACAAACAAATGTGAAAAAAGATGAAAATTTTCAGCATCACTAACCTGGTCTTTAGTATCACGGCGCTCTGTGGCCTTGCTGATTTCCACTAAAAAATCGATATCAGTCATCTCAATGACGTTTCAAAGAAAGGAAAGCGTTTTCTAAGAAATTCAAATGAAACGTTGCTTCTGAATGGAAAACACAGGAAAGGACACAAACTAGATATAATTGAATGAAGTGAGATGTCAAATAATGTGAAATGTCTTCTTAAAAAATGAAATGAATTCATATCTTCAACTGATGACTGATTAGGTCGCTACTGCCACTAACAAAGGTGATGATAATTGACACTGATGAAGATTTGATGATTATTATCATTGTTATCATCACCATGAAACAACAACATGGTTTCTCTTCCCACAGTCAACCAGACTGCATGTTCACCCTAGAGAACTGGTTTCAGTTTTCTAGATATCACGAGGTTCATCTCCGTTTCATGATCTCCAAACTATCCAGCAGAAATAAGTCTTGGAAAAATCCCAAACTTCTTCAATTCTAACGATTTCTCCTACTGACCACTGCCAAAACAAACCAAGGACAAACAAAAATTGTTCCCTTTGTTCTTAATTTCTTCTTTTTGTGTGCTTGTAACAGTCTTTTCTTTGTAAATCCAGCTAGCCAATTGCAAATTACTTTTGTGATTTTGAAATTTGTAATTGCAGTTAAAGTTGAATTGAAAATGGAAAGTTTCCATTATGATGAGTATGACGATTGAAGATAATAATTATGATGATAATTATGCATATGATTATGACAATGATCTGAAAAAAGTTCTTGCCAAGGACATACCGTCAACTTTGCATATCTCCTGGTATCGAATGACAAAATCTTCCTGTTGCTGTTTATAGTTTTTCAAATCCATGTCAGTTTTCTGCAAAAAATTAAGCACAAGTAAATTTCAATGAAAAAAGGCAATGATATGTTAGAGCTGTGTCTCAAAATTTCCTTTAAGTCAAAACAATATTCTGATAGTTAATTAAAAGCTTCATACAAATCATAAAGAGCCCCTATTAACTAAGAAATATCAAATATCAGCTTTAATAATTTGCCCATCGTGACAATGCTATCAACAAGGTTACTGTTTATAATACATGGGGAAAAGAAGTAAGGTAAAAAGCCAAGGAGTTTGTTTGATTTGGAGCACTAACGTCAATTTTCAAAAGGAAATTTAGCCACCCCCTCCCGCTTGGAAGAATGTTGGTTTACTTAAAACAAAGGAAGATATTGGTGAATCTGTTTTTTCTTGCAACTTGCATAACATTTGTCATGTTTTTGGCTGAAGGGGGCGCAAGTAATTAAATTTGAGAAAAAAATAAAATATCAAACTACAACGCAAACCTCCAGATGTTCCAAGTATTTTTACAGGCATTATCGATGCAATTTTTAGCAGAACTACTAAAAGGCAGAAATCAATTACCTGCGCCGCAGACTTGAGATCGTCAATGAATCGGCCAATATCTAAAATTGATGGGCTTTCTGGTGTTTCTATCTCCATCATCGGCGATTGCACGCTCATCGGCTGCAAATAAACATAATGGCTGAATTCCATAGCTATGCCTCTTCGCAACAAGTTAAACGATCAAAATGGATCATTTTCAGTAGTATAACATTGCAGCTCGCTATAAAGTTGCTGATATAGGTAATAGCTTGATATTGCATTGAAAATTACAATACACAGCGTCTCTAGCAGAACGTTTCATTCACAAGGGCCCTCTCTTTGAAAAAATTTGCAAGAAAGTCATTGTGTGGAAGAATGATTCGAATCAGCAGCGTGACTATTTGTTAAAGGAATTTTAGTGCCACAATAAAGATTTCTAGGTTCAAGCACAGAATAGTTCAAGTTTGCGTTTTCTAAGAAGGAACTTTTATACTTATAATCAGTTTAAACTATCATCCAAGCATATAATGCCTATTGTTAAACTACTGTTATCGCAATAACTCACATATTTTGGAAAGTAGAATAAAAAAAACCTAGTTGAACTTACTGATTTGCCTATTTCGATCCCTAACGGGATATATAAATTTCCAAACTTGGCATTTTGATCATAATCCGGACGTTTTATACTCTGAAGAGTGTCAAACAATTTGGAAAAGCCATTAACTTTTCCTATTTGCAGTAGACTTGCTCCAAGTCTATTTCATACTTGAGAAAGGAGCATTTACTTCCCTCCTTTGGACTTCTATAGCAACTCCCCATAGATTACAGCTAACCAGTTTTAAAAAGGGTTGTGCAGGGCCCACGCCATGAATTTCAAGGTTGAGGGGCCAAGTTCTATAAATCGAACTTGAATTTAGTGCTTCAAAACAGAGCCTCTTTGGAAATATTTTAGCTCGCCTAGACCCCTCCGCCCCTTCTCCCGGTAGCGTGGGCCCGGCTGTGGGGTTGTTATCACCTACGCGAGGCTATCTGCACTAGCAGAAATTCCTGTCAGTTAGATAAGGATACTATGAAACAAGAAAATACACAACCAAAATAACTTTTTAGTGCGTCATTTGGGGGAATCATACAATTGATGCTGCCTCACGAGAAAAAGAGTTTTCCTTTCCTTGCACTCCTTTGGTTAATCTACAAGACCCTCTACCTAAGTGATATTCATTTTAAAGACCGGGTGCGCCTCTCAAACTGTGCCTGTCGCCTATAGGGGCTGTTATCAGGGGGGGGGAGGGGGCTTAAAACGAGCCAAAGACCCTCAAGAGACATCTTTGTTTGGCCTTGAATCTCTGCCATATATAACAAGATGGGATACAGTTTCACTAAGGAACAAACTCTTGCATTGCTCTTAAAATGTGCTCTTAAAGAAATCAAGACCAACTCTGCCTATTTGTGTCGTGTCAAGTCAAACAATTGATCGGACAAGGAAAAACATATCAACCATAAAACTTCCCAGTTATGAGAGAAAATACAACAGAATTGATACCTACAGTATCTACATGAAAATTGGTTGATAAGCCTAGCTTTCAAACAAGCGACCTTTCATGATGGTGGCCTGCTAAATATTTCAAAAAAGTTCATGCTGTTAATTTTTGAAAAGCAAACGGAAAGCACCTTGGAAAATATAAAACAGTTCCCCGTACAGATGATACATATACTATACTAGAGGCGTTTTCTCAACGACAACCTTCAAAAAAGGGAAAAAGCTTCTGATCAAAACAACTCACCCTATATCGACGGATTCTCCGGAACTTCATTTTTCTTAAAAATTATGTCACTGCTCGGGTGTTTATAACAACTTGGCAAAAAGCCTTCTGATATTATAATAAGCAGGTTGATATAGGAAGTCGCACTGCAAGTTTTTAAGGACGCTGCGAGGGATTAAGGAACCAAAGCAGGTGGATGTGGAAGAGATTGTCAATTGCGGGCGAAGAGGAACTTCCACAAGGAACTGCAAACTATTTTCGTTTCATTGCTATCTTGGATTCGTATTTGCGACGACATTAAGCGGGATTTCCAACATCATATGAATAATTTAGTCGATCAGTTCACAACAGTTACAAATGAATAATCATAATAATGTTCACAATCTTAGAAATCAATACCAGAAGTCGAAAACATGATGAATGAATCGTCTTTCAGTCGCGACCAATCATAATCATGATCAATATCAACAATAATGATTGTATGATAATGATGCGCATTTTTGTTCGAGAGTGATGCTCTTGGACTGCAAAGACGGAGATACCTTGTTCAACCGAAGACAAGCTTTACACGTATTTTAGTAAATTACTAGCTCCCCTACGAAGCCCGCTACGCGGGCTTGCCAGTGACCCTACGGTAGAGTACATAGATTAGCCTCGGAAAAGACAAGAATTTTCTTAATACCCCCTATGAATGATAGTAAAATTAGCCTCGGCAAAGACAAGAATTCTGTCGAAGCCCCCTATGAGTTTGCAGATTAGCCTCGGAAAAGACAAGAGGTGTATCAACCTCGATTTGAAAAAAATTGGCTCCGCATAGGTCACGTGATAAAAAAATTACTCGCACTCCTGTGACTATCGCTAGTCAGGGGGTCGCCTGAAATAGAGAAGGGGTAGAGGCTCCCCCCTTCCTAGCGATAGTCACAGGAGTGCGAGTAATTTTTTTATCACGTGACCTATGCGGAGCCAATTTTTTTCAAATCGAGGTTGATACACCTCTTGTCTTTTCCGAGGCTAATCTGCAAACTCATAGGGGGCTTCGACAGAATTCTTGTCTTTGCCGAGGCTAATTTTACTATCATTCATAGGGGGTATTAAGAAAATTCTTGTCTTTTCCAAGGCTAATCTATGTACTCTACCGTAGGGTCACTGGCAAGCCCGCGTAGCGGGCTTCGTAGGGGAGCTAGTCTTCCGTTAATTGAAAGTTGCTTCAAACCTTTGCAAGCCCAGGTCTATTCGTGTTCCTCGTTTGAATATTTTAATGGGTTACCCCCTAAGTCTCCTGTTTTAATTTTCCATAACATTTCATGGTAAGACTTCCCAACTTTACTTATCTGTTTACTCCTCTGACAAATCAAATTAAAATTGAATCTATCCTGAAAATCAAAGAAAAAAAACAATGCCCTCCTACATTCTTTCAATTTAATAAGGAATGCAAGCAAAAAGTGTAATATCATACAGCAAGCAGGCAAGCACATTCTAAACATGACAGAAGACAAACATAATTAATCCAATCCATAGTCACGCCTACTGTGAGTAGCATATACTATTGGCAAGAGCAGGAAATAATTGCTCGAGGACAAAATATTATTTACTCACAGCAACAACCCTATTGAGATAAGAGCTTCTTTCGTGTAGGAAGATAATGCTTTATTACCTTGATTGTAATTCAGTAAATCCTTTAAGAAAAGTAAACGTAAACTTAATTACTTGCTGGCTCCAGATACCGATACTTACGAAATTCCTAATAGAATCAACCCAATGAGTAGTTCCTCGATTATTAAGATTATCAATAAGCAATAGAAACACGTTCGCGGCGGGTCTAACGACTCCTTTTAGCAACCGGTTTTTAGTGTAATTTCACCCAAATAAGCAGGAAGTCATTTAAAATGGTTTCTAGAATGATTCATTTACAATTCCGAAAATGATGCAGGCACAATCTACAGTAACAATCCAGCTTCCTTTCAGCACAAAACCACGAAAAGAGGCAAAAATTCACCGTTAGCGGCAGGGGTCTAGCAGTAAGCAACCGGTTTTTAGTGTAATTTCATCAAATTAAGCATAAAATCATTTTAATATGGTCTTGTTAAGCGACGAATACAACAAATCCATTTTCCTTGAAGGAAAAAATTTCATGGGTTAATCCTATAATTTCTCCTATTTAGCCAGAATCAAATTTTCAAGTTTTCCAATCATACACTCTTAGCCCTCGTCGACTTATAGGGCGCTTATAAATATTTTCTAAGGCCATTCTTAAAGCTGTAATGTTCATTTTGAATCCAACGTGAATATCTTTATCATAGCATTTCGTTCAATTCTTGTTCACTTGTGATGTTGTTTTAAGATATAATTTCGGGCCACCTTCAAAGTTCCTCTGTTTATTTTGAATCAAACATTAAAGTTTTCCAACTATAAATTCCTGTAAGCCGTTATTGGTCCATGGTGCTCGTTTAGATATATATCATCTAAAAATTTCTTAAGAATTGAAATTCCTAAATATTTATGCCGATTCATAAAGGAATTAATGACTCCTCTTCTAAACTCCAAAGATTTATAGAGTTATTATGCAGTTCTATACATTTGAGGTCCACATATCATATCTTCGTCACAATTAGCTTTTGAAACACTGCAGGAACAAAGCAGTTAAGAAATAGAAAGATAAAAAACAGCCAAGTTTCGTGCATCAGAAAGGAATCTTACTCTAACAACAAATTAACAAAATACAATTTACGGACAACAGCTGATCTATATAACTTTAGTCCTTTTCTCCACAGTCAAGTTTTTTCTTGTTTCATCATTTGATTTAACGCCAGCATAAATGCCATCAATTTCGTTTCGAAGGTCCGAGAATCACGTCAGCGTCGTAATTATTGCTTGAAATGCTCTTTGATCTAGCTGAAGAACAAAAAGAATAATGAAGATGTTATTCCATGGTTAACGAAAGCACGTTTTAAGGAAATCGATAGTCACAATGCTTTGTAAAAATTTCAGAAAAACTGTTCGCCTCGAGAGCCTAGCCAGCCCTTTAAGCGGCCGGTTTTTAGTGTAATTTCATCAAATTAAGCATAAAATCATTTGAAATTGTTGTTGTTAAGAGAGCAATGCAGCAAATCCATTTTCCTTGAAGGACAAAACTACAAAGAGGTAAAATATTAGGAGAAACACATTCGAGGCGAGTCTAGTGACTCCTTTAGCAAACGGTTTTTAGTGTAATTTCACCCAAATAAGCAGAAAGTCATTTAAAATGGTTTCTAGAATGATTCATTTACAATTTCGAAAATGCTCTCAAAGCTAGAAATAATTTTAACTTAAGAGGAAATAAAATCCTATTCTTCTCGGTGGAAAGCTCACAGAAAAAACTGAAATTTTAATCGAAAAATACTCACTTGTTGTACCAAAAAGTCAGCGAATCCGATCGTTTATCTACAAAAAAGGATGGCGGTTAGGAAAAGTTGCTGCAAAGGGTTCTCGTTAGGCATAAAAAGTTAGGGGCTGGCATTACATAATTCGCATTACAACGGGTTTCCTATGAAAATAAAATCTTCTTGCATCAAGAATAAACAGCAGGAAAAATCTACCACAATTCTTCATACTTTGATTGCTATAAAGCAAATTCAGTTTCCTTTTAGCACAAAACCACGAGAAGAGGTAAAAATTCGCCGTTCGGGGCGGGGGTCTAGCAGTAAGCGGCTGGTATTTAAAGGCCGGTTTTTAGTGGAATCTCATCGAAATGAGCACAAAATCATTTGAAATAAGTAATATCGAAAACACGTAAGAAGAACAACGCTTACTTGTATTCGCATGCCATCGATTCTGATGCCAGTTTAGAACCGGAACAGCCAGCAGCCATCGCAAAACCAAATATCAGGTAGCAGCGCGTGTACCGTACGTAGCTACTAAAACGAAGAAAAGGAAGATTGTCAAAAGCACTAATTACATGGCTCTTGCAAACCAGATAGTAAGAATCGGGGTTCAATCGTCGATCAATAAAAAACCAGTTGATAAAAAAAGCCAAGGAGACTCACCTGAGATCGAGAACACCCAGCACGATTGACTACTGGAGCTGTAGCTGTAGCTGTAGCTGTAACACACGACACGACCGTCGGCGACCGCTTCGAGTTCGAAAAGGAATGCCAAGCAGCAGTGCACGAAGATTTATTATCATCCAATTCCAAGTCACCGAAATTATCGGCACACAGTAGATTCTTTGTGGAAAGCGAAACGAATTTGAAAAGCCTCCGTTCAAATTGAAGGGTTGCTGTTGGAAGGAGTTTTGAAATCTTTTGTAGAGAGCAAGAGAAAAGAGAGAGAAAGAACCTATAGAAACACGGGACAAAGACCACGGAGAGCACTAATCGTGATCGCGAGATTTTGGAACGAACCCGGGAGAAAACCGTTAATATCTCAAAAACGGAAGCGAAAATACGAAAAAGCGGACCTTATGTTTGAGCCTCGAGGATCTAGGATTCAGTGGAAAAAAGAATTTTGAAAATCGGCCGAGCGGTTTTGGCTCAAAACCGTTTGAATCGCGGGGCGGTGTGGATCTTTTGTTCGGGGTTGATTTGCATATCCGAATTTTAGTTATAGTGATTTTGTTGACTTCGTTTTGTTCTGTTTGTAACTTCTGTCATAAGCTGCTTGAAGTATACAAAAGTTATTTGTAATTAGGTTTTTGATAGAAAATGAAATTCAACAGAGACTCATAATCCAAGGGAGAGGGATGGTTCATTGAACAGAAGACTTTCAAGATGGCTTTAAAAAAAGCAAACATTTGAGTAAACTAAAGCTTTTCGTCTGACACTCTTCCGAGTTTAAAACGTCAGAACGTATATTTAAAACTCTACGCTAAGAAATATATATACCCAGTTGTGGATCGAAATAAGCCAATCAGAAACGCAAGCACATGACTGTGGAGGTTGCCCTGAGAAGACTTCCCGCATTTTTCTCAACGCAACAAACTTGGCAATTTTCAAGCCGCCTTCAAAGGGATAAGACAACCATGAAACTTATTTTTTATTGTTTATTTCAACAAAGCAATCCAAATGCCCTACCAAACAACTTGAGTTTTGCTAAAGGTAGAGGACAAAGTCGTTTCACAAAGATTGCCTGGTATTTTTCTTGGAGAATGAATAGCTCCCGAAGGTTGGGTAAATGCATGGGTTTTTGTGTTATTAAGGTGCTTACTTTCAGGAAGTGGTGTTTGGGAAACGACGACATATACCCCGGTCAAATGGAAGGAATGAATTTCTTTGTAGCAACGAAAAGGGGCTATGCCCCGAAAGGGACCCATGCTTTAGATTAACGCAATTTTTTTCTTTTCTAACGATTATGAAACAAGGTATATTTTTCTTATGCATCATATGGGTAAGGATTTTTCCTGTAAGGGCTCCTAAAGGCCTGAAAATAAATATCAAAGTATTTGAAATTATTTATGTGTTATTTATGTTTGAAACCTCTTTTCGACGTACTCAAACTCAGGAATGATGTCTTAATGAATGACATGGCTGTGCTGAGGTATTGAGAGTGATGTTGCTAAAAAGATTGACTTTAATGATGCTATCGAGGTTGTTGTCTTAAAAAGCTCGTACGTGGTACTGTAAAGGTTTTGCAAATTAATGGGTAACAGTTTGAAAAAAATTTATCGGAGCGAGAAGGACTCAGAAGTTGACTCACTTTTAATTGCCACGTAGATAATTTTTTTGAGCAAATTGGTAACACTGCATTCATACTTACTTTGTATAAATGCCAAAGGTTCGTGAGAAAGATTTAAAAAAGATGTCAAAAGATGAACCACGCTACAAAGCAGGGTGTAAAGCCCATTTTAACGTTCAACTTAAGAACAAGGGCGTTTCCAGGAACGAAAACAGGGCGGAGCCCAAAATTGTTTGCGTCTTCGGCCAAAATTGGGGCTCGTCAAGGCTTCTGCCCCGAGGCCCCGAAGCCCGTCCAGCCTAGCGGCGGCCCTTCTTGTACTGCCTCTCTCTGTTCTTGTACTGCCTTTCACAATTTTAAATATTGTGGCTGTAAACCCATGAAATACCCTTTTGAATTGGACATATTGCTTTTAATTGACGACCAAACTTTTTATCCTTCAGCTCCTCCACTTAGAAGCAAGAGGCGCAGTCCTTATAACGGAATATTGTAACGCGAGAAAATGATGGCTTTGGAAAATTGGGTGATACCCAGTCGTGGTCCAATCGATTTGTTCTGGATTTATAGGTTTGATTTGAATCTTGCCCTAAAGAGTTCTAAGCGTTGATGAAACCATTCAGGAAACAAATAAGCTGCCTTCCTTTGAATAAATCAGCCGCAGATATGTTGCTAAGCTCTTTTGATATTAAGTTCGGTCAAGGTTTAGCCAGAGGAAAAGCAGACAATAATTTTACTCGCTTAGCAAATTCGAAATACTTTGCCAGAAAGTGAGGCCAGAGTAAGTTCTAGATCCATCAAGATTCAGAAATATCTGAGAGATCCTAAGATATAATAAAAGTCTGAAAAAGAGAAAACTATTGAAGCCTAGCCTCACCTTTTCAGCTTTAATGAGGAGGTTTTGTTCGGCTGTCAGTATTTCCTTTATGGTAAGGACTAAGGACCAAGGGTTGTTTTGATATAAATCCTACAAAAAAGAAACAATTCTCAAGGAAATTGAAAAATATTAATTGACTTACTTTATTCTCCGCAGACTTCTCGTTTTTAGCATCCTTAATCATCGTGAAATCTAATTTCTTAAACCAACAATTTATGCTTAGTGAACTCATTGAAGTTACCTACACAGTACTGACTAAAGTAGATATACATACACCGCCTTATATACAACATTGCAAGCTGCTTCTGAGAATCCAGGAGGGTTTCTTAGTAATAAAAGACTAATATAAAGGGATTTGAAAATTTATGTACTCGCTGAATATAAGCCGTTTAATCATATTTTTAACTAACTTCTTCAAATTTTTCAAGCTATTGTTGCAGTGTTTATAAGCCTGAAATTACTAATCAAATGCAGGTTTTTTAGAGAAATGCACAAGATAAAACCAATTGACATCATCAACACAAAACAAAGACACAAAGGACGAAACCTCAACATCATAATCGAGATTTAAAAATTTCCTCAAATTGCACATTTACTATAGATTTACCCTGCAAGCTATATTTCTGCCTTATCAACTGTGTCGCGTTCATAAACAATAACAAATTTCGAAAGAATGAAAGAATTGAGTGGAATCGTGAAAGACTGAAGACAAGAAAACATTCTTAGAAAACATAAATATTCACGGAATCCCCATAAGAAATTCTTGGAAAACATTTTGGCTCATGACTAAATTATAAGGTTGAATCTGCACATTGGAAATCGCCCTAAACAATACACCAAACGCAATCAATATTTTCATTCATTTCTGAACAGAAAACGAAAGTTGTGTTTTGTGTTGAACCATACCTGTTTGTTATGTTTGGGGATTCCCCTACCGACAATCAATATGTACACAAGGTGGAAAAAGTGTAGACTAACTGAAAACAATCCAGTTTGAACTTAAGCAAACCATAAACTAATTTGATGATTTGCTTTAAAAATCCTTTTGTATCTGGTGACTAAGAAATTTTTCCAGCGTAAATGTATTGCCATTTGTTTACTGAAAAAAGTGATGATAGAAAAAATTCACTAATGTTTTGAATCAAAGAACTGTTACTTTTCAAGAAAACAAGCTAGTTGATTAAATTTAATCAGAGCACAAAGGAAATGAAGAATTTAAAGCTGTTTGGGGCTCTAAGAGGATCTGAAAAGTCCCACTATTATGCAAAATGCCCCAGTTAAGCAAATGTCCCAGGACAACAGGGACATGAAGCCTGCCCTTGTAATATTACTATTTCTATTAGTTTAATTTGCTATTTTCTCATGTATTTAGCATTTGGCTCACATTTACCTTGACTCATGTATAGCAGAGCTAGGGAAATCATTGTACTCTAAAACGTGATATCAAAGTACTCTAAACATTTGTGATTGGTGATAAACCAAGCTTCAATGATATTGGAATCTTTACAAGAAATAATTCCTTAAAAAAGAAACCGCTATTTACTAAGGTTTAAATTGAAGAAGCTAAGGCTTCAGGAGGTCAAATTCCCAGAAACACCATGAAGTTTATGGATTTTATTTTCCTTTTTTGAAATTTTGGCATCAATAGCTTTGAGAGCTAATGTAATATAGGAGATAATTTCATTTAGAGACATGTGTCTTGTCAATCATTGCAAATAAAGACAGGTCTTAACTGCAAATGTTGGGAAATTTTTTCAAAAAAGCTACAGAATATAACTCTGTTAGCTGCAAGACTTCTGGATTTGAAAACAAAATCCACATTAACATGCAATCAAAACTAAAAAAATTAAAGGACAGTAGATTAAGATACGAGGGTGAACATTCAATCATTGTATCTGCAATGTAGCATCAAACAATAAATATTCCAAAAGCAAGACATTTGTGGGGAAGGGTAGGGTTGAGAACAATATTAAACAAAAATATTCATTACAAATAATAAGAGGATGCACTTAAGTCAACTGCTTTGATCAAACACTTCAGGAAGACAAACCTTTATTTGCTTCTGTAGGTCTTTAAACCTCATTTGAGTAATCAAGTCATGAGGCTAATGACAAGAGCAAAAGCATATTTTATTCAAAAATATAAAAGGAAAGTTTAAGTAATACACTGCTTTTTCTATTATTGTTAATGCAATAAAAATAGAGGTTGCAAGCTTGAAGGCAGTGCACAGATTCAAATTTTACCAAAATTACAAATATGTAAATAATAAATTTTAAGATATATTGAAATATGTATTCATCTAGAGGTATATTACTAAATAAGATGTTAATAGATGTATATGGCAATTTGAACTAATACAATCAGATACGTAGCAATAAGTATTATTATGTGTGTCTTGTGGAAAGTATTAAGATATTGACATGGAATTGACTTGCAAAAGAATTAACATTATGTCACATATACCTGCTGTTGAGATTTTTCCCCTAACTTTTTGATTAGTTCATTCACAAGACTCTCTGCCTCTTGGGTATGTTCTGGTATGTTCTGATCAAATATACTCCTAGAAAAGCAATGCTTGGTTTAAATATACCTATCAAGAATGTGAAAGTAATAATTAATATAATTTTGCCATTCAAGTCTTCATCATGCTACAGAATACAATAGTTTTAAATAAAAAGTATAATTTTTCAATTGTATAGGAATTTCAAAAGGTTTCTCCTATGCTATTTCAATTTACATCTTGAAAAATATTTTCAGTTAAATGACTGAAGAATTCTCACAGAGCTACCCAGGCCTAGTAAATTTGGAATTACATCTTGCATTGTAAACTTTAAGAGTATCAGCACACTCTGTATCACAATAATCACTTTCTCCACATAAACGGTCATCTTTTCTTAACAATGTCAAGGCTAATTTATAGTAGCCTATACTTAAAAAAGAAATAGTGTAGCTTTGTGGTTTTTCTTATAAATTTATCTGCATAATCATTAAAACCTGCTGGATTTTACCTTAAAAAATTTGATTATTTTCCATTTCTGATTATAATAAAGACAACAATTTTTGGGAGAGAAAATTTTGGCTATATAAAATTGGACAGAAATTCAAATAAAATTCAAATTAGGTTGAAAGGCAAACATTTCATATAACTTACAAAATTTATACATATACATTCTATGCAATGTTGCTATTGTACTTGAATTATAAATTTTTTTAATTTGCTAGATTTGTCCTTGAGCTTCAAGGAAGATACCGCCGCAAGGCGCACTTTAGGCCACCCAACAAAATTCTACGCAATGTGTTCAAAAGTTAGCACTGCATACCATGACTGCGATTCAATCCATTCAGCAAACATCCCTCTCACTTCTAAAGGGAAATTATTACTCCCATAAATTTCTCCAAGCTTTGTACGAGCCTCATCATCGAGAGTTTGGAGCTTGTTCCAGAGCGCCATCTTTCATCTCTTCTGAGGCGGCAAGGTGGGGATCGAAATTACGCATGCGCGAGTATCTTCATGGAAATCAAATACGTCACCGATGATTTCCCGGACTCAGGATATCCCCTTCCAGTCCAGTTTGTTCAGTTTAGTAAAGTTTAAAATTCTGTTTCATACAAATGCCATAACCAGATTTTTGTAGAATGATTTAAAATTAAAAATCATAAAAGTGCGATAAGGAAATATAGACTAATAAATTAACAGCTTCAATGCTCAATGGATAAGTATCGAAGAGAGAGTACGCGACATGTGCAGTCGGTGGAGAATTGACTAAGTCTCTGATAATTGCATTTATTTTATCTAAAGCGCAATATTATATTCAAATAGTAAATTGCATACGACCTAGAAACATAAATTAACAGCATGCAGTACATCTCTAATGAAAGCAACGGTTGCAAATAACAAACAGCAGTGTAATATATGCATATAAAACACAACAAAACTGTTTTTTATTGGTTTTTGCAACAAACTCGGTATTAATGTGTATGGGCAAGTATTTTCGGGTTGCATACTCAACGCTTTGTTCTGAATTCTGCTTATTATTGCTGCAGCTTATTTCTAGAGAAATGAGAGATTTTTCTTCTCGATATCTTGGCATGATATCACAATATGTCGATGAGCCTGTGTTCTACAAGAATCGAATCCTGTTTAACATAGGTTCTAGAAAAGTCTATCTTAAGTGGCAACATGATTCACACTCAACTTGAACGCTGGGATGACCAAAGGGCAAGATGCAGGCTTCAGTAAAGAGAGGGTATTTGAAAAGTGATTCCTGGCTTCTACTAAATCTTCAATAACTCTCATTTTATTTCGATTTTCTTTAATAATTACATTATTTCAATAAATCTCTTACAAAAGATTGAAGTCAAGGCACTTTTATAAAAGAGTACTTTGCCCTCTTGAGCCCCCTCCTCATCAGAGGGCGAGAGGCGATGTTGCCCCCGCGCCCCTCTCTTCGACGTCCCTGACACTCAACCAGAAAATGAATTTCATTTTCAACACTACTAGACTTACACATGTCGCAGATTCTTTTTATACCTTCAATGGTTGATGGAATATTTTAACAAACCCTGGTTTGCTATAACTGGCGATTGACTATAACTGACAAGGAAGTTTCCTCAAGTGGTTTCCCTAATCAATTGAAGTTCTTACATTAGAAAGAGCCAATTGACGTCAAACATGACGTTAGTAAGTACAAGGAGCCAATAAGCGGAACTACGAGGAACATCTTTGGAATAAACCAAGTACCAAAGGCTCTAATAATTCAAGCAACGTTTGATAAAAAAATTGCAAAGTTGTAGAGAATCAGAATTTTAGTTGAAAAACTTAAAATATGCATATTTTGGGTATAATTCACCAGGTAAACTTGTAGATAGCCTCACGCTCTCCCATTTACACAAGAAACGATAAGGTGCAGGCACGCCGGGAGGGGGGGGCTGGGGCTGTAGCCCTCCACTTTTTCACCAAAGTATGTTATCAAGGTTGTGGCATCAAAGGTAGTGGTGGCAACCTACGTAAGGAACCTGCCCACGTTTCTAGAGCTATCCCCTACCACTCTAAAACACACCTGAGATATGGTGCCATTAGTTCCAAGCTGCTCAACCCACCACCTTGTGCAGAATCATTCTTGCGTTACCTTGGACCATCTTTTTTTTAAATTGATTTGCCCAACTGCTCCTTCCTTTCAAAGCTAAGACAAGAAACTAAAGGAGAAACTTTAGGCACCACACAAAGCACCAAAACTACTAAGCAGTTCATTCGTTTCCTAATTCCTAGAAATTCAAACAACATGACATTTGATTTGGCTAGAGTTTTTCGGAATAAATATGCTTACTTGACAAAAGTATTAGGACGATTAATAAGAGAATGAGAAGCAATAAAAAGATTGGGTCTAGCGTTTCATTTGTTTGCTGAAACTGCAAGTCAGTTTGGTTGCAGCAAGTCTACGACCCATGTTATTTACAAAAACAATAAGTTAACAAGGCCGACAAAAATTCAAAGAATGGTAGGCCAGAACAAGCCGACTATTAGTTGGGTCTAATGACGTCAGCAAGCTGGCGTTGTGTGTGAATTCAATTAATGCTGAATATTTTGTCAAATTATTTGTGGAAAGCGCCCAAGCAAATACGGAAACAAGTAACGATTCTTTGCAAAGACCATTCATTTCTAAGCAAGACAATCCAAAAACAAAAACATCATGGTCTTTCAATAACCCAGTCAAAGTCAAAGCCTTGATGTAATTCCTGCAAAAAAATCTTTTGAGATTTTGGCACAAATTGGTAGTTAATTGAAGATTTGAACCTATTGAGATTTCTTTTGGAAAATTTCTAATTGCTTTCCTGTTGTAAACATCCAACTTTTAAGAATATTTTAAGAAAATTGTTTGGTGATTGGGTCAGTTGCAAACTAGTAGTATGTAGATTACATAATTTCAAAATTTGTTGGGAATCCAATTGTATATTAGACTCTTTTCTGTCGTTTTGGATCTTCTTGCTATCAAAATTTTTCGAAATGTATCAGATGCTTTGTTTGCATGATATTTATTCCCAAGTGGACATACACTTACGTGACAAAAGTATCAGGACGATCGTCTCGAAGCAAATGTTGTTAATCCTTTGCTCAAAGAAAAACATATAAAATCGGTGGAACATAACGAGATTGCTGGTTGAGATTTTCGATGGCAATTTTACCCGATTGTAAAAATAAACATAAATTTAATAAATTGTAGAAAATATACTTTTAGACAAGTAGCCTTTGCTTTATTCTATATTTTGTCAGATGACCTCCAATCTAGGCAGCCACAGTGGCGTACCCAGGGCTGTAGTAGTGGGGGGGTCTGGAGAAATTTTTTTTGGACCACGCCCTTCAAACACTCGCAAATGTGGGGAAACGCCCTTTTTGCAAAATGTTCCCCCATTGTTTGATTCATTTTAGCAGTTTTTTTGCTGAATATTTTGTCAAATTATTTGTGGAAAGCGCCCAAGCAAATACGGAAACAAGTAACGATTCTTTGCAAAGACCATTCATTTCTAAGCAAGACAATCCAAAAACAAAAACATCATGGTCTTTCAATAACCCAGTCAAAGTCAAAGCCTTGATGTAATTGAAAACAACTAGCTTTCATAAAATAATCCAAGAAATGAAATCTTCTAAGGCCAAAAGTAATCTCTTTTAGGATTTTCTTTAGATTTCCTCCTGTATCCGAAGATATTTCGTTGCAAAATAATTTCAGTGAGATTCATTGCAAAAAGTGGCTGCCCAGTGGCGTACCCAAGGGGGGAACAGGGGGGTCCGGACCCCCCCCACTTTTCTAAAGTATGGTTCTCGAGATTTGTCCAATAACGATGTAAAACTCGGGGGGGGGGGTAGTATACTGTATGCTTGTGTCAATAACAATTGTAAAATACTTTGCTATTTGCCATAGCTAAAATGAATCAAACAATGGGGGAACATTTTGCAAAAAGGGCGTTTCCCCACATTTGCGAGTGTTTGAAGGGCGTGGTCCAAAAAAAATTTCTCCAGACCCCCCCACTACTACAGCCCTGGGTACGCCACTGTGGCTGCCTAGATTGGAGGTCATCTGACAAAATATAGAATAAAGCAAAGGCTACTTGTCTAAAAGTATATTTTCTACAATTTATTAAATTTATGTTTATTTTTACAATCGGGTAAAATTGCCATCGAAAATCTCAACCAGCAATCTCGTTATGTTCCACCGATTTTATATGTTTTTCTTTGAGCAAAGGATTAACAACATTTGCTTCGAGACGATCGTCCTGATACTTTTGTCACGTAAGTGTATGTCCACTTGGGAATAAATATCATGCAAACAAAGCATCTGATACATTTCGAAAAATTTTGATAGCAAGAAGATCCAAAACGACAGAAAAGAGTCTAATATACAATTGGATTCCCAACAAATTTACTCAAAATCAGATAGCAACTTGTTTTAAATTGAACCGTAAGTCATGTTACCTCAGAGGAAAAAATATAATTTGATTTACATTGTAAAACATTTACATAGTCAGAAAAAACATAATTTGATTTACACAGCAAAGCGCACGATGTGAAATTTTTAAACCTGTTCTCTCTACCAACATATACTTCAACTATATTCTCTCCACCATAAAATTTCTCCATTTGCTGCACTTTCTCAACTCTGTAAACTCAAATTTCGGAACAACCTAGACAATGTAAAAAATTTTGGTATTTCATTAGCCTTCAGGTTGGGAGTCTCTTGCACAGGCTAGTATTTCAAAAAAATTCCATCATATGATTAATTTTGAAATTATGTAATCTACATACTACTAGTTTGCAACTGACCCAATCACCAAACAATTTTCTTAAAATATTCTTAAAAGTTGGATGTTTACAACAGGAAAGCAATTAGAAATTTTCCAAAAGAAATCTCAATAGGTTCAAATCTTCAATTAACTACCAATTTGTGCCAAAATCTCAAAAGATTTTTTTGCAGGAGTGGCCCTTTGACATTGTTTTTTTAGATTATTCAGGCTCAGAATCGATGTATAATAACACACTGGATTTCGTTGGTTCACAACCCCACAAATTTCGTGGCCAAATACACTCATTTTTTTAAGAAACAAGGTCGATGATGAGTACTCCAGTTTCTTAATGTTCTTGAAATTTCAATACTCATTGTTTCTTAGTTATGAAGTTATGAGTGATGTTATGAAATGTTCGTGACCTTTTTTGTCACGTCAAAAGATTCGCTTTATACTTTGTGTCTTAAGTTCTTAGGCCAACAGGGCAATCATGTTCTTGGATTTTACAAAATTTCGTTGTTCTCAGTTTTATCACGATTTAATAGTTTCTTAATTTTTTTGCTTCGAGTACTGAAGTTTCTTAATTTTTTCTGACTGTCCAGTACTCGTTTCTAATAGCCAGTTTCTAACTAGAATATCACAATTCTTATGACGATGTTGTTGTTGTAACGATATCAAGGCGGGAAAATGGCGGCAGATGAATACAATATCCAATCTATATTTCAATCATTTAGGGAGTACTTGAGTACTGAACAACAGAAAAGAGAGGTAATCACGAAAAGAAAAATGCACATGCTGTTATTGTACTGTATTAATGCTTATGTATTTGAGGTCATTACGTATTTGCACCCAAGTGCGTCACGCGAAACAGTTTATTCTAAGTATCTAGAGAATATGGAGATAAAAGCGATAGAAAAAGTTTTCATGGTCGTGCTAACTTGACATACAGGCAGGGGTGGCGCTAGAGACAAACCTTCAAGGTGCCGAGGTTTATATTCTCCGTAACTGCCGACGCTGGATTTGTTAAATTGCCGACAGAAAAAAATTCGATTTGCCCCATATAGCAGGCAGGGCCGTCGCGAGGCAAGCCTCGTTGGGGGGGGGGGGTGTGGAATGCAAATTTACCTGATTAAAAAATTATTGCCTGAAACTTCTGCAATACACAAACCTCTGCAATACATTTTGTCAATCTAACTCTGTATGATAATAACCAACAACCAACTTTCCTAATATAAATCTCTATATCCGGACGGGCAAAATATATAGTTACTACCTGAGGCGGCACCATGGTTGCCGCCGAAGGGGCAGGAAATTTTCGAATTGTGATGCTTCTAGTTCCCTGGAAAGTGCACTCTTTTAAGCAGATTTCACTAAAGCAATCCTCCTAATCCTATTGAAAATTATTGTCTTTTTGCAAAACTTTTTTTACAGCAGATAAAAACAACAATTTCGCCGTGGTCTTGAAAAATACCAGGTTGTTAGTTACTTTTAAATTTAGATACCTCTCTCCATCTTAGCATGCCTTTTGAATGTTAAGAAAAATCTGGAGCTCATAGTGAATTGCAGTTGACGCTTCTACTGAGAAACTTTAGGAGAAATGGACACGAGGCACAATTTTACCTAAGATTGCTTGATCCTTTATTGATTTTATGACAGGAAGGTCTCTGAAATACCGAAAGCGTTTCTTCCACAGAGCGGATTTTACCTGAAATTTCCTATTGAGATACTATTGGGGTGGGTGTGACAACCCCCCAGTCGCGACGCCCCTTAGCAGCACCTCCAATGAAGGGGCACCGATATAAAGCATTTTTCCAAGAGCAAGCAAGCATATAGAGCAAGCAATAGAGCATTTTTCCAAAATCGTTTGTTGTGGGTGCAAAATTCTCCCTTGCCCCCTCCCCGCCCCCACTTTCCAACCTGTGTCGGAGTCCACGAGATTTTCTCGGCAATGTGTGCCTTGTAAGAAACTTAATGCGCAAATATTGCCTATTGTTGAATATTTCTTCCTATCTATGTTGGAAGAAGTTAATCGATGGTTTTCTCTAAACTATTTATTTGTCGCAAGCTATGCGGTGAACAATGCTATTGAAAAATAGTTGATGAAAAAGGACAAGAAGTGCTTTTTGAAAAATTTATTACGCAAAATGTGCTCATGATCGAAATGTTTTCATTGGCAATAATAATGTCTTGAAACGAAAAGAGAATCCCTTAAGAAGAAAATTCATTAAAGACTTTATTTATGACAGCGTGATTTTGCTGTTGTTAGGGTAAATTTCCTTGAAACGGTCCAAAACATGATCCAGATCAAGCAGCTCTGCACGTTTCGCATGAATTGGCATTCGCATGAGCAGCAACAGGGATTTCAACCGAGAGGAGCATGATGGTATTGTGGGTCATGCGAAGGAGCACCATGAAATTAAGTCACAACTTTCACGGAAGCGACAGGATATAATGCCACTATGATAGTAAAATTGCCGAAGAAAAGCCATTGAGAAGACCATAAACCAGCCAGTGCAGTTTTCTCTTCGATTATTTATGTCATTCAAACAACATGTAAACCGGGTGACATCCATCAAGTGCCGACGGTATTGAGAAAGCAAAAACTGATTGGCTGCCGACGGGGGGGCTAACAAAAATCTAGGGGGGGCTAAAGCCCCCCCTTGCCCCCCCATGCCGCCACTCTTGCATACAGGGACGGATTTAAGCAACAATGATTGGGGGGGGAGGGGTGTTAGACACTAATTGGATTTTGCTTGGTGCCGCATCCTTCAAGTCAGTGATCATAATGGAAACGCCCATTGTCAAAATTCGGTTTTTAACTTTAAGGTAAAGAAGATAAAAAGATAAATAAAGTAGAATCTTGACGTTATTTTGTTACTACTGACTACAATAAATGATTTTAATCGAACGGAAGCAAAATCTACCAAAGGACACAGAAATATTGGGGGTGTTGCACCCTAACGAATTTGTTCAATTCATTTCCAAGCATAGTTTTGCATTTTGAATTGCCCCCTTGGCTGATGCTCACCCCTATCATACAGCTGTAAGGTTTTTGTAATGAAATAAGTTTATTTTGATCACCATAATTATAAATCTATCGGAAAATATAATGAAAGGGATATTGCTACTTGCAGGAGATAAGAGAGGCAGTCAAGGAGCTAGAGGAGACAGCCAAAGAAATGTCAGCCACCACACAGAAAATTCACCAAACAACAAAAGAAACTGGTATTCCTGAACAATATATCTTGTTTTTAAAATACAACAAATGTTTACTCTGAATTTCTGCTACCATTTTAATGGCTCGTTTTTATGACACCAGCTAAAAATACTGTTATAAACTTGTTGAATGCTGTATGATTTGCATAAAAATTTAATCCCTTGTAGATATCAAAGACATTTGCAGCAAAGTTAAAGAGAATTTTTCAAAATGTCAGACACAGATACAAAGCCTGGATAGTAAGATACCAGTTGGACAATACTTTAGGTAAGATTTTTAAGCACTTTTGCAGTGTCTTCATTCTTTAACCTTTTTTATTCTGATAAAAGAATCATTTCTAGTAATAAAAAGGCAAAAACTGAAAGGTTCAAATTGATTTAAATGGTCTCAAAGTACACCTCAAAGGAGGGCTCTCTGTAAAGATTTTACCAGGTGCATATAGCTGGTGGTGCACCTCCAAGCAAATTTTTTATTGAGGCACTTGATTCATAACTTCTGGTTTTAAATCATATGGTAAGAGAAAATATCAGTGCTGTCAGCTTTTCCCTGCAATTTTTAAGCTTTTTGGTACCAAAAATTATGTAACAATTGTCTTTCAAGTTTTATAGACACCCACAAATAAAATTTCTATTATTTTGATTCTAACATTAGATTTGTAATAGTAATGTACTGAACAAGCATAGCTGGACTATAAACATGTTTTTAATCTAAAAATGTCTTCCTGTAATGATAACAGTGGCTACACAGATTTGAGAAGCTCTTTCTTCACTAGAATAATTAGAATCAAATATGGCCAAAGCAAACAAAAAAATTGTTTAGCTTAATAGGTATCATCTGTTTTCAAACAAACTAAGAAAGTACCATCAATTTTTTTGTTATGCCAACATTTGTAAACGGAAATTTAGCTGCCATGTTGCTTCGCAAAACACCTTGAAGCCTTGAATTTGTTTACAGAGTTTTCGACACCTGCATCAGTCCATTGTTTATCATTAAGAAAAACATCTTGATTTCAATTTGATTTCAAAAGGAATGGAAGTTTGTAGGACAGTAGAAGTATACACATTGTTAAAATTTAAACAATATGCACATTAAAATTATAATGTTAAAATCAAACAATATTCTTATTGTAATAAGAATATCAATTCAGTTGACAATTGTCTTTCCCTAGATCGGTCTTTTCTTAGAGAGAATGAACAAATATAAACCTGTTTAACCTACACATCTATTGATAGGCAGCCAATCACAATAGAATTATGTTCTTTGGTAGAGCTAAATGCCAATTCAAATTGAATAGAATTTTAAATTAGTTATTTGTCTGTTGACTCTTATTGTAATTAGTGTCTTTTAATTATTGTAATTAACATCACTGTTTAAATTGAAAGCAATAAATTTGTAGGGTTTTATTCTTGCTGCTGCATTAATTTAGATATGTTCTCTAGGTACTGTGACCAATGGCGAATGACAATCCAGCGGTTGGCATTTCTGTCTTCCTATCTGGTTTATCTGGAACATGACCGACTGCCTACAAGAGAGGAAGTAGCTGACAACCTTGGTGGTATGTCAACTATGATATTTCAAGTAAATTGTTTTGGGCTGTAAGCATTAACAGGAAAGTACCAGCAAATTTTGCCTAGTTCTCTATCTATTTTGGTATTTCGAGTGCAAATATCAAATATTCTTTTACATGCAAGACTACTTCTGTTACTTTTCAGGATTTCCTAAATTCATCTTTAAGGAAAATTGATGCTATTTTAAGATGGGGGGCGTTCTCCTTGATAAGTTTACCTGATGAATTTGTGTATTTTATTAATTTCTTTAATCAATATATCAATTTTTGTAATATTGGCTAACATTCTTTGTCTTGTTGTTCCTAGTCTAGTTATTTCTACCTAAAATTTATGTAGTGGAATTTAGAATATTTACAACTGAAACTTAGATCTAAGTCTTTGACTTTGCAGTAAAGGATAAAATTTTAACAATTATGAAATGAATTCTTATATTAAATTAAGTTTTTTAAGTCTGTATAAGTTTTAAAGCATTGACCCTAACCCTCTTTTCGTTTGACACAGGTGAAATTAATTCTACTTTTAAGTTTTGCTCGTGAATAGTGGAATCATAATATGTTTAAGCATAGTCCATTGGCTCTCCATAGTCCATAAGCATAGTCCATTGGCAGGGCTTTTTCAATTGACTATGGTTATATGTTTTATGTTTCCACTTTCTTGGGTCATTGTAAAATGTTATGGTTAGAAGGAATGGTGCTAAAGTTGTGATAATTTGCTTATTCATCATTACCTGTTTCATAATCAAGTACTTAATCCAATCAGTGTCAAAAATGGTGCTCAAATTAAATTTCCTGTTATTTGATATCAATCTTTCTTGAAAAGGTCAAATCAATCAAATTCTTAAAATTTGAGGCTTTTCATTCAAGTACCTTTTGTGGGCGTTCAAAGTTTCATAATTTCAAACTTTTGATAAGGTAATAACATATGCGTTTCAGCAGCACCAAAAGTTTGGCTAGAAGTTTTCTGCACCCTGCTTTTTCTCCATATTTACAAAGAGAGCTTCTCCTGGCTTTCTAAAGATACCATTCAAGATAAATTTAAATACATTCTTTATTTTAATCTGTTCTTGTTTTGGTAAACAATTTGGATGGAAGGGCAAAGAAAAACCAAGGGAAAACCATTTTTTGCTTCAAAATGCGTAGGCTTTAATAAAGCAGTTTATACCACAATGACTTGTTTACTTGTTTTTAGTGAGACTGGAGTGGAAGGATGGTTTTTTCCTTCATCTTGATGACTATCTTATTGGATTGCTGCTCCTAGCAAATGAGTTGGTAAGTTTTCACTAATAAACACATAAGTTACAAAATGGAGCCAGCATTTTGAAATTGAGTTCAGCCTCAATTCTCTGTTCAGCCTGATCTTTATTTCTAATCAAGTAAATCCCCAGATATCTAACCAAGTAAATCCCTGTATTGAGGTACTTTATTTAGCAAGCAAGGTGCTGTAATAATCTCATATAAAAATATTCATGCATAAAATCACTGTATATGGACATGAAATATACATGAAAGTTATTGCTGAAGATAATAATACAAATATAGACTACACCCCAAATTAAGCTGTACCAATACCACTAGAGGATATGTTATGAACAGAGAATTGATTAAAATTTTATTTGGCTTTAGCTTGCCAAGTTACCTTTCCGATTATTCTCTTTTTCTTTATCCCTCCTGCCCCCAGAAGCTGGTTCAGATTTCTAATCAGAATTAATAAATTGAATTAGCCATTAACATTATCTAAATTTATACAATAGTTAGAAATTTTTTGTTAGAGAACAAACAGAACAAAGGTTCCTCATTGTAAAACAAATTCTTGTAACTTCTCCGTGGCTCTAAAGATTTATTTTTTAGTCTCTCTTAACAGACCTTATCATGGTTATAAAAGCACATTACCACAATTCACAGCATATCACCATAATTTTTATCTATCATTTCTTTATTTTAGTCTCGACTTGCTGTCAACAGTGTAATATTAGGCAACTACAGGAGACCGTTTGCAATAGCTGCTTTACTTTCAGAGCTTGATGCTGCATTTAGGCTGCTGAATTTAAAGAATGATCCACTGCGAAAAAAGTTTGATGGACTAAAGTACGATCTTAAGAAGGTTGAGCAGGTTGTTTATGATTTAAGTATCAGAGGACTAAACAACTTCGAAACAGATCAAAAAGATAATAGTTCTAATTAAATAAAAAAAGAACTGTTACCATGGGTCGCAAATAATGGAATATATTTTCAGTTGTGCACAGTCAGATGATTGTTGGTAAAATCAGAAAAAAGTGACTAGTATACGATCGTTTTTGATACTGGAAAGTAAAGTTTAACATATTTTGTAGTTTTTAAGTATTTTTCAATAACAGACAAAAGAAACATATTTTGTATTCATATTTATTGCAATAGTCTTAAAATTCATTCTATATATATCACGGTTAAAAGAGAGTCCTTTCATACAAAGTGCACGAAAGGCATCAATTTATTATGGGCGGGCAAAGTTACAGTATCAAATGCGCAAAGTCACAGTTCATAGCAAAATCAACTTGAATAGTTGCTCAAATGGCAGGGTAGCAACCCTGGAGTATCCTGCATACTAGTTAAACTAAATGTATGTTAATGAGACTAAACATTCCGGGTCAACGCAGCGCACAATGCAACATAGACTGGCCTAAGCTATCCAATACCTGAAATGTATGATTTGAAATTGAAATTTTTAGATTTTGGCCAAAAAGCTGTGGCCAAAAATATCCCCGTCAAATTTTATTTGTTTTTCCTTCACAAAAGAAAACTCTACGCTCCTGACATGACACCATGTATGCCCTCTATCAAGGTATTCTATTGCATGAATTGGATTTGATGAATATGGCGGTAGAGACTCAGTCGACAAACGTATTTATCCGCTTTCCCAACTACAATAGCTGTGCACCGTAGGTTTAACGATCTTGTTTACCAAAACCTTTAGCTTATCATTTATTGCGCCAATCCGTCTCTGTTTCGCTTTACAGTAATCTCCTTTTCATGCTCTATATTTGTCAACCCTGATTTCAGGAATAAAACACATCTGAATTTGCCAATCCACCAACCAACCATAACCTCGTTATAGTAAAATAAATGGGACGAGAAGAGGCTCATTCATGCTAATTTCAGTGGGAATGGCGGACCATTTTGACCGTATTCCTGAACAAAATTTTCAGCCCAGAGTTAATTCTTTAAGTGGACGGCCAGAGCTTGGAATAGGGCAAGGATTTTACGCTAATAATTTAAGTTTCCTTCAACGCTCTGATACTTTGGCATCGGGATCTTCTACTTCTAGTCATGAGAACATTAGTGTCCTGTCCTTCAAAGGAGATGGTCTGCCTATGTATACCACGTTCGCGGGCTTACGCTTGTCCACCAGGAGAAGACCTCGTCGGAAAGGAAGTAAGAGACGAGTCTACAATAACAGAATATCGTTGACAGAAGCTCAAGTTGCCAGAAACTGTGGTCAAGAAGCAGACAATGGTGAGAATGGAGAACAAGACATCGATCTTGGTGACGATGGTGATGAAGATACAAACATGTCTATTGCCGAGGATGAATTTGAAGGTCATCTTTTAAAATAATTTATAAAAAATGTATCTTTATAAGTGTAATATGTGAAATATGCACCGTGCAGCCATTATTGGGCTAGCAGGGGCTAAAGCGCCCCTCGGCACTTTTTTGCAATAATAGGTTAGAAAAATTTTAAAAACAAAACCAGTTTTTCTTGACTGGAGACCCTTTTCGTTCATTTTCTTGGTATCTTATCTCGTTAATCAATTTTTTATAGCAATTGTTATCTTCTCTAAGTCGGACTGTTTGAAGGAAACAAGTGTTACACTGCATTATTTTTTTAAATAAGGCATTTGCAAATGTTTTAAGGGTGTTGACTCAAAAACATTTTTGTCGCACCCTTCTCAGCCCACCCATTTTTAGTCGGTTGCACTGTGCCTGATGTGAAGATGTGTTATTTGGTAATATGTATTTGGTAATAAAAATATTTTTTTTGCGGTTTCAAATTGCAGAGAACCCATTTCATGCAGCCATTTTAACACATTTTGTTTACCTGTCAAGATACAGCTGTTGCTTTCCTTAAAATACAGTTTTTTTATTCGATTAAAATGACATAAGTTTCAAGGAAGTCAAAAATGGAAATTCAATGTAAATAACAAAAAAAGCCATTATGAACCTTACACAGTTAATTCTTTAATTCAACATTGGTAAAGATTTTAGTTAAGACTGTCACATTTAAAAGTAATGATTGAATTATTCTCTGTTAATTTGAAACTGCATTTTGAACTTGTACAACGTCACCTGCCTTTGCACCAGTTTAGTTTCTATATGAAAATTACTGTGTTCAGTTCATTCCAAATTGATTTTTCAGATAATTATAGAGTATCAATGAATGAGATTGATGAAAATGTGGTGATTGAAAGTGGTTACAAAACAGCTAATACGGTATGATATGAGCTTGTTAAAAATTTGCAGCTGATTTGCAATGAATCTCTAAAATTCAGTCCTGCATGTTGTCTTTGTTACATTCTGAATGCACAGGGAAGCAAGTGACTTCCATTAATACAAGTATGTGGTTGGTATGATTTTTATTATCATTTTTTTCACTTTAAGATTGATATGGTTGAAGAATCATATATATTTCAACTTCTTCATGCCCAGTCAATTCTGGTAATTGATGGTAAGAAAGAATTTTTGGTCCAAGACTTTGATGAGGAAAGACAGACCCTAAAGGTTGTATTTTACCTAGGTTAAACATTTTTTGCTTCATTGAATTCTTGATTATTACCTGCCAATTTGTATATTAAAATATTACTTTGTTGTGCATCTTAGGCCCTTGTTACACAATATTGGATTGTCATTGGAGTGCTATGATTTTCATATTGGATATACTTTCCACCAATTGCAATTCATGAGTACTTTCCAGTAAACAACACTACACATACAGTTACATGGAAATTACTCAAGTTTGATTGTAGAATAAAGCCGCAATGTTCTGGTGCACAGTGTAACATAGTGTTAACATATCAATTATTTTGAAATTGCCTGTATTGTTAGTGATGTTTATTTTATGGTTTGATATGTTTTGTGGTTATTGCTCTGAGTTGTAATAATCAAACATATGAACAAACATGACAGAAATGTATGTTTTTTAATCAACACTCTATCTTAAAGAGTTGAAAAACAACTTATGTAATATTGATTTCATCTGCTATAGCTAAAACAGTCATTCCTACTTTCTAGCTAAAGAAATTCTGTGTTGTGGAAAGAGTTCCAGTGGAATTTCTTGACGCTGTCCACTGGCTATATAGTTGCAGTTGTTCCGTTTCTTTGCAGCAACTTATAAAAGGACTTTCACGTAAAATATTTCAGGAATATAATGGTAATTGATTAAATTTATAGCATTCAGATATTTTTAAATGTTGATTATTTACCTCAATTATCTAGAATTGGTCAAGTTTATTTATAACAAAGTTTTTATTAATGTCATTTTAACTCTCAGTATCAACATTTCACAGATTTCAAACATCAGTTTGATGAAAGCTACAAATATTGTTTGCATGTTAAAGTGTTAAAGAGTATCATAGAGTCATGGGATGCAGTAGAAGGGTTAACAGCTGCTAATTGTTTGGATGGTATGTTATGTCTGATAATACTTGATTCCCATTTGTGGTAAACATAGGATTGCATAATGAAATTACAAGTTAATTTTTGCTTTTAGACTGCATTTTTGGTTAAAGCAAAGTAATAAGAGACAAATTTGGAGGAAATTGGGCATAAAGGGATTTGAGAATGAAATTTTCTTTGTGTCACATTTGTTGTCTATTCCAATTAAAAACTGTTTATGTAACTTAATGAATACACTCAAATTTAAACCATTTGTTTATTTTTAAGCGATGTTATTTTTCACAGTCCTACTGACGATAAGTAAATTTTCAATTGAATCTTTTTCAGAATAGTTTAATTTTGATTTTGCATGGCAAATGACCATTTCTGAGTAATAATGATCATTTCTGTATGCTTTTATGAAATTGAATGTAAAAACTAGAAAATTGAATTTCACGTATTGGGAATGTGTTGGTTAATTATTACTTCTCTGATTATTGTTATTTTTACAGAAGCTGTTGTAGAGCATTGGTATACGAAGGTTTGATGAAGATGATTTTATAATTCGTAAATACTATATGCAATGTAAAACCGAAGTAAGTGATAATTGTTAGATTTTCTTGATTGCAGTATGAATGATAATAAATGTTTAAGTTATGAAAATTCTTACACGTGAGAAACCCTGCAATTTTATGTTTAATGCACCCTCCTAGGGAAACGAATGTTGTCAAGCCCCTCTGTTTTAGTATACTTCTTTTTCAGTACGACTAGGTGACAGTATTTCTTTTCAGGAGAGACCGAAAATTGTGGAATTACCGTTTTCCAATGATGCACTGATTTGCATAAGGCCTCCTGATCTAGGGTTTGCTGTAGTTGGAATGGACAAAAGGGGATTTTTCTGCTCATTTTGTGAGAAAGGGAATAGATCATGTGCACATGTCCGTTGTTTACAAGCCTTTATAAAGAAAGAAACAGACATGGTACCAGAGTTTGTTTTGGAAATGCTGAGTTCTCATGAAAGGATTTCTTCAACATTCCAACGACTGTACTCAAAATCTGCCATATCCAGGCGTGCAATTTTTGACAAAGTTCTGCCGTCACAAGTCGATATTTTCAAAGGCTTTTTAAACAATACGTTTGATGCTACAAACAAAGATGATTTGAAATTGTACCCTGATGTTGAAAAAGGCAACTGCCTTTCTTGTCATGCTGACTTACTAGAGGAAACGTTTTGGCATAATGACAAGAAAAATCTCTTTACCTTGAAGAATGTCTTTAATGTGTCTGGTGAGTTGCCTCAATTGAAATTATTTCGTATTATGAAAAAACGATGGTACCAAAACTGGAGAAAACACAATATCTTTAGTATTTATTTAGTTTTATTAGAAACAGCGAGGTTTCCCTAAGATATTGGTCTCTTAGTTTTTTTTATAAAGTTGGAACGCCTGTTTGTAACTTTAAGAATAACTGTATGTGTTGCACAGTTGTAACGAAGTTATTCGCTCTTTTCTTTTCAGTACCCTATTTCAAATGCAGTAATCACGAATGCGGTCGTTTGACAGATTTTGATGGAGGTGCAAAAGGAATTTTGAACCAAGGAGATTTTCTTGTTGCCCATGACGTTTTACGAGACTATATGCAGCATTTTTTGAAAGGACACAGGTTGGCTGATACATTCTTCTTGAATTAAAGTACCGTGTTGTGAGTCTGCTGCTGGAAGCGGATTGATTTTGTAACAGAGTTATTCGCTCTTCTTCAGCTGACAGCATTGAGATGTTACAGACTCAATCAGTCAGAATAATTAAAGTTTATGCATTGCCCTCATAGAAATAATTATAATAATGGAAACTTTTCATTTTGAATTCAAGTTACAACAATTACAAATCTCACTATTGCATAGGAAATTTGTAACTGGCTAACCTGTTTTCAGAAAATAAAACTATTACAAATGGGAGTAGCTCCGGGTTAGTCAAAGTTTTGTTCCTACAGCAGAATATGTAATATGTAATATGTGGTACGAATGGAGATGCTAGAAAGTTTGGATATGAGATAGCATTTCTGTTAGTATCTCCACAGGGTGGCTCTTTATCCTGTGGAGATACTGGTTATGGTTATTCGTACTACGTACACTCATGAAATATTTTATTCTTGTGTCGGATGTGTCAATTTCGAATGATTCAATACCTTTCCAACATCGCAAAGTACAAAAACATTTTTGATTAAATCAGTTTTACTTCCTTCACAGCCAGAGTCTTATCAGCTACCTGGAAGTTTGGAAAAGCAATTTATCGTTCTCTGGCTACGAAAAGGGCCCTTTTTTGAATTACCAACAATGGAGATGTAGTTGGTATTCATTCCTAGAATTATTAGACATTGATTATACGTTCGGTTTTCAGTGCCAAATCTGTGGTCCATACCCAAATGTTGTAATTTGTGACGCAACAACGTTAGGGTTTCGCCGACATTATGCGAGACAGGTTGATGTGAATATTGAGAATGAAAGACAGACAGTAAGGCTCAAAGGAAGATAAGTTTTCGGCTTTGTTGCATTTCCTGTTCTTATGCTGTGAAGTTATGGTTTTATATGATGGATTTGGTTTGGAATTCTAGTTAATCTGGGTTAGCTTAAGACTCATTGCATTGAATTGAGACATGAATTTGAATTTTTAAGCATTTTGAGTATCATACTATATTTCAAAAATGGACAGCGTGTAAATGTATATAACACTTTACAATAAGAATAAGGATCCTTTTATGGAGCAAAACCATTAATTGAATCTTATTGAAATTTTCTACGTAACATGCTATGTTTGAAACATCTCCATGCGTTTTTCTTTTATATTTGGCCCGTAATCAATGTTACTTTGTTTCCTATACAGTTTAATTGTTGTCCTTAGAAGTTTTCTTGAAATTTCTTTAACTATACTGATTTTAGCGACAGAGTCTTCATGCGCCACCCCAAGGCACGAAATCTATTAAGAAAGTTCGCGAAACGTAGACAACTGGAGCTAGAAGAGCGCCTCGAATTGGACAGGCTTCTTGATGAAAATCACAAAGTTTTGTACAATTTGTTGGTTTATTTTGAGCAGCTTTACGGTGGTGCTCTGCATATTCATGAGGAGATATGGGTTCTTTTTAGATGTATTTCGTCAGTATCACCTGTTTCATCTTATTTTCCATGCTCTGAAACGTTGAAGTCCTTGTTGGAGAAGCTAGATGAAGGAATGGTTATAAGAGAGAACCCAGAAGCATTTATGCAGCTGCAAAAATGTGCTCCTGTGATATTTGCAGTATTAAAAGTGCTACCCCCTGTTTCTGTTCCTAGCAGATTAATGCAGCTTTTTAAAGAACTGAGTGCCAGAGCGTGGTCATGTTTCTCCACAGCGCAACATACACTAGGTCCCGTTGCGGGAAATGTCGGAAACAGCGATTTGTCATTTTTTCCTTCATGGCCAAAGCTTTGCGAGCGAGGGGTTTATGTCAAAGATCACCGGCAACCATCTTCTGCAGAGAATTGCACGAAATTATACAAAGGGCATCCAAATCTTCTTCCGGGCATATTTACGATATATTGTGAACACGGTAGGAAACAATATCATTGATATGAATATAACATTTGAAATCTTAATATTTCTAAGTTAATTGTTTTCAAATGGCCTTTTTATTTCTTAATTTCTTACGCTTTTATAACAAATGACGTGTTTTATTAGATTAAATTAGTAATTAATTGCAAAAGCCCTTTAGAATATTCGCTGCCTGAAGCTAAATCTGTTTATCCTTTATTTGAAAATATTGATTCATTGCAACTTTTCCCTTTGGGAAATTTATATTAATATGCCTCAAACTACATCAACTGACGTTATATTTGATCAATATTTTTTGATGTCATGTTTCAAAATTTCCCTTCATGCGTTTTGTTTCATGTCAGAGATTTGTTATGGGTTTCAAGTCATGGAGCATCAGGAGTCTCCGAATATACCCTATACTGTCATACGCACACGATTTCCGTCAGGTATCTTTGTTATCTGTTCCATAGATTATGTTGTACCTAACCATGTCCAAACAGTTATGACATTTAATCCTTTATAGAAAGGCTATATATTCTATGACAGGAGTGTTATGTTGCGATATACATGTGCAGTTATTCCTTTAAAACAAGATAATGGATGATATCAAAAGCTTACCCGTGAGAAAATTTTCGGGTCCAAATGCTTTGCTTTTTAAACACTTTTTTCTGTTGTTTTTAGCTCCCGATGCAATCATTTATGACAACTGCTGTAATCTGCACCAATATTGTTTAAATAGAGATCCGTCATATTTTCGCACCTGCAAGTTTTTAGTGGATCGATTTCATTGGAAGAACCATACTGGTAGTTATTATACGTTTCCGCCTGCTCTTTTTGTGGACTGCATCTATGATTGTAATAGCTACAAAGTGCTTCATATTTTGTTAATTTGTGCAACTCGAATTAACAAGATTTGATACTTTCCTAACTACACTAGTCTGAAACGAATAATTAAACAATCTAGATTGCTACGGGATTGAATGCAAAATCTGCTTACTATTGTAGTTTGGCTAGTACGTATAAGCAGACAATGTCTAATGCCTTTTCCAATTCTATCTCGTTCTGGCAGGATGCGCAGAGAGCTACGATGTATCTCGTTATCCACGGTTTGAAGGGATAAACACTCAAATTAATGAACAACGAAACAGTACCTTGAAAGTCCTAAAGAGCCAGCTGTCTTACATGAACAAAAAAAACTTCATAAACCATTGTAAGTTATTTTTGTGGTACCGAAACGAACTGGTATCGAAATAGGTTGCTGTGGCAAGCGATGCTACTACTGTAAAACAACAGGACTGTCAATGGTGCCCGGCAACTTGACTGTCGGCAGTTATAATTCATAACTCAAACAAGTGTAACGATAAACACATTTCACGACATCTAAACCTGGTTTAATTTAATAGTAACATCAAACCTACATCCCCGAAATGTTAGTTTAACTGTTTTATAAAAAAGCATTTATTATAAAGCAGTTACTTGAAGACCCCTCTAGATCTCTTCCTTTCCTCTAGAGCCAGCAATTAATTCCCGTAAAGTAGATTTTGCTGTGACCTTCTTTTGCCCTTGTCTCGTAGTTCATTATAATTTGCTCTTTATTTTTTATAACTGTTCTGAAACTATTGTAATGGCATCCTGATTGGCGTCATTACAAGTGGAGACTCGTGGATATATTGTCTCTCTAAACTTCTGACTTTGAAGTTTTGAAAATACCCCATGGTAATAATCGCCTCTCAATTCTAATTTCGCTGCAAATCGCTGGTAATTTACAAGTCACAAGTAATTTAGTAACTATAGTTGTAATGTAGAAACAGTATAGATTTTTCTTCTTATGAAAGCTCCGAGAAATAACACTAATGTTCTTTATTGTGTCAGCGTATCTTCTATAGCCTTTAATCCCATATAAGATTCTTTAATGTGAGGTTTAAGCAATACGTGCACCAGCCATTGGTTATAAAAAGGTCAAATTTTGCCAAAAATTCAATTAACTATGAGTAAACAGATGTTGAGGGATAATTAATCCAAGTAGGAAGTTACAAAGATTTGAAATGTTACAAATCATTTTAATAAACAAAAAATACCAGAAACATAGCGTTCTAATACGTGCACCAGCCATTGGTTATAAAAAGGTCAAATTTTGCCAAAAATTCAACCAACTATGAGTAAACAGATGTTGAGGGATAATTAATCCAAGTAGGAAGTTACAAAGATTTGAAATGTTACAAATCATTTTAATAAACAAAAAATACCAGAAACATTGCGTTCTAATACGTGCACCAGCCATTGGTTATAAAAAGGTCAAATTTTGCCAAAAATTCAACCAACTATGAGTAAACAGATGTTGAGTGATAATTAATCCAAGTAGGAAGTTACAAAGATTTGAAATGTTACAAATCATTTTAATAAACAAAAAATACCAGAAACATTGCGTTTTAATACGTGCACCAGCCATTGGTTATAAAAAGGTCAAATTTTGCCAAAAATTCAACCAACTATGAGTAAACAGATGTTGAGGGATAATTAATCCAAGTAGGAAGTTACAAAGATTTGAAATGTTAAAAATCATTTTAATAAACAAAAAATACCAGAAACATTGCGTTCTAATACGTGCACCAGCCATTGGTTATAAAAAGGTCAAATTTTGCCAAAAATTCAACCAACTATGAGTAAACAGATGTTGAGGGATAATTAATCCAAGTAGGAAGTTACAAAGATTTGAAATGTTACAAATCATTTTAATAAGCAAAAAATACCAGAAACATTGCGTTTTAATACTTGCACCAGCCATTGGTTATAAAAAGGTCAAATTTTGCCAAAAATTCAACCAACTATTACGGAACAGTGAATGGAACTTAATATTGATAAAACTGAAGAAGTTATCTGCTCTTCCAAAAATCAGCAATCATTCCATCCGTCAATTGAGCTAGGAAGTCAGATTATCACTAGAAGGAAAGAGCAGAAAAATCTTGGAGTAATCTTAAATTCTAAACCAAACTTTCAGTCTCCAGTTAGAGAAAAGCGAGCGGGGCACTGGCCCAATAAAATTCCTTTCAAAACATGTTTCTAAAGATGTTCCTTATCAAGTTCGCGAGTTTTACCCAGATATGAGAAGCACTGACATTTTTTCCTGTTAAGACAACCCAAAACACCAGAAATCTGTTTAACGAAATTCCTTCTGAGCGACCGATACCTTACATTTAGCGGCACAGCTTGATCCCAAGACTAGGGGATGGAGGGTAAGGAGTAGCAAAATTTACCGACAAAGACATCTAGACAAAAATCAATCTAGATGCTATTTCACATACAGATAGGCGATTTAGCCGATTAACCAGGGAATTTTTTGCACCAACTAAAATTTACTGACAAACTCAGGAAGAAATGGAGGGGGTGTCACACCCCTACGCCCCCCACTAGCTAAGCTCCTGCTTACTTTATTCGAAACCCACAAAATAATGACCCAAATGCTTATAGGAAAGATTTTTTTCTTATAAATATTTGTTAACACAGTTTATGAATTAAATCTCCTCGACAGTGCAATAAGGATTTCAAAGTCAATTTCAGGATTCAAACGCAAATTATTGTCTTTAATAAGGCCCACAAAGAACCGGTCTTTGTAAATTCTCAAAGAACAGAAACAGTATACTTAGCCAAACTTCGATTGCGATTCAGTCCTTTAAATTCACACCGTTTTAGACTTAACTTTGATTGCCTGAGCCCCTTGTGTGTTTGTGGCGCAGGTGAAAAAGACAACAAGCACTTTTTTCTGCACTGCCGTTTGTTCCGAACAATCAGGACATTTATAGGACCCGGTCAAAACGAAAGATAGAGAGCAAGGAATACGGGAGGCGGACTCTTCCAAGTGGTCCGAGGAAATTTTTGAGACGATGGTTGCTAAAATTGCGGCTATTTGGATGCTAAAATTGCGATGGTTGCTATTACTTCTTTGGTCATTTAAATATAGTTTAAATATTTACTGGTATACTATCGTCATAATGCATGCACATTTCTTGGCAATAAAATATGCAATTATTTTCATTTAACAGAATCATAAGAAATGAAAAACACTTAAATACTAAATTTGATCAAAACGGACATGCTTTGAAATATTTTACATCTAGCAATCAGAATGCAACCTTTCAATTTCAATAGAAAAACTAGTTGATTCGATCTTGGAAGAAGCTTGCGTAGACGAAGGGCTAGATGTCACAAAAATATAAAGACCAAGAGAATTCAGTCAAGTTTATCTCTATCTTGAAGCGAAATTGAGAAAAAAGCCTTAGGTGAATTCAAATTTAATGTCGGCATTGTCATTATTGATAGTGTTACAGCAAAGATGTTTAGGCGATTCACGTCAATTGGCGAGATATGGGAGGTGTTCAGTATTCTTTGATTATACACAAGGTTCAACCTAGCAAAAAGTGCCAAATTCTGCGAAGCATAAAAGGATGACATATCTCCTAACATCACTGAGAAGTCACTTTTTCTAAGGAGCATCAACTATTGCAGCTGTTGAACAGGCTTAAGCATTTGAATTTGCAACGCTTACTTCCCAATCTTTTCATTGCATCAAGGTTGTTTCTGACTTTGCCTTCTTTTGTTATAAATGAAGTATTATCTTCGCTTTACCGTTGGCCAAAACAGGCTTAGGTCGTTGGCTTCAATGTCCATGGAAACTGAAATTGCCGAAAAATCTGACTATAGCTCCAAAATTGAATTAATATCTCTTAGTGTTATTAATAAACTGAAGTGTGGCATCCATAAGAATTTTGTCGGCAAGTACATTTAATTCGGAGTTTCCATAGAGTATTACTTCACAAAGTGCCGTTGGTGGAATTTTGAAATTTTGAGTGCAGGAACTTCACGTTTAATATTTTACAGATGCAAAGGCTTGGTAATTTAACTATCTAAAAAATTACCTACCAGCTCTGTTTGACAAACACAATAAGGTTAATACTCTTGCTGCTTCTACCTTATTTTATTTTAAAGGTTTTTACGATTATTGTTTCTATTATTGACAGGTTTTGATAATGGAGAGACTGAATAACTATTTTTTACTTTTTCTAAGCTATTTTCTGTGGGCCCATAAAGTCATGGGCCCCCGGGTCAGTGACCCCCCTGACCCCCCTTTCCTCAGCACTGCAAACAATGTGGAACTAGCTCTTTGGTCAGCTTTCTGAAGTTCCTGCACTCAAAATTTCAAAATTCCACCAACGGCACTTTGTGAAGTAATACTCTATGGAAACTCCGAATTAAATGTACTTGCCGACAAAATTCGTATGGATGCCACACTTCAGTTTATCAATAACACTAAGAGATTCTGTTAACTGGAAGAAACTACAACAGCTAACCCTTTTCCATGTTCTTTTCTTGATTCAACTCTATTTTGCAAAACAATAAAACTTTTCACAAAATATTTTGTTATGGGTGTTAAATTTTCCCTTCCCCCCACGTTTAAGCCTGTGACCCAACTTTTAAATCGTAAAATACAACTGTTTCCTAATAGTCCAAATTTGACCTTTTCGTAACCAATGGCTGGTGCACGTATTAGAACGCAATGTTTCTGGTATTTTTTGCTTATTAAAATGATTTGTAACATTTCAAATCTTTGTAACTTCCTACTTGGATTAATTATCCCTCAACATCTGTTTACTCATAGTTGGTTGAATTTTTGGCAAAATTTGACCTTTTTATAACCAATGGCTGGTGCACGTATTAAAACGCAATGTTTCTGGTATTTTTTGTTTATTAAAATGATTTGTAACATTTCAAATCTTTGTAACTTCCTACTTGGATTAATTATCCCTCAACATCTGTTTACTCATAGTTGGTTGAATTTTTGGCAAAATTTGACCTTTTTATAACCAATGGCTGGTGCACGTATTAGAACGCAATGTTTCTGGTATTTTTTGCTTATTAAAATGATTTGTAACATTTCAAATCTTTGTAACTTCCTACTTGGATTAATTATCCCTCAACATCTGTTTACTCATAGTTGGTTGAATTTTTGGCAAAATTTGACCTTTTTATAACCAATGGCTGGTGCACGTATTAAAACGCAATGTTTCTGGTATTTTTTGTTTATTAAAATGATTTGTAACATTTCAAATCTTTGTAACTTCCTACTTGGATTAATTATCCCTCAACATCTGTTTACTCATAGTTGGTTGAATTTTTGGCAAAATTTGACCTTTTTATAACCAATGGCTGGTGCACGTATTAGAACGCAATGTTTCTGGTATTTTTTGTTTATTAAAATGATTTGTAACATTTCAAATCTTTGTAACTTCCTACTTGGATTAATTATCACTCAACATCTGTTTACTCATAGTTGGTTGAATTTTTGGCAAAATTTGACCTTTTTATAACCAATGGCTGGTGCACGTATTAGAACGCAATGTTTCTGGTATTTTTTGTTTATTAAAATGATTTGTAACATTTCAAATCTTTGTAACTTCCTACTTGGATTAATTATCCCTCAACATCTGTTTACTCATAGTTGGTTGAATTTTTGGCAAAATTTGACCTTTTTATAACCAATGGCTGGTGCACGTATTGCTTAAACCTCACATTAAAGAATCTTATATTGGATTAAAGGCTATAGAAGATACGCTGACACAATAAAGAACATTAGTGTTATTTCTCGGAGCTTTCATAAGAAGAAAAATCTATACTGTTTCTACATTACAACTATAGTTACTAAATTACTTGTGACTTGTAAATTACCAGCGATTTGAAGCGAAATTAGAATTGAGAGGCGATTATTACCATGGGGTATTTTCAAAACTTCAAAGTCAGAAGTTTAGAGAGACAATATATCCACGAGTCTCCACTTGTAATGACGCCAATCAGGATGCCATTACAATAGTTCCAGAACAGTTACAAAAAATAAAGAGCAAATTATAATGAACTACGAGACAAGGGCAAAAGAAGGTCACAGCAAAATCTACTTTACGGGAATTTATTTATAATTTTAGGAGGTTTTTAGTGACGTTCTACAAAGTTCATAAACAATTTTGCTTCCAACAGATGATGCTTTTGTGTATGCGGCTTTGAAAGAATGTTATCTGCAAAAAATCTTAGTTTCGGGTTTGAAATTCTAAAATACATGGGAAAACGAAGAATCATTGCACACGGAGCATAAGAAAATGATGCATTAGGAAGACTGAGATTCTAATAATTTTTAATGCGTTCATTACTTAAAGACCATCGTTCAACAAAGGTGCAAAGTCAGGGGACTAGGGAGATTGAGTCTCCTTTGAAAAATATGGGGATCCCCCCTGGGAACTGCTAATGACTGATCTTAATCTATCATACTTCGCTTCTGTCAGGTTTGATAAATCAGCATTAAAATATAAATTAATTTCAAGTAAAACTGAGTTTAAAGGGCTTGTTTACTTTTATTGAGGTGTATCGCTTGTTTATTTTTAAAAATGAGGTAATTCTTTATTTTCATCGTTCAACGTAAGTAGGTCAAAATTAAATATGCTTTACACTTCCTCATTTGCTTCAAACACGACTTTTCTTGAATACACCAATGGAACCATATTTTCTTTGTGTATAATGAATGCAATGACCTGGTTGAAAATAGAAAGTAAGATGTTTTTTTGTTGTAAATAAAGTTATGTGTGAAGAGGTATGAAGAGACAACGGGTTACTTTTGTTATAAATTCTCAGAATTTACTTTGTATCGATGTTGATATGAACTCAGAAATTAATCATGAATTCCATAACATTTGACTTCGTAGTTTTGATAATTTAGACAATAATTTGTCACGCTGTCATTACAGGGTATTACAACATACAACAGGGAAACCCAGCAAAATACAAAAAAAATCGACAGACCTCTGGCATGAAGACAGAATTTATCAGTGTTATCCTTTTTGTGACGTCGAGGTTCCTAAATTTTCCCACTTGGACGCTGTGACGGTATAAATCTTGCGACAATACTTCAGCCTAGAAAAAACTCTTCGGACTATTTATTGTGCTTATGCAACAAAAAAATGATTATCCTGAATTTTTGGTTCCGTATGAACGAATTAATAACATCGAGACAATTCGCGAGATATTCAACACCTGAATCTTTTATTGTTGAAATGTACAGCTTTGAAAAACCTCACTTTCCACCAACCTTGGGTTGGTGTTTTCTTGCTCTTGTCCAATGGCGACAGATTTTAGCCAAGATTCAACAGCGTTTAAAACAAGATTCAACAGCGTTTATCACTAATAGCACCGTAAACCAATTTGAACTGAAAGTAGGAAGGTTAATGTAGCTAGCAAATATGGGGTTTTTCTCTGATAAAATATTTATGAATATAGAAATTTAAAAAAGCCAGCTCCTGAACCTTACCGTTTCATCGTTGAGCATCCAGAGACGACGGCCAATAGTACGTAAATCACTGAACTTGCCTTTACAGAAAAGTCTCATTACTGCCGAATAAACAGTACCTTTGGAAATGGCATTCACGAATTTCTAAAATAATTGGAAAGTATATTATTCATTATTTTTATAAGGATCACTGGTTCTTCAAAACGGTACATATCAAATGATTTTATAAAATATACGTGATTATATCATGTGAAACTAGAGCGACTATGAAGACGTTGACAGCCAACAAATCTGAGTCTTACCAAACTTGGCACAATTGTTGCACACGAAATAGCATAATATTACTACCGATGGAAAAAAGGCCAAAATACAGACCCTAATGTCTCCTTTCTTTTCCAACAAAATTTGCTTTAATCGGAACGCATTTCTAAAACAGGATAAGCTGTAAAAAATAATAACAGTATAAAATGAGACTGAGGAGGTAATTGACAATCCAATGCAGAGGGTGCATGTAGGTCTAAGATCAAAGCTAGCATAATATAAATTAAAATAGCATTAGTAAAAAATGGAAGGTATCTAAATATCTTGTATTCGATGTTACCAAAGTGAAACAGACCCATTAAATAGGCATATTCGCAGTATTTTGAGCAATATCCATCCATGAAGATTTAGTCTCAAAAAACAGAGGCAAAGAGCAAAACAAAATAATATATATGTCAAGCCAATGATTTTACACTTAAGTATTTTTATTATCCATGATCAAGCCGTGAGATATTAATTAAAAAACCTGGTCAAATTTTCTTGTTTGTAGTGACAAAAACATCTCCACTTGGTGGTATCAGCGGTATCAAGGTTTGACACTACAGCACAGCGAGTGTGAAACGTCCTGAGGCATAATTCGCAGCGCACTTCAGATGTCTCTTCATCCACATCATCAAAGGCCTTGATGCAAAATGATCCTAAACCGCAGTTGTCGGAAAAACAATTTGCCTCATCCCTTTCAGGAACCACCAAAGGAACAATGTGGTTAACTGATCTTCCAACTGTTGTTGGAACCCACAGTAAGAAGACATCACCACAATCATCTCCTTGATAAATAATCCGCCTTAGTTCACTTTGAGGTGAGAAGGAATGAACATTTACGTCAAAGGCACCAGCAATCAAGAACAAGTGAAGCAAGGCTGTAATGAAACAAGTAATACATTCTGAAAATACAGTTAAAATTAGTCAACATCATTCATGTACACACCTCTTTATTGCAGTTGACAAAATATCCACCACTGTAATAAAATCAGGGACACCAGTGATTAATAAAATCAGCCACACCAGGAATTACAAGTAAAATAAGTTCAATCGGCATTGGCTATCATACTGAAGACATATATAATTGTGAACAATTTTTTGGCGGTACAGAACTTGAAAATGGCTTTGAAAAAAGCAAACATTTTATAACATATTGGCTAAAAGCTTTTTCGTCTGACACTCCTCAGAGCATAAAACGGCATGAGCAATTTCATTGTCAGTAAAATTTCTGGATCTGTTACGTGCTGCTATTATTCCTCCAAGAAAAAGTAATGTAAAATACACCAAGCAATTTCACGAATGAGGAATCGCTTAATTGCAAATAAGAAGCAGTAACATTATTCTCTCTCTTACTTGCATATCTATACTTGTCAGCAGTGCGAAGGGTCTCCTCTCTTACACATTTCAGGAGCCTCTCATTTTCATCCTCAATGCGCGCGAATTTGTCGGCAATATCATCGGTTGTAATTATGTAGCGCAACAGGCTGACATCAATTTGTAAATCCAAAAGCTGCAGAAGGCAAGAACCGGTGTAAATCAGACATGCTAAAGAAGAGCAGAACTTCTGTCTGGATCTGATACACGGTTAAGGTGGTGTTAACTCTGGCATCAATGCAGTTAGAATTTCCTAACAATAGCTGGCAGGAAAACTGACGGATGATTGTAATGCACGACGACAACAACACTTACCTTTTGCATAACCTCTTGCTCATGCAGCAAACCATATCGCAAAGCAGAGAGCTTAATCCAACACCAATTATTCTCATCACCGAATAATGCTGTTGAGACAGATCGATACAAGCAGGTACCATCTGCTTTAACCTTGATTGGTTCCCTTCCAGTTTCAAGAAGTTGCGGTGGGACATAATTGCGATACCTTCAGAACATAATTAGAAAAAGTTGACAAGAATGACACCATTAACAAAGCATAAAAGTACCCAAAACTAACAATTTGCTTGTTGCAATTGTCTAGGGCGATCCAAAAACAGCAGATCCGTACACATCCACTATATCCTAAAAAACCTCGAGGACTAGCTCCTTAACAATTTCTCCAGTCAAGCAAAACAAAGCGTCAAAAAACTATCCTGAAGACAACCCTTTAAAACCAGTGAAATAGTTAGAAAATGAACTAACATAGTCTGTCAACAAGTTGCTTTTGTGATGGTGAGAAGATTGATATACAAATATATCTGAGAGATGTACTACGAATTAGGTCTTAAAAACAGGACTTCTCTCTCCTCGGTATGTATATTTGAAGTTTTTAACAATAGTTACCATTGTTCTATTTGCTTGCGACTGACATGCGATTCGATTGGCTTAGCATGCTCTGTAGGTAGAAGTCGTACATACTCGCGCAGTAGCAACTTCGAACACCCCTTGAATGTCTCGAGAAAATCTTCACAATTTTCTGGACTCCAACTGTAATTCTGAAAGAGAGTAAATAAAGGATCAAGATTACCATGTTCGCTAAGCAGACGCAAGCACAAAAGCTCCAGAAATTGTGTAAAATACACTACATTTTTGCACCCCGAGTTATCAAACAAAAATAAAATGAACAAAAATTAAAACAAAAATATTTCATTTTACTTTGGCTTTTAAATGAAGGATAACGGATCTACAAAAAAGGGACGCATTGAAATTTAATAAGAAAGTATCACACCTTAACCGCTTCTTTGTAAAATTGCAAGGATGCTTTTTCCCTTATTGATAACCTTGTTTTGTCTTCCCTTTTCCTAGTTCGCCCCAATTCTTCCGACGCAGCACTGATATCTTCGTTGTGCTCTTGGCATGCTTCACCATCACGTAAATGTCTCTCCTGTTCTTCCACTCCGCTGGCTGCTTCATCGGACTTTGTCTGTTCCTCTGCTACCTCTTCATCCATTCTCTCCTCTTCATCCATTTCCTCGTCACTCTCGTTAAATGTTGTGGTGTCTTCCTCTCTCGCACCCATCTCGTCATCACAGTCTTCCGTGGCTGAAACTTCGCTTTTCCTGACATAGGAGAATAATGATTCCAGGATAACATCTAAAATTGCCACAATCGGTCTCTTAGTTTCTCTGGAACCAGAATTTGGGGACACGAATGGAACGTGTTCTGGCCACCAAACTGGTTTGTACTTCTCCTGCCACATGTGTTTTTTCATTTCACCTTTATAAATACAAAAAAATATGCCCACATACACAAAAATTTGGTACATTTGGTACATGGGTACATTTGGAATGATTCAATTTGAAATAGAAATTGATTGGCGTACTTATGTTTTGCTAAAAAAATAGTAAAAAACATTTTCACAAGCATACACATGAAGTATTTATGATTAAAGTCTTCAAAAGTTCAGTACAATGAATGAATTTGAGCACTTCTACTTCTACCAAAATTATTATTTTTTATAAACAGTCTGGCTTTTAAAGAGACCTATCATCTTCCCAGAAAATGCGAAAACAGTATAAAGGGATAATGACCATTCTTTAGCAAAATAAAAAAAATTAAAAATAAACATTATACTTACAATTTCCAAGAACTGCCTGGGTAATCAATTTTCTCTTATCATTTATTGCAAATTCATTTTGGAGTGACTGGAGGCTATTTTTTTCAATAGTCTCAACGACGAATTGATTGATTACTAAAAGCATAAAATAATTGTCATAAAAAACAATCAATACAGTGCTAGGTCTGATTTAAAGTTTCACTTCCAGAAAACCTCAGAAAAGTTACAATAATGACATAGAAACAGGTACAAAATAAGGCAGGCCTGACCATTCGATGATAGCCATAGCTCTCGCTCCCCTCCAGGCTCTCCTCAAATGCTGGAGGGGAGCTACAAATTCCTCTCCTGAATTATTCTAAAAAGTACATTGCTCTTCTTGAAATTAATTTTTCCTTTGTTTCTATTATTTTCCTATCTACAAATAGCTCACCTGGAATTACTAAGAGAGCTGCTTACTGCTTCCCTATTAAAACTCTTATGGCCAGGCCTCTTGAGGCAAATTCTTTCATTAACATATATTACAAATACTTACTTCAAACAATTCAACTGACAAACTTAAGTCAAAAAGATCTCTTAAAATCTAATGTAGTACAAAAAGTATACTGTTTCAAAGAAGAATGCTTATTTATGCAGCACTGTTTGTTGGAATCATGAATTAAGATAAACTTTCTGATAAAAATCCAGGTAAGTTGCAATGCAAATAACTTACCTTGTTTCTGTTTTTTACTTTTTCTATTAATCTGTTGGAAAGAGTTTCTTTTCATCACATTAAGAGCCACTCTTTGAAATTCCGTTTTCACGGTCTGATTCTGTGCAAATCCTGCAAAAGCAGGATCTCCTAAAAAGGTAATATGGTGCACATTATGTTATATATGAGAAGAATCACTGTTTATTAAAGCATGAATGACATCAAACAACATTTACCTAAATGCATAACATGAAGCTTCCCATCTTTATCTTTATGGAAGGTCAACAAAACAGCAGGAAGACCAGTTGTTTTCAACCATTTTTCAAGCTACAAAAAAGAATATGGATTTATGAATCCTGTGCACATGTTTTTTTTAAAATGAACAAATTATCTAGGAAAAAATACAAATTAATATTATAAGGATTACAAATATTGTCATTTAAATTGACAATAAAGATTTATGTGCTTGTTGTTAATGAAAAATCTGAGAAGTAGTTTCTCACCTTTCTTTGAATGCTTTTACAGTAGCGTTTGTCTGCTTGCTTCCGTTCAGCTGCACTTTTGATAAATGCATTTCTGCCAGGACCACGAATTTTCTAAGAGAATATTTTATTCAGTGCAAATTACTATCAAATCAGAATTTTCATTTACATGAATCACCAATGAATGACTAAACATATCAAATTTAGTTATAGTAGAACTTATTTATTGTACAACCAAACTTAGCCTTGTACAGTTTTGTGAGTGCAACTACTGGTCCCAAAGAAACTTCCATTAAAAGCATTCTCAATTTGAAAAAGGTTTCATGGACAAAGCCATCTGTGAACAAAGAAATTTCTGTGGAAACATCTGTGGACTTGGCTCAAGACAATGAAATTTCTGAAACTTGATGGCTTATCCAGCAACTTTGCTGAAATATTGTGAAACTCAGTAACATACAAGGGTTTGTTACTATCAGAAAAAATAATAAGCCTGTAAGGATTGAAATCTCATATATATTTACAAACTGGAGGGCTGGTCCCAGTTGAATGAGCCTTTAAACCTGTGTGTTATCAATACCAAGCAACTTGTTTAATTCAGCCAAAATGCATACAGTAAATTCTTTCCTATCAAGATACAATTGCCACAATTTCTTCTTGTATTTTACCACACATTATGACACATCAATGTTCAACACATTGATTTACATCTGCTGTTTATTATACTCTCATTTACTCTCAATTGAAATAGGTTGACACTTAATTGCAAAAAAGGATTTCAGTTTTTAACATCTAGGCTCTTGACCCTAATCACCCGAATTTAACAAATTATTTCTTTCATATGGGGAAATGGTTCTCATCTTTCTCCTGGACTTAACATTCGTCATGCCTAAATCCCTAATAGTGCATTAGGTTTACTCTGATTCATTGTAAGGCTCATCCAAAAAACCACACTCTCCAAACTGTATACTTGGGACTTAAAAGAAATATCTGAAAAACCTTTCTCTTCTTTTGAGGTTTTCCAAAATGGATCATAATCGGTAATTTCCAGGTTTGTTTTCATCATATGAAGAGGTTTCCAAAACGTATAGGCAGATGGGATGAAATAACAATGATAAATATCTTAGTCTGTCTGATGAGTGCACAAGCATGAAACTCAGAGAAACAGTGAAAATGTACCATTTTCAGCCTAATTTGGGCTATATTTAAAAAAATTACGTGGGTTTTTCCCATTAAGGCCTAAAAGGGGGTCCAGTTGGTTTGAGGGTCTTCCCAAATTGCTACCAAATGGCCCATTTTTGGTAAGAACTCAACTGCTCAATTGCCATTTATTATAGATAATGAACAAGATTTTATTTTTCCGGAAACAACAATACCAGTCAGTTGTGAAGAAATTTGTCAAAAAGGACCAGGGGGGAGCACAAAGAAATGGATGCTACCAATGACATAATAATTTCATGCTACCATTTGTTTTTATGCTACCATTTGAGGGTTACTGTCAACAAATACTACCATTTGAGGGTAATTTTTTTAAATTTTAGCGTTCGCTCTCTTTGACCCTGACTGGGGCCCCCTGTTAGGCCATAATTGGAGTACCCCTACCTCCAGTTTGGAGTGCACAGTTTACAAAGGATGCAAATCTTGAAGAAAATATTCTTGATTTGAATGTTCAAATAGCTCAGGCTGATTTTCATTACATAAAATGAATTTCAAAGATATAAAAAAATCATACATACTCTGCTGCTAGTATTCCTAATTTCAGGCTCCATTTCTGTAGTCGCCATGATTTTCGATTTCCCGCCCAGTGTTCCCGCGCCTCCATATACTGTTACCTCATTTCAGGTTACTTATTCTTCTTAAACGAGGTTATGGTTGGTTGGTGGATTGGCAAATTCAGATGTGTTTCATAGCTCCTGATTTCAAAGCAATACAGAACGCCGGCTACATATCCAGCGAGGATTTACCAGGGGGCCGTTGCCCACCTTATTCAGGCTCTGGCTTCCCTGTCGCGCAATTGTCCTTTGCATTTCCATTTACCGACTGAAGATCGACTTTGTGCGGCTAATATTCTTCTAAAGTGCCTCCAGAGCGGTTTAGCGATTGCTTGATAATTTGATTAAATCGAGAATCATCCGCTTTGCAGAAAACTACGAGACTAGTAAGCCCCTTAATTGTAAAGATTTGGTATTCATTAGGAAATGCATGCGATAAGTTTTTTGTTTGGAACTGTCCAAACATCAATTCCCGCCAAAATCTGCTTATTCTTATGCACAAAGTTTTTCATTTCCAACATAGGCTTGCTGTAATCTCCTTCAAGAAATTAGGCCAGATCCGTCTAATAAACGAATTACCTTTCATTGGATACGTGTCAGTTAGAACGTGACACGATATTTGGGTTTGACTGTCCACCCAGTAGCGCATCTAGAAATGCACTTCGGGCGTACGTTTTACATTACTGTTACGTGATCAATCTTAAACGGAATCGATGGTGCTTTAACTAATGGTAAGAAATCAATCCCCTTAGCTCAAAATGATAAAAAATCATTCCGTTGGTATTGAGGAATAACGAACGATAAGAGAGTGTTTAGGTGTTTACAGATGCAAAATACTCTTCGGCTAATTTTCTACAAGACTACAAAACATTTCCTGACAATCCACAAAACACTCTTATAAGAACCAGTAAATTTAAGTTCAGGCTGACTGTTCTTAATTTTTTCGAAAATCTGAGGCTGGATTGTTCTTAATTTGTTCCTAAATTAAGAGGGTGTAAGCAGTGCTATTGCTAGCTTTTTCGCTCTAAGGATGTGTTCAGGCCTCATTTGCCAACAAAGTGAGTGAGACAGCCTTAATTTGCTGACAAATTTGAATATTCACCGAAAAAGCATCCACACCGCTAAAAATCCTCGATTTTGAGAAAAAACGTTGTTCAAAACTGCATTTTGCAGAAGCTCAGCCTCAGCTTGTTCTTAATTTGTTCTTTTGACCAGTTTGGAGGCTCGTGTTCTTATAAAATTTTTCTTATAAAAAAAGAGAGTGTGTTTTACGAAATGGTTGTCGATTACTTATTGGCGGGATTGTATAAATCTTCCGAGGTTTTTGGGGTATGGAAACTTGAACTCGAGGGTTTATGCCTCTTTCCAAACACATTACAAGATTTTTAGATTAAGGTTTTTCTAGATTAAGGAATAAGGCGTACGAGGCCCTAATGGAGTGTTGTGCTCCTCGCTTGAACCCATTTCCACCTTAGATAAGAACAGTGTACAAAGTATCAAGAGCATACAGTTTTAAGCTCAGAGTCACAGTTCCAGGTGCTCGTTACAACTAACGCAACACAAGATAAATCAAGTAAAATTATTCTCATTTTCAAATACATTTGCAATAGCATTTGTGAGAATGAGATTATTTCGTTGACAACAAGAAACAAAACATTATCAAAGAGTACGGTTGCAATTATCAAGCGGTTTGGTCACAAAAATTTTATAAAGCAGGCCGAACAACCTCAGCTGATTTGGTTTGATTGTACTAAAAATTGTCATTGTGTAAAGATAACCAACGCACCAGGACAGAAATTAAAGCTTCGAAGAAAGCTGCTAGTGGATTTGACAGTGGCGTTGCAATCGATGCAGTTGTACGCATATCAGTGTATTTAAGGACAAAATGGTTTGCCAGAACAAGCAATGAGAGCAGAGCATATGATCGAAAGCAACTGCTAGCTGTAGACAAAGTTGTGAGATAACAGAGAACGCCTACAGCAGAAAGCAATGATCTGTAGATAATTTCTGGCGTGAAAATTGGTGTTACAACATTGAGCGAATGAAAGATTAAGTAAAAATTGTGAGGCTGAGAAAATGGATTTTTTCTAATGCTCCGATTGTTTGAAGAGGGTCTGATTCTGCAACGATGAAGTCATAAAAATCTATATAGTGATCATCATTATTTATCCGGCTAACGTACCATCTATGTGAGGCTGTTTTCTACATGGCACGCCCGTTTCTATTGGATTAGAGCGTCACCCTCAACAGTATGACATTCAACTGGTGTCGCTTAAAGTTAGACGATACTGGCGGTGAGCAGGGCAAATAGTTGCTAAAGCAAGTAAAGATCTATCGAATTCAACATTTCTACGACGTTAAGCTTTTATCATTGACAAGTCAACAATATCTGAGGTAAGAGTATCTGGATAAGCATTCTTTCTGTAACATGTTGGTAAAAAAATGCAGAAGCAATAGCAGCCAATTTGATAGGTGCAGCACTTCCGAAATGAGAATAGAGGGACATCTTAAACTTAATAATACCTTTTTTTAATGTTAGTTTTACCATATTCAAGACACTAAAATACACTGACATGAAGCAATTCAGGAGAGGTTGCACTATGAAGTTTATCGACTGCAAGCATTTATTTTCAAGGTACTGATTTCTGATGAACATCTTAAAGTGATTCGCATTTTATGATGTCTTGAGTTCATTTTGAAGCAAATTCGAAATCTTTCGACCTAGAAAGCTAAATAGCCTTTATACCTCAATTTTTAGTTTTGACCTTAGGAAAAAAGAATCATTTTTCGAAGATTATAGCTAGTGGATAGTGAGAGGAAGTAGTTTTTCATAAAACCTGGGTTCAAGTTGTGTAAAATTTTGTCAATTTGAAGTTTCAACATCGTACTAAAGTAGAGCCAGCGTTTGTTAGGAGATTGATGAAGAATAATCTGTGTGCGCTGAGAATAGGGCCCTTCATTGAATTTTACAATTTCTTTTGGATTGCATTCCTGCAGAACAACCAGATAGAAGGGCATCAATTTAAGTGACAAAGGCATGACTGAGTTGAAAATAACTGGAATCTACCGTGTAGTCATAAATCCTAGGAATCGCAAATATCACTCTCCAGATACACTGGAACAATCTGGTTCCCGTTCGATATCCGCTAAACGTTCTCCTAAGATCTGGTAACACTAGATAGTGAAAGAGATTGCTGTATCAATCTAGGATTCCTTCTTCTTACTATGAAATAAACGCTACCTATCACTGGAGCTCAAGAGACGTACAGTTCTGAAAAGAAATATTCAAGTATGAAGTGTGTTTCATACACAGTTGTCCATAATGCACTGATGTTAAAAAATAATGTGGGGAAGAAATTGCTTTTTGTTAAAAAACAAAATAAACTTCAAGAAATTAGTAAATCTCGAAGTTGAATCCAATCAATGTCCGCAATTGAATCTATAATTCCAAGAGGTATTACTTGGATAAAGCAAATGTGCCATGGTACAATACAAATCTGTTATGTTCTTTCACGAAATGGCCAATTTGCAGAAAATTTGAAACTGTTTGTATAGCTAGATTTGGTATTGATTTGTTTTACGTATGTGTGGGAAGCACTTTGCAGTAAAAATTAACTGTAGATGCGTGGATAACAAGAACTAAAAGGTAATACAAGCCCTGTCCAGGTTTAGAGGGGCAATTACCCTCCAGCCATTGTAAAAGCTTTTTGTTCTAGACAATAAACGATTTTAGACATTTCGCCATTCCCATTATTCATCTAGTTGCAAATTTGGTCCCTCGTTTCAATTGAACAGAGCAGGAAGTCACTTTTTTGTCCTTTTTGCTCATTTGGCACATGCCCCCGTCCCCTTCCCAGAATTTTATCGTCGGTCCAGCATTTGAAGTCACGTATTATGATTAGAAAATCAAGGTTAAGATCTAAAGAGATGAGAACTTTCGAAGGACTTGGCAAAGATGTTGTTGAACATCAATAAACAGAATAAATTCAATGCATCAGAAAAGTTCAACATCATTTAGTTAATATAAAGTCGGTTTTTGTAGTCGAATCTGAATTAAAAAACGCATAACAGTCTTCTTAATAGACAGTATACGACTTAGGCTGCATTCCAAAAATGCAAAGTCAAACGTGGCGGCACCAAATGAAATGGTGTCTGGAGCGTCTACCTGATGTTTGGATTAAATGTCTAAATCTGGTTATTGCCGGTGCCTTGGGTTACAAGCCAAAGGCGTCAAGCCTGCTACTAAAGCAATCAAAATGGGATTTTAAGCTTGGTAAAACCAATACATCTTGTTTACACTATTCCATTTACCATTTAATCTTTTTTTTGTTGTAAAACCACTGACCTGGACTTTAATTTTTACTAGGTTGTGTTTTTCCAAAGTTGGTAGAAAGGACAATGTATTGGCGGCAGCCTACTCGATACAGACAGTGCCATGGAACACAAGCATGAAAATAGAACAGAGATCAAATATTTGAAAAACGCACACGAAGGCAATACGAGTTTATATTCCAGTCATAATACAGATATCAGAACATTGAACATAAATCTTTGGTTCTAGGACAGTAGCAATTGTTGGCTAAGTAAAAAATTCGAACGCCAACTACAGAATTTATGAGTGACAATTTTCAGGAAAAACCAGCCAACCCAATTGCTATTGAATATTAAAATGGAGATGTTGAGTAACTCGTCAAATGGGACGACACAAAAAAACCTTGCATCTGTGCAACGTTCTACCAATGTTTACTACGGATTGAATTTATATGACTATATTTTGATTGCTATAGCTGTTTGTATAGTAATCATGAACAGTTATGTTGTTTCAGTGTTTCTTCGTAAAAAAAACTTGCGAAGGAATTCAAGCCTGCTCTTACTCAGCCTGGCATTGGCAGATCTTTTTACAGGACTGGTCACTGTTCCTCTTATAATAGCAGGGACTGTATTAAGACAAATCGACTTCAATCGGTTTATAATTGTGTTTCTGTTAGGCGACGTAGCAACTGTATTATCCGCATCCCTCACTATTCTAAGTTTATGCGCTATAACAATGGACCGTTACGCGCGCCTTTGCTTTCCAGTGCGACATTTCGTGTTACTCCAACGTCAACGAGTCATAACTGTATTTTGTATGATTTGGGTCGTGGCCATTTCTTATTCTCTGATTCCATTTGCCTGGCTTCACATGATTCTGCAAGACAACCCATCAGAAGAAACATACGAAGCAGTTATATCACATGATACAAGATACGCAACTGCTGGAGCCATCATCTTCATAGTGCCAGTGTTGGGCCTAACTGCTGCGTTTACGCATATGTTCTACGCAATTCAAAAGCTCGGTAGCAACGAGCGCAGACGATCAATTAGGCAATATGAAGAGTCATTGCGGCGCAAAAGGGAGCGGAAAGCAGTTATTATATTTGTACTTATGTTTGCGGCATTTGTCATCTGCTGGGCACCATGGATCATACTTAGGCCCTTTAGTGATGACGTCTTCTCCAAAATCCCGGTTCACTTCCTAAATGTGGCTATGCTGATTCGGTTTCTTACATCTATATTCAATCCACTTATGTACACGCTTCAAGAAGCTGAGTTTTCTCGGGCATTTATGTTAGACAAGAACATATTGGTGGCCTTTTTTCGATGTCAGTCTTATAATAGTAGAAGGGGGACTTTCTCAGGGGAAACGGATAGTTTTTACAAGAGATCGTTCCTAAAGTCGAGTGGAAAAGGTAGTTCGATACAAAAGGATGAAAGCCACCATGAACCTGCGAATATTGTGTACTCACCCGTCGTTCACAATGGACATTTGCATCCAGGCGATTTGCAACGTGAAAATATAAAGCTTCAGTCACTGAAACAAAGAGAAGTAGAGAACGATCAAAACCTTCTCGACTTTCCATACGAAGGCACAAAGCTTTTACCGCAGTTAGTGCTGCGTGAACCAAGCCTGGTGAACATATCTGCTGTAAATGACCCATCTGGAGAAGAAAATTCAATAAATGCTGATGAAGTCAGCGGTACAACTGACAGATTCAAAGCCCAGATTGAGTTACCAAAAAAACTTATGACTCAAACAAGCATATACGATAACGTAGAAAACATCTCGAAATGTGATGCCAAAACTGAATCAGTAATGTTCAAAGCATCGGAGGACATTCTCGCGTTCAAAGACTGGGGCAATAATGAAGCATTTACTGATGAAACCGAGAAAATGCTACAAGACGGTTGGGGCTTTGGCAGTGGGGACTGCACGACAACGCATAAACCGGCACTAGATGCCCATGTGGAGAATATTAAAAATGACAGGACGCAAAAAACTGCTGAGCTACTGAAGATATCATTCATAGGAAAATTATTTGACGCTAACAATTTGCAATCTCAGGTGACACGAGCATAGAACGAAGGAGACAAAGGTAGCAATTATAAAATGTTTGTAAGATTTTGCTTTTGTTAGAAAATACTCTTCAGGTTCTTCGTGTAGGAGTAAACTGGCATAAATCACTTTATGTTCATTAGTGACGATAGAAAAATCTTTTCTCGGGTATGAGTAATTAATGACGTTCATATGAATTTATATGCTGTTTCAACAATGTTGGAAGGAAGTGCTAATAAGCTACAAGGGGCGATCGTACATTAATGCTTCTTAAAAAGTATTTGTATTACAATTACACCATACTGTTGGATTTTACAGAAATATAGAAAAAACAGTCCAGAAAAGACATCAAATTGGCAAATGAGTTTTTACCTGTGAACCGTCCTAACTTAATGGTCAATACTTTGATGCCCACCTTAATTGATTGATACCTGTATGAAGGAAACAAGTCATCAAACGTTTGATCGTTTTCAAATGCTTAACAAGTCTTTAACTTGATCAGTTATGAAGCCCTTTCAAAAATCAGTTATAAGTGTCCTGATTAATTGTGATCTACTTTTAGATTGTTTTGCTTATGATGCATTAAACATTGTAGAATCCCTAAGCAAATTATAGAGTTGGAATAATAATCAATCGTATAATCTACAAAAATTGTCATCGAACTACAACAATTGCTTACCGTAGTTTTATACAAAAGTGCTTCTGAAGATACAACATCCATTTTTTGTATTTATCTTTTGAGCATGTGGCCGTTTTGTAGAATATATCTACTGATTTGATAACAAATAAATAAATGTAAATAAAGTAAGATAGGGTTGAAATTCCAGTTTCTCCAAAATGAAATTGAACCAGCTAAACCTCCTTTTCCATTTCGCCTAATAATAGACCAAAATATTTTACGAAAGTCAAATTTAATGCTAAAAACTTTTAACGATCACCAAGCACCAATTACTATCCCCTTGGCCCTGTCTGGGAATAGAACAGAGACACATCTATATATATTTAGGGATGCACTCAAAGAGATCCATCGTTAATAAAAGTCTGTTCAAGGAATAATACCGTAAAAGCTCTATTAAGTCTCCCTCTCTATCAAGCAAAAACTTTAAATAAGCCCCCTCTATATTGAGCCCCCCTCTCTATTAAGCCCCCCATTTTAACCTTTGATGTCAAACATAGAAAACATGTGCATTTAGTGGGTCTCTTGAAGGGTGTGACGATAATAAGATCGTGTGCATTAAATACGGCCTATGTAAAGACTAACTTGTGTGACATAGTAGTCAGTTGAATTTATTTTGAATATGTCCAAGGGTTGGTTATCAATTTATCCTGGTGATGTTGATGAAGATGAGGACCTTATAATAGATTGATTAAACTTTCGAAGCTGCTAGCGAAGTTTTCTGAGAACATTTGTATGACGTTTTTATAAAAAAATAGACAAGGGAATTTTTGAAACATTACTTACTTCAAGTTTTTAATTAGCCCCCTCTCTAATAAACCCCCCTCTAGGACTGACAAAATAAATAAGCCCCCAGAGGGCTTAATAGAGATTTTACGGTACCTTCGAAACGCAAAAAATCATATTGATCCTTTTTTTAAAAAGAGAAGAATTGTTTTTATGAAGATAATCAACTTGTTCTTATCAAGTAAAGGCACCCTTGAAATCTGTTTTTTATCACGTACGTGGCGAAATTACATACAGGCGCTGATCTAATTTCTTGCAATTTTTTTTAAGGCAGTTGGCGATAAAAAAGTTTTTTTGCCCCTAAGTGAAAGCCTTTGCTCTTTTGCAAACGTCCACTCACATTGATTTAAATAACTTTTTTGAAGAAAATTGGGTATGAAATAGATGGCTTCAAAAAGGGTGCAGTACATGTGGAAGCTACATCGCAAAGCTTGAGGGGTGTTTCACTCTTTCATAAAAGCGTACGAGAGTTTATAGAGCAAAAGGTTTTTTAGGGATATTCAGGATTTTTCTCAAAAACAGAACGATTATACTCGTACATATGATATGCCCCTCGTGAAAGCCTACCTTAAAACAGCGAGAAAAATCATGAATGCAAAAAACGCTGGAAAGCTATCTTCTTCCATTTCACAAAATCTATTCAGAATCAACTACAGTAATGAAATTATGGTTGATTTTCAAAAGCAAAGTCACGAGTCTTCATGGTGTTAGACGCTTTGGGTCTCGCGGGAACATCGATGTCTTGCGAATGTTTCCCAGGCCAAGATAGAGCATGAGAACTCTCTCCAAACCTTCAAAGAAATTAAATCACATATGAATAGCTAGTAACAATTTCCTGTCAGAAAAAAGAAGCAGAGGGCAATATCGAAAAAAACGAAAGTTAAATACAAAGTGATTTTCTTAAAGCCACTTTCGCCACTGGTATGTTTGGTGATAGCTGTATTCTACACGAGGAGGAATGGGCTGTATTTTGTATCTTCATGCAGTACGATATTACGTCTGTTTTGAAATTACAGTCGCAAAGCATGTCGGTTGCACAAGAGCCTTTAATAATACCCCAGTGTCTACAAACTAATATAAAACTACTTGACGTATAAAACTAATTGCATTGATGTCTTACTGAATTGGAAGTTAAATTTAAGGCTATTATCAAACTTAATGTTACCTTGCGGTTGACTAAATTGGACTGGAGTCTAATCAAATTATCGTTAAAATAACTTAGCAATGGCGTGTAGGAAGCAATTAAACTTATATGTCTTTGAAATAAATAATTTCCTCAGCTGGGGCTAGGTTAGACATATTAGTCGTATTAAAATTATATCCAGTGGGTAAGACACTGAAGGGAAACTGTCTTGTTAGCTAAATCGATTGTCAGCTACACAAGTAATTTAATAAAAGAGGAATATACCGAAAAACATATAAAAGAAGCATTAGTGTAAACAGAGTGCCGTTTATCAGGGCCGCATTTACGTCTGTTGGGGCCATGGGTCCAAAGTTGCACTTGGCTAAACATAATCAAACATAAGCAACCAACTATAAGACACGAATAAACTTGTATCCATTTCGCATTTCAGTACATTTCAGTGCAAACTTTTCGATGATTTTATTGGGGTTTAAAACTCCCAGGACATCATAATCTGCTGCCACTAAACATAAGGAAACAACGAGCTACTGTGGCATTGTGGACCTTAGTTCACACTCTTTTTATTTACCCTTTTGCAGCATGATGAAACATTTTTCACCGGAGAAACCTCTGTATGACAAATTGAGCAACAAACTAAGTGCAGTCATTGTATTGGGGAAAGCTCCAACCAGGACAAGCGAAAGTTTCAAAAGCCCTGGGGTAAAAACAAAATATGAGGCCCCCTGCGAGCGGAGCGAGCTGAAAATTCTTGTAACCACGCCCTTTATTCCATTCTTAAAATAGAATTCATTACTTTACGAGCCCCTCTAGCTTCATTCAAACACAAGATTGAAATCAAGAGCACTTTAAAGGCTTTTAAACTTCTGCACGGGGCCCCCTAAATCGAAGAACGTTAGGGGGCCCCTGGGCCCGGGCTCAGTGGGCCCATTGTTAAATGCGTCACTGCGGTTTATTCTTTAATAAAAGCGAAAATTGTGAGCAAATTTCATCTAACAATATCAACATATGGCAATAAGCAACATAAAGTGATTCGCATTAGCCACCAGCGAGCAAATACTGCTTCGCCTATTATATATGGATACTCATTGTAATGAACCACTACAAAATCTTGCATGCATATCGCGTCGTTGGATCTCAAAGGAGAATGTTTTAATGTTGTATAAATTTGGTACGAAAGAGTAGTTTTATTTTTCTAAAATGTTTGTGTTTCTTAATCTCAGAATATAACACCACCGATAAAAGAGAAAAATTAATGAATTACATTAATGACAAACATAACTGTGTCTGGTAAACCTGATACTACAACAAGTATCGTGTGTTTGATCACATTGACCACTTGGCACCTGAAATGGTGATGGATCCAAAACAGCTGCATTGAATAGAAGTTCACTTCTTATGTCTATATGGTGTTAACTTTTTATTCTCTCTTTAAGTGTATTTGACAAATATCTAATGGCGAGTGGACCACAACAGCTTCAGTTGACAGACCGAAAAGAGCCGCAGTTTAAGAATTAAAAATTTAAACGCCTTCTGTATTATTTCATTGTTTGAGAGGCTCTAAGAAGGTGAGAGCGTGAACTTTTTATCATACAGCTATAAACAATACAGCGATTAATAACATATAGACCAATAGCACCAATGCTTTACAACTCACACAAGGCTTGACACTAATCTATTAAAAAGACTGGATCGAGCTTCTATTGTGACTAGTGTATCGCCATTCGAGAAGAGGGCCCCAGAACAGCCCATACGAGGAGAGGGCCTTCTCTATCACTCATACACACAGCATTGTAGCTCTCGCATATCCATATCATTCAAGTATTGAATCGTAGCATTATTTGTTGATTCGAACTATAATTACACCGAAAGATAATGTAAGCGAGTGACAAGACAAGGACAGGACTCGAGCCCGCGATCAATGACATTTGTGCTCTATCAACTGAGCTGGCCGGCTACGTCTTCAAATCTGTACCCAAACCCAAGCCACTCACACACATTATCCCCCCCCCTCTTTACCAACAGGGGAACCATTACAACATCTGTTTCAATGAAGACAGGATCTTCCACGAGGGAGGACTTTCCACAATCCATAGATTTTTGACCTAATCATGTAGGAAAAAATCATTTCCAAGAACTTGGTACACTAAAAAATATCAAAACTTACCTATGCCGCCTCCACCATGAGGACCACAGCCGAATCTGAATGAATCAATGTACGATTTGATTTTATCCAGTTCTGAAAAAAAATTATGTATTTAAGAACCGAGCAACTTCTATTTTACAATATAACGAAGTCTAAAACCTTCCAGAAAGACAGGGATCAAGGAGGATGAGGAGGCGTGCAAGAAAGGGAATAGATCTGGCTCATTTTCCAAACCATATCACTTCCTACAAAAGAAATGGTAACTATTCATTGTTGCAGGTCTTAAGAAGAGGCCTTTGCAACGTACATGCGAAATATAGTTAAGATACCTTTGACATTTTGCAATTGCAAACAAGAGAAGACAAAAAAGGCATCAAATCCTACCTAGTCCATGATGAAGAGCTCTTTCTGTGAGAAGGTCTGGGTCGTGAATTCGTTGGGCACCAGACAAGATTTCTTCGCCGCGCATGAACATGTCATATGAGTTGCTGTACATCTAAAATTTGAAGAGAATCATACAAAAACTGGTAGTTGAGCCCACTTATCGGTGCTCGAGCCATTCTGGCACTATTAGCTTTCTTAAAAAGCGGTGACAGCATCCTGTTTCAAATTTCTCACTTTCTAAGAGCATTCCCAGGAAAAAGACAGGTAAAGCGGGGCATAATTTCCACCCTAGGGAAAAAGATTTAGTGCAGTACCAGATGGATACACAGACTCTGGTTGCTTGGTGGTGGCTTGTAGAACAAATTTCAATGAAATTTAAATCCTTTGATTAAACCTTTTTAACGGATATGAATCGATTACCACGCCACTAAGCTATGCTATTAATACAAAAATTCCTTTCTCGTCAGACAACACGTAAGTAAAATGGGATTTGAAGATTTTACTGGATTCATTTTGAATAACTTCATCCGCTGCAATTACTAAAGATATTCGTGCAGTAAATTGAAATTCAAGAATAGATTCACAAAAGCCTAGTCGACAGGTAGAAATTTCTGTACCTTGAAAAGAAGACAAACAAAACCAAAGCACTTTTCTGCCATTAAAAGCAAAATTTATTGAAGTTTATCCAATGATAAACTGGCTGAACTATTTTTAAAGTTGAAATAAACCTAGCATTGCTAGAAATCCTGACAATAGACAAAATCATTGAACTCGCACGATAATATTTCAAACCATTAAAGTTCATCAAACGTTGTTAAAATAATGCAGAATGAGGGAAATATCCACGTTGCATGTTAAAGTGATATGAAAACAGATAAAGAAGAAATATTGAGACTTATGTTCACTCATATCGTTCTAAAAACAAATTTCCACCCGCTGAGAGTGTTTCAGGGAGCAGCCTTCACAAATAACACCTGATTTTATCAAATCATTATTACAAACAAAAATGGACAGAACTTTGCAGCTACACCCTAACATCCCTACCAGTGGCGGACACTTTCGGGGGGGGGACGGGGGGGGGGCGAGGGGGGGGCGACCGGGGGCGACCGCCCCCAATACTTTAGAGGACAATGGATTTTTGTCTTAAAACAATGGGAAATGTGACGTCATCTTAATAAAACAATAGGCTTGCCCCCCCCCAATATTTGATCAAGTGTCCGCCCCTGATCCCTACTACAAGATTTGGGCAAATAGTACCAAGAAAATGTTCTAACTACACTATCAACAATGCAATTTTCATATTGTACCAGGCCTCTAGCCAAGTCTTGTATACGGCCTAAAATTATAGTGTTAAAACCAAATCTGAGCTTAAAAAAGTTGTATAATCATGTTTGGAGAAATGGCATCTATCAGTGTACTGGCGTGCATATAGAAATACAAAAACAACTTTCTTTTGAAAATACTTAACGAGTTCAAGATTTACTAGAAAGAGATGCAACGACAGAGAGATTCAAGAACTGACTCGAGGCAATCAAGATGCTTATTCGATTTATCACCGTCTAGTTCTAAAACTTATTATAGATTTAGCATAACTAATTAAAACATTTGCAATCACCATTTCAAGAAATAAATAATAATTGTTGGGGAGAAAAGAGGTTTTTTTTGACTTTCCCGCAACAGCGTGCACAAATATCTTTTAAATAGTAAAAGACGTTTGATGTTAGTCTCAAAATTGACTCAAAATATAAATATTACCTTTGAGGCTGGATCAGGCATTGTGTAGAATGGTCTTATTGCCAAAGGATATTTGTCAAGTATGTAGAAATCAGTACCATACTTGGCCTTCACCAACTTCCCAAGAAATTTCTCATTTGGAGTGCTAAAACAATACTAATTTTTGTTAATTTTATTGCCTTTTTTACAAAAAGGAATGGAAGAAAATAATTCGGGGTTTAAAAATCTCATTAATTCCCTTAAGAGTTTTGTTTTGGAGGTATTGTTGACAACAAACAACTCTTAAATCTTAAAACTTGCTTATAATGTTTATTTTGCTTTATGCTTCTAAAGATAAATTTGCATTTCATGTGAAGGTCTCTTGAATACGCAAAAATATTGAATTACAGAGACTGGGCTTCGGGATGTTCCGTCGTATAACGAAAAAGCTGCAGCTACACTTTTTATAAAATAATTCAGTAACTCTTTAACTCCAAGACATACCTCAAGTCGTCTTCATCTCCCATCTCGATACCATTTTCTCTCAACATTTGCACTGCATCTTTGAATTCAAGAATGAGGCTAAAAGGGCAAACATTGAAACTCGTTAATTTCTTTGATAAAAAAAGAGTAGCAAAAAAGCTTAAAAGCATGTTTCCTCATAACAAACTCTTTTATCGAAACTCACAGGTCAGAAGTCCCACGTAGAACCTTATTTAATGCCAGGCGGATTGAATCAGCTAGCTTATAACATAATTACTTATAAATAACAATAAAGCTAAGTTTCCCTCGATAAATTAACCATGGTTTCGTTCCAGAATAACTTGAGAATATATTTGGCACAACAAAAATTTAGGTGTTCTAATAAAATGTATACATAAGAAAAATATTCATATTTAATGAACTTTTCTAAAATACATGTGAAAAACCTGAGATTTCTTATGAAAAATATGTGTTGTTATGTTATGAAAAATATGTTATGAAAAAAATATAAATTTTTTTCCGTTCATCATTTAAATGTGTCCCGTGAAACTGATCGCAGTGATTGTGAAAGACATAAAACTTTAAGTCACATGTTTTTAGAACTGAAATTTTTTCATTGAATTTCAAATTAAAGAACTTTTTGAGATCTATTTTTAAAATGAATTTCTTTATGTATTTATACTTAATAATTACTAACGCCTAACTTGACACTCGCACAAACTTAAATGGTAGCGATTTTAAATGTTTGGTCCAACTAAACCTGCAGGTCAGACAGAATCCTGGAGCAACAATATACCTATTCTTAGATCAGTTACTGTTGCCAACGGAGCAAGCTAGCAGCCTGAAAAGCAATCCACTTTATTCTCATCACATCGTCGAGTCCCGTGTGGTCTAGTGGTTAGGATCCGGCGTTTTCACCGCCGTGGCCGGGGTTCGATTCCCCGCACGGGAGTTCATTTTTCTCCGCACTAATCAAGTTTTGACAATAATATTGTCCAATAAACCGTGAAAAGAAACCAAGAAAATTTATGATAAATTGTTATTTACCGGCTTGGCTGGGCTTGGCTGACATACTACATTTTGTGATTATTTTAAAAAAGCACGGAAAAGTGCAAACATTTTGCTTTGCCAAAGGTTTTATTTGTAGTCATTGAAACAAATACTTTCAAAATTTGGAATAATTTCAAAATCTTAAAATGGTTCCTGCTCGACCTTTTGGTCGAGCATGGTAACACGAGAAAATTAATTATTCAGCGGAAAAAAATAATGATTTTCAACTTTCGCTTGCTGTGATAGACTTTCTTGAAATGAATAAAAATTGCTTGAAATTATGAGATAGTTACCTTGGCTCTAAGAACTGGAAAGGCTCAACTGGAAATTGTTGTCCAACTTTGTTGATTTCGTCTGAATACCTGAAGAAAATAGAAACTCCAAAATTTCGATTTTGTTAATGAAATTAAATTACGTTCTTTCGTGCGGTAAGAATTTTAATCACTTTCTAAAAAACCCTTTTATCTGTCTAAAAAATACAAATTAAGATTTTGTGTTCGCTAAGGTAACACGAAGTGGCGGCGCCAGATGTTAGGGAGGAAGCCAAGTTTGCCAAGACATAGTGCTCATGACAAAATTTGGCAACGGAAAGGCAAATTTAGAAAAAGAAGGAGATCACAAAGTATATTTTGCCAAAATAAAATCCTCGTCCAATCATTTTCTCGGTGGATTTTGATTCTTTTACTGATTTCTACAGTATACAGGTAGAATAAAATCAACATTCTGTTACTTTGTGTCAGGATAAACTAATGCGACATTTGAAGCAGTTGGTAAAGACATCGGATGTATATGTAGTAAGGAATCGGATAAAAAAGTAGTAAGTACAAATAAAGTTGGGAGGTCGCCAAAACAGCGGCCATAGGGAATTCAGCGTGCCTGGGCAACTACTTAAAAAGTTCGACTTCTGCCACTGGCCTAAGTACGTCACTGAAGCCAACAACCATTGTCAAAATTGTTGAAAAACTTACGCAACGCTAAAGCTTTTTTAGAAAAAACAGTCAGGCACCAACCTATCTCTAAGTCCTTTGAAAATATGTATGAAGGTATCTCCAATCATTCTGAGCACCTACGAAGAAATTTTTCGGATATTCCACAATTAAAGGCATTGAGTCATGATAAATAGACTGGGTATACCCTAAGTGCCAAAATCCGCTGAGTCATGATTTCCATGACTGCGATGCTATTGGTTGACCTTGAACTGGTCACATGAACTCACCTCGAACTGATTGACAAAACAATTTTCATCAATAGCAAGTTGTCAACAACGGATGCCAATATCACATGAAACAGCAGCGATCACGCCGAAACCAAATGACCCCCTATAGAGAAGGCCTATTTACCATGACTCAATGCCTTTAAGTCAATTATTTGAAAATGTCAATTAAGTATGTAAAATCGTGACATTATAAAATATAAGCAATCGAGAATTAGATACAATACTTCCTGAAATTAATCTTAAAGTAGACATAACAGGATTATTTTGATAACGTTTCAAGATCAAAATTTCATTTTAAGAATTCTCTCTTGCGAGGCTTACAGTGCACATCTCGCAGAAGACTCGAATAGCCCGAAATGCAGTTCACCGAGTCTCCTTATTTGGGAAGAGAGAAATCCATTGGTACATTTTGTAAAGAAAGGTTCAATACCTCGTGATAATGTTCGTAGAAATTCATTTCCAGATCAAGGCCCACAAATTCACAGAGATGGCGATGAGTATTACTGTCTTCTGCTCTGAACACTAAAACAAATAGATCATCACTAGAGAGTATGAAAATCCTTTGAAAATCCAGCAAAATAACAAAGTTTATCATCAGTACATGTACAGGATAAGTTAGATAGTTAGATAGTTAGATAGTTAGATAGATAGATCAATAGATAGATAGATAGATAGATAGATAGATAGATAGATAGATAGATAGATAGATAGATAGATAGATAGATAGATAGATAGATAGATAGATAGAGAGAGAGAGAGAGAGA